ATTCCCAAGCTAGCCAGACCCAGTTATCGTTAACTCTATATTTCATGGATTGATGGCTCTGTTCTACTAACACGGATGATGAGTAAGTCCAGACAAGATGAGGAGCTAGGAATTAACACAATTAAACACTATAACTCTAACGAACGAGCGTAGAACAGATGACTTGTTTACTTAAAGGCATGGGACTTGTCTTACCAAGGTATTTTCATTAGACAAGAGAGTAATAGTTTTATATTGAACTGAGATTATTCTCAACTTGGGATCACCTACGATTGTCCCAACATTACCGTTGCTTTGGCATCGACTGCTTGTTGAACCATCCTTAACAGCAATAACATCTAAATAATGCTAGTACCATGGGATGAGATAGGCCGCTTTAATAACATATGCAGCTATCGAGTGATATTACCTGGCATAGGGAATGAGATCCCTCTGCCCATCGATTGCCTCAAACCAGCGGAGAGGAATATAAATTAATATTTGGCAGGAGTGTTCTCTCACAGCACTAAGAAGGATTGAAGCTAGTCTGATGGGCAATAAGGATATTGCCACAGGGTCCTTGATAGAATAATACAACAGAAGAGGTATGAAGAATGTGCTTTAGTTACGGTATGCGAACAAACGACGCGAGTTTGTGTTTGGCAATTCTGATAGCGCAGCTTGAACCTCGTCGGTAGTCCTTTCAAGGGGTGAGTAATCGAGCATAGACTTACATGCCCCGAGTATGCAATACACGTTCGCCATATGTATTTAATGAGCTCAGGTTGTTCACGTTCAAGGAGAGACTGGGGCGATTTAGGAATTTCTGTCGGCCCGCAATCGAAGAAAAAGAGGAGCTATCGAGGACTTCAAACAGGCCTCGAGACAAATCTGGGACACAGTCGAGAAGAGCACATGCTATGTTGGTAAGAAGGCTACTTGAAAAGAAGGATTCCCAATTTGGGCATAGGCGGGTTAGTAAGCGGTACTATCTGATTTTCTTGTCCCCCATCCGTTTACTTTAAATTGAAGATATTGGAACTTGGAACTTCCTAGAGGATGATACTTGACTAGACGCTCTGATGGTGACTGGTATGGCGTTCGGCGGCTCCTACCAGATGGAAACTGGCATCTACCTATCTTTCTGTTGCTGGAGTATTTTTGGCAAAATCAAATGACATATGGATAAACAAGTTCTCTCTAGTTTATGTCACTTGTTAAACAAATCCTCAATGATATCCATAGGTAAGTTGGACGTGGGCATGTGAAGCTGATAGGCAGAGCTAGTACGGCCCGTAGTTTATATGAGTGTAGTTCAATGTCTGCAGTGGCTGTTCGCGAGGGACAGCTTGGTTGGTAAAGACGCCTGCCCGTATATAATTGAAGTAGCATATGCTAAACGGGCCGTTTTGTAAATGACCACCATACCATCCAACTCTCAACAATAGGTAAGTTTCGAACTAGGATATTTTTACCGTAATAGATGGCCGTACGACCTTAATATAGCTTAGATTGATGCCATTCAGCCCAAGCAGTATATCATCAGGATAAGTACGAAGTATGATAGCTATTCGGCCGGTGCGTGGGACCGCCTCGTAATCACGAGCTATAATGAATCGATTACTACAATGTTATGCAATCAAGGCACTCGCCTGGTCCATGTAATATCCAATAAGAAAGTGAATATGTAATCGGGTCTGTCGAAGAGGACACGACATAACTAGTCCGCACGACCCCTATGTCTTAGTCGAAATGGTATAGGTTGCCTGATGTTTGAAGTAGGGTCGGCCCACTCGGGGAACGAACGGAATGAGCGGCGAAGTCCACTACCGGGAGAAATCCCGTATGCAACGGCTCAAGATCCGTGGAACGTGGCATGCCGAAGCTGCTGTTTGATCGGATAATACAAGGGTTAAGCAATAGGCAGCCCGCTAGTCGAGACAAAGGCACTCAGACGCCGCATGGGTTTCGTGGCTCCAATCGGCCCATGGGGTAATGAAACAAACTAATCTGAATTTGTAGACCAGCAATACAGAGCCGAGGGGCTTCCAAAGAGCTTCCGCCCTTTGGACCTTGTGTCTAGCAGTGAACTGCTAGCATGTGCGTATGCCAACCCGGTCGCTATCCAGTCAAAGAATCCTCCAGATGAACATTATCCACGGATATAAACGACTATGCATATAACCAAATCCTTATGATTGTCTTGCTGGAATGGCTTTGCGCGAAACCCAGAAGATTGCCACCCAACTCAAACATCGCCTGAACTTGATCGACAACTCGACGTGAAACTCGAAACAAGACATTATTTGATCCCGATTCTTTTTTGAAGCAATCATAAGCCGCAAACCTGGAGATTAAGCGGCACATAGGAGATATCTATACTGCAGATAAGAGTCGAAGGAATATAACAACCTGTAAAGGCTAGTAGAGTTATCGTAACCTCCGACGTGAACCTACCCGTGCCTTTTAATTACACTGCGTCTAAGCTACTAACGAAATGCCTAAGTCTTGGCTACAGTTTAGCAGAGAGAGTTGAAGTGGTCCGTAGTTGCAGTGGACTATAACATATAGGTATGTAAGCATTCCTAGAAACTAGAAGCTATAATGCTTTGCAGCTCAAATACGAGCGAGTCTATTTCTTCATTTGGCTCAGAACTGAGAGGTCTCACGTGACATATTCGCATGTGCATGATGAGACCAGGAGAGCATGAGCCTCAACTCAGCCAGGAAAGCCGCGAGGAATAGCCACAAGGAAATGGGATGACAACATGAATGGCGGAGGTGTCTCCTAGTAATGTGATCTGATTGCCAGTCCAACATAAGACTTCTCGTACGATCTTATCACGGTTTCAGAGTGCTAAATTCCATGAGCTGTCGCCCCTATACTTTGTAATTGCGGCCGAATCCACTATCCAATTTGATAGCAATCCGCATCGGCCTAGGACTACCTGGCCGCGGTACTCAATTATTCGGATGCGATAAGTGAGAGAAATGCGCCATCTAAGCTTTGAACTCCCAGCAGCTTCCTCGGTTGCATATCCTGAAGCTTCCAAACCGGGTCGCCAATGTAGCAAGCCGGTGGTTCTTGAGCGCAACTAAGGTTCCACTGCCCTATAGTTCGATATTAGATCGAAGATGTGGCGATTAGCAACTACGTAGATCCCTGGGATTTAAAAGCAGATCGGCCTCTCGTGTGAGATATAGGCGGGATGTTAAGTAGCCACGGCATCACCACGACCGGATAAGGCAGGCCTTCTAGAAGCCAGACAACCGCCTATTCGGGCGGCACGAACCGTGGCCGGGTTCCTTCTGGACGGTTCCTGCTATTGCAAGGTTATGGCAGGACGACAGGCTCGGCACCACGAAGTTTGCACGTCTCAGAGAACAGGAGCACCGCGTTGCGGCGGATATCGGTCCGGTGAAGAGATACCAGTACTCGATATAATACGAAGTACGGAGTATTGGAGGAGACAAAACTCAGGAGAGCCGAGATGCGCACCAACCGCCAGAGCCGAAGCCTGGAACGAATGAACCGGGAACCTAGAAGAGGGGATTGATCGTATGGTTTGATTCCGGGCGATTCTGCCTCACACCGCGCATGCATCCCTGAGTTTATGCTGCCTCCGACTGGTGGGCGACTGGACATCAAACTCGGTAGTTCGTGCGTCTGCAGAGGCAGGATGTAGGGGACCTGTCTTGCAGACTTGCAGTGTATTATTATTCTCTTGCTGGATCCGCATCAGGAATGACTACTCTGAGTACATCCTCCGAAGGATGTCGACATACCTGCGTTGCCAGGGTTACATGTTCTAATCTTCAAACCTTCGGAACATCACCGAATGGCTCTCTGTGCAAGCAATACGGAGGAGCCGCGAATGGTGGATCCTGTTCCTGCTGCACACCATGCTGATGCTCGTGCTCATCATCATCGCTGGGCCGCACTGTCGCCCGTTATCGTCACTGGTACGAAGTATTATATTATGATTATACTGTAACCCTGCCTCACTGTCACACCTGGGGGACCCAGAGTGCGACGACATGGCCACTGCTCAACCAGACGAGCAGTTGGGGGTTGCCAGAGGCTGCCAACCGCCGCTTGCAGCTTCGACAAGAGGCACTGCCACTGACTGCCCCTTGATCGCACTCACAATTGGGCCACGGGCGTCGGCTGAAGTGGTTTTGATTTGGCGACGCAAGTAGTGCGGTGTGGTGCGGTGCAATGTGAGCAATGTGGTCTTTTGTACTCTGTACATAGCGCTGTACGTTCCTCTCGCCGACAGGATACTCGGCCTTTGAAGGATCGTTGGCTCGTAGCTGTACCTACTCCATAGCGGCCATAGAACACCACCGTCCCTGATTTGTGGCGGCAATGGCGATAACCAGTTGGCGCGGGGGGCGATCGTCCTGGGCGCGGGCTTGGGCTGAACGGCTGGTTCGTCGCAAGAGTCGATGGTTTGACGTTCCTGGCGCGGCGGGAATCTCGAGTAATCCTGGCCAAGACGTATCCATGATTCTAGACAGTACTGTACCCATATCAACTGGGTCTTGGACCCGACTCCCAAGCCAGACTCCCCAGCCAGCGCACCCAAGGTTCGTAACGGGGTACGGGGCAGCGCTCCCTGCGCACATCTAATAAGCAGAGCTGCGTAAGTCGTAGATATAGGGCAGAGTAAGTGTAAGGAATGGAAGATGGAAGGGGAGGGAAGGTCGACTGCCCGATGGGGGGTGGTGGACAAGCTAGCCGGAAACCACTCGCTGTTTTGAACCGTCGTCTAGGACTCTAGGGCGAGAACTACCGGACTCGACCTGTCTCGGGCAGAACGTCACCACTGATTGATTATAAAGGTCCTGACTCCTTCGCCTTTCTTGCCGCTGCTCCCGCATACATGTTCTCCCTTTCTCTTGCACAACGTCCCCTTCGCCGCCCGCTTTTTACCCTTACCACTGCCACTCCCACACGCCGTTCCGTTCCCGCCCTTTCCACCCCTCGAAGCTTTCCATTTACAACCACTACCGCCGCAATGGGTGTCCAAAAGACCACTCTCCAAGAGGGCACCGGCCCGATCCCCAAGCCAGGCCAGCAAGTCACCATCCAGTACACGGGCTACCTAAAGGATACCACCAAGCCTGATAACAAGGGCGAGAAGTATGTCATTTTCATGTCAAATCGTCGTGCTGGTTCTAGAAGGCTGACCCTTGCCCCCTCGCCAGATTCGACTCGTCCGTTGGCCGTGGTCCGTTTGTTGTCCAGATTGGCACCGGGCAGGTCATTAAGGGTAAGCTGGGAGCATCCTCTAGCAAACAGAGCAGGACGGCTATTGACTGGCAATACCAGGTTGGGATGAGGGTGTTACAACCATGAAACAAGGCGAGAAGGCAACATTGGATATCACATCGTGCGTGGCCTATCCCCCCCCTCTTCCATGTCCTATACAATTGTTTAAGAATCCTGGCTAATATGTTCGTTTTGCTATGTACAGAGACTATGCATATGGTGACCGGTAGGAAACCCCCTCCCCACCCAATGGTTATCATTTTATATTCCCAAAGCTGCGCCGCAGACCTCTCGATATACGCTCCACTGTCTAGATGTAGACTGACGTGATTATGCAGCGGGTTCCCGGGTCATATCCCACCCAATGCCTCCCTCATCTTGTAAGTATCTTCTCAACCCCAACCCCAACTCAAACACAACCTCCCACCAACTGCTTTCTAACACTCTGCAGCGACGTCGAGCTCCAGAAGGTCCAGTAAATCTCTGACTCCGGGGGTTGCTTTCATCTGGTTGGTCCTAGGGCGAGGTCGCTCAGGTTAGCGCCGATAGCAGGGTAGCTAAATATCAGATCGGATAAATTGAACGGAAATATTTTTTGCAAAACGCGCTCTGTGATCATCTTGAAAATTCAAATACCGCTTCGTCGGATAGTGTGCTCTGCGCCCCCCTTAGTCAGATGGCTGGTCGCACAAGTCTTACAAGAGCGAAGCACACTGAATGATATTGATATCCTCACTGAACCAGAGCCATGCTGTTGTGCTGCAATCTGTGTAGCACGTCCCTCGCCGTTGCCTTGCTTGCCTTAGGAGGGCTGTGACACGATACGTAGTATGTACCTATGTACCTTACGTATGTACTACGTATAGTGGGGGTGAATGAGGGGCTGCCGAAGATTAGCCGCCTGACAAGTGCGCCGGTCTGTTGTGTACCCGATTCATAATCATAATACGCAAGTAATGGCACAAGATGTTCCAACCGGAGGTGAAGATGTTAAAAGGCATGGCACCATAGCAAATACTATAGAGAGCTATGTATATTGCGTGATTATTCGACTTTGGAGGAGGCATACCTATATGTATGCTTCGGACCTATCCATAGCTGGAGTGCACAAGGTACCTAGGTACTTGCAGATAGCCGTTTGTAGCTGCCTGAGGTGGCGGCGGTTCCTGACAGATCGGCGACGTGCACGTGATGTGCACCCGTTTGGTTATGTCATTAGCTCCGTTGCTCTAGAGGCTTCGGCGTGATGACTGAGGGACCGAAGTCCATCTTACAGTTAACTGCCAGCTCACCCTCGACTCGTTCTCTTCGTCCTTTCACCGCGTTTAAGAACTATTCCATAGGACTCACTCGTCTCGTTCTGATACCATACCCTCATTCCCGTCTCTGCCACATCACTCCACTCAAGCAGTTCAAGGTCGGGTACTTTTGGGACCTAGAACTCGAGCTTGCTTGGGATATCGAACAAACAAAACGTCAAGATTCCCTCCCAGCAAACAGCCGACGGCGAGAGCCAGAACAAGTCGTCAAAGCGCAGGTTATCCCACGTAGAGTATCCCCAGCTGAAAAAGAAGACCATGGCGGTGAGTTGGCTCCCTCCGAAGATGTGCATTGCTATGCCGCTACCATACCGAGCATGTTCCGTTCTAGGCTATGGCTCTACTGCTTTCACTTGTAAAGATAAAAAGCTAATGATTCGTTCGTACAGGCCGCCAAAGGAGACGTCGACATGGAGACCAAGATGCAGGTGGACGAGTCGGTGGTAGGCAGCACCGAGATCGACGAGTCGTTATACAGCAGACAGCTTTACGTTCTCGGACACGAGGCCATGAAGCGTATGGGTGCTTCGAATGTGCTCATTGTTGGATTGAAGGGCCTGGGTGTCGAAATTGCGAAGAACATCGCCCTGGCTGGCGTTAAGAGCCTCACACTTTACGACCCCGCACCTGCTGCTATCGCCGATCTCTCCTCGCAATTTTTCCTCCGTCTTGATGATGTGGGGAAATCCAGAGCAGAAGTTACGGTGCCCCGAGTCGCTGAGCTGAACGCGTATACACCTGTTTCAGTGCATGAATCTAGCAGGTGAGCATCCCCTTGCCCGAGTGGACGTTCCCCGCTAACAGGATTGTTACAGTCTAATCACCGATCTCTCCCAATTCGATAAATACCAAGTGGTCGTTCTCACCAACACTCCTATCAAGGACCAAATTGTGATTGGGGACTACCTACACTCAAAAGGCATATACCTCGTGGTGGCGGATACATTTGGCCTGTTTGGATCAATATTCTGCGACTTTGGAAAAGATTTCACTGTTTTAGATTCCACAGGCGAAGCGCCAGTCAGTGGAATAGTTGCTAGTATTGACGAGGAGGGATTGGTGTCGGCTCTGGATGAGACGAGACACGGACTGGAAGATGGCGACTTTGTCACGTTTACCGAGCTTGTCGGGATGGAGGCTCTCAACGGTGCAGAGCCACGGAAAATCACAGTGAAGGGTCCATATACGTTCTCAATTGGCGATGTCTCATCATTGGGCACGTATAAGAAGGGCGGTATCTACCAACAAGTGAAGATGCCCAAATTCATTGACTTCAAGCCTATGTCTGCATCGCTCAAAGATCCCGAGTTCCTAATCTCCGATTATGCCAAGTTTGACCGCCCGCAGCAGCTACACATCGGGTTTCAAGCCATCCATGCATTTGCGGAGCAACATGGACATTTGCCCAGACCTATGCACAAGGAGGATGCTGCGATTGTGGTCGGGTCTGCAAATGCTTTTGCGAAGCAGGAGAAGTTGGATGTGGAGTTGGACGAGAAACTCCTCCTGGAACTGAGCTATGAGGCCCAAGGTGACCTGAGTCCGATGGCAGCATTCTTCGGCGGTCTTGCTGCTCAAGAAGTCTTAAAGGCAGTCTCCGGTAAATTCCACCCAATTAAGCAATGGCTCTACTTCGATTCTTTGGAATCACTACCTGCCAGCGCCGCCCGATCAGAAGAGTTATGCAAACCCCTAAACTCTAGATACGATGGGCAGATCGCGGTTTTCGGTAGGGAATACCAAGAGAAACTTGGGAACGTTACCCAATTCCTAGTTGGTGCCGGTGCTATTGGTTGTGAAATGCTCAAGAATTGGGCTATGATTGGGCTTGGCGTTGGGCCCAAGGGAAAAATCCACGTTACGGATATGGATTCGATTGAGAAGAGTAATCTCAACCGCCAGTTTCTCTTCCGGCCTAAGGATGTAGGGCAGTTGAAGAGTGAATGTGCTGCTACCGCCGTCCAAGAAATGAACCCGGATTTGAAAGGTCATATCGTCACAATGCGAGACCGAGTAGGGCAAGATACGGAGCATATCTTCCACGAAGAATTCTGGAATTCTTTGGATGGAGTCACGAATGCGCTCGACAATGTTGATGCTCGTACATACGTTGACCGCAGATGTGTGTTCTTCCGAAAGCCGCTTTTAGAGAGCGGTACCTTGGGCACCAAGGGCAACACTCAAGTCATCATCCCTCACCTGACAGAATCTTATTCTAGCTCGCAAGATCCTCCTGAGCAATCATTCCCGATGTGCACGTTGAGAAGCTTCCCGAACAAGATTGAGCATACCATTGCCTGGGCTAGAGAGTTATTCGAGTCTTACTTCGTCAAGCCTGCTGAGACCGTAAATCTCTACCTCAACCAACCAAATTATCTTGAGACAACCCTAAAGCAGGGCGGTAACGAGAAGGCCACGCTCGAGATGATCCGTGATTTCTTAGTAGAGGATAAGCCTCTGAGCGTGGAAGATTGCATCAAATGGGCTCGTTTGCAGTTCGAAAAGCAGTACAATAATGCCATTCAGCAACTATTGTACAACTTCCCCAAAGACTCAACCTCGTCAAGCGGAGCTCCCTTCTGGTCAGGACCAAAGCGTGCTCCAGATCCATTAAAATTCGACCCTAAGAATGAGTTCCATTGGACCTTTATCGTTTCAGGAGCTAACCTTCATGCTTTCAACTACGGCATCAACACCAAGGATATGGACGCAGGCATGATTCAGAAGGTGTTGGACAACATGATCATTCCAGACTTTTCACCAAATGCTGGCGTAAAGATTCAGGCTGATGATAGTGAGCCCGTAAGTACTTGTTCTCAACTATGGGAAACCCCTCTAACATTTGCAGGATCCAAACGCGAATGCCTCTGCATTTAATGATAGCGAAGAGCTAGAGAAAATCACTAGCCAACTTCCAGAGCCAAAGAAATTGGCAGGCTTCAAGCTTCAACCAGTTGAATTCGAGAAAGATGATGATACGAACCATCATATCGATTTCATCACAGCGGCAAGCAACTTACGTGCGGAGAACTACAAGATCGAACTCGCTGATAGGCATAAAATCAAATTTATTGCCGGAAAGATCATCCCCGCTATCGCCACGACAACTGCCCTCGTTACGGGACTTGTCATCCTGGAGTTTTATAAAGTCATTGACGGAAAGAGCGATATCGAGCAATATAAGAATGGCTTCATCAACCTTGCACTGCCTTTCTTCGGTTTCAGCGAACCTATTAGCAGCCCCAAGGACAAGTACAAAGGAAAGACTGGTGACGTTGCGATCGACAAACTTTGGGATCGTTTTGAGGTTGACAACATTACGCTGCAAGAACTAATAAATCATTTCGATGAGAAGGGACTCGACATCACTATGCTGAGTTCCGGGGTTAGTCTCTTGTATGCTAGCTTCTTCCCGCCATCCAAACTCAAGGACAGATATCAAATGAAGCTGAGCGAGCTTGTTGCCCATATCTCGAAGAAGCCAATCCCAGACCACCAGAAGAATGTCATCTTTGAGATCTGTGTGGAGGACCAGAGCGGCGAGGATGTCGAGGTTCCTTATATCATGATGAAGATGGGTAACTAGCGGTGGATTCTATTGTTTTTGAGTGACGACTACATGATGGATTCCGGTTATGCTACAGAAAACTGTTTTTTGGTTGGTTCAGTGAAGGGAACTAGAGAGAAAGCGTCTGACATCGATATGGCGATGCCTTTTACAAAATAGAAAATGCTTTGTATCGAACCTTGGCGCTGAGCACTGAGTGATGTGACTGACTAATTTATTGTAAGCGAACAAGGCCCAGTAGTCATGACCCCACGTCAGCCTTGGATGCCGTCATGAGTAGTCATCATTATCAAGCACCCCAGCAATGCCACGGCGCGCATTACTCGGCATTATGCCATCGATATCTTGCATTCCGGCGATGCCATATATTAATCGGCATACCCCCCCCTCTCCAATTGCACAGAAAACAGCCATTCCTCCGCTCAAGACCCTTCATGCTCTACAGATCACTTCTTAATTTATCTGTGAACTTTACCCACCTACCAAAAAACACCGTCCGTCTATTCTCATCGAGTAGCTTTTCAAAAATGGTACGTACTGTGCATGGGATGCCGGGAGAAATGAAAACAAGACGCGGGGCTAACGAAGCAACACCACAGGCCGAAGAACAGAAGATCACGAACTGGGTCGCCCCAAATGATAAAAGTGGCGAATTTAAGAGAGGACAATCGCAATTCAGGAATTGGATTAAGAAGGGGGGAGAATTCCCACCAGAGAAAGGAAGATACCACCTCTATGTAACTCCCTCCGTCCCCAAACCATTGCATTCAGCAGCTGATCATTCGCTCTCGTAATAGGTCTCCTACGCTTGTCCCTGGGCCCACCGCACGCTCATCGTACGCAAACTCAAAGGCCTCGAAGATTTTATTCCGTATACCGCGGTACATTGGCACATGGGGGAAAGGGGATGGCGGTTCGCAACACCAGAAGACAAGGATGCACCAGGCGATAATGTAACTGCGGATCCGGTAAAAGGACATGAAGGATATACTCACTTGAGAAATCTTTATTTCCAGGTTGATCCGGAATATAAGGGTCGATTTACTGTCCCGACCCTGTATGATGTCAAGCAGGGGAAGATTGTCAGCAATGAGAGTAGTGAGATTATTAGGATGCTTTACACAGAGGTTAGTTTGTCCATGTTGAGTTTGAAACACTGCGCTGCAGATTCCCACATGCCCCTACGACGTATGAGGTAAGGCTGGGAATAAAAGAAGGATAGGAGCTGACAGCAAGGGTACATACAGTTCGACGATTTGATCGACGAGAAATACCGCAATGTAGTCCTGTTTCCCGAAAATCTTCAAAAAGACATCGACGCTACAAATGAGTGGACGTACAACGACATCAACAACGGCGTCTACAGATCTGGTTTTGCCACCACCGAAGAAGCATATAGCAAAGCCGTCACTCAACTCTTCTCCTCCCTCGACCGGGTCGAGAAACACCTCACCGAGTCCGCAGGACCATACTACTTTGGCAAGAATATCACCGAAGCGGATGTCCGACTTTTCACAACAATCGTGCGCTTCGATGCCGTTTACGTCCAGCATTTCAAGACAAACATCCGGGATATTCGCTCCGGATACCCGCATATTCACAAATGGTTGAGACATCTCTACTGGAATGTTCCGGCGTTCAAGGATACGACCGAGTTTACGCATATTAAACGCCATTATACTAAGAGCCATACGAATGTAAGTGCCTTCTCTATGGATGCTACGTGTGGACCCGACATGTTAATAAGTATTTGCAGATCAACCCGTACAGCATCACACCCCTTGGTCCCGAGCCACCGATTCTGAAGGAGGATGAGGAGGTTCCGGCTGTGAAGTATGCGCTGGCGCTGGCAGGGAAGAAGTAAAGTAATTGTAGTAATATAATATGTCTGCGACAAATTCCAATTCACTTTCTCCCTCATACATACTTTTGTCACTCCCACGCCGGCCCCCCTCCACCCCAGCCTCCCCGTCCACAATGCGAATTACTGTGTTTCATTGTTTTTCGTATAATAAATGCTTTATTATAGGAATTCTTTTAAATTTAAGGCTGTTATATAATTTTACTAACTACCTACAGGTAGGTATGTGTTACTAATGAGTAGAATATAAAAGCATGGTATTTAAGTGGCAAACGGTCTCTAACTTGGCAACTACTGTTATCTTGACAATAATGTTATTTTACTTAAACTTAATACCTACCTAGGTATGAATTCACAGACTGAGACCAATTATCTATTACACTACTAGTAGGGCCTTACAGAAATTGCCGAGAAGACAACTTGGTATTATATTCAGCACACGACGGCACGCTGGTGTTTGCCGGGATAGCGAAATGTGCTTGTGGGGTATAGGCACCTTGGTAAAGAAAGGTTTCTAGAAAGGAGGCCGCCTGTCTTTATACTGAGGAATGGGGTGATGCAGTTAAGCGAGTTGATGTGGTGAATAACACGAATACTTCTGAGTATTTCGGAGGTCTAAAGATAAAGGTGCATTGGTAGGTAGGACAAAGGACTAGAGCACTGTTTCGCGCTGTCCTTTGCAATTTGCAGGGGCTTGGTCACACTAAAAAGGGGCGCCGCTAAGTCTGTAATTGCCCGACATCATCCATTGGCCTGGAATTTCCGCTTCCTCGCCCACATGAAACTCTTGTGTTCCCAACCTCAACATTCACATACCTATCCTTCGAGAAGTCTGGCAGGATATCGGGATATGTGAGTAAGACATTAATTGCTACGGCCCAGGTCAGGGGAGGGAGAATAGGGGTAATGTATCTAGCGCTAAAAGTACTTTTCCTAAGACCGGTCACAGCTATTTTCCTTTGTGAATGGAATAAAATTACATTCAGTATCTGTTCAGAGCTCTCGTTTGTTATTGACAGGAACATATCAATAACTCTTAACATTCTATTCTTCTTCTCTTATAAATTTTTATATAAACCTCGGCAGCGCCTTGATTTGAACCCTCTTTTCTTGCATCATTTGCAAACATCTATCCTCCATACCTTCGTTCGATTTTGCGTACAAATTCCAACATACAATTATTTGGACAATCTCTCAATACCCAATAAAAAGAGATCGCGATGCGAATCTCTACACTTACTGTCGCTCTAGCAGCGCTCCAGACTGTTGCTGCTCATACTGTCTTTACGACACTTTTCGTGGACGGCGTTGACCAAGGCGATGGGACCTGCGTCCGTATGCCGATGACGCCAAGCAATGCAACAGATCCCGTCAACGATCTAGCAAGCAGTGATATGGCTTGTGGATTCGATGGCACGAAAGGGGTTGCGCGAGTCTGTTCTACGAACCGCGCAGCGAAATTGAATTTTGTCTTTCGAGAATATGCAGACGCATCGCAACCGGGAGCATTAGATCCAATCCACAAGGGGCCTTGCGCCGTCTACATGAAGAACGTCAAATCAGCTATCAATGATCCCGCAACGGGCGATGGGTGGTTCAAAATCTGGGATGAGGGCTACGACCAGACCACCTCTCAATGGTGCACCGAGAAGCTCATGCAAAACAATGGCGTCCTCTCCGCCCAGATTCCAGATAACCTGGCTGGCGGATACTACCTTGTGCGGCCCGAACTTTTGGCTCTGCATCAATCTGACAAGAATCCCCCCAATCCGCAATTCTACCTTGGGTGCGCCCAGATATTTATTAACTCGACCGCAACGGCCCTCCCCAAGGATACCGTGAAGATCCCCGGATACACGAATATATCTGATCCAGCAGTACTTTTTAATATCTACACATTAAATCTGCCATACCATACGCCGGGACCGGGGGCATACAAGTCTGGAGTGAGTGCAACTGTCGATACCAAACCCGTGGAGCAGCAAACAGAGGGCTTGCTTCCTTCAAATGTGGTCCTGACGAACGCGAATTGGTGGGCAGCTGAGCTGAACTCGTATTCTGACCAAGCTGGCTGCTCGAACGCCTCTGAAACGTGTTATGGCAAAGCTAAGAGCTGTTATGATTCGTCACCTCCTACGGGCTCGAAGAACTGCCGTATTTGGGAACAAAAGTGCAAAGATATTCAAACCGCATGCCAAGGGAACCAGCTCAACGGACCGCCTAATAAAGGGAAGATTTTGACGCCGCCCCAGCAGTCAGGAGTAGAACTTCCTTCCCCATCTGCAGCATCGGCATCTCCCCCGTACGCAAGTGTATCGGCTGGAAGCCCAGCATCATCTGCGGCATCGGCACCTTCTCCATATGCAAGTGTAGCGGCCGCAAACCCAGCGTCACCTTCATCTTCAGTATCTGCTCCAAACTCCTCATCTCTTCAAGTTTCACAAGATGGGCAATGTGGAAAGGACTTGGGACAGGCATGCAAGGGAAGCAAGTTTGGGGATTGTTGCTCAGATAAGGGATGGTGTGGGAGCAGCGATGCATATTGTAGTGCTGGGTGTCAGGCTGAATTTGGAGTTTGTGGGCAATCTCAGCCTACGGGGCTGAGAAGGAGAGATATGAGATTGGCGAAGAGAGTAAGAATTTATAGACCATATGACGACTCCCCGGAGGGCTCTTGATGCGTCATCGCAGCCACGGGGAGCTTCTATAGGGCGATCACGAATGCATAGATTGTTGAGCTTTTTACATGGAGGAGAATCTTGACACATATATTTCGCGGGGCTTCAAAGTTTCATTTTATATGAATAGTAGAGCTGTGCTCTGCCACTTTGTACTCTAGGATCTGCCTAGACGTTTGTAAGATTTTCGCAAATTTTATCTTTTCCCCATTGTATAAAATAAGTTTGTGTCGTAAGAAGTAAAACGTTTTCATTCTATAAAATCCTACCGGCTTCATCTAAACATAAAAATGTGCAGCACGATATAAAACTGTAAGTGAGTTGTAATGTTATATTATAGAAGTGAATTTATAAACTGTAGAAATGTGCATTAGAGCCATTACCCAGCCTCAACCCTCACCTGTATCGAGAAAAATGTGCATAATAAATGTAAAGTACTATCATCAAAGCTGTTGACTGAAGTTGAGACTGAGGATTGAGATTAAGTGTTGAAGCGTTGTTTTGAAAAATGCAAATGTTACCAGACCTCACAATTAGTTTAAAGGGGCTGGCTCAGGGGGGAGCCCCGGAGACCTTAGGCGAGGCCAAACCCACTAGCGGCCGCCTCTATCTGTCCAGTATCCCCACCGTAAAACCCCCGCCGTAAAATCGGGATAAGCGGACTGCAGACAAGACACTGCGACAACTAGCTGTCTATATCTCCTCAATATGGACAATGTAAATGGGTTGTTCGGACCCTCATGGTCTCTGGATACAGGTGGTATGTAGCTTCCTCCAATCTCACTTCCTCTTGGGGGAATTTATAAATTGTTTAATTGGAAACGCAATTGCTAACTAAGATAGATATTGTGGAATTATGGCACTTATATCGAATTCCCATAGTCCTCGCAAGTTTCACGGTGCTTATGATTGTTCGAACCATCCTACGCCTACGAAAACCTAGAGAAAAGCTTTCCGAGACCCCTCCTCCTACATCTCCGAGCCTTCCCGCCGAGAAAACGATTGCCCCTCTCGAACTCACCAAGAAGACAAGCATCGAGAAAATCAAGGCCCCTCGAAGAATTGTTGGAGGTCTTAAGAAGAGCAAGCCCTCCGAAGATGATATTGAGTCTGGTGATAAAAAGATCCAAGTGCTAGTCTTCTTTTCGTCGTTGACCACCACCACCGAGAAAACTGCCAAAGTTTTCACCGAAGGGCTGGCACATAACATCAAAGAGTTTTCAAGCTCTGCCACTTTCCTCGAACCAGAGATCCTTGACCTATCCTACATCGATTATGATGAATACTTTATCAATCCGCCGAAATCCGAACCCAACACACAGTACTTTTACCTAATACTTATCCCTACCTACAACATTGATACCGTCCTCGACAATTTTCTCGAGCATTTACAGGAGACGCATAATGATTTCCGGATAGACACCGCACCTCTATCGTCGTTGCTTGGTTATTCGGTGTTTGGATTCGGCGATAGGGAGGGTTGGCCGACTGAGGAAGAGGGGTTCTGTTCACAGGCGAGAGATGTTGATAAATGGATGGCGAAATTGACAGGAAGGAGAAGGGCATTTCCGCTTGGAGTTTGCGATGCCAAGACCGATGGTCCGGAGCGGCTGAAGGAATGGAAGGAAGGAGTTGAAGATGTGATCCTCCATATTGCTAAGACTGGAGGGCTAGGAGAAGGGGTCGCTGGAAGTGGAGATGCTGTGGAGAGTGACGTGGAAGATGTTGACGACGATGATGATAACGACGAGGTGCTTTTCCAAGAACAGGACGTTGCCCAACGAAAAACGAAAGCGCAGAAGCAGGACAGCCTCAATGACCTGGAGGACCTTGGCCGATCATTAGACAAACCCTCCGCTGACCCGTCACCACCCCTTGAAGTCGATTTCACCACCTACAGCAAAAAGTCCCGAAAACCGGAAGCCCCAGCAATAATCAAAGAGATGGTGCCCAAAAACTCTCCCACATACAATTCGCTCACCAAACAGGGCTATACAATTGTAGGTTCCCATTCGGGTGTGAAAATCTGCCGATGGACCAAATCCGCCCTTCGAGGCCGCGGCTCCTGCTACAAATACTCTTTCTACGGCATCGCCTCGCATCAATGCATGGAGACAACGCCATCCCTCTCCTGCTCAAACAAATGCGTCTTCTGCTGGCGCCACGGGACTAACCCCGTCGGCACAACATGGCGCTGGGTCGTCGAACCCCCTGAGATGATATTCACAGGCGTGAAAGCCGGCCATTATAAGAAGATCAAGATGTTGCGGGGAGTACCGGGCGTGAGGGCCGAGAGGTTCGCTGAAGCGATGAGGATTAGGCATTGCGCGCTCAGTCTTGTGGGGGAACCGATTTTCTACCCCCATATCAATGAATTCTTGGCTATGTTGCATAACGAACATATATCATCATTCCTCGTCTGCAACGCCCAACACCCGGATCAGCTTGCTGCCCTCACACCCGTAACACAACTCTACGTCTCAATCGATGCCTCGAATCGGGAATCGCTCCGGAAAATCGACAGGCCTCTGCATAGGGATTTCTGGGAACGGTTTAATGCATGTCTAGATATCCTACGCGAACGACGATTTGAACAGCGGACAGTTTTCCGTCTCACCCTCGTGAAAGGATTCAATATCGATGATGAAGTCGAAGGCTACGCAAGGCTCGTGGAACAGGGTTTACCGTGCTTTGTAGAGATCAAAGGCGTTACGTATTGCGGGACGTCTACTTCCTCATCCGCTGGCCTCACCATGGCCAATGTGCCTTTCTATTCTGAAATCCAAGAATTTGTACTGGCCCTCACTGCCGCGCTTAATAAACGCGGGTTAGGGTATGGCATTGCGGCGGAACACGCACATAGTTGCTGCGTGCTGATTGCGTCTGAACGGTTTAAGAATGAGAGCGGGAGATGGTGTACAAGGATTGATTATAAGAGATTTTTTGAGTTACTTGAGAAGGGTGAGCCATTCCGACCCGAGGAATATATGGGGGAGGAAACGCCGGAGTGGGCGCTCTGGGGGAATGGGGGCTTTGATCCGAGGGATGAGAGGGTGTATAGGAAGGGGAAGAACAAAGTGCCTTTACCTGTGAAGAAAGAAGAAGAGGAGATAGAGGATGAGGTGGTTGTGGTAGGGGGTGAGTGAGTGAAAAATCGGATGCCGGATGTTTAGGTATTATATTGGCGTTAAGGACGGAAGGCGAAACAAGGTACTTCAGTATTATAGCAAAGTGTGGTTGAAGGTTTCATAAATAAGCTACAAACCAGCTGATCGGAAGCAATCAAACAAAATCCAACCAACAGGAGCCAATAATCCCGCAAAATGATCCAACCATAGCTATCCTAGCAAACCCCAATGAACCCCACACCCCAAGGCACAAACGCCAACATGAACCAAATAGACCCAAAATGCAAGTAGAACCAAAGCGCTCAAGGCACAACAAGATCTCCTCAAGTAGCAGCACTACTCGCGCCTCCTTCTCCCTCTCCCTGGCTCAACTTCTCCCTTTGCATCATAACCCTCTCATTACAAATATCAATGAACATCTCAAACTTCTTGATCATCTTATCCTTCATCCTCAACTGCTCCTTCAGGTCCTCAACCTCCTTATTCCACTGTTCTCTCACTTTCTCCGTCTCCGCCTGCGCATTCGCCACCTCTGTCCGCAACTCCGCCCGCAATTTCTCCTCAAACGTCATGGGGGGTTTCTTGTAGAATGTGGGTAGTTCTTCCATGGCTGAGGCTTCGACGCGTGATGGGTCACGTTTTATGGCTGCACGAGCGTTATATATATCCCTCGGGAGATACCGCACCGTAGGGTTTTCGCGGTGAAGGATTTCGAGGGTTTCTTTTACGGAGACACCGTTTTCTTCGAGGGCTTTGACGGCTGCTATGGCTTTGGGGTCTAATTTCCTTGCCCCTGGATGCTCAGTGGGACTTTCACTTGGGGGATGGTTGTGCTGTAGATGTTCACCATCGTGGCGGCCTCGTAGAATCCAGGCGGTTTTTGTTTCGAGTCCAAAGACTCCAAACTCGCAGCCGCATTTTCGGGACTTGGTTTTGCGTTGCCGCTGTTCGCCAGCAACCTTTTCTTTATTTGTGCCCCCACGATCGCAGATTAGGAAGACTTTCTTCAGGCCTCTGTTGTCTCGTTTGGATCTACCGATGACGAAAGCGTAACCGTGGGAGAGAGCGTGGGCTTGGGCTGCTGCGAATAAGGCTTCGAAGGTAGGGTAGCTTCCTCCTGGAGGAGGAGTGAGCATGTCTTCCGGGGCAACTGGGCCAGAGGCAGGAGGACTCGATGGTCCTGGTGCTGTGAGCATGGAGTTATTGACACTAGTGAGCTGTTGATCGATAGCAAGTTGAGGATCAATCATCGACAAATCCTGAGTGTCGTTTGGGGAGACATCCTGAGGGCGTGATCCTATGGCTGATCCCACCGGCGATGCATTCATGGTTGGTCTCTGGGCACTGAGGCTTTGTAGTGATGGGGATGCATTTTGAGATTGTCTTTGTTGGGTTTGGCTCATGGGGGTCGGATTCATGGCATGATTAACGCTCATGGATGGATTCTGAATGCTCATCGATTGGGACTGTGGGGTGCCCAGCGGTGGCATATGGATTGTCGTGCCTAGTGGCGGTGGCCTTCTTTGGGGTGTGTTTGAGCCAGACCCCGAGGACGGGTTACTCAAAACACCTTGAGCGATTTGCTGCTCCGCCGAAACTCCCACCCCACCGCTTCCATTCTGGATGCCACCCTGACGAGGCGGCAGTGGCACTGGCTGGACTTGAGCATTGTTCGGCGTGAAGGGTGTAGCGTACGGGGACTTGTGTTGTAGCTGGACGGGTGGTCGTATGCCTCCCTGCGTTGGTCGAGGGAAGGCCGCTCGCTGTTGTTGCTGCTGCTGCTGCTGTGATGGCTGAGGGGTGGGAAGATTGGGAATGGACTGCGCCTGGAAGACATGCCGCGGGGTCTGGTTTGTCTGCGGAAAAGGCGACCGGGCATTCGCACTGTCTTGCGATGCCAGAGACATGATGTTGACCTCGACCTCGATTAGAGATTAGAGATTAGGGACACCTTCGAGTGGCTGCGTAGACGTATCAATTGGGGTGATGGTGGAGGGTGGAGTGCGGTTCCATAGAATGCGAGGGCGGAGTTAGAATTTGAAGGCGGGTTTCTTCGCGTAGCGGCCTGAGTACAGGGATGACCACGTGATGGATGAAAGTCACTCGAGACTCCTTGATGGTAGAAGGAGACGACCGAGTAGATCGGCTTAAATAGATACATCAACAAGATTAACAAGATCAACAGAGCAGAAACAGCATGACTCAGAGGAAACTAAGGCCCTGAGGGGCCTAACACACAGCCACCAACAAAAACAAACGAAAGGATGGAATACAGTTAGAGTTTACAGGGAGTTATTGGGCATAATAGGACACCGTCTGTATTACTTTCATGTGTTATTATTTCCTTCAGATCAGGAGCGATACGAGCAAAAACAACATGTAAGCACAATTTGTAATTAAATTCTATAGCAAACGCTATAGTATACTGATTTTGATATTGATAGATGGGTTGACTACCTACTCTTACTTACTCGCCAACCTAGCATTATTCGTACTCATACAACAATGCAGGAGAGACGCGGCTCCTATTGGGTATTTTGTGCATCTAGGTAACGCCAATTTATACATCAACAAGCACGCTCAGCGCCAACTATACCACTCAATACCAGGACATCCCCATAACGGTATCACTCAATGGTTCCCTGATTGCCTCGAACCAGGCGGTGGGCCTGAAGCACTGACACGGGAACGATTAATTTCAACCCCGCCATTCCGCTTCTCAAAAAACTCAAAGGTCCCATCCTCACGCCCGAAGACCTGGTCCTCATCCAAAACTCTATCTGCAAAACTTGATTTATTCTGTTGCCCAACATTCCCGCCGCTAGAGTAGTCACCCGGCCCACGGCTTCCGTTCGGGATATGGAACCGCTTATCCACCCTAATAATGGCGTAAAGTGCAACGACGATGATCTCGATTACGAAATTGAAGCCGTAGAAGCATGCTTTTGAGTGGTACCACGCAGGATTGGTTTGCGGGCGCGGGACGAAGGCTGTTCCAGTTCGGAATGCGGCACCCAGTGTCAAGATGATGGTTGAAAACAATAGGACGAAGACTTTGGTTCTGAATCGCCCCTCGCCGAACTTTTCCACGTTGGATTTTTTAGGAAGGATGAATGCGAGAAGGATGATAATGACTGGTAGGAAAGCCGCGACTGTGAAGTATGTAGCGCCAACCAGCTGGACATCTCGGTCAATACGGCGTGTGTTGATTGAGAGCGTAAAAAAACTTTGAACTGTGCAGGTGATGAGGGCAGCGAGCATAAGCACGATCGAGGCATAGTAGAGCTTAAAACCCAGCGAGAGCCACCTCGCCCATGCCCACCCGGGATGCAAGGCCCTTAGGAGACGCTGGGCGAAAATCAAGTTGATAATGAAGAGAAGTAGAACTCCAGCCGAAACGAAGACTTGAGCCGCTATTCCTACGTTGATATTGGTCGGATGGTCTGCCCACACAAGTCGCATGGTACAGGTCGTTATGCGAGCCATGCAGAACCCAAACAGTAGGCCGGAGATAATGAATTTCTTGCCTCGCCGAAGGTTTACTTGGAGAATTGTCATATGAGACACGGCTCCCAAGACGAAGAGCGCGAGGAAGACGGCGGTGATGGGATCGTCAACGCTCCTGGTCGGGAGGCCTCCCATGCCGGCGGTTGTTGGAAGATAAGGGCCATGGTCTGGTTGAGGTGGAGGGTGTGGTGAGCTGCTGCTCTGTACATAAAGCGGATTAGTATGTATTGCAAGACCCCTTTATAACGAGGCCGACTTACTGCTCCAGTAGAAGACATTTCAGAAAGTCTGGAAAGGGGTTGCGAGATGTATATCCGAGTTGAAGTTCCACCTAGGTGATGGAGCGGTCTTGTTGCCGGAGTTTACATGAATAGGCAGAACAAAGCAACTATTAGAGCGGTGGAATACTGATATATCGTGGTCGTTGCCGTGGTTTTGGGTGTCAATTAACGGGAACCAAGGCGACGCGCAGACTTATAATATCTTGTCTCATCTCCCATGTCCCGCCTGCCCAGCCGCCCTTCGCTCCTCGATGTTGCAACTTGCAAGCTCGCTCTATACCAGGGACCGAATAAAGCCATGGCACGTAGTGGCGCACAGCAACTTGAGACCTCCAGTGCTACAGAGCTGCGAAGCTTCAAGTACACAATGGCCATGTCGGGGACGCGAAAGCGCGAGACCGAGGGTTTACGTCACACGCCCGTTGGCTTAGCCATTTGCGTGCTGGCGTGGCTTTGTAAGTCGGGGGACGGCGAACATTGTGCACCGATGGCTTGCCCAACTATCATCCGAACTTGCCAAAGGAGTGATGCCAACGACGTTTTGCTGACCAACTGGCGCAAGTCGGATGTCCGAGATGCGTTGCGATTAGCTAACTATTGTCATTGTTAATGTACCCAAGTAGCCATTGTTCTGCTGTAGAACATCGTTGCTACTACCGGTAGTTAGTTGCCAAATCTAAAGGGGCCTTTGCTTCGCTTCGTAACAAGTAGCAAGAACTTGGAGGTAGTCGAGTATCTGTGTTTGATATGTCCATTGTCGAGAAGATACAAGCGCAGGACAAGATTTTAGGAGGGATCCTTTAAGAACGTCCTGCTGCCTTTTTAACAAAGAAAATCTCTTAGGGCCTTTCAGAGATGGATGAAACAACGTTTACTGTAGGAAGGCGGCCTGCAGCGCTTCGGGCTGCACAACCGCATGGAATCAGTGTTATGAGAGTACACCAGAGGACATTATCAGCTGTTGACCAATTAGAAAAGCGATGATCACTTTATTCGAACCAACACCCGTTACCCTAGACATCAAAGGCTTTTTGCATTCATATAAGAGTCTAATGCAAGTCTACAGAACGTTCCATATCAGACAATTAGAATGGGTCCACGTCACAACCCATGTCCCACGAATGTATGCTGTGGTCATTACTCGCACACAAACATTCGTCACTGCTTTCTGTACCATGTTGGTAACTCGCGGCAATATTCACCAAAAGTGTTATCATTGTGATATTTACCGTTTATAGGAAGTAGTCAGGGGTGCCTGTTTCATGTCAGCATGTGTTTCTATTCGGTTTGGTGTTAACGAGGAGGAATGACTAACGTCGTGAAACCATCGGTTCGCCTGCTCTTGGGCAGGGGTCAAATTGCAGGCTGGGATTTGTTAGCTAGATTTGTCGAGTCTGGTGGTGTTTACTTACAAAGTGTATTTCAAATGCTCATCGATCTCCATGATGGCTGCTTGATTGCCGCATCTGTAGCAGTAATTGGGAGCTGTAGGAGTTAGTCAAATTGTCCATCTCTAAACAAGTTGGACATACCAGAGAATATCGTAACCACATTCCTGTCTTGAGACCAGTTATAACCCTCCATGACCAACTGATGCGCTCTTGCAACCAGAGTCAACCCGTTATTATGATTGAACGCCTCTGAGATATCCTGACCAAATGTATACCCAGCCCCTCGAGGCGATATCCCCCATCCGCATCTATCATCTGGATCTGACCACAACAAGTCGCACATAGGACCTTCATGTGGCACTTCTTGTATGCGATCAAGCGCTCGGATATTGTCGAGCGTGTCAATACTGGGAGAGAGACCTCCGTGGAGGCAGAATATTTGGTTATCGATCAAGGCGGTAAGGGGAAGGTAATCGAATAGATCTGTGAAGTATTTCCATACGTTGGCATTTCCATATTTCCGAAGGCACTCGTCGTAGAAGCCGTAGACTTGGGTGATTTGGCGGGACTCATGGTTGCCACGTAGGATCGTAATGCGTTGAGGATATCGGATTTTGAGCGCGACGAGCAGAGTGACTGTTTCGACTGAATAGTATCCTCGATCAACATAGTCTCCTGTATTCTGGCATTAGCCTGCTGCTTGTCTGGTGGTTCCTGGGGATGTCTGTACCCATGAAGAGATAGTTGGTATCTGGATTCGGCCCCCCAATTCTGAAAAGCTCCATCAAATCATGAAACTGCCCATGGATATCTCCGCATACGGTTACTGGACATTTCTTGAGATACCATCAGCGCCTGACAAATGCAGCATGATATGATCTTATCTGGGAGGTCTTACCACCGGCTGCACATTCGACTCGTCTTGCAGAACCTCTCGTGCCTGGACGCGACGTTAGGACTCGATTCAAACAATGGCACTGCAGTCCATTCTCGCTATGGGTATGCCACCGAGGTCTGCGACCTGTACATACCTTCTCGCAGAGCCTTTGTACGTCCACCTCGGCCAACTGTTTGCATTGCATCAGGCACTCAATCCACCCGTCGAGGGTTGGTATTGGGGCTGGTTCAGATGCGGGGGATAGCCGCGATGGCTCCGGCGCTCTGCTAACATCTTCCATATTGGTATCCATGATGTTCTCTGTCGTGTGTTGAAGCGCGTTTTGGAAAGGTCGTTACGCAGCGGGGAGCTTGAGCTTGACACCGGGACAAGGGGCGCGCGATAGGATATCGTCCCACACAGAGTTTGCGCGCGATGGGTATGGTTGGGATCGGAATTTGGCGTGTATAAATCGTCAAGGGTGGTTTGGGACACTGTAAAGGTGAGGGGGAATGTATTACGTGGGTATCACAGATGGTCGATGGGCATGTTAATCTGAAGTTCAGGTTGGCGGTGGGCTTCGCCATCCAAGTCTGAATTCTCGCTTACCACATCGCGACTTGTGTTAGATGAGCAAATTCGGCAAGGAGGCATGCGTGGGGTCTATCAAATTTCAATAAGGGGGCAAACAAGCATTATTTATGGGCATCTTAGTATGGAGCATATATGTCGGTAACAGCAGTTTATTTTGGATAACGAATATAAATATATACCTTAGCTAAGTACCCCCATGTTTGCTCTTGGTGATCCTAACTTAAGCCTAACCCAACCGGCCCGTCTTGAGGTTTGTCCGGGAGCGGATCGCGCCCTATGAGGCTCTTAAAATCCAGCCCAACCTCCGTTAACATCTTTGCATGCTCCATTGCTTGATTCATGCACTCCTTCCAGACAGCTCCATCTCGATTAGTGCTGCTTAATTGGCGTGAAAGAGTAGTATTAAATGCATCCACCTGCTCTTTAGCCCATTTAACACAGGCACTCATGAGCAAAGGCGGGAAGCAAGTCTGAAAGATGGAGACAGTATTCCGGATGATGGTGAAGTACACGAATGACAATTCCCAGATATACTGAAGAAGATTCCCTTCGAAAATGCATTGCCTGTAGAATTAGTAGGTGACAAAACATGACAATGTTAGAAGTGGCGTACCTGGATCGCTTCTGGATAATATTACTCCTGGCCTCGAGATATGCTTCCCTCGCACGATCCTCAAAGCCTAGCCGTGCTAGCCAGTTAACATTCCGTTTCGTTTTCTTTAACTCATTGTGTGTATCGACAAGTTCACGAGTGATAAGTCCCGCGAGCTTCGTTGCTCGTTCGTCAGCCTTGAAGCTGATAAAGTCCTGCGCAACGGTATTACTTTTGAGGCTCTTGGCCAATGCATTCAGCCTTTCGACACGCTGGACGGCCGCATCGAAGCGTTGGAGAGCGATGTCGATATCGAGCTCATCTACCTGGCTCTCTACCCAGCGTAAATTTTGCTGATTCCCATCAACTTCAATCAGCATGTCTTTGATGTCCGACAATGTCTCAAACAGCTCAGCTTTCTTGAGTAAGCTAGGGTCGCGTGAGGCGAAATAATTGATGGTCTCTTTGGCTTTGTTGCTCGATTCCATTTCTGACCGAAGACCCTTCCGAAGCTCCTCGACGGCCTTTCTGAAATTCATCATCAGGGAAGCTTTGTCTGTACCATCGGGTTTCTCTGTACGATAAGTGAAGGATTCTTGTCCAACACCTCTGATAGTAATTGCATCCGCAACTTTGTTTCTGCTGTTGCTTGACTCGGTGGTGCCAGCTAGATCTACCATTTCAATGTCCAATATGGGCCAACAGCGATCTGCAACAAGCTTGGAGGAGGCTTGTCGGGGGTCAACATTATTGCCCTCTATCTTTCTCTTCTTCCTGGATGCCACAAGCAAATGATCATTTAGAAGGAAGATATGCATTGAGCGACGAGCCTTCCACGTTGCACTGTCCAGCTCGATCCAGTCCCCAGCGTTTTGGACCACGTGACGACCGGGGAGCGCAGGGAGGAACTTTTGGGAACCTTCAACGGCTTTCCATAGAGCCTGAGGTAGGTTAGTATGCCATTGAGTGGTGGGACCAAGGATCTATTGCTTGATGCATACCTGAAGCTGTGAATTCCACATAGCGGTTCGGTCTGCCACCGAGCTTCTCTTATCCCTCTTGCTTAATGTGGATGGGAATCCAGCGTCAAATTCGGTTTCCGCAGATCCTTGTGAAGAAGCCGCTCTGAGCGCCGTGGTGTTGGATTTCAGCTCAGACATGAGGTTTTTAAGAGCCCGCATTTCTCCTTTGAGTCTCTCCGCCTCCTTACTAATCTTAATAAACTGCGTTCGATTTTGGTAAACATTTTGCTGAAGATCAATGGATGTCCGATTTCGCATCTTCTTCAACGCTTGCTGATATTCCTCAATGTCTTGCTCAGAGGCGTTTCCGAGGAGGCCAGCAATGTACTTCTCCGCGCGTAGGTTTGGGTCTCGCAAGGCTCTGACGTCCACAGTCAATCCTGGGCCCTTCGCCGGCGAGGGACCCCGTACACGATCAGCAGATGGTGCATATTGACCGGATATTTGAGGAACGGAAGGAATGGGCGGTTTAGTGGCATCGAAGCCATTCGGGAGGTTATTGAACCTCGTAGAGTATCTTCGCTTGACGAGATCAGACGTCTAAAGAACAAGAACATGTCAGAAAGCTGAGCAAATTATTCACAAATACTAGAAGAACGTAATCATTTTGCTCTTACCTTTCCTCCTGCCTGTGGTCGCGGTGGAGGAGGCCCATCAAACGAAGGCTTCCCCCCCGTGCTTCGTGGAGCACCTCCAGACTGTGGAATCGGCCCTGAGACTTGCTGTGGTGCACTTATTGCTGGTCGGCCCTTTCTTTTCGTCCTGAGCGATATCCCCCTTGATTCCGACATCTTGCTAGGTATGGGTGAATTTGAGGGTCGACTTATTATTCATTCCAGCCTTCACGTCTCGCCGCTATTTGTAGTTGCGTGAGTGGCCAAGGGGGTTGAGCTTCTGCGCACTTGGTTGTTGCTGCGCGCCCGAACAAATTCCCTAGTCTGCAGCTCCATCCTGTATAAACTATTTTTTTGATCAACCCGAGGTCTTCCACCAACGCTCTTGCCTTAAGCCCATCCGTTATATACCCGGCACTTGTTTGCATTGACTTCATCATTGAAGTTAGCCGTTATGCCTAATACTCCAACAATTGTCGCGGCCACTGTCGCCACCGTTGCGACAGGTTTCGTAGGTTAGTGCTGCAAGCTCGAGTTCATTGACATCAGCTAACAATTACCAGCATAGTTAGTATTCCCGCAGAACATCCCTCTTTGTCTTATTCATGGACTATATCTCGATTTCTTGAGTGATGTGTTTTTGACAACGCCGTTCGACACTGCTAACCTCTGCCAAAGTGCTGTCTACTTTGACCGTCGCCGGCGAACGGATCCCAACTTTAGAAAGCAACTGAAGAAGGAGTCTAAACGGCAGGCGCGAGCTGCGAAGGAAGAAGCTGAGGCCCATACAGTTAGACAAAGACAAGCCGTCAGAGCTGTAGTCGAGGAGGCGAAGGAGGAAGGTTTCCCTAGCGATGTGGAGGAACGGGAAGCCTATTTCATGCAACAAGTCGCCAAAGGAGAGGGATTGAGTGGAGATGGTATTTTAACATCTAGAAACTGCTTTGGATTATATGCTGACGCGATGGCAGGCCTCGACAATCTTGAAGCCGCTCTTTGCTTTTACAAGGCTCTCAAGGTGTATCCTCAGCCCTCTGATCTGATCTCCATTTACGACAAGACCGTGAGTCCAACAACCTTCCTATAAGGAGACCTACTAACTAATCCCTTAGGTCCCCAAACCGGTTCTAGACTTGCTTGCGGAAATGATTGCATCGGATAAGGATTTGAATGTTGGATCCTTTACTGGAGGCTCTGATAGCGGCATACCTAGCGTAGGACTGGATTAAGGGCGTCTTTGGCTGGCATAAAACACTCCCCACTCTTTGTTTGGCCGGTTTTTTTGGGCGACCTGGATACATACATGTGGCACCGGCGCATTTCTTCGATTGTATTGTGCTTTTATGTCTGTACAACTGTAAATATTATTATGGCGTGGCCGCACTTCCTGGCTCTAGCCAGGTACAAGTAGGATATGTAATGTTAGAGGGATGAAGTCATACTACGAAACAGCTGTGACTGCACATAGTGCCATCAACGGTTGATTTCGAGTTTGTACTCTGTATTAAAAGCCGAATGGGATCAATAACGTCAGCTCAATATTTGATACCTTTACATCGTTTTACCAGACCCAGTAGCAGGACACTAGCCGGGCTACTACGTACACCGAAACCCCTTTTTGGAGTGTCTTGGCAAAGCCGCTCCCGGTTTCGCATACCGGAGTTTAACCGGGGCATGCAGGGGTCCAGGAACCGCGTCTTTCGCGACATGATAATTAATGGGGAAAGTCAACATACTCCTGAATCAAGACAACATCAACCACCTATATTTGGGCCCTCACCGTCACTCTCAGCGCCCTCCACCTTGACGATAATACTCCACCTGACGATTCTGGAGATGACACGACACTCATAGACGACAACAGCCATGATGGAGGTAACGGCAACCTCCCCAGGTTCGACCGGTACCAACGGCGTTCCTGCACCTGCAGGCGGCGGTGGATACCAGATAGATCCTCAAATGATAGTCAGCCACCTTACTCAAGTGTGCGAAATCACACTGGGAGCGAGCCAAAAGGATCTGGAAAATGTTGGCAGTCTGCTTTCGAAAGCCCGGATATCTGACACCACGATACGAGTACAACGCTGGGCAGAGTCGCAGGCCCAGGCTGCGCTGTATATTCAGAAAGATTTTACATCGGAGGATAAGTTGGATGCCGTGTTTGACGGGTCTAGTATGTCTTAATATCTATGGTATGGAGATGAAGCTGACATCGTTGTGAAGGCCCCACGATCTACAACTACACTCTGGCCACAGAGCTTTCTCCCTCTTCTTCGACGGTCGCCTCGATAGCTCTTCTGAAACGCCCATTTCCGATAGACACAACTATACCCATTGCCTCCCAAATACAGATTATTAATTTGCCTGGCGTTGCTACGCTGACTAGTGGCGCCGGCGGCCAGAGCAACTCTGTTTCTCCTTTCGAAATCATTCATTCCGTTGTTCACCTAGCGCTGGCGCCATATTTCGATGCCTTTACCAAGACGGAGCAGATCGCAAATGCGACTCGGAGCCGATCCGATGTGGAAGCAAAGACAGGAATACCAGTGGCGAAAAAGAGAATGACAGAATGGGAGACTGCATTGTTACATCTTCAGCAAAATGTGGAAATCCCAGACCTGGTTTTGCCCATGCATCCCCTGGTCCAGAATGCCCTCGAGGAGTCCATTGCCCGAAATATCAAACCAAATCCCGAACTTATTCCCCTAGCTCTGCTGCAGGATAGCACATTCCTCAACAACCTACAAGCAATAGTTAATAGCTGGATTAAATCAATACAGACAATTACGTTGATGTCAAGGGATCCGAGTAGTGGCACAGCAGCACAGGAAATGAATTTCTGGCTGTCTATGGAAGCTGCTCTTGAAGCTATAGAGAGCCAGCTAAGAAGTACAGGTGTCACTTTGACCATGGATATTCTTAGAACGGCAAAGCGATTCCAAGCTACAATCAGCTTCTCCTCAGATACTGGCCTGAAGGAAGCCATGGATAAGGTTCAGAAATACAACCAGCTGATGCGAGACTTCCCGCTCGACGAACTACTCTCGGCAACATCTCTATTGAAAGTCCAAGATGCCATTGGCTTGATCTTTACGCACCTCAACAAGAAGCTTCGAATCTGCCCGTACCCAATTCACCGAGCATTACCGCTGGTTGAGGCTATTTCAGGAGACCTGAATTCACAGCTAACTTCTTTGATACACGGCCGGACACTGATGAATCTTGATTACCGGGAATTCAAGAATTTGACTGCTGCTGCTGAGTCGATCTGGAAAACTTGGGATGACAATATTAAGGAGTTTACAAATGTGGCTCGTGAGGTCACCCGCCGGAGGAATGAAAAGTTCATTCCTATCAAGATCAAACCGAGGCACACAGATCTTCAGGCCCGATTGAAGTATGTCAGTACCTTTCGAGATAACCATGAGCAACTGCAGAAAACCATTGTCAATGTCTTGGGTCCAAAAACTGCAGACGGCTCAGCAGATGATGCGTCAAACGGCGTTATCCTGGTCGAAGAAATGGGCGATGTCGATGCAGTTGAGGAGGTTCAGCAAGCATACGAGGCTCTACGTAACATCGATTTGTTAGATTTGACGCCTGAAGGTACACAAAGTTGGGTCCAGGCGGAAAACACCTACAACGAGCGGACATCCCGTGTCGAAAACTCAATCATCGCACGGCTACGGGACCGATTAGCCACTGCAAAGACTGCCAACGAGATGTTCCGTGTATTCTCGAAATTCAACGCGCTTTTCGTCAGACCGAAAATCCGAAGTGCTATAACGGAGTATCAGACAAAGCTCATAGACAATGTCAAAGCTGACATCTCCGGCCTCCACGAGCGTTTCAAGCAACAATATGGTCATTCGGAAGCACATGCTATGGCCCAACTTCGAGACCTTCCGCCAGTGGCAGGTGCCATTATATGGGCACGCCAAATCGAGAGACAACTTGATGGTTATATGAAGAAAGTTGCAGATGTACTCGGACATGACTGGGCTCTCCATGCTGAAGGGCAGAAGCTTCAGAGCGAAAGTCACCTCTTTCGGAAGAAGCTAGATACCCGACCTATCTTCGAGGCATGGCTTCATGATGTCTCGAGAAAGCAGATTACCATTACTGGGCGACTTTTCAACATTAATAAGATCCGGGCGGCGAATTATGCACTTGAGTTGGCGGTAAACTTTGACCCCCAGATCATTGCACTATTCAAAGAAACACGGAATCTGTTATGGCTCGGCTATATTATTCCTCACGCCGTTAATAGTGTAGGCAGAGACGCAAAGCGAGTCTATCCCTATGCCGTAAGTCTAATGGAAAGTGTTCGGACATTCACCCAGACTACTCGACAGATCTCAAGCATGTCCGATGTTTCTATTCTCTTGAGCGGATACCACAATGATGTGCAAGCACTCATTGCTAAAGGCGTCCCATTGAGGTGGGAGTCATTCGTGCATGCGTATGATATCCACCTGAAACAGCCATATCTATCGAATGGGACTATCGATCATGCCTCTAGTGGCCGCAGCGAAAGCAAGCATGTCCAATTTATCCGAGAATTTGCCGCTTCCGTTTCGTTACTTCAGACCAAAACCGAATCGCTTGCATCAATCAATTTGGCAATTCAAAAGGCGCTTGCGGAATTGGAGACATGCCCGTATGATGGAGCCTCCTTAGAGCTGCGTCTAGAAACAGTTCAAATGGCAGTTGATCAGTTGAATCTGGAGAACTATGTTAACCTGTCTTACTGGGTTGGTGAGATGAACGGGCGGATCAAGGCCATTTTGCTCGTGCGGTTGAGACGAGCGATCCAGACATGGATTGAGACTTTTGAGAACCACCAACCCGAGGGCGTGAACGATGACAGCCGAAAGAAGCATCTAAGTGTCGCTGCAGAACCGACAAACGAGAATGTTCCCTCATTAAAGCGTTTGTTACTTGAAATATCCATGCGAAACCAAGTTATTTATCTGGACCCACCTTTGGAATATGCTAGAGCGAGTTGGTTCTCACAGCTCCACGACTGGCTCGGAGTCGTCTGCAATCTCCGACAAATCAAAGCTTCCAGATACCAGATGACCCTGTCAATAGCAAATGATGCTGAAGCCCGATTTACAGATCTACCGGCCTCGTGTGCCGATAGTTTGACAGAAGTATACGTGTGTGTTGAGACAAAGTTGCACCAGATTAGCCAGTATGTTGACAAATGGCTACAATTTCAGTCTCTGTGGGACTTGCAACCTGAGCACGTCTACGAGATCCTCGGGGAGCAACTTTCGCAATGGTTGCAGCTTCTACAGGAGATTCGGAAGACACGATCAACCTTTGATACTACCGAAGTTAGTCGATCATTTGGGAATCTTACAATAGATTACGAGCAAGTCCAGACGAAAGTGAATGCGAAGTATGACCAATGGCAGCATGAAATTGTGACGAAGTTTGGTGCGCGCCTCGGGGCTCGTATCCACGAGGTATACACCGAGATAGAAAAAGCACGGAAGGATCTCGAAGTGCAATCATTGGAGGCGTCCTCCACAGCCCAAGCTGTCCAATTCATTACCATTGTCCAGGCATGCAAACGCAAGGTTAAGGCTTGGGGGCCTGAGGTGGAAATTTTCAGGCAAGGACAGACAACTCTGAAGCGACAGCGGTATCAGTTTCCAGCAGATTGGACCCACGTCGAACAAGTAGACTCGGAATGGACCTCCCTAAATGAAATCCTCACTCGGAAAGCCAAAATTGTCGAAGATCAAACCGATGCTTTGCGGGCCAAGATCACGGCGGAGGACCAGGTTGTAGGAGACAAGATTGTGGAGATTATCAGCCTGTGGAACGATGAGAAGCCTGTTTCCGGAACGATTGCTCCAGATGTTGCCTCTACGACACTATCGTCGTTTGAATCTCGTATTAGCAAAATTCGCGAAGAGTCCGAGATGGTGTCCAAAGCCAAAGAGGCTCTGGACCTTCCTGCCAGCCCCGCCACAGCCCTCGATGCTATCCTCGAAGAAGTGCAAGATTTCAAGTCTGTCTGGGCTGCGCTTTCGACCATTTGGAAGAGTCTAAATGACCTCCGAGACACTCTTTGGAACAGCGTACAACCCCGAAAGCTTCGATCATCTATTGACAGCCTACTTAAAATGACGAAGGAAATGCCTAGTCGAATGCGACAATATGCAGCTTTTGAACACATTCAGACCATTCTCCGACAATTCCTGAAAGTCAACCCTGTCCTCGCTGATCTAAAATCCGAGGCAGTCCGTGACCGGCATTGGAACAAGATCTTCAAAGCCCTCAAACCTGGGAAGCGATATTCTCCAATTTCTATGACCCTTGGTGATGTCTGGGACTTGAATCTGACAGCAAGCGAGGTTATCATCCGAGACATCATTACCCAAGCTCAGGGTGAGATGGCTTTAGAAGAGTTCTTGAAGCAGGTTCGCGAGGTTTGGTCGAACTATTCGCTCGACCTAGTCAGTTATCAAAATAAATGCCGACTCATTCGAGGTTGGGATGATCTTTTTGCAAAGTGCAGCGAAAATTTGAACTCTTTGCAGGCCATGCGACATTCCCCCTATTACAAAGAATTCGAAGAGGAAGCTTCATCCTGGGAAGACAAACTCAACCGAGTCCACGTGCTCTTCGATGTCTGGATTGACGTTCAGCGGCAATGGGTCTACCTGGAAGGCGTGTTTACTGGCAATGCAGATATCAAGCATCTTCTCCCAATCGAGTCTTCTCGGTTTCAGAACATCAATTCTGAGTTCTTTGCCGTAATGAAAAAGGTTTACAAACAGCCCTTTGTGCTGGACGTTCTCAATATATCTGGCGTACAAAAATCGCTTGAACGGCTTGCTGAGCTCTTAAATAAGATCCAGAAAGCCCTTGGCGAATACCTTGAGCGAGAACGTGTTTCTTTCCCGAGATTCTACTTTGTCGGTGACGAGGATCTCCTTGAAATTATTGGCAACAGCAACGACACTCTCCGTATTGCTAAACATTTCAAGAAGATGTTTGCAGGTCTGTCTGGGCTAATCATGGACGAAGAGCACATAATTTCCGGATTTACCTCGAAGGAAGGCGAGGAGGTTAGGCTAAAGAAGGAGATATCACTTATCAAAACGCCTAAAATTAATGACTGGCTGGCGTTATTAGAGAGCAGCATGAAGACAACTCTTGCTGAGCTACTAGCGGAAGCCGTTGAGCAATACGAGCCTTTGTTCCACGCCGAGAACCTCGACCAAGAAGCTCTGAATGAGTACATTTCTGCTTTCCCTAGTCAGATCGTTGTCTTAGCTACACAAGCTGTCTGGACCTCTGCCGTGGAGAACGCCCTAGAAAACGGTGGATCGACACTGGAAAAATTACACAATCAAGAAGTCAAGGTCCTCCGACTTCTTGCTTCCACCGTCCTAGGAGATCTTGACCCCATTCAAAGAAAGAGATGCGAACATCTTATCACGGAATGTGTGCATCAACGGGATGTGATTGAGAAGCTCTTCAAGCAAAATGCGAGCACGCCTAATCATTACCTGTGGTTGCTACAAATGAGATATGTTTACAAGCCCGAAGGGGACTTCCTTCAGCGACTTGACATAAGAATGGCGAATGCGAAATTAAACTACGGCTTTGAGTACTTGGGAGTTGCAGAACGCCTTGTTCGAACACCTCTAACGGACCGCTGTTTCTTGACGTTAACTCAAGCACTTTGTCAACGGCTAGGCGGGTCTCCGTATGGGCCTGCAGGAACCGGCAAGACAGAGTCAGTCAAAGCTTTAGGTGTACAGCTCGGTAGATTTACTCTGGTTTTCTGCTGTGACGACACATTCGATTTCCAGGCTATGGGCCGAATTTTCCTAGGCATTTGTCAGGTAGGAGCATGGGGATGCTTCGATGAGTTTAATCGATTGGAAGAGCGTATTCTATCCGCCGTATCTCAGCAGGTTCAAAACATTCAACTGGGATTGAAGCAAGGCATGGAGGACGATAAATCACAAATCGAACTAGTTGGCCGCCAATTGCACGTAAATGCCAATACAGGAATTTTCATCACGATGAATCCTGGGTATGCTGGTCGGTCGAATTTGCCAGACAACTTGAAAAAGTTGTTCCGAAGCGTTGCCATGTCGAAGCCGGACAAGGAACTCATCGCAGAGGTCATGCTTTACTCACAAGGTTTTAATCGTGCGAAGGAACTCTCGAAGCTGACGGTTCCATTTTTTGACCGATGTGCAGCCGGACTATCTAAGCAGGCTCATTACGACTTCGGCCTTCGCGCTTTAAAGAGCGTGCTTGTTAGCTCCGGAGGACTGAAGCGTGCTCGTCTTACAAGTTCTGGCGGCGAACTTGGCCCTGAAGATGAGGTGGAGCCGCAAATCATCGTCCAAAGTCTTCGCGAGACCATTGCGCCTAAGCTTATCAAGAGCGATGTGGAAATTATGAAGACCATTGAGGCTGAATCATTCCCCGGTGTAGAATATGTTCCGGCAAGCTTGGAGAAATTGCAAGAGGCGATTCACAGTATCTCGAAGGAGAGGCATCTTGTTGTCAATGACACTTGGATGACGAAGATCCTCCAACTATACCAGATTCAAACTATCCACCACGGTGTGATGATGGTTGGGAACTCGGGCTCTGGAAAATCGGTAGCATGGAAGCTTCTGCTACAGGCGTTGCAACAGGTTGAAGGAGTGGAAGGGGTATGCCACATTATCGATTCCAAAGTGATGTCGAAGGAAGCCTTATACGGCAACCTAGATTCCACGACCCGCGAATGGACAGACGGCCTGTTCACTAGCATTTTACGCAAGATCGTCGACAACTTGCGTGGCGAGGAGTCAAAGAGACACTGGATTGTATTTGATGGTGATGTCGATCCCGAATGGGTTGAAAACTTGAACAGTGTGCTGGATGACAACAAGCTTCTTACGCTCCCCAACGGCGAGCGCCTTAATCTGCCTCCCAATGTTCGGATTATGTTCGAAGTTGAAACGTTGAAATATGCTACTCTGGCTACTGTCAGTCGTTGTGGTATGGTGTGGTTCAGCGAGGATACTGTAACTTCGAATATGATGCTGTTCAACTATCTGGACACTCTGAGAACCGTGGCATTCGAGGACCTCGACGAAGATGCGGTTGCGACAGGTCAAACTGCAGCTAAGGCTCTGGCAGTCCAGGCACAGGTCGCAGATCTCCTACAGGCGTTCCTCATTACAGACGACCTAATTTCAAACGCGCTTGAGCGGGCGCAGGCCTTCAACCACATTATGGAGTTCACAGTTGCCAGAGTCTTAAACACTCTTTTCTCACTGCTCAATAAGAGCGTCCGGGATATCATCGAATACAATTCACAGCATGTCGACTTCCCACTCGATCCAGAACAGGTCGAATCATTTATCGCAAAGAAACTGCTTTTGGCCATGGTTTGGTCGCTGACTGGCGATTGTCCTTTAGCTGATCGCAAGGCTTTCGGAGATTGTCTTGCAGGCCTGGCAACCTTCGGATCACCGATTCTAGGGGACAATTCTTCCTTGATAGACTTTGACGTTACCTTACCAAAAGCCGAATGGTCATCCTGGCAAAACCAGGTCCCCACAATCGAAGTCAATACACATTCCATTACCCAAACTGATGTTGTTATCCCGACCCTGGATACTGTCCGCCACGAGGACGTCCTGTACTCTTGGCTGGCCGAGCACAAACCCCTTCTTCTGTGCGGCCCTCCTGGTTCTGGAAAAACCATGACATTGTTCAGTGCGCTACGAAAACTCCCAAATATGGAGGTTGTTGGGCTCAACTTTTCCAGTGCAACGACGCCTGATCTACTGATCAAGACATTTGAGCAATACTGCGAGTACAAGAAGACTCTCAACGGTGTCATTCTCTCCCCTACTCAGATTGGACGTTGGCTTGTCATCTTCTGTGACGAGATCAATTTGCCTGCTCCGGATAAGTATGGGACTCAGCGAGCAATCTCATTCCTTCGCCAGCTTGTTGAGCAGAACGGATTCTGGCGAACATCGGACAAGACTTGGGTGACCCTTGACCGGATACAATTTGTGGGCGCCTGCAACCCTCCAACGGATGCCGGGCGAACTCCCATGGGTGCGAGGTTCTTAAGACATGCACCACTCATCATGGTCGACTATCCTGGCGAGCTTTCACTGCAGCAGATCTATGGCACTTTCAACAATGCTGTCCTTAAAATTATCCCATCATTGAGGGGCTACTCCGAGTCGCTAACCAAAGCTATGGTCAAATTCTACCTCGAGTCCCAGCAACGCTTTACTCCGAAGATCCAGCCTCATTATGTGTACAGTCCTCGTGAACTTACCAGATGGGTGCGAGGTATATATGAAGCTATTCGGCCACTTGAAACTCTATCTGTGGAAGGACTAGTTCGCATATGGGCGCATGAAGCACTTCGACTATTCCAGGACCGTCTAGTAGCTGAAGATGAGCGCAAGTGGACAGACGATGTTGTGCATCGCATTGCATTGGACTTTTTCCCGACTATTGATGAGGGCAAAGCTCTAGGTGGCCCTATCCTATTCTCGAATTGGCTTTCGAAAAATTATGTTCCCGTTGATAGAGAACAATTGCGCGATTTCGTCAAGTCTAGACTAAAGACTTTCTGCGAGGAAGAGGTTGATGTGCCATTGATTCTCTTTAATGATGTCTTAGAGCACGTACTGCGGATCGATCGTGTCTTCAGACAACCCCAAGGCCATTTGATCCTGATTGGAGTTAGTGGCAGTGGTAAGACCACATTATCTCGATTTGTTGCCTGGATGAATGGCTTGAAAGTTTTCCAGATTAAAGTACACGGCAAATACTCCGCGGAAGACTTCGATGATGATTTGCGCGATGTCCTACGGCGCTGTGGATGTAAGGGAGAAAAGATCTGTTTCATCATGGACGAATCTAATGTCCTTGATTCTGGTTTCCTCGAAAGGATGAATACTCTTCTCGCCAATGCCGAAGTCCCTGGACTTTTCGAAGGAGATGAGCATGCCTCGCTGATGACCGCATGCAAGGAAGGCGCTCAACGTCAAGGCTTGCTCCTAGACTCGCAAGAGGAGCTTTATAAATGGTTTACTCAACAGATCGTCAAGAACCTCCATGTTGTCTTCACCATGAACCCTCCTGAGGACGGGTTGTCATCGAAGGCTGCTACTAGTCCTGCTCTGTTCAATCGCTGTGTCCTGAATTGGTTCGGAGATTGGTCCGATCAAGCTCTTTTCCAAGTCGGAACTGAATTAACGCATTCCGTTGATCTTGATCGACCTAATTTCACTGCCCCTGACAGTATTCCTGTCGCCTACAGAGACTTAAATCTTCCAGCCTCGCACCGTGAGGCGGTCATCAACGCGATGGTGTATATCCACTATTCCCTGCATCGCTTCAATGTGAAACTTCTCAGGCAGCAGGGTCGGGTTACATATCTCACGCCTAGGCATTTCCTAGATTTTGTTGCGCAGTATGTTAAGCTCTACAACGAGAAGCGCGAGGACCTTGAAGAGCAACAACGCCATCTAAATGTTGGACTTGAAAAGTTGAGAGATACGGTGGACAAAGTGCGCGATCTCCGTGTCAGTCTTGCTGAAAAGAAGGGTCAGCTCGAACGTAAAGACGCAGAAGCTAATGAGAAACTCCAACGTATGGTCGCAGACCAACGTGAAGCTGAACAGCGCAAGACAACATCCCTAGAGATCCAATCCGCTCTAGAGAAGCAGGAAACCGAAGTTGCCGAGCGACGAGAATTGGTATTGAACGATTTAGCCAGAGCCGAGCCAGCTGTCATTGAAGCCCAAAAGAGTGTCAGCAATATTAAGCGTCAACATCTCACAGAAGTACGCTCTATGGGCAATCCACCTAAAGGTGTTAAGCTCGCACTCGATTCTGTGTGTACCCTTCTCGGCCACAAGGTGGATAGCTGGAAGACAATCCAGGGCATAGTTCGCAAAGATGATTTCATCGCGAGCATAGTCAATTATGATAACGAGAAGCAGATGACGAAAGCTCTCCGTGTTAAGATGCGCAACGAGTACCTTTCAAACGACGATTTTACATACGAGAAGGTCAATCATGCCAGCAAGGCTTGTGGTCCTCTTGTCCAATGGGTTCATGCCCAGGTCAACTATTCCGAGATTCTTGACCGAGTCGGTCCGTTAAGAGAAGAAGTGGGTATGCTTGAGGAGCAGGCTCTGCAAACGAAGGCAGAAGCACAAGCGGTCGAAAATACGATCAATACACTAGAGCAGAGCATTGCAACCTATAAGACCGAATATGCTGCCCTAATCAGCGAAACACAAGCTATCAAAACCGAAATGTCTAAAGTGCAATTCAAGGTTGATCGAAGTGTTCGGCTGCTCGACAGTCTGTCTTCCGAGCGGGTCCGCTGGGAGGAAAGCAGTAAGTCTTTCGAGACTCAAATCGGTACCCTCGTTGGTGATGTCCTCGTCGCCGCTGCATTCCTAGCCTATAGTGGACTCTACGACCAACAATTCCGAAAGAACATGATGGAAGATTGGCTACATCAACTCCAACTGTCTGGTATCAATTACAAGCAGCACAATCCGGTGACAGAGTACCTTTCGACTGCCGACGAGCGGTTAGGATGGCAGGAAAATTCGTTGCCTGTGGATGACCTTTGCACCGAGAATGCGATCGTTCTAAAACGATTCAATCGTTATCCCTTGATCATCGATCCATCTGGTCGTGTTACTGAGTTCCTTCAAAAGCAAAACAAGGAGCGACGTCTTACCGTGACAAGCTTCTTGGATGATTCCTTTACTAAGCAACTGGAGAGCTCGCTACGTTTCGGTAATCCTATTCTCATACAAGATGCCGAGTATCTGGATCCGGTGCTCAACCATGTCCTTAACAAAGAATATCAGAAGACTGGTGGCCGTGTCCTTATCCAACTAGGCAAACAAGAAATTGACTTTTCCCCCGCTTTCAAGATTTATCTTTCGACTCGAGATCCGTCGGCAACCTTTGCCCCCGATATTTGCAGCCGAACAACGTTTGTGAACTTTACTGTTACTCAGAGCAGTCTTCAAACCCAATCTTTGAATGAGGTGCTGAAATCGGAGCGACCAGATGTTGATGAGCGAAGATCCAACCTAATTAAGCTGCAGGGCGAGTTCAAGATCCATCTCAGGCAGTTGGAGAAGCGACTGTTACAGGCCCTCAACGAGTCGCGTGGAAACATCCTGGATGATGATAATGTTATTGAGACGCTCGAAACATTGAAGAAAGAGGCTGCCGAAATTTCACTTAAGATGAACAACACCGAAGGCGTCATGGCAGAAGTGGATGAGATTACACTTCAATACAACATTATCGCCCGGTCTTGCAGTGCAGTATTTGCTGTATTAGAGCAGCTGCACTACTTGAACCACTTCTACCAGTTTTCGCTACAGTACTTTCTCGGTATTTTCCACTCCGTACTGCATGACAATAAGCATTTGGCAAACGAAACAAATCACAATGTCCGACGAGACATTATCATCCAGGATCTCTTCGTTACGACGTATCAGCGCACAGCTCTCAGTCTGCTTCAAAAGGATAGAATTACACTGGCTATGCTCTTGGCTCAAGCTTCGCCCTCGAAAATGGATAAGACTCTTATCGATGTTATTCTAGATGATGGCATTCTAGGCACTGACATTTCCACCGAGACTCAAAAGAGAGATGAAGTGTTGGCTAGAGCATCAAGACTTCCAGTGCTCAAGGGCAAACTAGAGGCCGTCACTGATTCCGTCTGGGATCGTTTCCTATCTGAGGAAATTGGAGAGAACTACGTGCCTCAAGTCTGGGATGCGGACACTGGGAAGTGCGACCAAGAGCTCATCTCCCTGCTCCTAGTGAAGCTTTTCCGCCTCGATCGATTTGTGCCAGCTGCTGAGCGCTTCGTTACCGCGGTCTTCGGCGCAGGGCTTCTAGATACAACCGAGGATTTGAAGGAAACGGTGGACCAGGTCTCCGCCAGTAGCCCCATTGCGCTCTGCTCAAGTCCTGGTTTCGACGCCAGTTACAAAGTTGACAGCTTAGTTGAACGGTCCCGTGCTACGTGCACTAATATTGCCATGGGTTCCAATGAAGGTCTCGCAAGCGCCGACAAAGCCATCAGCAATGCTGCCGCCAACGGATCCTGGGTGCTTGTTAAGAACGTCCATTTGGCCCCGACTTGGCTACAGAGTCTTGAAAAACGGATGGATTCTCTCAAGCCCCATGCCGACTTCAGGCTCTTCCTCTCCATGGAATCGAGCCCGAAGATTCCTGTCAATTTGCTGCGTGCTTCGCGTGTGCTAATGTACGAGCAACCGGCTGGTGTCAGAGCAAATATGAAAGATTCTATGGCATCTTTGTCAACTCGAGCGATAAAGACCCCTGTAGAGAGAACAAGGCTCTACCTGCTTTTGTCTTTCTTGCATGCCGTGGTCCAGGAGAGGCTTCGATATGCTCCTAACCTAGGATGGAAAGGTTTCTGGGAATTCAATGACAGCGACGTAAGTGACCTGCATGCCCAAACACTAAATTACTTGCTAACAGATTATAGTACGAATGTTCGGCCTTTATCATTGATACCTGGGTCGAAACGGTTGCCAATGGGCGAACTAATGTGGCTCCACAAAATCTTCCTTGGGATATGATCCGCACCCTCGTTGTCGAGACTTACGGAGGGAAGATTGATGATGAGGGCGACTTTGCGCGCCTAACGCAACTTGTTCACTCCTTCCTCACGCCTTCAGCCTACGATATCGGACACAAGCTCGTAGAGGGTGTATTGGGAGATGACGAAGATGCTTTGGTCGTCCCGGGCGGAACTTCGCTGAACGAATTCAGCCAGTGGATCCAGAGGCTGCCAGAGAGAGAACCACCAACATATCTCGGCCTCCCTGCCAATGCAGAGAAATTACTCTTGGTTGGCCAGGGTATTAGCATGATTCAGAATTTGGGGAAGATTACGGAATTGTTGGATGAGGGAGAGCAGATTATGGCGGAAGCTCAGTGAGATTTGTACGAGAATAATGTGTCGTTCACTTCATTTCTTGTGTTTAGTATTTATAGCAGTGTTCCTTGGGGTTTCCGAGCAGGGCGCATGGACTTGCTTTTGAGTCCTTTAGCATGGCATTAGGATGGTATTTGTGGAGAGTTATTATACCCAGTCTTGCTTTGATTAGACGCACAGATTGCATATGTTTCTTTTGTTGAATTCTTGTAGTAATAGCGATTCTTTGGGTTACGCCTAATTTAATGGTGGTTCCCTATCCATGTTTTTAAAATCTGATTCGTGATGAATAAGTAAGAAGGTCGGAGGACGCTAGATAATTCAAGTATTTCGTCAACAGCCTTAGGTGTTTCGTTCCATCGAGCCTAGAGAGCCTTTTAACCCTTTAGATAGTAGATATTAAGGAAGCTCAAATCCCCGTGTTTCGATAAGATGTTTTATGATTTATAGATGATCAAGGGATAGGGATAGGAGAGTGGAAAGGAGGAATGAGTCTAATGATCACAGTTGGTTCAATAAGCGGATGAAGGAAGGTGTTTATTATTCAGTCTACGATTGAATGTGCCACACATTCAAGACTGGTTACTCCGGGGCAGGGTAGGCCTTCTGAATCTGATTCCACAGATCTCGCAGCGACTGCTCATGGCCTGCAGACCCGTGAAAATATGAAGGCCCATATCTCAAGAACAAACCGCGCTCCTCTGCGCCAAATACAAATCCGTGGTTCTCATTAAGACATAAACCCCTCAGTTGTGTACACATCCCATATTGCGTGCATAACAAATCCGCCAGGCTGCATGCGCAATATCATAATTATACCCCGAATTTATTTTCCATAGCCTCCCAGTGGTATCGGTGATCTTAGTCGTAGATCTGTACTGTATCTAACAGACCGTAGTAGTCGTTCATTTATGAGGTATCGATCGCTTTGATTCGTCGAAGTCAAAAGATATGACAGTCGCGCTAACTCGAATGGAGCGATTCACTTTCTATGGCCTGGATGGCTTCTTAGTAGCATTAAATGTGTCTTGGTCGAAGCCATAAATGGGACGACCCCGTCGCCTGAGCGCAAAAATGACCTGTACTCATATCAGTTTCAAGGCTTCGAAGAAGACAGAAGATGAGAAGGCGGGAGGTACTGACATCGGTCACAGTTACGGTTTTTCTCTTGGAGTGTTCACAAATTGCCACGCAGTCCCTTAGCATCTAAGCAGCAAATTATTAGCTCTGGAAAGCGCATTCTAGGGCGGGACCATACAATCTCGAGATAGTTTTTCAGTACTTGGCGAACATCTTCGTAGATGGCTCCAGAGATGCGCTTGATTCCTCCACGGCGTGCCATGCGTCTAGGTCATGTTGTCAGTTTTGGGAAATTGGTCGCTTCTGATGATTCAACATACCGTATATCAGCCTTGGCTAAAAGTGACATACATATTAGCCTTAGGGTTAAAATCATAGATAAGGATGGGGGACATACTTATGCACATAATGTTATCCTTAAGGATTTTACTGTACGGTGCGAAGACAGATTAGTTCAAATGGTCATAGGTGAATAATAGAGAAGATCAGAACGTACTTATGTCGTCGATGGGTAGTCTTCCCCAGCCCTCTCCCGCCGAATCCCCTGCCATCCAAGGCTCTCGCGACGCCCTTGCCGCTCGATACAGTCTTGCCACCAACACTTGGTCGGTGGAACTTTGGGGTTGCAATGCCGCGAGAAGACGGGGTCGAATGGGAAGGCGCCATAGCGACTTGCAGTCGGTACGAGTGAGAAGGGTACGAGTAGGCGTGCTTGGATAGATCGGTTGACTAGCAGCAAGTCGGGTGTTGCGACGAGACAGATGAAGAACAGATGGTACAAAGGGTAGATAGGAGGGACGCTGTCATGTGTTGCGAAGGGAAGGTGAGTGCGGTCAGACAGATGTGGTGTTGAGAGTTGAGAGTTGAGAGTTGACTCGGGATGCTGCGCGCTCGAGATCGACCTTCGTTATCGAAGCCTCGATCGTCGTTATCTTTAGCCGCAAGCAGTTGGCCAGCCTCCGGGCATTAACGCGAATACACGTGACCGTACCCGAGAACGATTATCACGCGTTTACCTCGAGCCACTGTCGAAGTTGAAGGCGGAAAGAGAGGGAAAAGCGAACAGCAGGATTATTGACTTTTAATACAAGGCAGAACTGAGCAGAGTATCTATATTTATTTAAGTCTCATAAACTGAGACGATTATTATTGTTATGTAATGGAAGCCATGCAATCCAGCTTGCCATATCGTACCCAACGAGTGTGTCGACTCTTCTACTCAACGCCAGGGCAGTTATTAATTAAACGATGCAATTAAACAAGCCAAGTTCAAAGTCAATGCCCCAATCATTCACAGATGAACGTTGCCTCTGAATAGACTACGCCCTCCTCAGACGATTCTTCATCGCCAACCTTGATCTTGAGCGAAATCGGGGTTTGTGGGGAGTACTACATTGCATATTAGCATTAGACCATCTTTTAAGGCGATTATTTGTGCGAACCTGATAGATGTATGGCTTTGTTCCTGCGGCTGAAGCCACAATCGTCTTCACGAAACCTGGTACCTCTGCCATAACATCGACCCTATCAAGCCTCTCACCCAATGGGCCTTCAAGCACGGCCTCCACAGTCTTTCCATCCTTCGTCTTGCCATTCCACTCAAACTTCACTGCTTCTGGCTCTGGCCAATCGTTTTCAGGATCGCCATTCACCTTAGTGTGTGTCACGATATTCGAGGCCCCAGCCATAATAATCTCGCCATCCTTTACGAGCCCACCAACATTGACGACCGTCGATCCGTAAGATGGAGGCGTGGTAAATTTCATCATGATAGCCGAGTAAGTCGGGCCTTGGAAATTAACAAAGTCCCATTTTGCTCCGGCGTGATGTGGCTTCATGCCTTGAAGTGCATGGGATAGCAATCCCTTGCCCTTGAAGTCAATAGCCCCATCGTCGGTGAGAATGGATCCCTCGACCGTGTTCCGTGGCCAAAAGGCATGTCTCATAGTGCCCCATGGAGCCTCGGGATCCGTACCATAGAGTGTTTTCCCATCCTTGCCGACTTGGAAGCCTGGAGCGACCCGGGTGACGGTAATGTTGACGATGGATTTGGGATTGGTCATGGATTTAATCGTGTAAGTCTTACCATCTTCTGAAAGCTCAACAGCACAGTTCTCCGCATAGAAGTTTGTCTTGTCTTCGCTAAAGTCGACATTGGATAGCGGATCGGAGGACCAGAGGTTTGGCTTGTTCTCGCTCCGGGGGTAAAAAATCTTCGTATTGAATTGGCAGGTTGTCCGTATGCCGCTTTACATCAAGTCAGCATACGTTGATGCAATGCACGAGTCCACCGAGGGGCCTTACACAACATTGCTGTAGATAACCTGAACCAGGGCGATATGTCCGCTATCTGCCGTCAGGTAGAAACTCTGCGTCTCCACGCAGGTCGACGTCATGGCCTGCCATTGCATGTCCGCGCGCGTGAGCTCTGTGTAAGGAGTTGTTTCCGCCTGCTTTGCTACAGAGTGGATAGCAGAGGGCCCGTAAATCGGTTCCTGGGTGCCGGCGACATTGGCCAGCCTTTATCGCACCGCATCATGATTAGAGGGTTTTGGTTTGGAGAGGCAGTGGGCAATGGAGGCAGAGCAAGAGACATACTGCTGTTTCGCCCAGTTCATCATCTTGAACGATTTTGTGGGTAGTCAGGGTTGGATGTTTAGTAGGACAGAGGTTGTTTATGTGTATGTGTATGTGTAGCAGAGAGGGTTCGGCGCGCCGGTGGAGGTTGAATATTATTTTAGAAGGGCATGACCGCCCCTCCTTGCACGTCCACGTCCACGTCCACCGCCATCGCCATCACCAAACATCGCCGCTTTGTACGTCAGGGATGTCCCACGTCCGCAAAGGCTTGTCCGAGCTTGTCTTAGTACTCGAGGACCGGCGCTGTGAATGGTTCCATGTCGCGGGCAACAACTCTCCAAATACTACTCGAATACGAAGTACGGCACTTAAGCTTAAGTTAAGCCACCAGCCTACGAAGTACAGTATTTGCGCCGGTTTCGAATCTTGGATTAGCCCACAATCTTATCTTCGATTACATTTATGGCATTAGACTGCCATGGCTATTATACAACTCTATGCTATGTATGGTTCTGATGTGCCGCCGCCTGTCCTAAAGCCACCACAGCTACTGTACCCGACGGGGTCTCACTGCGTCTTCTTCCCCGTATCCTTCGACCTGCCAACCCCCATTCCTTGAGAATACACAAGATCACCACCCAGACTTGCTGCGAAAACCATCACCGGCATGGCCAACGCAGCGCTTAGTGCCACGTTGAGCGTGCTAGGCGCAAAGCCTTCAACTGCTCTCCTCGACCACCAATTATACGCCGTGATGCCCGTGGCAATATTGCTGAGCGCCCCATGTGCGAGAGCCGTCCGAGCCTTCCGTGTACCGTATCCGTCGCGAGCGATAAGACGGAGCAACTCCCAAGCACCGCTTAAGACGGCCGGAATCGCGGTGATGAGCGCGATGATAATCGCATAGTACGACAGGACCGGCAGGAGAGCGAGCGACAACTGAATGTCCAGAGACTTGAAGGCGGCCGCCACGAATGGCTCGGTGCTGGGGCTTGTCGCCGCGGCATGAAGAATATCCAGAAGGCCCGCAAGAGTTATCGACGCGATTGGGAAGTGCGTAGTCGCTGGATGGAGGGGTTTTCTGCTTCAAATCAGTCCGACCGTCCCGGCCAACACCACCTCAACTGACTTACCCTGCCATTTTGGATATCGTGTGGAAGTGTGGGTGGGTAATGCCCGGAAAGGATTTGAGAAATGGCAAGTTGAGGTTCTGCGAGCAGACCTTTTTTTTCGAATTCTTCCTCGGTCGCCGAACACACGCCGTGCACTGCACCGTCACTCGGTCTACAGTTTTAACATTCTGCAACTTCCGCATGGTCGTGGCGACTACGAATCTCAATCTTCGGCCTGCTCGGTCCCTGGTGCGCGACTCTCTCCATCATTTCGGTCCAGGAATGGTCGGCTTTATTGTACTCCTGTGGCCATGGCGCCAACAGGAGAGAACATTCATTTTTTCTCTCTAGATCTTATGGCGGCCCTTGGCTGGACACCATCGGATTCCCACACTGGCGGTGCACGGCATCCTCTTGATCCCAAACCCATTATAACTTGTGCCCAGTGATGTCCTTTCACCATCTCCTGTGCTATTATCCTCTCGGTACTTGATGATGTCTGGGAACTACCGACGTATGTCGCATTGGCGTTGCGGGCATAAATTTTTGCATATCAGGCAAAATTCCAGAGTCAAATTAAAGTTGTCCGCATCGGTTTTCACGTTATTGGGTTATTTTTGGAATGAAAGTTTGGACGAAATTGATTCTGCTATCCAATATTGTTTTATTTGTCTTACATCATGTTTGCTGGCAGTCCAGCTCTCCAATATGTGAGAAGTAATTGTTACGACTTGTCGGACCTGATTTTTGACGCTCATTATTTATCAGTGTGCCTATTTTCTGTAAAACCGAGACCTTGCATAAATGCCATTGGTAGACTATAGGCCTTCGTACTAGTGTGCTAGTGTACATCGGCACTTTTGTGCTTGGATTTATATCCCATTTTAATGCACCGAAATAGCTTACGGAGTATATTGAACTTATTAATCGCTCACTTTATTCGGACTACTGGTAAAGCCTTCACGGCAAGTGGTCACACCAAAGTCCATTCCTATCAACCTAAACATTGCTTGGGCATCTAGGGTACTCGGAAGGGACCATGTTCTAGCCCTTCGGCGCGGTTTAGCCTCCTTTTTAAGTCGTGATGGACTCCTGTGATGATGGGAGCACGAGAGGGGACGTTGAGAAGCGCAGCAACCCATAGCCATCGCCACCGTCGGAAGAGCTCAGATTCGGCAATAGCTCCCTCGGGCTGGCTGGTACGAAATGGCGCATATTGATTACCGAACCATCGTTCTTGGAATATCTTTGGCAGCAAGTATATAACATGAATTTTCAAACCCGCAATCTACTTCCCTAAAACAAAGGGCTTAGACTAGGTGCGTTTTTACTACATATAAAAGTCCAACTTCTTCTCTTTGTGGTAAAGTTACGCCAGATTGAAGGCGATGTAGACTTAAAGCATCCCATCCTGAAGCTAACGCGCCATAAGTGGTATGGATATAAGAAATTCGGTTGAATGGCAAAGTTGCTATACTCTCTCATCCATATATCTGATTGGTCTCCGAATGACAAATGAAACTCGAGAAAACAAGCAATTAAATTATCAAATTCCATTCCCCCCTGGTATAATTAATTAAACTCATGTTCGCAGGACCCCAACATCATGTGCCGGTTACTACGTCGAAATATTATTACCCCTCATCTACTATATTCCTGTTACCCTTTCTGCATTACTGTTATCTTCCAAAATCCTAAATTTCAGCAAACCACAACTTGTTTCTCCTATCTTATTACCCTCATAATTCCCGATTTCTCCGCTCTCCAAAATCCGATAGCCTTGCCTGAAAAAGGGATTTCCTTTAGGTACCCTGACATTTTGAGAGGGGTATAATCTAACTATATCAGAACTTGCCGTTCGAAAGTCATTGGTAAAACAATTCTGGAGCATGCTTCATGGTTTATTTGTATTACACAAGAACTGAACTACCCACGGAGGCAGCCAGTTAGAGAATCTGACTTTACCTTGCCCCATCCATTCGCAGTCGAATAGGATGGGCTATAGCAATATAAAGCTAGTATTGCGGAACCTCTTCGTCGGACTGATGTAGGGAAAATGCCACTGTAGCAGGGCCCCTGCAGCATCCATGGCTCAGGGACGCAGTACGGCAGACTTTCTTAGCTCGCTACAGTTGGCTACTGGGATACCGAAGTAAACTGATTACAGCGCAGAGGGATTATAGATTCCACATGTCGGCTATCTAACAATACCCTGCACAAGATCTGATTGCTAAGTGTGAACCAGGATATATAATGGGCAGGTCCCGGTATTTGGTCATTGAGGGCTACTGTCAGTGCCGATCTCGAAGATTAACGAGGCCTCCATCCACTATCTGGACGACTCGCATGACTATTGAGAGAATATATGATATTACGGTTACACGCTCAAGGCCGGTGGATGTCCCAGCCACTGGTGACAACCCATCCGACTTTTTGAAACGTCTTGAGCCTAACAGGAGGGTGAGCCAAGAGTAGCTACAAATTAGCGCTCGAGGAAGCGGCGATGCTGAGTGCTACATATAGGGAACCCTTATAAATGCGAAGCTTTTTATTGGCAGACTTCGGAGTACCGAGGTAGGCTAATTCAATTTGTCTGGGTTATCATCATCATCTGGTCGAAACCCGACGAACCTCATTAGAAATGCGGGGCAATAATAACAGTTTAACCCTAATCATAAAACGGATAATATATCTACGATTACTTCCCCGGTCCAATCCTCGTTGCGATGTTTACAATCTCTTCACATTTATTCTGCAATGGCAAGACCCAAGGTGGTTTAAATACATGCAGTTAGAAAACCCGTTGGCAATGTCACATTAATTAGCAAATAGCCATGGATAGATTGTAGTTCAATCGCCATCTGGTACTTCGAATCTTCCAGCGATGTCATCTTCGTCTTGGCCAGATAGATATAAGGGGGCTGCCGTGGGGTGAAATAGGACTTGAAGTCTGGAACATTTCCATATTTGATTTATTCCTCCTTGTGAATTGGAAATTGGAATTGCCATCTCAATAACTTATCTTAACCCAATCAGTCAATCACTCCATCATGCAATTATCAACCATTCTCACTTGCGCTCTAGCGCTCGGTGCAAGCGCTCAGTCCACTACGACGTACACCGATTCCAGGTCCGGAATCACGGTGTCGGGGTATCAAAGCGCATCGTATATCTTTGGAATAGCTCTCCCTTCAACGCCCGGAAAAGACTTTATTGGTATGCTGGTTGGAAAAGGAAACGGATGGGCCGGTGTATCACTTGCTGGCCCGATGACGGGAGGCTCGCTACTCCTCGTAGCCTGGCCAAATGGACAAAACATCTTATCCTCATTCCGCAAAGCTACGTGGGTGCTCACTTTGACCTAACTTCATTTTATGCCACCAGACATAAAAACGCTAACCCGCACTCTGTAGTTCCTACGCCAGCCCGGCCGTTGCCACGGGCAGCTTCTCTGCGGTTCCCATCGCGAGTGGAACATACGTCAACTCAACCCACTTTGTTTACACTTTCCTGTGCAAGAACTGCATAACTGGAGATAGCAGCACCTTCTCTCCAACTGCCGAGACAGCCATGCTAGGTTGGGCCCTCTCCACCACAGCACCGAAAACACCAGCCAGCGCCACCACGGCGTTTGGCAAGCATCAAACCCAAGGCAACTACGGTGTCAGTATCGCATCTACAAAGACGGACAAATATGATACTTGGGCTGCTCTTGCCAGCTCTACAACACCTATGGCATTCTCAGCATAGACTAGCTTGATGCACCGCACTCCGACAGCTTGTCGTGGAGTTGCAATGACGATGGATGGATCATGAGAGATTTCCATGTTTGATATATATGACGTTGAGTCTTGGCACGGTTGGATAAGTTGATAGGGGGTGGACAGCAGTATTATACTCCGATCGGAACAAAAGAAAACAGAACTTACCCCAAACCTTGCCAACCACACTTTCCTATTCCTTCATCAACGAGAGAAGCAAGATCGCCCTCGTTTGTGTAACGCAGGGCAAGCAAAACCTCCGCTTCGAACACTCAATTCTGGCTGTATATCGTCCGCTTCTTTATCCATAGCACCCCATGCTTTAGCCTGAACACCAGTACCCTCTTTATATATTATAATATATGAAAATACCATCGCCTTACGTCTGGACGTCTCTTATTCTCATAGCTGCAACCCGTATTAATTGTTATCGACGCATCGATTTCCATATGCGGGGAGTCCCTGATCGCCAAGAGCCCGGGATTCTGGGGTCGAAGCTACTTTACAGTAGCAGCCGCTGTAGATCAGAGATGATCACCCGAAGCGGGCTGAACCTGGGGAGCAAACTTGAGCAAAATAGATGTTGTTATACGATGCTCCGGGGCTGTACGGCAGCAGTTATTGTACATAGTACCGTGCTAGATCAGGCCCGACAGATACGGGATGGAGAAACCATCCGAGCATAGCATGTTGCTTACGATGCTCCAATATCACCCGCAGACACTTCAGCAAACATTATGGGAGGCAGAAGGTCCACCTATTCCATAGAACTCAGCTACTAGACGTTAATAGCACAGGCAGGATATCCGGCAGAACACGCTATAACCACGTTCTCATCCCCATCTGCCCTTCATTGATAATAGAACTGCGCACTGTCAGTATTCCAAGATCTATATCCCTTATAACCCCCGCCAATTGGTGTTTCAGTGTGACGTTCTAGTCGTTGGAAATGATGTTATTCCATTCTGGGGGGTCTCTTGGCCGACAGAGCATACTTCTCCTAGTATTCCTAATGCTACGGCTCGTTGTAGCTGCGAAGCAACCAAACATAACTACCAATGAGGAGTTCGCAATGCAAACGGAGTGCAAAGTTTGCCCGTACAATCTGTGTACTAGTAAGCATGCCTATATGTCTGGCGATAACATGACAGTGTTTTGCTGGACTCATGGACAGAAATTTGGGAGCGACGATGGAGATAGGTATGGGGTTGACCAACCTGAAAATAATCATTGAGGGAGAAGCTTGCTGATTTAGTGAGAATGGTAGGGTCTGGCTTTGGACCGACAAAGACTGTTACGTTCCCCAGTATGACCTGGAATATAGCGGGCCTGGTAAGCTATCTCTCCTCCATTGTTAGACTTTTCTATGATGCTGACTAGCTCGACTACAGCGGAAGAGGAATTAAACTACTGCGGCGAGGACTCCGAGGAAAAGGACATCACAAGAGAGCCTATGAGAATAAAATACCATGCCGAATGTGATCTCAATCCAAATGTTCAAAACCCCCAGGCGGTCACCAAGTACTATCCGGCAGGTACTGATATTCTCGCCACATGCTGGACAAATTCCTCAGAGACCGTCGGCATATTGGGTGATACGTAAGTTCTACCACATAAAAGGGCAGAGTGAATGGCTGATTGATACGGCACAGTGTATATGTCAAGACGACCGATGATTGCTTTACAGGACAAGCCATGCTCACCCACCATGTGGACCTGGATGATGTTCCAAATTGTGGACCGCTTGCGCGCCGCGAAGTTAACCGGACAAGTACCTTTAAAGGCCGCTCGCTCCCTCCCGTTCCCGAACCTGTGAAACTTCAACCGCGGTATCTTATTAATGTGACCGTCGGAGAGGACTGGGCGAAATGCCATGAGTTACCCTCACTTGAGAGCCCTGTCGTTCGTGCCTATCCTTGGGACAGGCATATCATTATACAGTGCACTTCGCCATACTATAATGGCTCAGGTACCGGGAATTTCGGCTTGACGACCGACTTCTGCTACGTTAGCGGAGATGATATTTGGCAGAGCATAATGGGTGATTGTAAGCTGCCTTCCCGGTAAAAGAGAAGTCAGATTAAGCTAACTCTCTGAGTAGACATATATATGCCACGATGCTCGAATTTTGGAGTGCCTTGATTGGGGGATGTTAAAGAAAAGTATTCGCCGGTTACTATCTAAGATGTTGGGCAGACCACTACATGGAAGGCTTCTCGGATGCCCCGCAAACAAAAACGAAAATAAGGGTGGGTGTCATACTCTAGAATTAACCTTAATTCTCAATAGCGCTCTTCCTTTCTGGTTTCCTGTCTTGTGCCTTTCTAGTGGTTAATGTGCAATGCCTATGGCTACCGTTCGGACTTCCTCACATCACTTCTCAAATCTTTAAGAACTTCTCGTCATTGTGGTGCCATGGAATATTTCAAGTTTAGGAGTTTGTAGCCGTAAATTTGTTGCTAATATGAGTTGGGTTGGGATGACAGTCACGAGCCAGTAATTTGAGGAAATGTTGTGGTAAAAGGTCACTCTATGGATTACTCCGCTGGCAGCAAGCACTGTAAACCATACGTTCTGTCTGACTCTAAATTTCCGATTGGAAAAGGCTCGAGGTGATTTGGATATGCCTTCTGGGATAGTAACCGACTATATAGCCAAGGGCATTTGCAAAAGGATCCAGATCCAAGGAATAGTGAAATTCGGGAGTGAAGTAAGCCCACGAAGAACTGTTGAAATTAGAGAAGCCCCTGGAGAACGCCTTAGAGGGGAATGAAAGGATGCTGAATGCTGAAGGCGGAAGCTTTGCCAAGATAGGGATTGGAGACTCGTGCCGGAGAGCTATAGGCAAAGGACAAGTAAATTGACCCTCTGCTAATAGGTCTTAGGAGAAGGGTTAACTACAGGCCGCTGGTTGGAGCGCATAGCAGGAACACCCTTGTAGGACCTACATGAGCAAGGATATCATCGGGCGTAACTAACACGCTCAGCTCGTAACTCGATATCATGCACCGCTCTACCGAGCTTGTACCTCGTAATTATTCTATAAAGACGACGATGACATCTCCAAAGGAATTCCATCGAAAGCCGATACCTCCATGAACTAGAGGCAGTCACCTTCGCGATGGTGACAACGAGGAAAAACCAAACGGATGTTAAAAGATCCGGCTAGAGTGTCAGCAGGTATCTAAATCGGCATCCTTAAAGCCGCTCAATCGGGAATGGAAGATTTTACTCGAGAGACACAAGTCACGCAAATCGCACAACGTCTGATTAAGGTTGCCTCCGTGTACTAATGTATGTACCCTGAAAGTATTAATTGGTAAGTCGTCACCGGACAACCCTAAAATGGAATGACCTACCAACCCATGACTTTCATCTACATCATAGAGACTAAGGCTTCGAACGAGTCACAGTGAAATTCCCTGAGTAACCCTAGGGATTAAATTTATGTGTCTATACTAGAGGCGAATTTTAAAAAGTCTACTGTGTAGAGAAACTTAAAAGTTACGGACAATGCACACTACCAGTGTAAACAAGTAGCAGAACATACTGAAATTGAAACTAGAAAGGTGGCTATGTTCTTGGTCCGCAAAGTAATACGTAGGTTGCCTAGCTAGCAGTTTCTAATATATCCTTTCCGTAGGTGGAGAGCGCTGGTAAAAAAGGGGGGGGGGGGGGTCACGTGACTCACACTCAGAATCTTGGAGCTATTAACAATACCGAGAAACCAATCAGCTCCTAAACTCAGATACAATGATTTTAAAGATAGCTGCTAGGGCGCAATAAGGTCATGACTAATGTAGTAGTAGCTGGTGTCGGCAAATAAGACAGTTGATTTGACTGGGAAATGGCTTGCAGTCCGTCCCGGATTTACTTCACGATGTACTGCTCTGTATCATTTAAGCAGTGAAACTCAAGTATGTGATGTGGATATACTAGGTTGGTAGGGTCTAAAGGCGCTGAGATAAAGATGTGATGAAGGAAATGCAGCCTCCTAAGCAAACCGCAATCCACACCAGCATGTCTGGAAACTCAAATCAGGCATCGAGCCTTCGAGCCCTCGATAGGTACCTTATATAAGAGATGAGAGTTTCAACCCAAAGGATCTCCGGTAGTCGGGAGCCGGCGTTTAACACGACGAATCTAGAAGCGCTTCCAAGGCCAACAATGGTAGACCGAATGAATATGTTCGCTCCAAGTATTAGCTAGCCTAGCACTTGAGAGACAGAGAGCGCCATCACCGTTCTTAATTTGACGGCGGGGTGAGTTTGGTTGGGGGAGGGTGAAAGGATATGACTATGACCTATGTCAATTTCCTACAATCTTGCAATTGCAACCGTAGAGTTAAGATCATACGTGGATGTACGAGTAATTAAGTTCTATTAAACCACTCGAGTGTGGAGTTGCAACCAAAGGGAAAAGTAAAGTGACCAAATTATATTTCAATATTTTCTAGAGATAAAAAAGATTAGACGGAGGCGATGCTTGGTATTATAAACGTACAATACGTTGAAATAAGCTAGCACAGTGAAATGGACAATATCGACAATGACTTATAAAGAGCGCATGAGTAGGTTGTACGTAATCAAACTCGGTCCGACAACCTTTTCAATTAGAGGTGACTCAGAAGCCTCTAACTTTGCCGCAGAGTGGCTGGCTATTGAATCCACGTTGGGCTCACCGGACAAGGCAGAATAGCTGGTATTGCCACGGCAGGAGATAATAGCATTAGGCAGCATTGAGGAGGGGGTTGCACGGTGTTGTGACACAGCCGGCAGAATCGTGCAAAATACTGACATGTTGATCTGGACTCTGTACGTGCAGAAATACTTGTTTCATGAAGAGTGGGATGGCTGTCAAGCAACGTTCACAGGCGGTTATGCCTGTGAAGGTTGGCGTCGTTGATCACAAGAGAAGGAGAAGGATGTTGATGTTGATGTTGATGTTGATGTTGATGTTGATGTTCCTGTTCCTGTTCCTGTTAGGTAGGAATGGAGCCAAGTTGACGTTCAAGCGGTCAGCAAGGCAGAAACAGGGGTGGGCAGAAACAGGGGTGGGCAGGCCACGCTTACTAATCCTCACCCTGGTTGCAGCTTGGGGGAGCTTGGAGCCTTGTCGGGATGACCTCAGAGTTCCAGACGCCCTTTGACATTCACGTTCACATTCGCCGACCAAACTCTCCAATATCACTTTTAATTCCCAATACCAAGGAGAGTCGCAGGATCCCAACAATTTCTCTATCCTTTGTCGCCACTGCCACAGCCACAGCGACCTTCTCCCCGACCCCCCGACTACTACGCCCATTCCAACTCGCCGTTCACGGCCTGACCGGATCCCAGCTCTGCCTCTCCCTGCATCGTCAGCCTCGCTGGCCGCTGCAGGCCCTGCCCAGGCGACACCGCCCCACGCAAAGCGAATTCCAACAGCACATCACTGCTTTGCAGCTCGCAGCTCGCAGGTTGCAGTCGCAGTCGCAGTCGCAGTAGCAGCAGCTGTCCTGGCACTCGAGGTTGGGGAAATAGGGCCAGCGAGTGCAAAGGAAGAGTAGCTTCCGTCGCCACCTCCGTAGCTTAGCTTACGAGTCACCGCCGAATTACCCACCCACGATCCTTTCCTTGCCTTTGCCTTTGCTCCCATGATAGTCTGCCTAATGGTCTTGTCACACTGAATCTGAACGCTGCCAGTCCTTTCTTTTAAAAGCTCCTGTCATCTGCCTCCCGAACCATTCTCTTCCTCCATCGCACAAACCCCCCTTCAACCCCTCCCGTCCACCGCCATTATCCCAAATCCATAACGTGAGTGCCTGCTGACCGTCTCTTCCTTGCTCCATTGCCTACCTTGTCGGGCTGCCATACTTTCTTGACAGCTGGCATCCCCTCCGTTTTGGGATATCCTGGTGCATATTCCTGCAGTTCATGCTGATTTACAATAGCAAGTGATACGATAGGCCGACCCTCGACGATCAAGCCATCACCCAGCGCGGCAGCCCGTCTTTTGCAGCGGTGTGGGAATTCACTGAGCCCAATATACAAACAGGGTCTCTGCAACTCCTCCGGATTTTCGGATTTCCCTCGGTCACAGACAAACAATTCTCTATCGTCACTATGGATACCCCCAGCACCAATCAGAGCGATCTGGTTACAGAGAGGGAGGGAGGAACCGCCGTTGCGGAGGGTAGCTCAGGCACACCAGTGGATAACAAGGCCCGAAATTCACCAGCTGAGGTCAAGAAGGCGAAGATCAAGAAGATGAAGCATTGCAAAAAGGGTAAGAAGGCCAAGGCAAAGAAATCCAAGGAGGTTGTTACAAGCGAGAGCGAGGATTCAAATTCGTCAAGTGATTCGGATACCGCGAGTGATGAAAGTTTGAGCGACTCGGAAGAAGATTCTGAGAGCGAGAGTGAAACCGAGACGGAAAAGGAGAAGCGGAAGCGAAAAGCGAAGAAGAAGGCCAAGCAAAAAGCAAAGGATAAGCGGAAGACTAAGTTGAAGAAGAAGGTTAAGAAAGAGGTACGTTTGGTGATGGAATCCTGATGGTCAAAGATGGTCTAAGCTGACAAATGCCTCAGGTCTCCTCAGACTCCGACTCAGATACAGAACCAGAGTCAGATGTCGATTCCGAAACCCAATCGGAAGTCGATGAGGAACCGGAAGTCGATTCGGACGATAATCTCCAGCAGCAAATTCTTGACGTACAACAACAGATACAACAATTACAAACTAGTTGGAATCTACAATCGTCCCTTGGAGGAGCAGCCGCTCAAACAGCGCTAGGTGGAGCCCTTCGGCGCCACCACCAATCGAGGATAGCCGCTGCACGTTATAAACAAAAGAAACTGAGGGGTGCTGCGAAGCTGTCGGGAATTGATGGTGAGGGCCGGAAGAAAAACAAAAAAGAGAAGAAGGTCAAACAGAAGCGTGGCAGCAAGCTGGAGTTCAAGAGAGTTGATCAGCTGTGGGACAGCACGATCCACAACTACAAACTCACAGACACGGCCGAGGACGCAGAGAGCTCTGAGTATGACCAATACTTGTTCAATGTTCGGAGAACCTTTGACTGGGAGGGCAAATACAAGAACACCGTTGTTGACATTAAGAGCAAGCTCATTAAAGAAGCCTTGAATGAGGTTATGGATGGTGTCAAGGGTGTCAGTTTGGTTGAAGAAACACCTACTGTTGATCCCAATCTGCTATTTCTCTACCTTGAAGATCTTCGGGCATCGTACAAGGCTTTGAAGAACAAGAAGGTTACAGTAAAAAAGGGCAAGAAGAAGGCGAAAAAGCACAATGCGACCAAACGCGCGCACCTCAAGGTCCTTGTGAAGTACCTTGACAGAGATTACGCTTCGACTAAGAAAACACTCTATCCTATGCTAGAATCTGGATTGATTACCTTCGATCTTCTCTGGGCACTCTACAAACCTAACACTCTCGCATACACCACAACCTACGGATCCGTGGATGAACCTCGGGCCTTTAGAATTGAATTGGCCGAGAAGGAATCCCACTTCATGAAAGGGGAATGGTACAATATCGAGGGCAAATATCTCGAGTATGATGGCAAAACGTGGGGCATGGGTATGTTTCTTGCATCTTTTCCTTTGAAAGTTACTAATTCGGTTGGTAGGCACGATGGATGTCGATGTTCCCGCATTTAAGGGGGCCAGAAAGATTACTAGCCTGGGTTGCTATCCCCTGAAATACCATAAGGACGAGACGAAGCTTCGTGCTGAGCTAATCGAACGAGGCAAGAAATTTGTTTCTCTTCAAGGCGTCAACTACCGAGCCCATGAGGGCCTGGCATATTACAAGAAGAAGAAGCAAATCATCAAGGTCAACATCAATGGCAGAATCATGGTCGACCCGGCAATTCATCGTCGAATCAATCCTAATTACAACGTCAGTACGGTCAAACCGCAGGACCCAGATCTTTATGATTCTGGCTCTGATTCGGATGATGATTCTGACGACGGTTGTGGGTGTTGTGACGAGTCAGACGACGACCAGCAGAACTTTTTCGAAGCAGGCACTAGGAATGATGACGATGAACCAAGAACAAAAATGAAGGTGGTTCTGGATAACGATAATCAACCTCGTATCGTCCGTGTTCCTATCGATGCCGACGGTCAGGAGGTTGCGGTCGAGAAACTCGAAGAGGTCCCAAGCAATATGGCTAAGAATAAAGATGGAGAGGCTGTCGCGGCTGAAGAGGATAAGAAGGCAGTTCCAGTACTCACAGATGAGGAGTACCTAATTGCTTCGCCTGTTGTGCTTGGTTTTGCCTTCGCCGAGAAGTTGTGGCTGGAGTTCACTGTATCCGGGGTGAAGGATATTGTGTGGAATGAGGGTGCTTATGAGTCTTTGGTACTTGAAGGCAACACCAAAGCTATTGTCAAGGCACTTGTCGAGTCGCATAAATATCACCCAGCCGAAAGCATCGACGATGTCATTCAGGGTAAAGGCAAGGGCTTGGTTGCTGTTCTGCATGGTCCTCCAGGTACAGGAAAGACGCTCACAGCAGAGGGTATATCAGAGCTTCTCAAATGTCCCTTGTACATGGTTTCTGCAGGCGAGCTGGGGACCGATCCTCGCACTCTTGAGGCGGAACTTCAGAAGGTAGGCTCTAATCTTAATCTCTAAGGCTGCATTGTTCTAACATTCCTAGATCCTCGATATCGCTCATGCATGGGGTGCAGTCCTCCTGCTCGACGAAGCAGACGTCTTTTTAGAAAAGCGCACCATCCAAGACATCCACCGCAACGCCCTCGTATCCATCTTCCTCCGTCTCCTCGAATATTTCCAAGGTATCCTATTCCTGACCACCAACCGTGTTGAGACGTTCGACGATGCATTCCAATCCCGGATCCACATCGCTCTTCGTTACGGAGAGCTGAGCACCAAGGCCAAGAGAAGTGTATTCAAGATGTTTATCGAGCGGGTTCGCGTCCTGGAGGGTGTTGCCACTATGCCTTTCACGGAAGAGGACCTGAATAGTCTGAGTCGACATAACTTGAACGGACGACAGGTATGTTTATCTTTCACATTTATCACATCTCTATATTCCAAGATTTCAGGCTAACACCAAGGAATAGATCAAGAATACTATTCGAACAGCACAGGCTCTCGCTGTTAACGTCAGCGAGCCTCTGAGCATGGAGCATATCAAGCGCGTCCTTGATGTCTCCAATGCCTTTGACCGCGATCTCAAGGGCGGACCGGGCTTTGAGGATGCCATGCGAGGGTATTTCTAGAGTTCTTGGCCCTGTTATCATTATCTTGCCGTCTTTTGAATCTGTCATTTGGGCATGGTATCTGGATTTGGATGCTGCCACCACAGTAGTTTGGGCGACATGGATGGGGTTCTTTACAGGTAATTGTAATGAATTTTTCACGGGACGATTTGAGATTTACGCATAGCTGAGCATGGGGTTTGAACTCTCCACTTTCTTACCCTTGTTTATCATTCACGCGTGTACTTATTTTAACGAGCATCACGATGGGAATGGGAATTGGGAATGGGGATATAGCGAGTGGGGGTGCGGGTGTTATACTATAGCCGGGGTGGCATCAGGCCGGCGAATGGAGATATAGCGTTTTGAATCGGATAGCGAGAGTGAATATTATTGACCTTTTCTCTATAAAAGCTGTGATTTACTCTTCTCCCACGCGGTGTTGTAAAATTTTCCAAAGCTTGATCTTGGGAGTGTCCTATTTCATTACAGGGTCAGCTACAATGATACCCTTCGCTCACTGGCTGGAAGTAGATAATGAGTATCGCATCCACTACTATCTAGGAACTAGATATTATTAGATTTGGACGTACTAGCTACTACGGCCACCCACATTCCTATTACTGTCCCATTGGCTCGAATGGCTTGCGAGGATAAGCTGATGCTAGGACTTAGACATAGATGGATGGCAAGAATATTTCCAAAGATTTCTAACATTTTGCTGTCCGTTGCAACTACAGCTACAATTACAAATAAGGTGAACTAAAAAAAAATAGCTTGCAGCTTATCAAGGTAGGGTTGGGAATTTCTCGTAACAGGTAGGCTTAGTACTTTGTTCTACGCCGTTGGTTTTCCCCGGAATTGAGGAAAGGAGAAGAGGGGTTTGTTTGTGGTTTTATATTGTGTTTGTATTCTACTGAGTTTTATTGTAAATGACGTAAAGTACAGGGGTGTTTATGGTAGAAGGGCGAGAAGGTGGCGGGAGGAGGGTGTGGGAGGAGACATTTAGTTGCCTGGGTTTTGGGCAACGAATGTGACGCCCTTCTCGATGTTCTATTTTTTAAGGCACAGTGGTTAGCTTGGGTTGCTTGGAAGGGGAGTTTTAGGGGAGTTAAGAATATTTACCTTCTTCAAATCCGCCAAGCAAGCATCCAAGAGCTGCTGCTCCTGGGCATCAAGCTTTCCGACGTCCAAGATCTTCTCCGCACCATCGGGGCCCAACTCAACCTTGCTGGCAAAGAAATCAACACCCTGGTCCTTGTATAATGGGCTATCGACGAAAGTTGGCTCAGTAACACCCTTCTGGCCTTGAGCAGCCTTCAACAGACTCTCGGCGAATCGGGCACCAGCCATAGCCATGGACAGGGTAGCAGATCCAGCACCATCCTTTGCCTTGACGACCTCGTCACCGCCGAATTGCACGCGCTTGAGGAGCTCGGCGTTGCCAACCAAATCTGGGTGGCTTGATTGAGAGAACAGAGGAACGATGGTGACGCCGGAGTGACCTCCGACAACGGTGATGTTCTCATCCGCTGGGTCGCTCTTCTTAATCTCAGAGACGAAGCGCGAGGCACGGACAACGTCAAGGGTTGTGACACCGAAGAGGCGCTTGGGGTTGTAGACTCCCTTTGCCTTGAAGATCTCAGCAACGATGGGGACGGTGCTGTTCACTGGGTTGGCAATAACGAGGATGTTTGCGTTGGGTGCGGATTCGGCGGCGGCCTTTGCGAGGTCGCGGACAATGGACGCGTTTGTGTTGAATAGATCATCGCGGGTCATGCCGGGCTTGCGGGGGACACCGGCCGGAATCAGGACAATTTCTGCGCCCTTGAGAGCGGCGGCAAGTCCTGATGGTGTGGGATCATAGCCAGTGACTGTGCTCTTGGTGTTGATGTGGCTGATGTCGGCAGCGACACCTAGGAAGAGGTTGAGGTCAGTATGGAGTCGGGGGGTCTCGAGAAGGAATTGTGCGAACCTGGGCCTCCGCGGATATCGTATACTAGAGATTGGATCATAACGTTAGCAATTGGAATGGTTTAAGAGTACACGGGGAGTTTGCGTAGGACATACAGGCCAAGTCAGTAACCCGAGGGTTCAGCTTGAGGAGAAGAGACAGCGGCTGTCCAATGCCTCCCGCAGCGCCGAGGACGGTAACTTTCGACAACTTAGAACTGCTGTCAGCGATGAAGCTATCCAGATAACCCGAATGATCTTACGTCTCTCGCCGAGGCCGAGAAAGCCCTGGTCTGGAAAGCGCCGGACACTGCTCTTCGTGCGGCGAACATGATGGATGATGTGAGGTGATGGAAGGAATTGGGGGAGCTTAAGGGATATGGAGGTGGAAGATTGAAGGGTTTCGGGATGGATGGCGCGGATGGATGGGAGTGGGATTATGCGGAAACTAAAGAGAGAGAGGATCGGGAGCTTGTTGATTTTTTAGCTTCGCAGCTGCCCCGGTGTCGGGGAAATATCGCTAATGCTTGATGCGGCTAATGCGGTTGTTGGGTGAGCGTGAGAAAAGCAAACAACGATCAGGTGATGCAGCTGGATTTGGATATTTACGTGTTTAAATGCCTCATAGTATGGCTCCGTAGTTGAAATGTGTGATCTAGTTTATCGTTGTTCTGTTATCCTCAACTCAAGGTGCTAAAAGCCTTCTACTTCGTACTAAGTAAAATTTTCAAACCATCACGCACGTGACTTAACAATGCCGTGCGGGCCGTACCGGGTGAACAAATTCAGGGTCTATCACAAGATATCACAGGCAAAAAGTCAGGTAAAGGTAACGGTAAGATATGCAGGGCCAATGTCTTTATTTGTGTCCAATGACCGCAGAGTCTATTCTGATCTATCGTGTATTCTAAAAGAATCACCAGAACGTGTAAAAACAAAACGGATATCAACTCCAGACCAGACCAAATGCGCAAAACCGGGCCAAACAAACAACAAACGAATTTCTTTTCCCGTTTCCCCTTTTTATTTCTATTAGCAATCTAATCGTCCTCATCCGAGAAAACCTCCTCGCCTCTCTTTCTCCGGGCCATGCGGTCCTTCTTCTTCTTTCTTAGTTCGGCAGAAGTGAGCTTCTTGGCCTTCTTGGTCGACACAATCTTGTTGCCCATGGCATCGAACTTCTCCTCCTCCTCGTCATCGTCACCCTTCAGACGAGGTCCAGAGCCCTGTCCGGACACCCAGTTGTGGCCTGACGGGGTCATCTTTCCGTCAACGACGGCCCAGACTTCCTCAGTCAAGTCCTTGGTGAACTCGGCGGAATGGGTAATGATGATAACACCACCCTCGAATGACTTGAGGGCCTTGGAGAGAGCACCAAGGGAGTCACGATCAAGATAGTTGGTAGGCTCATCAAGAACGATCAAATGAGGTCGTTGCCACGAGCACGCAGCGAGGACGACCTTGACACGTTGACCACCTGAGAGACCCAGCATACGCGAGTGAGAAACCAGCTCGGCATCGAGACCGAAGTGGGCGCAGTGTGCCTCAATCTCCTTTCGGACCAAGGGTCTGAATTGACCGCTGGCCAAAGCCTCCTTCTGATCAACATCAGCAACCATCTTTTGATGAGAAGCCAAGATCTCAGTTCGGGGAATCCAGGCGTTATCGGCAGTCATCATAGGAATCCACCTCTCGTTCTTCAAACCGATGTTCTCACCGAGAGCGAACGAACACTCATACTCATAAGAGTTCTTGAACTTGCGGCGAGAGTGGATGCCAATGACACGGCGTTGGGATCCTTCGATTCTGTAGATCTTGTCCATGGCCTTCTCATCCTCATCGGTGACGATCTTGTTGGCACGATCCATGGTTTCACGATCCTCACCAGTCTGGAAACGCCACTGGATGTACTCTGAAGGAGTCTTCTCCAAGTGATGATCGATGTGAGCGAAAGCATGTTGCTTGATATAGGCGATACGGATGTTCTCGTGGGTGTAGACATCACCTGAGGTTGGGATGAGTTCACCAGTCAGGACGTTGATGAGAGTAGACTTTCCAGCTCCGTTAGGACCAATGACGGCAATACGGGAGCCAAGCGAGCACTGGAAGCTGATGTCGGAGATCTGAGGCTTGGGAGTTCCCGGGTATTGGAAGCTCATCTTGCTGACACGAACAATGGCCTTAGCCTTGGTCTTGACACCCTCGAGGAAACCTGGCTCAGGGAACTTGAACTCCATCTCGGAGGCACCAAGTTCGTAGTATGACTTGGCAGATGGGCACTTGCGGACGAACTCCTTCAAGTTACCACGATATCTCTTGAGCTTAAAGCGCTCGTAGTGGATGATGTGCTGGCAAACGTTGTCGAGGAAACCGCTGTCGTGGGAGACGATGATGGATGTGCAAGGGGAGTTTTGGAGGTACTCCTCGAGCCACTTAACGTTCTTCACGTCCAAATGGTTAGTGGGCTCATCGAGGAGGAGAATATCGGGGTCCTCGAAGACCGCACGGGCAAGAGCCAGCTTCATCTTCCAGCCACCAGACAGCGCGGTGATCTCGTTAGCTGTCATGTCGGGAGTGAAGCCGAACTCCTCCAATCGCCTCTCGACCTCCTCCTGGGTGGTCGTGACACCGACCTCGGCAAGCTTCTTCATGGTCCAGGCAATTGTAGTCTGTTCAGTATCCGCGGAATCAAGATCGTGCTCAACGAAGACAGTCTTGACCTCGCTCTTTCTGGGGAAACCCTCAACTTGCTCGTTGTTGATAGCGCGCATGAGAGTGGACTTTCCGGAACCGTTAGGACCGCAGAGACCATAACGTTGGCCACGCTTAAGACGTAGATGTGTTTGGTTGAGGAGAATCTTGGCACCATACGCCAAGTTGAAGGTGCAGTTGCAAAGATCCTCGCCTTCCTCATCGTCAGCCTCCTCAGCATCCTCCTCCTCAGCGCCGGGTGATGCGCGCTTTCGGAAAGCATCGACGATGCTTTGGGCGTCCTCCTCACCGCAGATGGCAGCGATATAAGGCTTGAGGCTTTGAGTCCAGCTGATTGAATCGGCATCCTTCTCGTCAATGAGTTGACCAGCAAGAGCGGAGATGTATTCGACAACAGGCTCGAACTTGGTGACCACGTCCTTGTGCTTTGTAGAGGCAAGGACCTCCGTTAAGGCGGCGGAAACGGTGGGGATAGAGCCAGGATGAGTTGCCTCGGGGATCTTTCCGTCCTTCACGTTACCAACACGGATGAGAGTATCCAGACCTTGTCGGGTCTTCTCACGAGCCTCAGGATCAGCCAGATTGTCGTAGTTCTTGGTAAGACCGGGCATCAGCTTGGGCAAGAAAGAGGCCACAATGTTGGGGTCCTCGACAAGTTTGCACATGTTGTCGACGATAACGGCAGCCTTTCGCTTGATGGCAGTCTCACGCTCAGCAAGACCACGATCAAGAAGGGGAACCATAATAGCGAGGGTTGGCTCGTGCACATCGGTAACGAAGGTAGTGGCACCGAGTAAATGGATTGTCTCTGGGACATTCTCTGGCTTGGCGATACACTTGATGAGTTCGGGAATAAATCGCTCGATATCCTTGTTGACGATCAAACCGCAGACCTGGCCCATTGTGCCGTATGCCATCTTCTTGACCTCTGGCTTGGTATCCCACATCGACTCGGAGACGACGGGGATGAGATCTGGGACGCGGTATGCGAGTTGTGCGGGTGCTGATTCAATCAGGGCCTCGACACACTTGAGACCGGTGATCTTTTCTTGCCATTTTTGGGCGGTGAGGATGGAGTTGATGATGGGAGGGAGGAGAGCCTTGACGGCATTGGCGCTGGCAGCCTTGACGATGCTGAGGGCGGCAACTTGCGCTGCGTCCTTGACGGCGGTGATCTTGTCACCAACAGCGGCGAGCACTGAAGGGAGCAGGACGACCAGATATGGCTCGACGGAAGGTGAGGTCTCGGCATGGTCCGCAATTGCCTGGATGGCATTGAGAGCACGTTCCCGGACGTTGGCGTCCTTCTTGTTGGTGAGTTGCTTCTTTAGAGCATTGACGGTCCTGGAGGGCAAAAATGTTAGCATCGAAGTTTCATGCCTATGGTGGTGGTGGTTGAAGGTGAGATTGCGACCGGGGACTTTTGCCACCAGCACTTTGAACAATTGAAAAAAAACCCGTGAAGCCACACAGTTTCTCCCCAGTTTCAAAGGGGGATCTCAAAGAAAAGAAGACAATCCGGAGAGCGTATTCCGATTTTTGGAGAAGGAACTTTTTTACTTACTTTGTAGGAGCATCGTGCTCTTCGATGGGGCCGTTGATGAAGATAGCGAGGTTGTGGGTGGCGGCGTTGATGTCTTCCTGGGCCTTGCTGATGGTGAGCTTGGCCATCAGCTCGTCAAGAATCTTGACGCTGTTCTTGTTTTCGTTGGCCATCTTGGATGCGGATGGTTGAGGAGAAGAAGAATCGGTGACAGTTGAAGGCATGTTCGAGAGAGATCGAGGAGGGGGGGAGATGGTGATGGTGGGATTTGCGGCGGGCGATAAGAAGAAATTTCAGGCCGCGCTAACCTCGCACGGATCGGTGAGCGCTACTTCGGATTGCGACAGCGAACGCCCTTGTTGGTGAACTTCTAATCTAAGGCTCTATACTGCAAATGCAAACGCAGATGTAGAGCAATGAAAAAGAAGCAGAAAAGAGGGAGTGGAGTTGGTTCCTTCAAGGAAAGCGGAGAGAGGGAGGATGGGAGCGAGAGAGGGAGAGGTCTGAGGAAAATCAGGGGCGCACCAGGAGGGCTTCGAGTTTTAAATAATTTTTGTTTCGCCTGGCGCTGTGGACTGGCAGAACAATTTTTTTTTTGCAGGGGTCCGGACCAGCAACCAGCGGAAGCCGCCAGCAGCAACGAACAGCAACGAACCAGCAACCAGCAAAAAACCCTAGCCGCAAGTGACAAGCCGGCGCAAAGTCTATAATAATAATAATAGTAGTAGTAGCTAATTAAGTTACTTCGTAATCGGTAATCAAATCAACCCTTTTGCCTTTTCCCTTTTGACTTTTGCCTTTTGCCTTTTGCCACCTATATCTCTTCTCCCCGGTTTTGGGGGGGTTATCATGATCCCCATGTGATATGAAACTAGAGCTATTTATCCCAATAGTACGAAGCACTACGTATAATGTCCGTCTCTCTGCAAAGCCCCCCAGGGCTACATCTACGGTGGGGAGTCATGGACACAGTCTCTCACCGGGACAACCACCCCTTGGGTCGGATCCCCTTGCGGTATCCAACACCCTCAGCTAATAAAATACCATAAGCCGAAGGATTGGTTTGCATGTGCTGTGCTGTTGTTGGCCAGCAGCCAAACAGTTGCACTCGGCCATGACAGCTTCGCCACCCCCCTTCGTCCCCTTTCCCCCGTCCCCGTCCCAACGCCCCCAGCCCTGCCAGCGGGCATCAGCCCCCTCCAATTCAAAACAAGACATCCCTTTGTCAATCAATCGCTATTATTATTATTTATTCCCCGGGATTGCCATATCAGAATCGCAGAGGCCAGAACAGGACATGGCAGAACCTGACAGGTATCCGACGAGCATCAGCCCTTCACTAGCAGGTAGCCCCACGGCCGCTCCGTAGGGCAGCGCAGGAACACGCATAACCGGCAAAGTCCAAAGGGTACAGTTACTACAGAGTCGTCGTAGCACGAGTAGTAGAAGAGCGTAGTAGCTTGTAGTTTGCATCTCCATAGCCTCGGGCTCGGGTGCATGAATCATTCATTGTGGCGGGGCAATATCGCCACATCTCAGATCTCAACAATTCGAAATAATTCTCCCCTCGACTATCGACAGCCACCCAGTTCTCCGGGGGGCGACCAGGTCTCGTCGCACCGGTACTTCGTACTGTACAGTACATGTTATCTCTGGTATGCGACGCTATTTCTGCTGACCGCTTCTGCTGTTACACAATCGCAGTCAGCATGCATTCTGCATTCAACATTATTCTCACCGCTGTTCGCTGCCCGAAATAAATTCGAAGCACCTCCCAGGCCCAAGGCGGGAGATCGGGGAGCTGAGCAGCCACCCTGGAGTTGATGCTGATACCCCACGTTTCGCCTGTTCTCCCCATACTATTGCGAATCCGGCGGTGATTATTCGCGGTCCTGGTGATAAGCTATCGTCGTCGCATGTCACGCAGCGCCGCTTGCCTCGTTGAAGCCGGAGAAGTGGGTCGTGAAGTTTCTCGGCTGCCCCCCCTATTTTCTATCGTCAATGATCTCGCTTCAACTACGACATGATAAATCCTCCATACAGAGTATCGTAGCTTACCTAGGTAAGTTAGTAAAGCCAACCCCCTGCGGAATTTTGTATATTCCTGACTACTTTTTTTCTTCTATACTTCCTTGCAGAAGTGCTTGCGACGCGCGACATAAGTGAAGATGCAGACATGGGATTTGTATAAGATGGAGTCTGTTACGTCCACAACAATCGTCGATGTCGTCGCTGGACTCCGTATGGAGCACTCACGAGCGCGGGATTTGGTGTAAATTGTCCGCCTCGTCTATTTTGCAGTTGGAGAGTTCTTTCGTTCCTAATCTGGAGTGTTTTCCCCAAGTACCACCTAGGAATTGGACAGCCTCCTCAATTTCCCCCTTCTACCAAAAGAAGCACTTATCCTCAGAGATTTCCTTGATCCCGAGCTCCGTCTCAATAACTCAAGCCCTTAGACGGAGAAGTCCAATCTTTTCTAGATTGCTTCGGACTATCGCGAACCGACCGGTTGGTTTGTTTGCGCCCAGGGCCGGAAAGCGCCGTGGTTATACGTGTGTGAGCAGTTGCTTTTTGCAAAACCTGGTTAGACAGACAGGTACCGTATGCGAGTCATCTTTTTAATTATTGCTTTTTGTGCAAATCCATCCAAACCTAATGACGTTATTGCGGTTTACGAGCCGTTGGAATAGCGCGGGTTTGTTCCCAGTCGCTGTTCAAGGCCTTTCGCTGGAAATATGGCTTCATACCTTCGCTACAGTACACTTATTACAACTTGCTTCGTGGGGTTCTCGATTCTCTATCGGATTATAGAACCTACTATCTATCTCACAGGCTCTGTATATCTCCCAGTTGATCCCGTCACAGTTTATGATGGCCGTGAGATATATTTCTATACTTCTCGGGTGAGAGTGGTTGAAGCTAACCTACCTCCACGGCAAATCAACAACTATCTCGTGGACCGCGTTTCTTGGGAGCTATGTCTGCCTTGTTCTATGCAACTATCAAACAATCGGAAGACTTTCCGTACCACCATATCAGATGGCCATGTGCAGGTTATGTGGGGAATTGTTTGCTTTGCTGCCTTGTTGTGATCACTCTGCCCACCAGTTACACCAGTTTGGCCCCATTCGCAGACGAGGACACCAAAAGAAACCGGCGCCTCTCAAAGGTCCAGACAGTACCTCGCAGACACGAGCAGTCGTACCACGAGGATCGGGGCAAGCGCTTCCAGGTCGGATGATGCACTTTAGCCCCGGTTTAAGTTTGAACCCATATTTCAAGATGAGTTGTTGAGCCTCGCCCGATCCTATATCGGCCCTCGTTGTCGAATGATATTTTGTATATCGGATTACCAATGCTTCGCATCTGCTTTTCCCGAGGGCTTGTCGTAAGGTCTGTAGCCTCGAGACATGCGACTCTCACGGGTGACTGCACACCGACGACGTTGGTTCCACACGCTTGATCAAATCCCTTGATGCATGCCCATCACATCAGCCTGCCTTAGGAATTGTCATTTGGCTTCTTGCTTATTTGTCCTATGTGATATGGGAAGCTACAATATTTCGTGTATCCCAACTGTTATATAAGTCCTGAAATTTCCCCATGGCTAGAAATCCCTATCAAATTTCGTGTCTCATTTCCACTGGTATTGGAAGTCTTCCACTCAACCACACCATATTGAGGTCACCCATAACTCATACCGAGGTCACCTCCTGATATACCTTCATAATTTCTACAGCACCATTATTTGCAGCTTACAATGCCACCTTGCAACACTTGTGTACGTTCAGCTAGAGGATATGGCCAAATGAGCCTGGTGAAGAGGCAACCTGGCTCCAACGTCCGTTTAATCGTCGATACACCTGGCTATGTGGCCGAAGTTCCTCAGAAGGCACTCCACGCCCATCTACCAAAGCTTTTCCACGACGCCAGACAGGCCGGGAACCGGGTAGTCAGGCCTCTCGATTACTTCACGCAGACATTTCAAAATATCAAGGACGAGAATCTCCACTCCGACGCGTTGAACTGGGTGTTCACTCGAATAGAGCGATACACGAACTACCCGCATCAAACCTTCCCCTTCAATGCTCCCGATCCGGACAACACATTTCAGATTCTATTTCAATACACCGAAGAAGCATATAATTCCGATGATCCAGCCCTATCACTCCTAATCGAAAATGCCATGGAACAGTTCACAGCAGTCAGCAATGTCCTTAGGAAGGATCGCGGTCTCAGTCACAGTCGGCAGCTCCTACGCGAGTATATTGAAACCGCTCGGTACTTCCTCCCCTATGTCGCCGATCAGGGCCCAATGTATACCTTTGACCTCCTGGAAGCTGTTTATAATGCCAGCACGCATAATATGGGGGCGATGCAACGGCTGGTTCAATCACTGGGATTGCAGGAGCGGGATGAGCTGGCACGGGTTACTTTTTCGGAGGCACAGAATGGCGATATCATGGCGCTCCGATTATTGCCGTTACTTTGAGGTGGCGGCTTCATGAAACAGTCGAGCTGGCTGGATATGTATATATACCATAAGTTAAATTTATAGGTTTCGCTATATCATAATTTCTCCTAGTTACCTCTTTTACCACTTGCTATGAACATAGCTAGCTAGTTATTGCTCAATCACGCGTATTTTAGACTATATGTGTTGAAGATTGTTGCAGCTTTCTTTATTGGCCGTCCTTTGGAGCCTGGTCGTGTGGTACGAGTACAGACAAGGTACCAGCTATGCTGCCACGGCACCCGGCCCCTGCTCGTACTTTAGTTGGTTAGAGCCTCATAACATGGCTTCACTCATTCAATTCCTCACATTAGTCGATAGCACCACCAGGACGACTCTATTGCGAGATATGCCCTCCAGTGACATCTACTTACCGTGCGAAGTGCATTCGCGATAGCATTATGTAATTTATGGACAAGTTCATCTCTAACGTTTCTGAGAGATTGGCAATACTCCATGGCTACATCTTGTGAAACAGCCCACATATAGTTGAAAAACGGCAGCACTGGGAGTTTTCAGGATCCGCCCCACCGTTAAAGGATCCATGAATATATCGAGTTACCACCAAGAGCTGACGGAACGGACACCGCTTGCCCGACAACTGGCCCATTTATGTTGAGCATGCTACATCCACTTGGAGCCTGGTATCTCGTTGGACAGAACGCGTCTAGATTGCCTACTTGCCTACTTGCCGGCGGAATCTTGCATGATATATATTTGCTAACAACGCTCGTGTACGTCGCATATTGCGACCATGCCAAAGCTTTGTGCCGGAAGACGTGGCTTGAGGAAATAATGCGGATGCGTATAAGACATCTATACATTTATGGTGCAATGGATTGCGAGATCACTGAATATATGGAGAACTTTAAGCAGAGAAGCTGTATCTTCGTGAAACATTTGGTAATAATCGATTCGGGCTATTGATACACGAACTGAGCTGAATCATAAATGTACTAAAACCGACATAACTGACAAAGCGCCATAAAAGTGGAAATGATTCAAAGCATTAAGGCCCTATTCTCTCTGAGTATTTAGATTGATTAAAATGCGCAGTGCAAAAGGCCTACCTCCAGTGTCCAAAGCCTTGAGATAAAGAAACAAGATACTCAAAAACTGCATGTCTTAGACAACGAGGCTTGTGTTAAGACACCACACCAATTTATTGGGGCGACGCTTACTCCGTAGGGAGGGACCATGCCACTTGCATTTTCTGCTGCTCCTGGCTGGTATGAAACCAGGATCGAAAATGCCATAAATCTCCCCGACGAAGGATAATTCCCGGATGCAGCTGGTGTGGATTCAGATAAAACACGTTGCCACCGCTTGGCCGGGGCGAACCGGTGGCAACAAACAAATATAGTACATGAATGAATTCGGTCTCTATGGAATGCACAGGGCTAATGGCTTTTCTAGGGAGCGAGTCCGTGACACCGAGCTAGACCTGACTGAGATCGCAAGAAGAAACTTAAAGCGGAGCCAATACTACGCATGGCGGGTAGAATTAGAAGCTATTTTCGAAGAATGTCTTGCTTGGGCTGGAGGTGGAGGTGGAGGTGGAGGTTGGTTGCTGAAATTACCGCTCTGATGGAATGGAAGTCATGCGGGTGTCATGTGCGGGACGCAGGCCTAGCTGCTTTCGATCTGAGCTCCTCCTCCGCTGCTCCCTTCCTCGAAGCTCTCCGGATAGATATACTTTTCCTTTCCTCTCCTCTCATCCTCCTATGAACTTTCTCTTTTTCTCTGTTGTGTCGTCTCCGCCTTTGCGACCCGGCTTTTCCGCGCCTCTGCCAAGCAAAATCCTTCCAGAACATTTCCTCGCATTATTGCTGACCGCGACGAAAGTTGGCAGCAGCTAACCCCGGAACAAGGGAACCGCGCGAACAGGCGTGGCGTGTGAGGCCATCAAACGCATCCACGTCTCCAAGAACTCCAAGATCTGGGCTCGCATCTTGTGTCGAGATCTGACTTGTCCCCGCTTGCAGCAGCCAGCCTACCATCGCTTGGAGTCGATACAATTGCATACCAAGGTACCTGGTCGCCAGCTCTCGCGCGACTTCCGCAGCGTTGACATATTGGTGGCGCATTGCCATCACTGTCACCAAGTCTTCCAAGACCGTCCTTATCCCCATAAAACCTGCATTTCTACACTACCAGGGGCCATTTGACCAATGGCAGATCTACGAGAACCTCAGGCCACCGGCGCAGGGCATGGCAACACCACGACGCACACTGCCAGTGATCCAGTATCCTCGAGATCAGTTCCACACCTGTCATCGAGCCCTGCTGTTGAGATGACCGATCTAGACGCTTCGCGTAAGCCCCAGAGAATACCTGGCGCCGGCTCGCAGGACGATCTTAACAATGTCGAAATCCCCGCCATAAACTCTTCCGCTTACACCACAAATACACCGGACATGGCTTCTCCTGAGGAGACGAGGCCCGACGACACAGCGGCGGCAATGGCGAAACCTGCTGGTCCTCGTTCGTCCACGGATGCGAACACATCTGCCGACCCCTTATCGACATCGAATAATAATACCCCGGCGTCGCCGGAGCCAGCAGAAGCTTCAGATGCTCCCACTCCTCAAGAAGTGGCACGGCACGACTCGGCTGGCATTGGTCCATCGATAGAAACAATTCCTGCTGCTGTTACCACTAGCAGTGATGCGGGACCGGTCCTGGTTATCACTTTGCTGCTTACATCGGGAGCACGGCATCCATATAAAATCGACGAGAAGTACCTGACGAAGAGGAATGTCAGCGTTCCGGATATGACGGAGAGTGGAAGGAAAGATCCGTTCAGTATTAGCGTGTACACGCTGAAAGAATTGATACTGAGGGAGTGGAGGAGCGAGTGGGAGCCTCAACCCAGTAGTCCAAGCAGTATACGATTGATATATTTTGGAAGACTATTGGATGATAAGACCCCTTTAAAAGGTAAGGCTTGGAACCCCCCCTACAAATTTGAGCTATATATGATTCTGCGTGTACTGAGAGCTAATACTCGCGATGTCTAGACTGTAGGTTCAACGCCGATGCTACAAATGTCGTTCACATGACTGTACGCCCCCAAGATATGATTGATGAAGAAGATGCTGCCAAAGCGAAGGGAATGGGCCGTGACAGAAGCGACAATGAGAGCACGACCGGTTGTCGGTGTGTCATCCAATAACCACCACCCATCCAAAAACTATCGACAATCCTACCATACACTCCCACAACCGATTTGTCCGCGTTGCATTTTAGGCACAGAGCACCATCCATCTATCAGTCCTCCGCCTTGGTATTTCGGAAGATATACTTTTGACTCGGGGTAGGGAGTGGGTGATATATATAGCATCATGAAACGAACGATATTTCAGCGAGAGGAAGACTGGCGTTTAGGGGTTTGCGAAATTTACAGCTTGACGAGGGTGTGCTTTCTTTTAACACAACGTAACGTAGCGATTTTCCTGGTATTTTCCGAGCAAGCGAAGGAGGGTGATATGGTATGCGTTTAAAGTAGGGGGTGTGGTTTGCTGCTAGATGGCAGTGGTGGCAGCTGGGAAATGAGGGCTGGAGTACGGGATTGTGTATAGTTAAGAGTGCTGGGGGTTTCTAATGTATCAAGCATGGTATATGGAATGGCGCCTTTTGGTGGCCTGCCTGAGAGATTTGGATAGAATGTACCTACCTAGGTAGCTATCATTCGTCACCTGCGCTGTCTTCTTCATTGCTGCATCCATGACAATGCAAGAACCATGTTGTCATGCATTAATTCCTAACTTTATGCCACATCCATCATCTCTCAACGCCAGCAAAAGTCCGTATGTTGATGTTACAAGCTTGGTCCCATTCCACGTCTATAGCCTACTGCATCCGGACCTTCCTCTCAACCTCCTCATGGAAACCGGGAATATTTCGTGTCTCGTCGCCGGTGAAGATGTCCTCCCATGTTATCTCGCACTCCCTTCCCTTTAGGATATCTTCATGTACATCGCCTGTAGACTCAAGTCAGCACATCATTCGCTTCACATCACCGAATCCCCATTCCAATTCCATCATCACCATGACCGAACACAATCAGGCACCAGCATCCACTAAGAACAGCTACAGCAAGGAAAACTGTAAACATACCTCTACCACCCCCTAGAACAGCAGGTCTCCAGCTTCCCTCTCTCACAATCTTAAACTCCATGCCCCTTCTTATCGGCTCCGCGATCCCGAACGTCCTTCTCAATCCCTCCATCTTCAGTGCTTCTTGCGTTGCCTCCCAGTTCTTGAGTCTTGCTTCCAGAGGATGGGAGGAATCCGGTGCGTCGACGCTCGAGGCAGATGTGGAGAGGGAGAATTTGGGTCCGACACCTGCGCGTAGTGTGTCATGGAGACCTGGGGCAGAGGGCGCGCCGATGCTGTGAGAGGCGAGATGGCTATGTGAGCTTGGGTTCGCGGCCGCAGGAGCGATGCGCATTGCCTGTTGAAAGGGGGTTAGCTATTTGGTAAGAAGGGGGAAGCATTGGATTGAAGGCGAGTTTAGAGCTTTGGGAGCGCGCGCTCGAGGAAGCTTACCATGGTGGATGATGTGCAGCTGTGTTTGTGGTTACAATGGTGCTGAGGATGGGAATAACTGGGGTTTATGACGACGAAATTTCGATGTGCGAGCGGGCGGTTGTTGGTGGTGTTGTTATACAGGCAAGTGGGTTGAGGCTTGAAGTTGAGCTTCGGAGCTCTAGGCACAAGGGAGACGTGGAATCGCGAACAGTGATGCGCTTTGTGGTGGAATGGGCCACCGTGCAGTTATATTAGTCAGCAGAATCACTACATAAGGTACCTCGGTACTTAAGCTGAGCCAACTCGACACCGAATACTGGCACCTCGTTTCTACAGGAATAAATAAGACGACTACGAAATGCCATCCTTACATTTCCTAAATGAATTACTCCCGGAAGTCCCCGATCTACTTACAATGGAAGACATTAAACTCTTGTTTTGAGAGCGGATAAATAATACACGGAGCGACGGAGCTCACCCACAGCCAACCACTGTAACATTGGTGATTTCCAAAACATTCTCAATTATGGGGAGTTCAAATATGATATTGAAGAAATTATCTGAGGTGATGCGCTTTAAAACATTTTGGGGATATGTGGGCACCGCTTCAATACTCCTATAGGTTTACAAGGTGGGTTTTGACGTACAAACCTTGAAGAAAGCCTCTAAGGGTAGAAGGAAGAATAGTGGGATGATAACCTCTAAGGGCTGAGCATAAAATAGAGCTTTTTGATCTATTGGTGGCTTTATGGGCAACAAAAATCACTATGGAGAGCGGTAGGAGGCTAGGTTTGGACACCCACGCATCTTTGACTATTATTTCAGACCCCCCGTTGAGACTCCGGCCTTCCAATTACCATCGCAAGATTACCAAATGCTGCTCTTGTGGTTATGGCGTGGAGCGCATAAACGCTCCAACGTGGAGCCTCGCTTCATCTTGGCCGAAGAGGACATATCGAGGTCTTCCACGGTTGGTATGGCAAAGGCAAAATGCCCATATCAGCATGCACTAATATTGCAGTGAGCTCTACCTCTCATAGACTATGCCTGCGCCATAGGTTGGATTAGTGGGGTGAGGGGCTATAGTAGTTTTAAGGTATATTAACTAGAAAATATCATGCTGTACATACTTTTCTTCTTGGCAAGCAACTATAGAGCGAAATAAACTCGATACAGGTTGCAAACAGTCCTTTGCAAAATACTTATTGGTTGCGAACCAGTCCTAAAATGGCTTGACTTTGAGTTATCCATACTAGTGCTGGAAAAAGTTAAACTTATCGACTTCCCAGCAAGGTCTTCACTTCTACGGCACCACGACACCTTGATCCATGCTGTTGACTGCGATCTCGTAAAATGGTAGCATACGATCCCAGTTGGCCCCAAAACTAGAGAGTACAACCTGCATATCCTGCGGTGTCACCTCCTTTCGGGAACCTAAATGTTTTGAAAGAGTAGCCTGAAGATCCCGGATGGTCTTAATCTCCTCGCTTTCAGCGGGACTCGGCTGGCGTGGTGACAATGAGGGAGCGCCGGCATCCAATCCCCCGTAAATAGCATAACTAGGAGATCCCGGTGGTGGATGAAGAAGTACGTTGATACGAGCTGGTTTGTAGATGGAAGTTTCAATGCTTTTCCAGCCTGGTCCAAGAAAAAGCTGGAGATTCTTGGGCGTATCGTTGCCAGTGATGATGAGTCGGCGAATTGGTTTCCTTGGAGCTTTAGTCAGTTTGGATTATCCACACAAACTCGACACGCGGGAGCTTACTCTAGGCCTTCCGTAGCACCAGTGGGAAGGGTCAAATTCACGGACTTGGCGAGATCTTTCGCTTCTGGCACTGTATGCGCGATTGTGTTGTAGTACGTGAAAGGGTCTCTCGGGGAACTTTCAGGACTCTTAACACAAACCTTCTTGTGCTCCTTCCAGTCATTTTTTTGGCATCGTTTTGAACAATACGAGGCTTTGAGGCACCCTGCACAGCGAAGTAGTGGTGTTGAAAACGTTGAAGCACCCTTCTTACAACTGCTACATGCCATAGTGTCGGCCGCGCCTTGTCCTGTCAGCTCCTTGAGTTTACTGAGAAATACGGACCAGGTTTCATCAGATGCATCATTATCTCTCTTGCTTCCAATACCCATACTGCAAAGATCTTCCCGCACACCCAAGGCCTTGAGCTTCGCCTCGATGGCTCTGGCGAGACCGGCGTCTTTTGTGCCCCACGTCCAAGGCGCGAAAGGTGGTACCTCAGATACCTCTCCATTTGGGCCTCTATCAAGTCCCTTGACGAACGATTCGAGAAGGAGAGGCACGACAATATCTGCCTGGGCGCCTGGCGTTGGTAAAGATAGAATGTCTTTTGGCCCTGCAGTATGCATAAAGGTGCTCTCGGGATGAACCAAATGAACTAGGTCGCTAGGCGGGTTTAAGGGAACATGTCTGACGGCCAAGTACCAATAAGACGATAACCCCGACGGTGTTGTCTGAGGGCGCGGAAGGTTGTTGAATGCTTGCACGGTAGCTTCCATCTTGATACTAGGATAAGATGATCGATGTCGTTGGGCGATGCGGTATTTGGATAAGGTTAGGTACCGAGGTACCTTTACGGGCTGGGAAAGGTACTGAAGCTACCAGGTAGGTTAAATTTAGGCTTCCCGTATTAGCGATAGGTTGTAGTTTACATAAGCAGCTTATTTTAGGTGCTACAAGTCGGTACGTACCTTACCTTCGGTACCTCCCCTTTACATGTAAGTTAAAGAGTGGTCATCGACTTACCTTATTACCATAGCCCCTTGACTCCAATCAAGTAAGCATTGTACTCGAGTAAGCCGAAGCCGAATTATCAAAGCCACACTCAATTTAGTTATATGATTCCTTCCTCGCTACCAAAGTTCTATCTACAAGTGCTTAGGTATTCATTATACATAGTAAGATGCTACGGATCACTTACTGGGGCATTTTTATTATTGTCCAAACCATCGTATCAGCGACGACCTCGTAGTTTACTTAAGCAGCCCAGTTCAAATTAAACAATGATCACCTCCAAGTATATAAGACCCCTTCATCTCTCGAGTTCCAAAGAGATTAAAGACAACCGATTGTCCTTTTCCTTCTTTTGACCACAAGCTCCAAAACCCACCAGCAAAGCTCCCACGCAACATTACCCTTTACACCTCATCATAGCAGTCCGTCATCTTGAAATAATTGTGCCCCAAGCTCTCACTTTAATCGCCCTCCTGGCGGCATCTGCCTCCAAGGTCCATGCAGCGGGGTGTTACCGCGACGGAGTCGAATTTAGCCACCTGAGCGGCGGCAGTATCGACGGCGCCATCAGCTACTTCTGCAACAACATCAAGCCCCAAATAATGCCTTCTTTCACCTCAATTTCCCGGTGCTTTCCTTTCCCCGAGAACAACTCGGGGGACCATATCGACATTTCTATCTCGAACCCCACCTGGCAGGTCCTCGCCATGGACACGGAGGCGTGCATCACTGCCTACACCAGGGAGAAGAATGCATGCCGCAGTGGAAGCGAGCAGTGGGCTCTGCAACTTTACATCAGGATCGACCCCAATGAGGGGAAGTGCGGCTAATAAGCCGGGAGCACGAGCTACTCGAAAGAGATCGAAATGCCATGTATGTCTTTAGGTAAGTCTCATTTTGCTCTGCTCTGCCAATGACAACCTACTAATAAATACGCATAACTAGAACTATAAAAGGAGTTGACTTGTTTAAGATGTTCCCGATAATAGGTGTACTGCTAGCAAAGCTACTAAAACAGATATAAATCATGTGATAGTATGGTGGGAAGACAACTGAGATTTTGTGGTTACTATTTATAGGTTAATTCAACTTAACTAGAGCGATTCGTCCCGCTTCATTTGAAATTTGAATTCTTTCTTCAGGAGTTCTTGACCGCATAAAAGTGCTTCCTTATCCTTATAATGTTCCATCCAGCGACCTAGTATAAGAGCACCACCAGCTAGTCCTTCAAGTGTAAAGAAGTTAAAGAACGTATCTAATTCTGCCATTTCATAGTAGCCATCAGTTCTCGACCAACGCGAATAGTCCAGGCAACTTGTAAAGCTAGTAGTCAGTCATAATTATATAGAGAATTGACCACAGACTGAATATACCAGTTACCTCTGTAAAGAGCCTTACGTGTTAAGGATTGAAAAAGCCAGAATCTGGAAGATGCTCACCATCTATATCCCCAAATATAGAACTACTGACATCAGCCAGATAAATACTTGAACCGCCATTTTCATCGCCGTGAAAGATAATTCTCGGGTCGTCGGCCGGAATATATGACACTTTTCTGATGAATATACTGGGTGACTCCTACAGCTTGCGTGCGCCATCTTATGCGCATGGCTATGTTAATTGTGTTGTGATTATCGAGATAGGCTTGAAAGTTTTCACGGTTAGCCTCAACGAAGAGCAAACCTCTATGGTTTTCAAAAGAACCTAGGTATCTATAAATTGTATTAATAACGGTATAGTAAGAAAAGTATGGCGGTCCGTATGTGATTAGATTCGGTTGCGGCCCAAGAATACCAAGTATTACCCCCTCAGTGAAACTATGTTAGGGTTATTACAATGCCATGGACGTCGGCAGGTGAAGAGTTCCAATATGAAAATCGTTGATATTCAGAACAACAATATAGGTCGAGCCAGGGCTAAGAACTTCTTCGACAACAGGGCGATACTCTAATAGTTCTTGAACTCCAATGTATTCAGAAGGTGTCGCTTCGTCTACCGCCGCTAGCTTGTTACTGTACCTTGGGCTTTTATCTTGCAGTGCAGGTGAGTAGGGAGTAACAAGCGGTTCGACTAAAGCTTACGTTTGATATTTTGAGACTATAATACCCGCTCTCAATATCCCGTTCTGCCTTCATTTCTTGAATCCATATAACCCGTGGTATATTAACCAAACGCGAACAATGCTAGAAAGTAGCAACTCTGAAGCAGAGTACAGCCGCCAGCTACGGATCTCATTGATAAGCAAAAAACCTATTTATGTATACCTCAACGCGCTGAGGGCCGCTGAGATTTACCAGGTGACAATGTGTTGTTGTCTATCCGGTATATGGTAGAAATGGAAAATTAATCAAGCTAGTCGACCATGATATAAGAGAGTATAGGTATAAGTATAGTATTATGCTATATGCTTATACCACTTTTTTATTATTTTAAACTATAGACATGATTAGGTTTACTTTATCAAGTCGTAGTATTAAAAGCGAATCTACCTTTGGATTTATTGAAAACCACTAGCTAGTAAGTACGCTATGCATCCATACACCCACTTGAACCATTTCTCGCACCCCTATAGTGGCGGGGTATCTGCGGAGAGAGTGGCCATCACCCTATGAGACCGGTCAACACTCCATGGAGCCAAAAATAAAAAAAGAGACACTTACGCGGCAGGGTACCGAGTACCTTGGATTTCTGCTCGCTCCGCTAGAGTCCGAATCTCTTGCACTTCTTGGTCGCTCAACTGAAGCAGCGCAGAGGCAGCATTTTCGTCCATTTTGGCGGTAGACTTCGTACCTGGAATGGGAATGATCTCCGGTCCTTGCGCCAGCAGCCACGCAAGAGCGACCTGTGCCGGGGTACTTCCATGGGCATTGCCAACGTCTTTCAATCGCTGCACCAACTTCATGATCTTAGGGAAGTTTTCCTCCGAGTACTTGGGCAACATGCGGCGCAAGTCACCCTCAGGGATGTCTGCGTGAGATTGGAACCGGCCGGTGAGAACACCGCGTCCAATAGGGCTGTAGGCTACGACAGTTATACCTAGCTCGCGGCAGGTTTTCAGGATCTCCGAGGTAGACGATTCGATGTCCAGAGTAAATAAGCTGTATTCCATCTGTAGAGCGGCAATGGGGTGGACGGCATGCGCTCGACGAAGCGTGGCTACTGAGACCTCCGACAGACCGAGATACCGAATCTTTCCTTTGCTATCAAATTGGAAGGTTGGAAATCGCTTGCTTGCACGTCATTTGAAGGTTGGTTGGACCTACTTCTTCAGCTCCACCATGGCTTCGATGGTCTTTTCAATGGGCGTGACCCCATCCACCCGATGGCAGTAATAAAGGTCAATGGTTTCCACCCCGAGTCTCTGGAGGCTCTTTTCACATGCGGCCTTGACGTACTCGGGATCAGAATGAAAGGTGTGCCTTCCATCCGGTTGGCGCTGGAGCGCAAACTTGGTGGACAGGAAAATGTCATCGCGCTTGCCAGATCGCTGAATCCATTCACCGACGACATCCTCGTTATCAGCGTAAACATCGGCCATGTCCCAGAAACGTAGTCCGGTAGCATGTGCATGATCTAAAAGGGCCACTTTCTCGTCGACGGTACCTGCTGGGCCGTAGAATCCGCCGAGGCTCCCAAGACCGAGACCGATGGCAGGGACTTGGGGGCCATCTCGGCCCAGGGTTCGCAGGGGAAGAGGCATTTTGAGGCTTTGGAGGCTTTGAAGGAAGATAAGTGCAGAACAATACTTCGTACCCGGGCCTCAGTTGAATGTTTATATGTACTCGAGTACATGAGCGCACGGATTCCGAATACTGACTAGCTAGGTACCTAGGTACAAAAAGCACCCCTGACTCGGCCTGAGTCATACGGTAAGCTATACCCGATTCGGCTCCCCGACAATCAATCGTCATACATGGAACAAGATATCCCTAACCCCGCGCTGCATGTATGTTGGTTGATATATCAATTTCTTGACTGATAAGTCCTCGAAATACAGCCAGAAACCGGGCGACCGCACTTTTGATGCATGGTTTGATTTTTAGAACTGCAGGACATTCTGTCGGTCACTGATGACATGCATTGAATTAGTTTTTAGATAGCTAATGAAATTTGGTTGTCATAGTAGCATTCAGATATCTTGAACATTTCGGTCGTCTGGAAGCACCTATACTTGACATTATCATTCTATAAACACATACTCGAGGAATCGCAGAGAGGTCTCTGCGCCATTGAAAGATATCTACGATGCTCTATCTAACCCTCGCTAGTATTGTCCTTGTTGCCGCTGGCGACGCAGTAGTTGCCTTCCCATCCGCTCCCACATCAAACAAAAATAGAGACAGCGCTATACCTCCATAGGTGGGATCATCGACAACAAGCCAGTCACCATTTAAAGCCTGCATTCCCAGGAACGGGCCGAGGAAGGAACCAGCAGGTATTTCTGGCAGGACAGGAACAGCCCTGAAGGCAACCTTTCCTGGCTCCTGTATTGACGGCTGTAGCTTTACGGTGGAGTATCCGAGTAAGTCCGGGAGCAGCGGCATCATATCGGTTGAGTTGTTGGTCCATGATGAGATGTACAGACCTGGATTTGTGGGTGTGTCGTTTAGCATTAGTGTTAATGAGGAATTGAGGTCTGGGTTCTTGGATTCGTAAGTGCCGGCAAAGTTGCACTTGGTCTCCATGGCAGCTTCGGCCTCGAGGATCGGGAGCATGGTAGTGGTGATGAGGTCGGCAATCGTGGCTGCTAAGATTGATTTCCGCGTCTCATTAGTTGAGGCGCTAAGGACAATGAAACCGGCATCATAGTCTGGGACTAGAGTAACGAAACCGGCGTAATGGCCTGAGTCGCCCAATTTGGTGTAGATGTCGGTGACGGCGCCTGTGTTCTCGTGCGTATATCTATATATTTCCCACGGTGCGCCGACGGAAAAGTTGCGGCTAGCGGTATGAGAGACAGGTTTCATCCACTCTCGTGTTTTGTCCGCGGGGAGAAGAGTCGAGTTCATCAAGGCAGTTCCAAATTTTGAGAGGTCGTTGAGAGAGGAGAACAGTCCACCGGAAGATATGGAGATACCGCCGGGAGCTTCCCACTGGGTCGGATCATCCCCAGCAATAACGCTGTGGGACCATTCTGATTCAGGTGGGATGGAAGAGTTTGAATTGGTCATAGAAAGAGGACTGAAGACCGTATCATGATAAACCTGAGCAATGGGTTTACCAGTGATATTCGCGAGCGCAATGCCAAGGAGTATAAATCCATTGTTAGCATACCCGGGAGTTGTCCAGGGCTGGAACGATGGAGGGCGTGCCTCGCCACCATGAAAGTACAGGTCTGCCGGGCAGGCTGAGAGCGGATCCTTGAGAAACAGCTCATAATCTGCCGCGCAAGGATAGTAGGTTGTTGCATCGGTGAAATTCAAAGGCGGCAGACCAAACTTTGCTGGGTCTATAGTTGGCATACCAGTCGTTGGGTTTGGGAATAGCAAATCCGAGCTCCAAGGTTGAGCCGTGCGAGGAACTCCGGCAATTTGAGCGGCAAGTGCGCGCAGAGTAACGTCCTCCCACTGTACATCTCGAGTGAGGTCATTTCCAACTTTGTCCAGAGAAGATTTCGAGAGGCTCGGGACAAAATCTGTAATTGGCTTGTCCCATTGTCCGTCCTTGAACTCGAGCATGCCTGCGTAGGTGGTGATGAGTTTGGAGATACTAGCGACGCGGTAGATGCTGTCTCCGTCCACCTCATCGGCGCCTGGGCCATTTTTGACTTCATCGGACGTGTGATGGTATTGCAGAGATTGGGCGGCAGGATCGTGGATGGAGAACATGCCGATGGAGAAAGTCAGGTTGTCTAATCCATCCAGAATCTTCGGCGTTGCGCCTAGACTCCCGTCAATGTATGCATCGAAGGTGGAGCTGAGATTCCTCCAGCCAGCGGCTACCAAACTGCCATTGCTGGCGAAGTCAACGGGAGCTGGAAATCTCGGTCCCAGGAAGTCAGAACAGACTCCCGTTATACCGATTGTTGTAAGGGTGAAAATGTGCGAAGAGAAACGCATCTTAAACGGGCGAGGACTTGAATGCAGCTATGAAGGTGCTAGAAAACTGTCACATCTCAACACACTGCCCTGGGGCCATACTCATATTTATATCTCTGAGCTCCCACATTTTGAAGCCAGAACCACTTGCAATGACGCCTGAATCAGGGGATCTGTCAGGCAGTGCAGCATGGGGACAGCAGCATGGGTAGCCTCAAATGTAGGCCCGTTTACTGCGAGTCAGCCTACTTCGTACAGTATTACAGCTAGACGCCATGGGAGACAGTTGTATTTACACGTATGGAGTAGGTAGTAAGTAGGTAGTATACCTAGGAATTGATAAAGGGGAAGGGGGCGGCGTGCAGACCTGACGAAGTAGGATCAACGTATGAACCGGTAGGATGACGTGGCTGCCCTTCAGATCGATCCTAATATCGATTAATGGAGCAGATGGAATTGAATTAAACCGTATAAGTACATATGGTGCGCTGCTGTGCTGACGATGACGGTCAGGAGAAGGTTGACGGGCTTGGCAGACTACCTCGGATACGAGTCTGATAGACGCCAAAAGATGGCTTTCCCCTGCATCGAATGGCACATTTACTCTAGCCCGATTAGATAGGAATGCGCCGCTCTCAAGCCGGGCTTGTAAGAAATTGCCTCCGCGACCAAAACGCACCTGCTCTCAAACCCACTCGGCAGCCAGACAGCCTTGAGCCCCAGATGCCCAAAGTCGCACAGGGGCGAGCATATCAGCTGAAAACATAAGACTTGACACGAGACTTATACCTGACTGATTATGTAGTACCACGAGTGAACTTCGATGAGACATGGCCAGCTTGTCTTAGATGCATCTCAACACATCGTGCCTGCGACGGCTACGCTAATGTCCAAACCCGTGCTCGTCGCGCTCCAACGTAGTCCTGCCATTGCCGGTCCATCTGTTGATGTCCACGCCTCCCTACAGTCAAAGCGATCGTTTGCATTCTTCGTGCAACGGACCTCCCTACAACTAGCATTCTTTTGTGGGTTTGACTTCTGGGAATGACCCGTCCTTCAAGCTGCACACTGTAAATCAGCCGTACATCATTCTATTGTCGCGATAGGCTCACTCCGTGAGTTGATTGAGCATCAGACAGCAATTATTGATGCGGACAGGGCTTTTGCATTAGAGCAATACAATTTCGCAATTAGAGACCTACTAGTTCCTCTATCTCAAAGTGGGGAGCGAGGCGTCCATGCTTGACTCATCTCGAGTATTTTCGCTTGCCTCGAGGTATATCCCATTCTCTGCATGGCTATCATACTGTGTCGCTGTCCTCTTGTACATGCTGATTCTCTTAAAATATGCAAGGACGTCATTCTTCAGCAGGATCCTATATCAAACGTGGAAAGAAGCTAATGCGTGAAACTCTGCTTGACCAACACAATGGTGTACTTCAACACCAAGTGCTTGGGTCAAACGGTTATATGGATTGCTTACGCTCCACTAGAAGTTCTTGGGAGAGTATTTGTAGGACTGGGCTCGCAAGTTGGGATAGTAAGGGGGTTGAGTTCTGCTCTTCAGACTCTATCAAGTCTATGCACCCAGAGTAGATGACTGGACCAGTTCGAGCTCCATGAGAGTTGTTTCTCTAAGATAGCATTTGATGACGTTCCTTTATCCCTCTCTAGTATCGGCAAAAGATATCTTTGAATATGGCAGTTGCCTTTTCACCAGCAGACATGCCGCCCAGCTATCATGCGACTCAGCTGATTTTCCTGCCTCTGTTGAAGCCCGTATAGGTCACTTAGCAGTTTATTCCCAAGATTCCCGCTCGAACTGCAGACATTTCTAGAGTCAAATTGGCCATCTTTTACTCCGAAGGAAGATATTGCCGTAGCTGTGTTACAATTCCATGTGCTGAGTACCTATGTTTTATTGCATGTCCAACATCTATCTCGAGATACGATTTATGCCACATTACAAAGAAATGGCTGTACTTGCCCAGAAAGTTGTCTTTTCTACCTCACGTGGCAATAACCACGGAGCACAACCGACTTCCTTCTGTTTAGATATCGGGATTGTTATTACTCTCTACACCATTGCTAGTCAGTGTCGAGAACCTATCATCCGGCCGAAAAGCGATTTCACTTCTTCGACCAACACGGCGCCAAGAGTGACTCTGGAATAGCTTGCTAATCGCAAAGGTCGCTGAGAAGATTATAGAAATCGAAGAGAACGTGTTAGGAGACCTGGAAGCCTACACTGATGGCATGAATCGGGCGACGCCGTCGAGCACTCAGCCGATGCTTGAAATTGATGGAGGGGGAGGCCGATTGAAATATATTCGATAGGATCAAGGAGCTAATGCTCAAATTGATGTGGTCGAGAAGGTGTTTAGTTGGTAAGGCATATATGTACATGGCTTTCCACGATACACTTAGCTAGAAAGCATCGGGATTTCAATGCATCTTCTAACCTATGGATAATATTAAGAGATACCCTGACCGCATAAGTATGATATGATCATGTACATTGCCATCCTTTACAAATAAGCTAGACTTTATGAACTGCTGATACGGTGCCAAGCGAGAGACCGTATTTGTAGTGTCGTACCTTTGTTTCGATATCTCCATCCAAGACACTCACCTGGTGTCCCGACAACGCCGGTTTCTTCTTCCCCAGGCTTGAGGTTGGCTCGCTCTTCCCTATTGTTTTGTCTTGAACGCTGACCTAGTCATCTAGGTACCGCTCGATTACTAGAACCCCAATTTCGGACGAGTATCGCTTCCCTTAAATGCACAATGGCGCCTCAGTGTCCTCTGCTGTGACTAGAACAATACGTTTTACAACAAGGTGCTTCACGACTTGAGACCTCTCCTCAAAACCCTCGAAAGCCAGAGCATTGTAGGGGAGACTTAGAGCAAGTCGGTGCTTGGATGGACCGGGTGGCAGATCAAATCCCACGACACATTTACCAGGCTATTTGGCGGCGACACTTACGACCTAGCAACGCTTATTGAAAAGTGAGCAACTACCGCTCTATCAACAGTTGTTGAAGCTGTCTACAAAAAATTGCGCGATCTCATTAGCGCCGAACGATAAAAATGCTCAGGTGCTGATTATTGAGGGCATAAGTCTAAATGCACCTCAATCTCCTCCAAAGGACGAATCGTCGACGCTAATCAATTCACAGCATACCAGCAGCGCTATACAGAACAGCTGCAGCTTCGCTAAAATAAGAGCGTACTACCAGACTAGCAACGACTCTTTCGATCTGCTTGAGGAAGGGCTGTTTGATATTGTTCAAGATGGGACTTTGAAGGGTAATATTAGGCGACCTGATTTTGGTGGATTTTGTGCATTGCACAGAAAAACCGTTGACTGGAAAGACGGTGGGGGTGGTGGCGGCTGACTGGCACTCGCCTGGTTTGATATTTTCGTTTTGGGGGTTCAGTTTCTACCAAAGCTGAGTGTAGAGACGTTTTATAGCAGATATTCGAACGCAATTCAAGTAAAAGAATTAAAATCAAAGCCCTCAAATTATCTAATCCAACTCCATTTTACCAGTCCCAGCAAAAGTCACGTGCACATAAAATCCAATACGCGTTAGGATTAACTTGAGAGTCCCGTCTTAGCGGTTTGAGGGAATCATACGCACTTCCGAAATGCATGAGCCACAACGATGCCTGTGACACCCTAAACAAGCCGTGTCGAAATCGTACATATGCACAGCCGATCCACACTGGCAGCAGTACCAGATCACCTCCTCGATATAAGGAAAATCTGATTTAACTGCCCTATTACCTGTACTCTTCACTTCGACCTCCTGATCTTTATCTTGACGAAGATCAAACTCTTCCCTATCCTCATCTATAATGTCACCTTTTATATCCTTAGCATCGTTTAAAGCTTGACTTGTTTCAACTGCTGTGGACGAGGAACCCATTTTGGCTCTTCTTTGTAATGGAATAAGTGGTTTTTGTCCTTGCCACCCTAAGAAACCTTTCCTCGGGACTTTTCGCGGGCCACGCGGACCACCTGGCAACCCCGCTGGGGGCGGAGGCGGGGGTGGAGGCGGGCCGCTCGCTCGATTAGAAGGTTCAGGCATTGGCCACATATGCATCGTAATTGACATATCCGGCTCTATCACTGTCTCCCACACTTGAGGTAATAAGATCTCACCATTCGGACCAATGAGGTCATAATGACCATCCTGGACATGTGGGCCAACCACATCGACGTTTTGGAATGCTTGTCGGATCAGGTCTTCCATGCCCTAAACAAGGTTAGTTTATTAATGCATGGAAAGGCGAAAACTCACAGCCCATGTCACACAGAGATGGAAAGGAAAGCTGAATTTACGGCCCACAGCATCCTTGAACTTGACAGGCTTCCTTCTGTCAGCTTCCGGGTTCTTCGCTGCCTTTGCAAGCGCATCGGCTTCCTCATTTTTAAATTTCTGCAGGTCGACTTCAAGACGCCGAATCTCACTATCACTATCACGCTGGTCAAGTTTGCGTTGATCCTCATGGCTGGTCTCGGAAGTAGCTGTGCGGTTGGATTCGAGTTGCTTCTTGGCAATCTCAAGCTGAATATCGCTCTCAAGCTGTGCTCGGTCCTTAAAATCATATTTACTTTCGTTATTAGTGCCGCAGCTGAACTCTGAGGCATTGCCGTCGTCTGTAATAGCCTCGAACATTGGATCACCCGGACTAAAAATTGTAAATCCTTCCATACCTTCAGGTTGGGGCTTGAGTAAGTCTTCTTGGTCGCCAGGATCTGTGTCATCTTCCTCCTGTTCATCTAGGCTCTCATTTTCCAACTCATCACTCCCCTTCACTGGCAAGGCAAACAAAGCTAGTTGCTCCATGTGACGTCCAAGATGTCTTCGAAATTGCTTGGGAGTTCCATATGGCTCGACAATTTCCCCATCATTCAAGAGTAGTCTCTTTGAATCCTGTTTCGAGTCACAAAGGTGCGTTTCCCACTCATTGCATAGTGGGCAAGCATTTACCGGAATCCTTGCAATAGGCTCTTCGCTCTGTAATATCACGGCCTCTATCTTTGATCCAGCTAGAATAGCTGGATGCTTAGAAACTACGTGTTTAGAGAACATTTCTGCGGTCGGAAATGCATCGTGTTGGCAAAATTGACACACCCATTCGCGTCTATGACACTGAAGCTCGTGGGTAAACCACTCGTTGCGGCTGCGAAACATTCTCGTTGCGCATTCTTGGAAAGTGCATACATATGGTTTCAAATCCCAGAACACATGTTTTCTTCCTATGTGTCAGCTGTGAAATGTTTATGAATGGTAGCTGGCTCTTACTTCCACGCGTTCTTGTTCTTTACTACCTGTTCGGTGTAGCAAAAGGGGCACTGAAAAGGCTCACCATACTCGAATGGCACATCTTCGAAAGCCCACTTTGGCGGAAGGGGGACCATCAACTTGGTCGGGCCGTCTTCGTTGGCGACTTCAGTTGCTTCATAGGAGGTCTGCGATCCAAAAGAACAAGCGACGTCCGACCCGTCTTCCTCCGGCGGAATCATACTTGGCACGAAGGTTGTGGCTTGAGTTTGTGCGATCGATTTCGCTGGCTTTTTGTCCTCTTGAATCGTTTCCTCAACAACATCGATATCCTCACCCCAATCTCCCGTCAACTTTCCGTGATGTTCCTTCCGATATGTCAAGAATTGCCGTCGCCTTGTGATTGCCTTTCCGAGACGTTTGAGCATCCAATCACTACTCTCTTTCGCAGACCCATATTTCTCTTGCACGTGGCCGATATCTGAACTTGGGTTCCATGTGTTATACCGAGAAGCCGCTTTGGCGTAATCATCACGCTTTGATGACTCGCGGATAAGCATGGAAAGTTTCATCAGGTTCACGATAGAAGCATTGATGGCAATGCACAATTCCTGAAGCTCTGAAGTCGACTCAACCTCACCTGATTTCGCGGCGTTTGCCACCTCGTGCGATTGTTCTTGTCCTTCTTCATCGGAGTCGCTGTCACTCGTGATATCTCCCCATGTATGGTTGACTCTCTGTCCAGAGACAATCTGAGTTGCTGTGGCAAGTTAGCGAGTATAATAGAAGCACAAGACACATCACTGACAATCTTCTAAATATTCCCGAAGTTCCTCGAGTACCTGGCACAGGCGTTTTCGAATATCAAGTGCGTCTCGCAGTCGAAAATCGAGGGACATTGGGCGCATTTCGCTACGAAAGGCAGCAATACTAACACCCCATGCTTGGAATTTTGCAATGGCATCTTGGAAATTAAGAAGTGCGGTATTTCGTTCAAAACCAACCTTAATCGCTTGGTCTGGCGTAATAATACGCAAGGTATCACATATCTTTTCGAGATAGCCAAGACAAGTTCTCGCCTTGGGAGCAATTAAGGTGGGTTGACTGGGGTCTATCAGGAGCCGTTGTTGAACGTCCTGTGGTACTGATTGAGCCATTTTGAGTCGGTTGCAAGCTGTTTAGGTCATGGCCCCCGGCAGCCGTGTATGAGGTGAGCCAGGAGCAGACATGAATCACATCAGTCGATCGGGAGTGAGACAATAGTGAACCAAACCACTGGGTCTGAGACAGACTTGAAGGTTTTAATGCGCTCTACTTCGATATTGATGTCGAGAAGTTAAAGAACGGTCGTTAATCGCAGCCGCCTACGCTTTTTGAATGTCAGCGCCTCCTCGAGAGTTTATGACCAATGATTCTCCTCCACGTTAACTTCCCCGCGACGAGGGTTGGGGTCGTGGAGGCCAAAATTCGAACATCAATCTCTCACGACGACAACTTTGGATGAGAATCTCGAGGCCTTCCGGGAGATAGGCCATGTGCGAGAACACTTGACAGCATGTCCGGCATCGAGATCATTGGATTCGTGCTAGGTGGCTTGCCCCTCGTTATATCGGCCGCGGAGCACTACAAGAAAGGCTTCGAGCCGCTGGTGAGGTGGATGCGGTTCAAATTCGTGTTCCGTGACTTTATCACTTCGGTCGATATTCAGCGACAATTGTTCCACCTCGTGTTGAAGAAGCTTTTGATCAGAGTGCAGTTACCGCCTGAGGAGAAGCAGAGACTGTTGACGGTGCCGAACTATGCAGGCTGGAGCCATCCTGATACCGTCGATGCGATGAGATCGCGACTAGGAGAGTCTTACGATGCTTGTATGGACATATTGAGGGCAATGAAGGAAGACATGCAAGAGTTGCAGGCAATGATGAGTCTAAAGAATGGTAGTGTATGTTGTCCATATCCCTCGCCGCCGCATAGTTGGTGGCCAAGGCTAACAATCTACCACTTGATAGGTCGACTGGGCCCATCCTGGAGAAAAGCAATGGAAATACCAAGCAAAGAGAATACAATTAAGCTTCAGCAAAAATGGCACACGGACAATTCAATCGCTTGAGAAAAGGATTCAGAGTCTCAAACGCCTACTCAATCTGCTCGATAGCACCGACGATGAAGATCCCCACAACACAAAAGCTATCTCGAAAGATACAACGTGGGCAAAGTTCTTCGAATGCATCAGACGTCACGCAGTAAACCTTCATTCAGCAATTAAGAATGGATGGAAGTGCAACTGTGAGGGAATACATGCTACGGGACTTCAGCTGCAGAAACGTGCAGCAGATGACTGGTCCTCTCAATTCACTATGACGTTTGGTGCTTTCGCCCTGTCAAAGAATGAAAACCAGAACCTCTATTCTCATCGAAGGGTGCTTATAATTCTACAAGAATCGACAAGCCGTTCAGTTCCCCTTCTCCAAAGGCCGAAACCTTCCCCTCTTCAAGGCTCATACTTGGACCCGCTAAGAACAGATTTTGAATCAAGGTCATCTTCGCAGCTGACTGCTACCATACTTCCCGTACCCCCAGGTACCAATTCTGCTTCTTCTTTAATACCTTCTCGGTTCAGCAGCTTTAGATCAAATTTTACGAAGAGCAATTCGAATTTGACGAGCTCGAGCATCTCGACGTCCAATAGAACAGAGAGTTTTATAGAGAATCGCTATTGCGAGTACGCCCAAATTATCCCTGGCTAAAATACGACTTTGCGCAATGGTACTAATATTGAGCAGGAGCATGATAAATCTCAATCCTCGGCCAAAGGCTAAAAAGGGGGCTAGGTTTGCAATGGACTTACTTGCGGAACCCGAAGACACCACGCGCACAAAGACTCCAACAACCTCCTTTAGTCAACCTGAATCACTTCCTCAAATGACATCACCAGCAGAAGAGTCTTGCGCAGATGTCGAAATTAACGACTTATGCTCTGCTTTGAAAGACCTCAGTCCGAAAGCCACCAGATTAGGCTACCTCTCCGATCACGAAAAGCAGAGGCATGAACTTTGTTGCCTAACTGAAGAAGTAGCAGATTCTAGAAGCTTTGAGGTCATTAGTCTCGAGAAATTGCTCGCAACCGATGGGCATTTAAGGTTGACCAGGCAAAAGCGATATAAAGTTGCATGTATCTTGGCATCGTCGCTCTTACAATTGCAGACCACTCCTTGGCTCAGCGGGAATTTGAACAAAAGTAACATCCTCTTCTACTATCATGGAAGCGAAGTCCTTATTGATCAGCCTTATATCAATCATTCATTCTCGTCGACAAAGAATAGCAACTGTTCGTCAGAAAATATGACCACCGAAGACCAAACTCACACTCAACCGCGGGCGAATCTCAGCAGCTTCGGAATATTACTTCTGGAACTTTGCTGGGGTCAAGCAATTGAGAGTCAGACTAACCTACGCAAAAAGCATCTTTCTTCGGACGGGCAAGCCATCGGAGGGACAGATTTTCTGACGGCCATCGACTGGCTAGACACAGTCGATGAAGAAGAACCCAGGATGTCACCTATTATCAAATGGTGTATATTTGGCCTCTTTGACAGGAAACTGAACTGGGCAGACACGAAGTTTACGCAAGCTGTGTATATAAATGTTGCGCGGCCACTGGAGATGCTAGTTATGGCGCATTTTTAGAGCTTTTTGTCTTAATACCTTTTGATTAGGCCCCAACGGCTATTAGCCAGGTATAACTCCCGTATCGCTGTTGTATACTGTTTCCTGTACGATCTAGATAGCCTACACATTGGTGTACAGTAATAATGAATCTAATTCTGTCCAGTCGTAAAGTAAAGCTATTTATACGGCGTTATTGCCTATTTGCTCCATATATTATTTATAATCTTAATTAGTCGCTATTACTATATTTTATAGAGAAGCTACTTATTATATCTACTATATCTAGCCTAAATCAATGTTATTCGACTATTATATTATGAGAAGCCGGGTTTAAACTTTATATGAAATGTAAGTACTTAGTCTTAGAAAGCTTAGACTAGACGTGCTCTTATATTGTTCTCTTTTCGAGCTTTGAAAGATGACATACTTGGTTGAAATCAAGGTGAGAATTTTCGTTGGACTTCAGAATACCCACGCCAACTTCAATGAGAAAGTCCGCCACGTTCTTACCACCTTCTACCGGGACACCGTAATCTCCAAAGTATTTGAAGGTGGTCTCGCCAGAGTTGCCGATCGCACCAAAGTAAAAGGTGTTTCCTCCTGGGTTCAATGCTAATACGTTGTCGAACTAAAGATGTCAGAATTGACCTTCTATTAAGTACAGAAAACTTACCAAAGCAAACTGCTCCTGTGTAGCTTGATGAATGGTGCAGGGAATGGCCTGACCTGCTCCTGAAAGCCTTCTGAGCAGGTTGAGAATATTGACAGCCCCTTGACCGTCAAGGCCACTGGTAGGCTCATCCAAAAAGAGAAAGCTCGTCGGCTTCGCGCATAGCTCTACATCAATTGTCGTTCTCTTCTTTTGTTCTAATGGGAGGGACCAGATGATTGCGTCCTGCCTGCAACTCAACACGATCAAGCATTTCTAAGACTGCCTTCGCCTTCTCTTCCTTGAGAACATGCGGAGGCTGCCGAAGAAGAGCTGAAAACTCGAACGCTCCTTTGATAGCGCTGCATTCCTCATGAATATCCATCTGCTCACAGAAGCCGATTTTCTTTTGGAACTCATGCCCAAAAAGCTTTCCTCCTAACAACATCTGGCCATCTAATTGGCTGAGAACTCTCCCAAATACTCCGTAACCAACTTACTAGGACCACACCTCGGCACATGGCATGGTAACGCCCACTACGGAAATAACGGCTTATCTTCGGCCCCGCGTTGGTGGACAACCTTCATATTACACAATCTGAGCTCGAGTCCAAACCATCTCATGGGACAACACAACTTATTACAATGAGAAGATCACCAGGAAAATTGATTGAGCTCCCGTGGCCGACTTCCTACCGCAAATATGGCACGTCAGCAGCTCGACCACCGATAATTCGCATTTCCAATGGCACTTTCTACCGACACCATCCAAACTCTACACTTGCCCAGTCAGCTTCCAATCTCAATCCCAATCCCAATCTCCCACTCTTTGAGAATCTTAATTTCGAGCTCCCGTCGTTTGCATCACCAAACCATCATTGGGCTATCTTGGGCCCGTCTTCTTCTGGCAGAACAACATTTCTACAAATATTAAGTGGGAAGCACTTGTGTGTCCCCCCATCGGCGCGGTCTTTCCAGTACCTAAATTCTGATGAAATCGAGCAAAAAGACCACCAATTGAGAATTCCGGATCGAGCTATAAAAAGAGTTGGTTTTGATGGAGAACAAGGACTTGGCACACAGGCTCCAAAGGGCGCATATCTAAGTGCGAGGTATGAGTCACGCAGGGAGATGGACGATTTTAGCGTTTTGGACTACCTTCGCGGAAATACAGAATTAAATCCCTTCGAGGATGCTAGCGAGAAGATTGATGTTGCTAGCTTGGAGCAAGTCATCAGGGACCTAAGACTTGGTGATTTGATTGATATGCCGGTGTCAAATCTCAGCAATGGTCAGACCCGTCGGGCTAGAATTGCGAGGGCCTTGTTAAGCAAGCCCGAAGTGTTGTTGTTGGATGAGCCCTTTATGGGTCTGGATCCCCCGACATTGCTGACGTTAAGCCCAATGTTAAGGGGTTTGGCAGAGGCAAATGCGCCAAGATTAGTCTTAGCTCTCAGGCCCCAAGACCCGATTCCTGAGTGGATTACGCACCTGATATATCTCAAGGGAAACTGTCAAATTGCCTTTCAAGGGTCTAAACAAGCTGTTTTGCAAGAATTGAGAGGATATATTAATGATGTCAAGCAAGCCAAGGTGGAACCTGACATGCGTATGCCTATACACTCACTACACGAAGTGGGCCATACATTGACCGAGCGAGGCATTGTTAATGGGCTTGAGTCTCCGGCCAGGCGAGCGAACAAATCTCACCAAAATCAGGAGCAATCGAGTGTCCCTGACAAAACCCTTGCTGGATTGCGATCTCAGAAATCCGATTCTCAACTCACTACTATGAGCAGGGATGGCTACAGGTTGCATGATATCGAGAGAGCGGATATTGGTGAACCCTTGGTTGAAATGGAAGGTATCAAGATCAAATATGGAAACAAAATAGTTCTAGGTAATTGGAGGCAAGAGATTGAAGGTGAAACTCGTGATGGGCTTTGGTGGCAGCTGAGACGTGGGCAGAGATGGGGAATATTCGGACCCAACGGTTCCGGTAAAACAACAATTCTCTCGCTCATTTGCTCAGACCATCCTCAAACGTACTCCCTTCCCATACGACTATTTGGTCGCTCGCGACTTCCAGAACCGGGCCAACCTGGGATATCCATCTTTGGTATCCAATCACGAATTGGTCACTCAAGCCCAGAAATCCATAACCATATTCCACGCTCCTTGACTCTTCGTCAGGTCCTTGAGAATGCGTGGTCTGACACGTTTAAGGGCGTTCCAAAATTAGATGCTTCTGCAAATGACAGAATAAATGCTTGTCTACGGTGGTTCGAAGAAGACCTTCGTCCAGGCAGTCGACGCCAGGGCGACGAGGGGGAACTAGCAGCAGAAGTTGCCAAACGTCCAGCTTGGGCAGATGAGCTTTTGTTTGGCGGTTTACCATTTGGTTCGCAGAGAGTCGCATTATTCCTTCGTGCAATCGTTAAACAACCAGATCTTGTCATCCTAGACGAAGCCTTCAGTGGTATGGATGACCAAGTACGAGATCGCTGCCTTCTTTTCCTCGGGCATGGCGAGGAGAAAACGTTCTCGTACGCCGCCCGGAAATATGATTCCAACCCAAGTGAACCCCGCTCTCAGGGGCACAACATAGTGGAATCCGCTATTTCAAAGGCTGGATTGGCGAAAGTCGGGGGCCTGAGCAAAGATCAGGCTCTAATATGCATCAGCCATGTTCGCGAAGAGATACCTGGAAGTATAAGGGAATGGGTTTGTCTGCCCGAGGCGAATACGGCTCAGCCTGCTAGGTTTGGCAGGCTGGATGGACCTATTGAGGGAGATCAAGGGAGGTGGGATGAAATTTGGGGAATGTAAATATAGAAGGAATAGCTGCTGAGCAGAAATACTTCTAAACAATCAGATATGAGATGTGAGCTTGATAACTTATTTGCTCAATATTAGGACGGCCATTCCTCCCGGCATCCGCTTGTTGGGGGTCAGTATATGGGTGAGTTAAGACCTGTAAGATGGGGCCACCATGTGATGGCAATATGGCTCATGGTCAAAATCAAATCCTCCTATTTTGGAGTTCATGGCTTTGGGTTTGTATATTTACCCCTTTAGAGTATATGTATGCCAAGCCGGCGGCTACCCCGCATTCGGACGTATCCGCCACGACAGGGTCCCGATAACTCGGTTCTACCAACTTCAAGAGGCGCATCGACATCAATCATTCCAGCTTCCACGATGCGCCAATTCATGGGCATATTCCCAAAACGCCAGGTGATTGGCCATCCTTGGGCATCTTAATTCCTTGCCATGGAGTCGCACACTGCCCAGCGTGGTGCACTCGAACCATTCCACGAAATGCCAGCGCCCGCCTCGGATGTCTCCCCCGAGTCGAGTGAGACGTCACATACGAGGCTAACACCTCAGTCGGACTCGGAAGATTCAGACTTAGATATGGATGAGCTTGGGAAGAGCTTCAAGTTGCAACGCGTTGCTAAGGATCGGGGGAAGGTGTGGGATGCGGAGGAGGAGGAGGATTATGATGAAGACGACAAGGGCAACGAGGACGAGGGCGAATACCGTACCGACGGACGGAGGCGCAGAGCCAGTGTTTCGACCGTACAATCTTACCAGTTATATACCCCAGATGAGGAACGGGCAGTTGTGAGGAAATTTGACCGGAAATTGGTGTTATTTGTTGCCTTATTATATATGTTGAGCTTCTTGGATAGATCAAGTACAATCCCTGGTCCTATCATATCACACATCTACTAACATAGTTCCGCAGACATTGGAAACGCCAAAATAGCAGGCCTAGATGTTGATCTAGATCTCGATTCCAATAAATACGAATGGGTGCTTACAGCCTTCTACATCGCATATATCTCCTTCGAGTGGATGAGTATACTCTGGAAACTCATTCCAGCACACATCTACGTAACAGCCATAGTCCTATCATGGGGTATAATTGCCTCCCTACAGTCAATCGCGACATCCTTTGCCAACCTTCTCGTACTCCGATTTCTACTGGGGATTGGGGAAGCTGGGTTCACTGGGATACCGTTCTACCTATCATTCTTCTTCAAAAGGGAAGAATTGGCTCTACGGACAGGATACTTCATATCCGCCGCACCGCTGGCAACGTCTTTTGCAAGCACGTTGGCGTGGGCCATTATAGCTCTGGGAAAACGCTGTCCCATCGCGTCCTGGCGCCTGCTCTTCCTCCTCGAAGGCTTCCCAAGCGTGCTCGTAGCCGTGATAGCCTGGCACATAATCCCCGACAGTCCTAGCACAGCACATTACCTGACACAGCGCGAAAAGAAAGTGGCGCGTCTCCGCCTACGCAAAGAAAAACTCGCGTCTTCCCACTCAGGAACATCAAACCGCTGTGGCCTGAATGTCAAGGAAATGCTCAACACGCTGACCTCTCCACAAACTTACCTCACAGCCCTAATGTTCTTCTTTACCAACATGGCGTTCTCCTCCATGCCCGTCTTCCTACCTTCGATAATCCACTCTATGGGCCACACCCCCCTAACATCACAAGCCCTTTCCGCACCGCCTTACCTCCTCTCCTTCCTCGTCGTCATTCTTACAGCGTACGCCTCCGATCGCCTCCGCACTCGCAGCACATTTATAATTGCTCATGCTCTTCTCTCAGCTTGCGGGTACGCATTCGTAGCCCTAGCGGGACACCGAGGATGGGGCATCTGGTGGAGATACGCGGGAATATATCCTGCATGTGTGGGGTTCTTTAGTGTTATTACGATTATTATTACGTGGTCTATTAATAATCAGGAGAATGAGAGTAGGCAGGGTGCGGGTTTCGCGGTTTTGCAGATCGTTGGACAGTGCGGGCCATTGGTGGGGACAAGGCTGTATCCTGAGGCTGATGGACCTCTTTATGTGAGAGGTATGAGTGTTTGTGCTGGGAGTATGGTGATCGTTGCGTTCCTGGCTCTGGGGTTGCGATTTTATCTGGGGTGGAAGAATAGGGCTGTGGCCGAGGGACAAGAGGTGGTATATGGGAAAATTGGTGATGAGGGTCATTTGAATACCAAGTCTCGGGTACATTTCAGATATATGCTTTGAAAATATTTATAGCTTTAATCTCTTTGATGAGTAAGATTGGACATTTGATGTGGGTATCACATATGGCAAGAGCTCCATCGCTTCACACGTTGAAAATCCGCTTGTTTTCATGCTGATTTACAAAAAGGTTCGCCCTACGCTTGCGAAGTCCCGAGAAAGACTTCAGAGCCATACTAGAGGATAACAGGTGCAACAAAGGCGCTTACATACCGGTTCCATCGCCGATTCCGCCTCAAAATCGGTTGCAGCAGGGATCCAAACTCTTCTTGTGCCGAAGCTAATGATCAACTCGAGACAATGTGGTGCCTAATTAACCTCTACCGCCGGTACCAACCCACCACGGCCGACGAGCACTTCCCCAACGCTTCCCTAATTTAGGATGGAACTCCAGCCCCAGAACTTGTAGTCTTCCTTCGGCGGGAAGAAGCTTCTCCAGTTCCCCGAAACAGTGGACTAATTTTCCTATCTGGCCTTTATCCGTAATCTGGAGCTCTGGGGTTCCGGGAATATAAAGATCGACCTGTGCACCAAGAAGGTTATGGGCATGTTTCTTGAGAATGTTAATTGCTGAAGCCAGCGACTCTGGATTTATTGATGAATACGACCTCGACGTGAGGCGAATGTATTGTAAGCGCCCGACCTTGTTGCCGGATGAATGGAGCCATTGATGAAACTGCGTCAAGAGTCAACTGTGCTCATATTATATTGTATCATCTTAGTATGGCCTTACCTCGCTGCTGTGGTCACAATAAAGGTGAGAATGCTCACAGCGACAGGCTGCGCAGTGATTGAGATTTGCAACGGTATTTTTAATTTTCATAGCCCATCTCTTTAGGAAAGCCTTTCAGAGCTCCGTTAGTCTCAATAGTTGTCAATTTTCGTTGCCACATTTACTCACTCGCTTTCTTTCTCGCATGATTTGGTCAATACATTCGTAGCAGTGCAATGAGGTGAAATCCAATGCCCAATATCGGTTTGAAAAGGCTGTTTCTGTCAGAGCTCTCATGATCGGGCTGTCATCCAGGCTGCTTGCTCCGATGTTGTCAGCCTCAGAGCTTGCCTGGAAAAATATATTCATTGGGACCTCTTCTGGCATGGCTAGTAAAAACAAGTAGCAAAGAATGAGTGATCTTGCTAGACTTGTGGTGTTCGGTTTTTGATTATGCGTGTATCTGGCAGGATGCGCCGGGCGTCTTCGGTGTCTTGAATTGACTCTTGCTACTGCTCGATTGGTTTGGCTTGACCTCTTGCCTGTGGGAGGTATGGTCTCTTTAGTCCTTGTTAGGTTATCTCCTATCACTGTGAAATCTAGAGTTGGTACGTGAGCTATGAAGATGTCGGGAGATCCAAGGGAGTCGCCAAAGTTAGGAGCTGGCATCTCTTGATTTTCTGCTCGCCTAGGCATTTCTATAGGTGGATTGGATGCCGCTCCAAGTATGATTTGCTGGGCGTTTGATTCGGGGTCGAAAAGACGCGTGTGTTCTCTGATGCTTTCTAAGAAGTAATCTAATTCACATCTTGAACTGTGTGCAATTGAAACATCTCCATGGCTAGTGGCCACCCCGGCGAGATATATGTCATGGCTATTCATCATTGTTACAGCCCTAGCGTCTATTGCATTATGCATTTTCTGAGTCAGTTGCAATGAGCCTCCCGTGGTATATCCTGGCACCTGTTCATCTATATTCATTGGGATTGTACCACTCGCTGCGACCGGAACTAGGGCTCTAGAGGTTCGCAGTGCCGCCTTCATAACTAACGCTGCGTTCGAAAGCTTTTGCAGCTGAAGGTTGATATGGGACCTTACTGCATCCGCTACCACTTTGTCCTTCTCACGTATAAATGAGTTTACAACGTGCGCCAGCAGCTTCTCTGGGCCTGGTGCCTGGACGTTATCACTGTAGGGCCGAGATTTTGTAACCGGCGGATGAACTTTGATACTTGGTAATATAGAGCCGGGTTCGGGAGTAAAGTAAACTGATGGGCCTTCGGGAGAGGGTGCTGCCGATTCAGTTTGTGAACCAACCATGGGCCGATGTGGTGATGATATACCAGCAGCTCTTTCAGCACCAGCTACAACTCCCTGGGCTAGTTCTTCTGCCGTATCGGCGGCCCATTGAAATACAATGGCTTTAAAAGTATCTGCTGCTTTGTGCGCTACTCCGTCTGCCACTTGGAGTGCTATTTTGTGTGCCTCGTGACTTATATACACCTTCAGCGCTTGTGGCACCGGCCCCTCCTCCGCTGAGTCTTCCGATCTAGAGGAGGAACAAGAAGGAAAAGACCCCCCGGACTGGTTAGTGCCACCATCCCCATGAGGTTCTGGTGGAGGTACAGGGTCCCGAAACTCCAAGTTCGGATATTGTTCCATAAATTGTGCCTCTTCATCAATCATAGGTGACTGGCCAGCTGGCTTCCAAACTGGGGCGGCCGCTTGGAAATCACATTTGTCACTCATGGACCCGCCATGGCCTAGTTAATCATTAATTCCGTTTAATATAGTAGACTCTTCGACAATATACATACGGCTCTGAAAATTCAATGACGACGAAGGAATAGGCGGCGGATTTACACTAGACAGTGGTTCAATACCCTCTGCAATTTCCTGACCAGGTTTAGCAGCATTGGGGACCGGACTCTCTTGCATAGGGCCCAAAGTAGAATATGACTCTGATAGGGTGGACTGAGAGTTATTACTCTCCAAGTCAATATCTGGGACATTCTCGGTTTTTGTCGCCATCTGCGGATCGGGAGTATCATGCTCATCAAGGTTTTCATCGACACCAATCTCAAGCGGAGTTGAGTCTATACGGGGTGGAAGGAGGGCTATGGATGGCAAATAGTTTTCCTGTTGAATGGTCTCGCTCTCCGACCCGAATGCTTCTGGTAGCTGGGTAGTATGATGTAGCGTGTTATGTGAGTACTCATTATTGGAGGCGTCCAGCTCGGAATCCGAATTTGACATGTTAATAACGGTAGCCTCTGAAGATAGCGACCCTGGTGGGGCCGGAGCACTCGCGGTAGAAATTGGCGCGCCAGTTGTGTGCTGTAGAGGTGATGCCCGCCGCGGCCATGATGTTGCTGAATTGAGATCATAATGAGCTACTGGCTCAGCATCCTGTTCGCAGGTCAGCTCCATACAGAACTGATCGGCTTCCACACCCGCATTTATGATAGAACCCACCTCAAGGCAATTTTTCTCCATATCACTTACGTGAAATAGCCATTCCAGGACTTCCTCCTCCTCACTTCTCGTATTTGAGGCTAACGTGCCTAGATATTCACGAGGGGACGGCATCATCCAACGAGGAGAATGCGGCTACCGTGAACAAGGGCGCGGTTGATGTAGAATTCCGCAGCGTGTGCAGAGGCTGCAAAGTCGATACTGATACAAATCCAATAGCGAATGTGATAGTGATGAAGATGAAGAGATGTTATGTTGATGTTTACGAAAGAAACGAGTGGTCGCATCTAGGTTCATTTCCATTATATAAGTCCTGGAGAGTCGTTCCTTCCTTCTGGGAAGTCTCTGTCAAGTAAATTGGGGAAGGTGCCATAGAGCCGCGTCAATCGCCGGTTAGAATCTGTCGAAAGTAAAGAAAGCATCATCAAAACTGGAATTTTGCTAATATAAATGCTCAACAAATCGTACTAGAATAGAAAATTCATCTGATAGGACTCGGCGCTAAAATAGACCAAGTATTACTTGATGCTCGAGGAATCAGCAACCGTAACAGGTAGATCCGACGGCGGGAGGACGAGTTCAAACGCCCAATGCTCACAATAGGCCATTACTTCAAACCTCGACCTTTAGGTAAAAACATATCCCGCAGTTCCCCAGTAATTGCCCACGCCGTAGATCATAAAAATTCAGATGGCTCTGGAATGATATGAACAAAAGACATGAGTAATGTTGGGCCATAAGGAGCACTCCGGCTAGAGTAAGCCTATTAGACCTGATATGATCCAGAAAGTGTTTAATTGAATCTAGATTTAGGTGGGTTGGAGCCGTTGAATTGAAATTATGTGTTGATTCAACATGGCAAGAAGAGAGGTCAACATGTTAGAATTATCACAGCAGAGAACGAAGATCAAAGCCATGTACTCCCGGTGCGAACATTATCGAAGTCTTGAGAAATATTATCAATTGTCTTCCTTTGTAGTACTAAATGCGTCCAAGCGGAAGTCTGTACATTCGAGCTTTGTCCCCTGCCTGAGCCATAGGCCTCCCGAAATTCGAAGTATTAATAAGTCGCGGAGCTAAATAAGTCTTGCAGCCCATCCTTCATATTAACATTTACTTTATGCATGTTTTAGTTGCCTCGCTAGCTTCCTAATATCTCAATATTTAGGAAAATATTCCTCGCAATCATGTAGTAAATTATCAACACATAGTCATGTTAAAGGATCTCAAAGGCTTGCTATCCTTGGACTCTTGGCAGATGCGGGATAAGATGATGCCCTTGAAGACCGCGTATGTAAGAGGTTGAAACGAGTTAAAACGAGTTGAAACAAGTTGAGACGAAATATTAGAAATCATTGGCGCATGTACACGACTGAGTGTCGATGTCCTTTGCCGAGAGGCTGACATGCCACCCACCAGCTCCTTGTAATGGCATCGAGGAACTGCTAACGGTGCGAAAATAAGAGGATAAAGCCTGGCTGAGAATGGGGAACTTTCGTTTCCTGGGGATAGGTATCATTTTGAAACGGACGAAATAGATGCAAAGTCTCAAGAAGAAAGGAACAGAACGAAGATATTTTGCACTGATATGTTTACAGCATCTAAATAGATGACCGGAAGAAGAGGAGGACGAAAAACACGGCTCCTAGATAAAGTAAGAGATGGTTAATAGCTATAGGCAATTCTAGGACTCAGTGAGTATGGATTGCAGGAGGGAAATTTATAACTATGTCGGTGAATGCTTGAGTCGACTCCTTTTATGAAAATTATAGAGGTTGCCCTTTAGACAAAAGGTAGTATTTGCATCCACGTTAGATCCAGGTCGGGGATATGCCTACGAAGTATACCCATACTTCGTTTGGGGCTCCAAGACTCGACTTCAGGTGTGAAGAGTCCTTATGACTCTATCGCCACATTCGTGTGTCACATCGCCCTGGTGTGTTATGTGCCCTTTCCGGCAGGCTTTCAATCATTTAACTGAGGCCTAATGGGAAGTATCCGGTCACGGCATACAGAAATCCACACTGGCAGATACTGCACTATTGAGCCAAAATATGCAGTCTGTTGCGGTTCGTAGGAAACCTATCGCACAGCTGGCAAGTGAAATGGCTCACAATCTGCGAATAAGCCCAAAAACTACCTTTCCAGGGTGAGATTGACTCAAGCCAGATCCGTTGTTTTGGAGTTTTATAGTTTCGGGAGAGCCCGTCAAGGGGCCGTCGAACCCTGGAATCCAGGCTCTGGCTCCTGGCTCCCCGGCCTCGGCAATTCTGCCGGCTGAATTTCGCTTTTCGCTCCTCACAATCCCGAAGCCCAAGACAACTTCGCGTCATGAGTCTGATTTTGTCTGCATCCTTGAATCTTACAATATTCCCCCCACGTCTACTTGTGCTGCGTCCGTTCATACCTTCGATTTATGTACAACATGCGCCTATAGATACCCTCATTTGAACTTGAATTTCACCGATATATATCGTACGCAAATGAAGCCTCGACCGATCCCCACCACCGCGCTGCGGCGCTTCGTTCAAGGAAATTCTTGGGTCGGGAATGGATTCACAAGAAGGGCCCGCGGGGTTTGCACATTGTGTCAGCAGCAGTGCCATGGGAGAGGTCTAAGGCCTGAGATTACGATTCGATCGAGCGCTGCTTTGGCTGGTTCCAATTCGCCACCCTCGCGGCGAGTGTTCTCTGTCCTGCCTGCTACCTTCGTAGCGGGGCAAAGGAGGGCATTGGCTACTGCACAAAATGGTATGTGACAATATCTAACCGCAGAGTTGGAGGAGAGTCTTCTGACAAGCTGTGTAGTCAACCGACAGGATCATGGTCCTATGCAGGAGTACGAAAAGCGCGTTGAGTCTGGCCGATTGAGAGATGATGAGCACCAGAGAGGTGAGGAAGAGCCCATGGGCACATAACAATGGCAATGTGCTAACCGCACCCTTCAGGTATAATACAGAGTCTGCAACATCTCCACGACGAGTTGAAAAATTACACTGCGCCGGCCATCATCCACCCCTCTCTCGAATCCCTCAAAGCCGAGTCCTCGTCGGTGTTCGGGCGCCTCTTTGGCAAAACTACCCCCAAGGAAAAGAAGCTACAGGACATACCGGATAGCCTACCTCGAGGCTTGTATCTGTATGGCGATGTGGGCAGCGGGAAGACTATGTTGATGGACCTATTCTACGAAACCCTGCCCAGCAGTGTGACATCGAAAACACGGATACATTTCCACAATTTCATGCAGGATGTCCATAGGAGATTGCATAAGATGAAGATGCAGCACGGGAATGATGTCGACGGTGTGCCGTTTATTGCTGCAGATATTGCAGAGCAAGGGAATGTTCTGTGCTTTGATGAATTTCAATGTACGGATGTGGCGGATGCAATGATTTTGAGGCGGTAGGCGTTCCTATCAGTCCCTCGAGCTTTAATAATATACTAATGAGTATTAGACTCCTCGAGGCCCTCATGTCCCACGGTGTTGTCCTAGTTACGACCTCCAATCGCCACCCAGATGACCTCTACCTCAACGGGATCCAACGCGAATCCTTCATTCCCTGCATCCACCTCCTCAAGAACCGCCTCCACGTTATAAACCTCGACTCCCCAACCGACTACCGCAAGATTCCTCGTCCACCCTCTGGCGTATACCATGCCCCACTGGACTCGCACGCGTCTAGCCATGCCGAGAAATGGTTCCGTTTCTTGGGTGACCCAGAGCAGGATAAACCCCGCTCAGAAACTCAGCATGTGTGGGGTCGAGAAATACATGTCCCCATGGTTAGTGGTAGGGCGGCCATGTTCACATTTGACGAATTAATCGGACGGCCGACAAGCGCAGCTGATTATATCGAGCTGATGCGAAGCTACGACGCCTTTATCGTGACGAACGTACCTGGCATGACTCACCAGCAACGAGACCTTGCGCGCAGATTCATAACCTTCATAGATGCTGTGTACGAATCGCGCGCAAAATTAGTTCTCACGACTGCCGTCCCGCTCACGCAGCTCTTCCTCTCGAAAGACGAGATCAAGCAGAGCATCAAGGATGATAGCGAGGATCGGAAGCAACAGGAGGAGGTTGGCGAGGATATTGATGATACGATGCGGACTATGATGGATGATTTAGGAATGAATATGCAAATGTTGAAGAGTAGCTCGATTTTTAGTGGGGATGAGGAGAGGTTTGCTTTTGCGAGGGCGCTGAGTCGGTTGAGTGAGATGGGGAGTAGGGAATGGATTGAGCGGGGGATGGGGTTGGAGAAGGACGGTGGGAAGGTGGAGAAGGATAACTGGCAGAAGACGAGGAGTAAGCAGTTGGAGGATACTATGTGATTGAGAGGGATAGAATCTGCTATAGAATTTACCATAGAATTGGCTTACTGGGGCGGCCAACCACTCGATATATTATCTTCATACTTTCAATGAATACTGCCTTAACTGCAAAATATCCATCCCTACTAGTCGTAAGATAGTGCTGTATCAGTTAGATTGGTCTTCTCGTTAGCTATCTAAAGTACCGGGTAGGTAGATTCCCCTTCGGAGGATGCGCATATGACATCTGCACAACATCTTATCTCCTGTCCATTTACCCAACCAACCAACCAACATCATCCTGCCCTTTAGCGTCTGTCTTTGTGCCCCTCCCATAAAACGCCCCCAACAATAGCCCACGGGGCCCACGGGGGGTCTGCAACCCTTCCGTACGGTCGGGACTCCTCCGTCTCTTGTTCCCGAAGCTGATTCGCACGCGCCTGGCCCTCGACTCTTTGGCCGCTGCTGAAGTCTGGAACAGAGGCCTGACTGCATTGCTTTAGGGCGGAGCTAAAAGGTTCGATGTGCAACGAAATATGTGTGTTTGCGGTGCAATGCGCTCTTGTTTGCTTTTTTACGTTATTCGGGTTTCTGAGGGCAGGGCTGAGTGGTGTTGGTGTTGGGGGAGGGGGCAGGAGGCTCGGGAATGTGCCATGGGCGGTTACTGATGCGTACGAGGTTTATGTGAGGATGGTGGGAAATAGTTGCCGATACTTGGGTACTAGGCAGTGATGAGGGGGTTCGTGATAGTTAGTTTTACCTCTTGGATACTGCTGACTTTCGTCGTATGTTTAGGTGTCTTGAGGGTGGGAAGAAGTGTAGATGCTTGGGATGGGAATTTGCTAGGTGGACGAGAATGCAGAACTAGAAATTAGCACTGACGAGGTCCTTCCAGCCTCATTGCCCCTTTTGATTCCTCCACTGGAGAGAAACGTGGTTTGAGGAGTGAGCGGAAGGTTGCTAACGTTATCCCTATGGCATGGCATTCGGCGAACTCTCGCGATTGAACCGGAGATGTATCCGGCGCAATAGCAAATGCAACACTCCCACGGCCACGATGCTTCCGACGGGCCCGGCCCGCTGCAAACCCGCTGCGGCTACCCGAAAGCGGTACGGGACGATTCACGCTCTCGCTTGCGTGCTCTCACCGTTCCAGAACTTCGTTAATATTGGGGAGTTCCTAGGAGGTATGTGCTTTATATACCTACCTGATGTATATCGTAAAGAGAGACTGCGCATCTTACTAGTCTTCCTGCGACTTGTCTTGTCTTGTCTTCCTCGTCAGAGGGAACAATCAACCACCGAACATTCCGGCTATATTTAGCATCCTTCGGCAAAATGACAGCGCCCCGGAATCCGCAGTGCTTGTGCTTCGTACAAAACCGAAGCACGAGGTAGACTACCTAGTCGACTAGCAGATGGCGCCTTGAGGCGAAGGATTTAGGCCCTGCCTCTTCCAAGTCCTACCTCGAAGTGCGCTGGACTCTAGCTCTTATTCATTCTAATTTCGTGCCAAACAATCTACGAGTAGAGGTACGCAGATAATCGTACGAACTTGCTGAGTAACTGGGAGAGGCGCGTGGGGCGGCTGAGTTAAAGGAACTCTGGGACGGGGAATAGGAATACTGCTCGGCCAACTGAACACCTGCCTAGAATAAATATCCATTTGGGCCAGTGCACTAATGATGTCAATGTGACCCAGAGCGCACAGGGTTTAGCAGCCTGGTGGGATGTGTTTTGGAGTCCGCGGAGTCGAAGCAGAAAGACGCCATGTGCTACAGAGGACAATCTCGGTATTTGTATATTGCAGTCCGGAGCCGGGAGCCTGGAGTCTCGACTGTCGATTATACCGCCACGTTGCCATGAAGTAGCTGTGTTCTAGAAAAGCTTTCGCCCCTAAAGCCTGTCGCGGGCTGCTCATTTTGGTCGTTGATACCCGCATGTTTGTTTCATGTGGTCAGGCCTGTCTTTACGAAGAACTATTACTATCACTATTACAGTTCTCCAAACCATTAATTGCGGCGTGGAGCTTGGCTTTCGCGCCCATTTGCAGTTCGTACGTTGGGTCTTTCGTGGCTGGCTGTTGGTACGAGTAGGAAATTAGAATACTTGGTAAGTAGTTCGTAGGTTGCAACTCGTAACTCATCATTTTATTGGCGGTCTCGGGCACACACACTAGTGGCAGGCACAGTTAAGAGTAATAATAACTTGGACTTGCAAGTTGGGACTCTAACTTGCGATCCTGGAGGATCCAACTCACTCCAGCACATTCCAAGGCCAACTCCAACTCCAAGGCCAACTCCAAGGCCAACTCCAACTCCAACCGCAGCTCCATCACCGCGACTTCAAGGTCCACAGCCGTCGCCATTCCACAATGCCTCTGCATTTCTTCTTCTTCTTTCAAGATGACCATTTATACAGTAAGCCTACAGCCAACACGGCCCTCATTGTCTGAATTAACGATCGACGACAAGCCTTCGCCGGGGGCCAGAATTAGAAATGGGCGGGGGCTTGTTGCTGTCAGATGGTGGCTCAGCATACCAGCAACCACTCAATGGCCCCTGTTTCTCGTCCTTTAGGCCTTCATAGCACTCGGAACCACGCGCTGACCGGGTTTGGCAGTGCGCTACGGTTGCAATGGGTTGGTTTCTCGTTGATCCTTCTGCCCATTTCCTAATCGCCTGCGAAGTACGAGCATGTACAGCGCCCTATCTTAGTCAATCTGGTGGGAAAATGGGATGTTAGTACAAGGTACTTCGTGATCAAAAATGTCTCCGCAGCCCCTACCCTACACCTTCGCAGAGCTCTAGGTGACAACTGCTTTTAAACTGTATCGTCGTCCCCTATTCCATTGTTCGTGTTCCAGCTCCCATTTTCGCCGTGTCGGTCTTCCAAACCTCCTCGCTATGGCTATCACGGTCTTTGCTATGCCGTCGTCCTCGTTACTTCTATTATTCTCAGTTGCGCTTGGATTGTCGCATGCCGATCCATTCGCGTTGCCGATACAGACCGCTGTTTATTCTCCTGATGAGTGGTCGCCGCGACCGACAGGAGCGCCTGCGGATCCAGCGGCCCTGTTTAAGAGGGGTGGTTCAGTAGATGTGGCAGTTTGTGGATGGATTGGTGGCCTGTCAGCAAAGCCGGTGGCATGCTCGTCGGGGTCGTCTTGTATTCATGATACAATACACGCACTGATGGGATGTTGCACGACGGAGGGGCCATGTATCCAAGGAGTTTACTCAACCTGTATTGATAAGAAGAGCGCTGGATGGGCGACAACTACAGGCCTCGTAAATAATGGTGTGACCACATGGTGAGTAAGTAGCATCATTTGACAAGTTGCAAGCTGACTTTCCAATAGTGCGGGTGATTCCCTCTGCTATCAGGTCACGTATCCAGGAAAGTATATGCAATACATGTGCGGAGACCCCAAGGCAGCAGCCCAAGTTGCAACGACATTTGAGGGTCAGCCAACTGATATGCGAATGCAAATCGTATACACTGGGGTAACCTTCAGCCCAATGGTGCCAGTTCCAAGCGCCGGTCCTGGTACACCTGTGTCTCCGACGAACGTGAACGCGAACGCTTTCTCGTCTGAAACAGGCGGTGCAGCTGGCAAAGTTTCCCCTGTTGCGGCAGCACCCTCGGAACCGCCTTCAGGCGCACCAAGTAAAGGTACCAGTACTGGGGCAATCGCTGGAGGGACTGCTGGTGCCGTGGCAGGTGTGACGATAATTGTCCTGCTTGGAGTCTGGTGTTGGCGGCGGCGACAAAAGGCTGCCAACCGCCGGCGACCCGATTCATTATTCGAGTAATTTCCCCTTGCGCTGCTCCCTGTTCGCCACATTTATACTGACAGTATACTCAGACCTACGAGAAACGAACCATTTGCAAGCCCCTTCCAACCTGTACAGCACTATAATGCTCCAGATGAAATGGTCTCCCCTATGTCAGGGATGCGGGAGACTTTTGCCCCTATGCCAGGGCGACCCGATACTGGCGCCTCAACCCACAACCCTTTCCATTACGACACGGCATACCGAGGCGGTGGTGGCATGGCCATGGATCAGAGACATCCATCCTTCTCAACAGTAGCAGGATTGAACCCCTTTGCAGATGAAGTCGCTCCACCCATTCCAACCAACCGTGGTCGCTTCCACGACGAGCATGACATTGCAGAGAATCGTTTCTACGATAATAACCACCGCTTCGACGATAACCATCCCTATGCCGATAATCCTTTGTTACCTAATGACCATCTTTTCGCCGACGTAGCCGCCTCTAACCCTTTCACAGATGCTCAGGGGTACGAGACCATACCGACTTCGGGCCAGGTCCAAAAGCCTTACCAGCCTTACCAGCCGCTATCCCGGAATCAGCCATCGCCAGTAACAGCATCAGAGCAGACGCAACCCTTGGTGGATGAAATCGATGATTTCTCTCGCAGTTGGCAAGCAAGCGCCGGGTCACACCGTGATCCCAACGAACAGTCAGACGACGAAGATGATGGCGAAGATAGAGGCATGGTCCAAACCGCGACGTCGGTTCCCGTGGCACATGGGAATCTCATAGAAACACATTCCAGCGAAGCGCTGAATGATATGGGCCGCAATCCCCATGAAAGGTCGCAGACACCTAACTTCCGCAACATGCCGAGCGAAACATCCAGTCTCCTTGCCGCTTCATTAACTCAGACCGGCCTGCCATCCAATGCGGAAACTCTCCAACGAGCCTCCCCTACCAACGTTGGCCGCGCAACAATCCCCACCATGCAAGAGAAGATCCAAAAACTTGCCCAAGAGAAGGCTCAGATCGTGAGGAAACGAACAGAAAGTCAAGAACAGATAAGGGAACAAGAAGAACCCCTACAGAATGAGGCTGGAATCCAAAAAGAGCGGCCATTCAGCGATACCTCCATGTACAGCTCCAACACATATTTCTCCCGCGAGGATTCCGTCCGTTCGACCCGTCTACCTCCCCCACCAGCGCCATCAACCACAATCCCTAAGAGGACTGAAAGTTTTGGGTTAAATCGCGCCATTAAACCGGCTCTCGATGAAGACCTTGGCGGTGATGATTTCTGGAGTTCTGGCTGGTCTGGGATTGGCGGTGGGTGGTTGGAGGGACAGTCTGGACGGTCATCAACTATCGGAAATACCGATGGTGGAGACGGAGGAAGTGCTAGTGGGAGTGCCGTGGCGCCTATCAGCCGGAAGCCGGTCCCTAATGGCGTGCCGGTTGTACATAAACCTGTTGAGTTGCGGGACGGCCCTCAGAGGAAAAATACCTTTGGGGAGGTTTAATATCAAATGTCGGCATTGTTAGAGCAAGCAGGAGAAGCTGAGGATGTAGAAAGATGTATATATGGCCTATATAAATAAGGGATGGGAAAGAGGGATGTATATATTACCAGCCGGTTTTAGGGAAGTAGCATCGATATGATCGGTGCTCGGTGTAATGGATCTTTGTAAGTCAGACCTTGCAAGCTAGCTTTGGTAGGCTATGGTTGAGATTCTATACACTAGTAGACCGTCGCGTAGACATGTCTTTGGATAGAATTAATATACGAAGTACACTGCAGTAACGGCTCCTAAGAAGAAAGATGGCTTACCTACCATGGTATAAAATTAGGTGGGACCCCAACTACGGTCATCGTGGAGCCTAGGCTACGCCGCAGATGTTACCCATTACTTATTAGTCTGTAAGCTTGTCTAAAAAAACTCTCCTTTGGAAAGTCTGCACGTGAGAATTGAAGTTGTAAGCAAATTGAAGAGTCTTGCACCTAATCGGGTGAGAAAAACTCGGCGTAATTCCCTAACAAAAAACCATGTACACCAGCAATTAAATTTGCTGGGCCCTACCTATCTTGAGAGGACCTACTCCGATTGATCTGGCCCTTATGTTTCCATTAGCTAGGATCGTTTCATGAAACTTAGAGCAGGGGGTTCGTTGATTGTTTTAAACAGGGAGCTATTAGGTCATTAGTCATTAATTAACTTCCATCCCTTCTCGGTGGGTAGGAAAGATGAAATCGAATCGACTAGACTGGTCCTTACGCCATTTGAAGGATCTTCTCTACTGCTAGGGAGTTTCAAGCATATCTCTAACAGTTCTCTTTCCTTACCCTAAATGACCAGCCATCAAGCCTCTATCAACCGTCCAACAAGTCCCCTCTCGTTTCTCTAGCCAGCTGAACCCTCCAGAGCCTCTGCTCCGCACATAAAAACATCTCGCCTTCCTTGCCAAAACAAAAGTTTGCTACTCCCCCACCTCCAGGGACGACAAATCTTCCGAGTAAACACCCATCCGAATTCCAGACTTCGATGCCGTCTCCACAACCTGCGTATACGTTGCCGCGGGTGTCACATTTTATGCCATCGGGGACACCCTGGACGGCAAAGGCAAAAACGCGTTTTTTTGTGAGGTAGGGCTGTGCGGAGGACAAGGTGGATGGGGGATCTTGGATGGACGATCTAAGATGGGGCCGGACGACGTCGAATGCGTAGATTGTTGCGGGGCTAGATATGTTAGTATTCCTATTTTCAAGCTGCCATTTCCTTGTAGTAGGATTCGAAAGAACGTACCGGCGCAAATCAAACCCCCCATCCCCTTTAATAACCCCCGTATCAGTAATATACACCACATCCTCCCCCGGTGCGAATGCAATCCCATTGCACATCTGAAATCCATCCGCCACACACCTCACTTCCCCCGTATTCACATCGAATCTATAAGCCTGGCATGGCAACTCCGGATTCCGCCGAAACCCTTGCTCATATCCATAACATGGATCCGTAAACCAGATGCTGCCATCTCTCTTTGAAACTACTACATCGTTTACAGAGTTAAAATCCCGCCCATAGAACGTCGTCACCACTGGCTTCGGCGGCGCGTTTCGAGGCATGTAGTATAGACCCCCCGTTCCGGCAGATGGGGAGCCCTGTGCACAGAATAAGATCCCATCTTTATAGTTAACGCCCCCGTTTGGCATGTCTATCCCGTGTGGGGGACGGAGTTTCGCCCACTCCAGCGCAGCGATGCCATTACCTGTTGACGAGCGTGTGAGTCTTATGCGTGAGATTAGGATTGTGGGGTATGTAGCCGTGGTGGTGGATTGGAGCAGGTTGGAGGTTATATAGAGCTCGTCGTGAGTTGGGATGTAGACGCATGCTTCGTGGAAGAAGGGATTGTTGCTGCTGCCGGCGGTGGAGAGGAGGAGGGATTGCTTTGGAGACGGCCCAACGATGGCTTCAAGCTCGTCGGAGTATTGTATTAGAGTTATCCCGTCATCGGACTCTTGAGGTTGAGGGGTGGTGGGAGGTCTGTGGTAGTCTCGTCAGAGGAGGGAGTTGCTGTAAAGGTCGAGAGCGGGGGCGCACTTGATGCTGCCATTGTTCTCTGCGAGACGGTCGACGACCTTGTATTTGTTAGTACTATGACGGGACAGGTGCGGCTACAAAGCTTACCTGGACCTTCAGTGGAGCGATAGGTATATCTTTATTTGTTACCGTCGACATATTGTATGTTGTGTTTGCCGCTCACCAGTTGTTGTTCTAGTAAGGTGGGGCAGAGGTGAAGCTTCACATGCTCTTGGCAATCAGAGCCAAGCTTTTCCACCCCGACCAAAGACAACGGCAAGAAGAGAAAAAGAAGATAGAAGTTATTAGCAAGGCCTTATTTAGGCAGAATAAAGGATTCAACAGCCAAGAAATAGCGGACATTCTGTCGGAACGTCTATCACACACTTTTAAGGATATATTTAAGGACGGCGGACGTGCAACTCGAAACCCTCGAATCGAAAATCGGGAAACCTTTCGGAGTAACCCAACGGCTGGAATGAGGAATAAGGCCAAACTGATCAGAGGAATCTAATTTGATTTAATTAAATGCTAGTAGTCAAACCAGGTTAATGATTTAATCACATTGCCGTGGCCGTACATCGTAGCTACTTAGTATAGCCCAATGGAGAGTTCGCCGACTTCAAAAATCCAGCAGATGCAAGCAAAAACCTACCTAGTTATTGAAAGGCTCATAATAAAGTCGTACAAAACTCATAACTAGAATAAAAGTACCACCCTCTTCTTAAATACAGGAAATATAGTATACCAAGGCAATCCGTCTCTACGTATTCATTCCTTGCTATCGAAGTGATGAATTCGATAGTGCTTCGAGAGCAGCACGGCAGGTGAACATTAGCTTCTCTAGATTTAAATCTAATTAACGTTTTCCCTTCCAAAATTTGGATCCATATCTCCATCCTCAAGGTCCGGTCCAAATATTTGATCGCAGCCCTGACGTATGAAGAGCGACCTATCGTAGTCTGGATCATTTATGCTCGTTGAAAAATTGCCATCACCTGAAACCAACTGTTGTTGAGACCCTGGAACAAATGACGGAACGGTATTAGTTGACGGCGCGTTTGAGGGATACAGATACGCTTCTCCAGTCATGTTTGTAGTCATACTGGATGGCATATTGTGGACCACGGATCCAGAAATTCCTCCGCTCTCTAAATGGATATAAGGTAATGAAATGTTCGAAGGTACACGATTGTGTGGCAGAGATGCCGACTCCTGCCCGTCCGTGCCCCAGAGCTGTGGTTGTGAAGGTGCAACGTCATTTGTAAGAAAGGCCGGAGTTGGAGAGCCAAAGTTGCTCATGATCTGCGGGCTTGAAGAAACTGGACGGCGTATGGGGTTGGATGAACGGTTGTGAGGGGCAACGTAGAGCCCCTGGCTACCTAGAGTCCGGTCAAGATGTTCATGTTGGTTGGGAACATTATGAGGACCTAGGTTTACCATTGCCTTCATCCTGGCTTCGGCTTCCATTTTGGCTTGTTGGGCAGACATCCTAGCCTCCATTTCATTGAGACGTTGTTCGAGAGACCGGATCAGTGCCCTGTCATCGTGGTTTTCGAACGCTTTCGTTGAGGCTCCTCGATTCACATATACACCTTCTTTCGCGGGTGTCTCAGGGGAGGAGTTACGCTGCCTTGGACCATCTTGGTCTGAACTGGCGTGACCGGAATGTGACACAGGTTGTACAGTCGCAGAAGCCAAGCGTCGTTGAGAAGGGTTACCAGAAGGCGAAATATGCGAATCAAATTGGTGGGTCCGAGGATATCCTGTATCGACCGATGCCCAATGACCCACGCTTGGGTGTTGGGTTGTGGTTTCTCCATAAAGTTGATTTGATGGGGTTTCTGTTTTTTCTCTCAAGTTTAGCAAGAAAGTACCACCAACCGTAAGCTGGGAATTTAAAGACTTGCTCACCTGGTGGGATGCCGAAGGGGCTTATAGTTTTTGGAGTTCTTAGCCCAGGTTGATGTCGCTGGTGCTCAATATCGTAAGGGTGTGTTGCTGGGGTGCCTGGAGATAGTTCAGAAGTCAATTGTCCAGCAGGGGATGGGAATCGACGAGCATGCGTACTGCTAGGAGCTGGTGTTTCAGCGTCATCAATACTCTGGACATGTCGAGATGGCGTCGCGTTATGTATAGAAGATTGGCTCTCGGAGAAAGGGGTATATGCAGGCCTTCCTGAAGAACTGGGAGTTAGTATTGAAGAAGGCTGGCGCTTCCTCGAGAGCCTTTGATTCTCGAATTGCAAAGCATTACGCAATTGCAATTCGCATAGCTGGTATGTCTTCGCGTCGTACCCTTGGAAGTTTTGACTCTTTATAGCGTCTCGAATGAAGATCCTCCAAGAGGTCAAAAGTTCCTCAGTCCGATATGAGGACGGTGGAAGTTGGGTATCATCATCGTCTTCAGAAGTGACTTCATTGTTTTAGCTCATTAGGCCAATGAAAAACGATTCCCATACTCACAAGGATCCTTTGGGCGAGGCGTATCTGGAAACAAAATGGTCCAAATATCCATCCACTTTTCCTCATCTGGCTTCTTGGACTTTCTGACTTTTTCGATTTCTCGCCATTTCAAACAGTCAATCCCATCTCTCCCAGGACCCCGCATCGGCTTTGTGCCGTCGCAGGCTTTGTCTAACTTATGGTTCCGGTAGTCGTCGGCAGTGTCGAATTCTCGGAAACAATCCTCGCAGTCATGGATTCTATGGTGCTTAAGATCGCCATCCCTATTTGCGTTAGCCTACCACTAGCAGATCATATATGAAAGTTAAATATCCAGCAGCTCTCCTACTTACATGAGGTGCCGCAAGTCTTTCGAGCCTTGCCCACCACAAATTCGCCACTTTATTTGTTCCGGCGTGGACAAATTTCGGTCTTTACGGACACAATACTGCCTGGGATTGTACTTATGGAAATGGCAAGCAAATTTTGGTCCTGTATAAGCATTACCTAGGTCCCGAAATTTCATTTGCTTCTTTGGTGGCCCCTCTTCGTCCTCTTGCTCTCCGTCCTCGTCATTGGAACGTTTATCCAGCTGGTGTTTATACCCCGGTTGAGAATCAGAACCTGTTTTCCCAGAAGCTATAATAGAGGATGTATTTGGAGTTGAATAGTGACTATAATTGTCATCTGATGTGGCACAGCTGATAACACCGGGAGACAATGGGATGTTTTCCCTTTTCCACTTTTCTCTGAATATTGGGATTAGTCGAGCCACGATCTCTGGGTCTGCTGGCAGGGCCTCCTTTATAGATGACTCGATGGCCTCGAAGGTATCCGGAATCGCGTTGTATTCATATATAGACTCCACAGGGCTCCCAGTGCCGGGATCAAAGAACAGATCTGTTCCGTCGTCCTCCACAGCATTCAGACCCTTGACGGGTATGCTATCTTCATCGGCAACAGGTGTTTTGGCACAAACCGTAGCCTCTTGCTTCATATTGCCGCTGCAGAAATTATCTCTGGCATCTAGAGGCGCCGTTTCTGAAATTAAACCTTCTAGGAGTCGCGGCGATGTAAAACTACTAGACGCCAATGTGGGATAGGAACATGGTGACTCATGCCACTCAATGCCATAAATCTCTGAATCGAGAAGATTGCCAGGCATTTTCCCACGAAGGAAATCTGTCCACCCAAGGGTTATGCCGCTATCGATCTGATCTCTATGATTGGTCAGTGCATGTAATATTGGAGCGGGACGGGTAACTATACGTGGCACCACCAATACTAGGCATATAGTCAAATGAGGACGTGAAGAAATTTTGACAGAACAGCTCGGGCCGAGTATCGAGGGGTCGAGTAACCTCTTCTATTGATTGTATAGAAGATGATGAGAAAGTGGAAGAGCTATTTGATACAAGTGATGGTGTGGTAGGCGACGAAGGCATGCTAACAGTCTCAAAGCTATCTGCTGATGTCGGGTCGCGATCAAGAGGTGACAGAGGCGAACGAGGACTTCGTCTAGATGACCCCAACTGGTAATTGGGCAACTTTTCGGCCCCTAATCCATGCCCTATATATTAATTAATTCAATAACACAGCTGATATTGACGTTTGAACATACAAGGTTGGTCAGGGGAAGGCGAGTTCGGAAAGAGTATAGTCCATATTTCAAACCACTTCCTCTCAGCAGCCGATTTGTCCGTCGTGAGCTTACTTATTTTCTGCCATTGTAGAGGACTGATCCCGTCATCGCCGGATGGTTCTCCCCCGCAGTTGTAGCCCTGTTCATTCATGCATGTAATTTCGGGCTCGGTCTGATCGGAGGAACATATATTGCAGGTATCGCATCGAGACGAAGTGCTATGAATATCTTTCAGGTGGTTCCTTCCCAGGTTAGTCTCCTGATGGTTGATTTGAGAGTCAACCTACTTTAAGCTTACGATGTTCTCCCACCCAGGACCAGCACATGCGCGGTATTTATTGTCGGACAAGACACAATACGTCGATGGTGCGTATTTATTGAAATGACAAGCAAAGAGGTGGCTGCTTGGCAGGCAGGATGTGAGATCGCCTCGAGCCTTAGATTTCTTTGGTGGCCTTCCTCCGTTCTCATCGTTATGATCGTTGTTATCGTGTTGTCGCTTTAATGGTCGGGAGACAGAATAAGATGATATAGTGGAAGACGGTGTGACGTTTTTGACTTTCGTTGCGCTGGAAGATGGAGCCTTTGCTTCCTCTTCCTCATCATACCTTCCGGTGCCCCGACTCCGGTTGGAAGTTGCTATAAGGCTAGAGCGATCGAAAAAAAGCTTATATTGAAGATTTCGGAGGCAAATATATATCCAAAGCGCCCAAAAGTCTTGTAGACTTGTTTGCGCTTGAACAACTACAGTTATTGTAGTGGGAAGTGGCCAGGTTATCTCTGTTATATTTGTTATTGTTCGCTCCCAACCAAGGGGACCATCTTGGATAGCGTCATGCTTCATAAGACGTCTTCCGATTTGATTCTGGTGGTAGTGTAGAATCATTTTATCTTGAATCAGGTATTAGCTAACACCTATGTGGCCACGGGAAGGCTGGAGACATGAGGAGCTTGGCTCAGCAAGTCTCCACGATGATATTGAAATGTTGAGACTTACGGAACTTTGGGTCCCTTTCCATTATGGGCCCAGAGTAAGAATCTCTTCGGTCGACCATTACGGCTTGCCGCTGGATTCGTACTTGAAGTTAGGACGGGTGCGACTTTGCAACTTGGAAGGAGGGCAAGGAGACTTGCTGCTTGAGATGCTCACGGTAGCCATTCCACAACCATGGAACCACGTCGTTTAGTGAGACATTTATTAGCAAGGCTTTCCGCATGGTGGAGGGGTGAGGCTTTCTGCGAGAGTTCGCGGGTTCATGGGCGTATTAACTGGTTGTGGACTGATTGGTTGCGAGAGTTCGCAGCCACCAGCCAGCCGCCTTTGGTTGGTGAGGCTGCTGAAGGGTCACCAGCGCTTTCAACAGCTTGGGAACATAATAATCCGATGCCCCACTGGAAGTCTTCTGCTTAGTTGTAAAACAAAACTGTACCGTATCTCCCCTAGCAACTTTATTAAAAGAACCATTTGTTTCTGGCTACTAAAATTGCCTATTTCTAGGCGTAGTCCACAGCTAACATGTCGACAGCGCCCGTAATAACTGGCCTTGAGGCCCAGTTACAAGGATACTGGCGGTTCGAACACTCGCTCTCGACTTTATTCTCGCCCTCTCATTTGGGCGCGAACTCTAGGACTCGCACTCTCGCAGCCGTGGGGCTTCCTTATACGTAGTACCTCTCTCGAACACTTGCGCGAGCTTTTGCAATGTTAGCTGAGGAACCGCCCGCGAAGCCTTGAAGAACGATGCCATAGTAGCAAATGCCTAGAGTCCTGGGCATAAATATTAATCGCGATGCCCTCTTGTAAGACGACCCGACTTGGGTTTCTGACAACCAAAATCGCAGCTGGGGCAGAGACTATCCGGACAGCTCTATTTTGTATTTAATTGTGACCCCCATGATGTATCGAATTTCAGAAGAGCTCGCTAGCAAAAGTCATTGGAACAGAGGACGCGCCGGGTCGATAAAACCACGACAGCCACGACAGCCGCCGCCACCACCGGCGCCGAAGCCACAGCCTCCCGATCCATGTATGTAACCACCCTTTACACCGTTTTCGACTTGACTGACAAGTTGCAGACTATGGCCGATAGATATCTCTTCTGCCAAATTTGAAAGTCGGATATCCGAGTCCGATAGGGTTATTGCTGACCTAGGCACGATGCACCCAGCTAGTCTCAAGCTGTATCCTCAAGTTGACGTCCGCAATGGTATCAGTGGGAGGACGAAGGCTATGAGAGTCGGCGGACGATGAGCAGAGTCGGAATGATCGGGGAAGAATGATCGCCCACCACCCACCACATGTACACAGCAAAGCAGGCGCCCACGGAGTATTAAGGATCCAATGAAATTCTTCACATACACTATTTGCCACCGTGACTGGGTATGCGTGAGCGATGTGCATGACAATGCGTCAGCTACTAAGCCTCGATTTGTAAATCGGGCACAAGTATTCAATTGCCCAAGAGTACTCGGATTGATCGATTGATGGAAATACTCCATGAGTAAAACAACAAATTATAACACGGTAAATAGAATCTTTGCTTGTTCAAAATAGGAAAGAAATAAGAGCGATGCGATCCGCAGACGATAAAAACAATAACTAACTGCACACAAATATCCGCTGAATGCCGTTTCTGACCATTCGCAAACTCATCTCGTATGACTAGAGTGGGTTTGCCAGCGTATCAGCATCCAGATGTTGCCTTCCCCAAATCCGGTCACTGTAAAGACGGCAGAGCTGTCGTCACTGCTGGTCCCAGATATAGGTTATACCCGAGATGTAGGTGAAGTATCGGGGAGAGAGCCCATGATGATGATTATAAAACCTCTGTTCTTAACCTTACCGAGCTCGCCATTCCGGTCACTGAGAATAGTGTTGATAGGTTCACCTCAAAGATTTCACGCGAGGGTACCTACCTACACTTGACCCCTATCCTAGATTTAGTAAACATATTCTAGGTACCTTGTAATCGGATTTTAACTAAAGGCGAAACCTTAACTGTGAGTACATTCGTCCCACATCTGAACCATATATTAAGTAGCTAGACCAATGTAAGTGCAGAAGGCCAAATGACACGCTACTAAAGGAGGTGGCACAATAAAGGCGGTAGTGTTGGAACGTAAGGCTAAGCGAGTTTCCCCTTTTTGTTGGTCATCACTGTAATTTCGCCCACTACAGGTTTAATCGCCCTTATTATACGTACCCCTTTCATGGTTTGTCCCCAATCTCGTTGCCATCAACGGTAGAGATATATGAGCTCAAGCGATAAAGAAAGGCGGCCTTAGCCAAATACAGCAACGTCTTTTCTCTTCCTCCCTAGACCCCACATATATCGCTATAAACTTTAAGAGACCTAGATTTATTACGAATAATTTCAGCTCATGCTCGGCCACCCAGGCAGGCGTTTTTATCCCCGATTCTCGAGATTTGAAGCTGCCTTTGCGCAAAGCTTATTAAAGCTAGAACTGCCAACTTTGCTACCGTATCAGATTTGCGTTTACGCCGAGTCTGCTGAACGGCTTCCTTGGGGGAACTTTAGAAAGAACTCCTCCAGGCTAGATGTTAGAATGTATTAATAAGCTTGTTCGCCGCGATAGGAATATCGATTTGGTGGGTAGGCTACGGTTTTGTGGGGGGCCTTGCTGTATTAAGCCCCCTTGGATTCGGTTTTCAGCCTTTCGCAATCAGTATCTTCGACACGGTCAACATACCTTTCGAGTTAGAAATGGATCGTTGTACGCTAGGTCGACTTCTTAGAGATCTTGAATGCCCTAGAGAGTCAAGTGAGTGATCAGCGCCTGAATAGAAGCGGCAGAAGCGACCAGCTTTACTCGACCCTTAGAGGTAGAAAGCACCCCAAATACAAATACTTTCTCCTGAACATGCAGAAATCAACCCCACCATAGTCGGGAAAGCGCATAGAGCGCAAAAAATGGGATGATCTAGTCTAGAAGAAATGGGAAAAGCGGCTCTCTTTCATGATGTGGTATACGTGTATACTACACCGTATACTACACCGTATCAAGGAAACCAGAATAAATGCTTTTACATATATATACTCTATCTTTTCACACATGGAAAACGAAATATAAAGCAATAAAATAGATACGATAACTCGGATGGATAATTTGGTAAATCCCTCAGAAGGGGCACTGATAGCCATCCCCCCAATGAATCCGATTCCCAATACATAGGTAGGAAGTAGGAAGGAGGGGGACAAGAAGTAAAAATGGAAATGACAGCAATAGACAGGTCAAATAAGACCGTAAAGGGGCCTCGGCATTTCTCCCTGTAGAGAGGAGGAGGTGATGCGTCGACCAGTTTTCATCTTGATCTCCTTGGATTTGATTCCGACGTATGCTTCCCTGCGTGCAGGATTTCCGAGGGTGATAGAGCGGGAAGAGAGACCATAGTAGGTGGCTATGGAGTGGACAAGCCATCGTCTGGGAGAAAACAGTTAGCTAGTCTATTGCTTCCTACCAATGCACAAAAATCCAAATAAATAACGTACCCAAAACCAGCACCTCTGTCGTCAGCTGCGCCTTCCCAGATCATCTTCTCCTTCTCCAAAACTTCCTCCACCCGCTCCCTCTCCTGCCTAACCTCGTCACTCATTCTCCCGTTCCTTCCGATAAAAACGATCTCCTCGTCTTCAGAGTCAATTTCCGGCTCGTCCTCCATTCCGCCATGTAATGTTAAGTGCTCTTGCCGTTCATATTCCCTGACGAACTTGCGCACCTCTTCTTCTAGTTCTTGAAGCAGGGACTTGGCCCCTTTGCTGCGCTTTAGTTTGGCTTTGAGCTCTTGCGGAACCCGGCCTTTTTGTTCATCGCCGGAGCTGGATTTGGATTTGCGCGAGGAGGTGGTTTCGGCGCGGAGATCCCAGAGTGGCGCGAGATAATAGGGGACTGTGTGAACCGGGTAGGTAGGACGGACTTCCCAGTCTGAGGGGAGGGGTGGTTGGGCATTAGGGACGTTGAGGAAGCGGTCTATTTGGGTTGGTAGAGTATAAGATTAGCCAGAAGCTCCCTTTCGTTCTTTGTCTTCATGTTTTGGGAGAAGGCCCTGGCTTTGGGAGTCCCCTTAAAAGTCCGAAGTGACGCAATGCAAGTGCAGGTAGCCGCGGACAATCCCAAACACCAGATAACGGCAATTTGAAGGGGGATGATTCATTATACGGCGAATCACATACCATTCTCCCATCTCTGTCTCCTTCTAGTTCCCTCCTTCCCCTTTAAAAGAGCATCCCTTCGCTTCAAACTATCCCTTCTCAATGGCTCCTTCGCAGGCTTCACATTCCTCTTTTTCACCTCTGCTCCATCAAGAGGAATGGAAAGAGTGACGCCAGTGCTGCGCGCAGATGGAGAAATGGAGAGCGATGAAAGCGCATTGAGGGTATCGATCGTCGCGGTGGTGGATTGTGCGTTGGACAGGGGAGCTTGCTGCTCGGGCGGAGGGACGGACGAGTAGATAGCCATTGGACTGTATAGTGGGCTTATCTTTAAGCTGGTAAATATAGAGTACTGTATTTAAGATTTCGATGACCTTTAGAAGGGAATCCTCTCTATATGCATGAGATGAACGGTTCAAGTTGAAGTGCGCGAGGTGCGAGTCAGAGTTGGTTCGGATACGGGAGATTGTGTTCGCGATAAGCCGGCTGCGAGTATGTCAGGAAAATTGGCCAATCAGAAGCCAGCAATAGGGGTCGTGGAAAGTATGACTCTGACTGTGTGCGATGCTACGCTGAATGGCTCACGGAATGCAAGACATATTGCCATGGGATATTGATTCGAGCGGAGATTAGGTAGCCATATATATAAATGGTTACATACCTACCTAGGTAGGTATGTAGCTATGGGATACCTTAGGTGACAGGTGAGGCTATGATTCACAGTAGGGGGTTCTACACCCCGAAGGTAGTGTAATATCTAGATCTGTCCCCCAACCCATTGCACTAAAGCAAGCTGAGAATAAAGGAGGTGTTATACAGATGTCTGTCTTTATCTCTATGGCACACGATCACAGAGTCGCTCGGAAAGAAAAACAAAACATATAAACCTATCTAACTCATAACTTAGCGAAGGCCAGCTCATAAGCTAAGCCTAGAGTCAACTTTGCATGCTCAAGCATGTGATCAAAGCTCAGGTATTTGATGAGATCATTTGAAGTGTGGATCTGCTTGGCCGAGTTCTCAAAAGCAGATTCGATGACGAAGGCTGAAGGATAACCAGCCTTGGAAGCGGACGCGTGATCAGAGCATGCATAGCCGCATTTCGTCTCGATATATGGGATATCACAATACTGGGCCCGGATCAGACTGAGATTTGATGGAGGGAACTAAGGGGGTGCTTACCTGTGTGACTATCTTCTTGATGAAGTCAGTAAGGCCGGGATCAACAAAGTCAGTGATAACTCCAACGCTCTCCTTCAGCCCGGCATCTAGCGTGCCCTGCACGAAGCCGGTCATATCCTGCTGCAGCATTGCCTTGACATCTCTACCGGTCTTCTCATATTCTGAGAAGATAGCTTGACTGCCAAGGAGTCCACCCTCCTCTGCGGAATACCAATGGAATTCCACTGTGTTGGCCGCTTTTCCTGTTATGATATTGGAGGAGCTGAGGAGTACCCGCAAAGCTTCCAGGATGGTAACCGTCCCGCTCCCATCATCATCTGCGCCCGGCGCGGATAAGATGGAGGGGAGAAACAGGTTGATGCTATCCTGATGGGCTCCGACAACCACAGTTGAGTTGGTCTGGCCGGGAATTGTTGCGATAATGCTGTGCTGGCCCCAAGAATGTGGGAAGTGCTTCGCATGTGCTCCATGCTTATCAGCGCCGGAATCTTTGATAAGGGTTTGGACCTGTTCCAACAGCCACTCTGATGATTGTCTACCATAGTCGGACTTATAGTATCTAGTATGGAAGGAGGTGAAATGCTCAAGGTTTGCCTTCATAGTCGCCTTGGAGAGGTTCTGCATCATTGGGGCCAACTCCTTATGCAGAACTGGCTTCTTGGGGAACTTGACCTCCTTCTTCGAGGCTGTTCTGAGTGTTCCAAGGTTGGGCGTATCGGTAATATCCATGAATTGCTGGCCGTTCTGTGAAAAGCACGATGATTAGCTGGCCACCTCTAGCAGAGGAACGAACCCCTTGGAGGCTGTACTGACTCTTCTCAACTCCCATTTCTCTTCCTCGGTAACCCATCGTGTCGTCCCTGGCGCAAGCTCGATCAGATATTGCTCGTTGTCCGCGACTTCTGTGGTGAGGATAACCTGGTCCGACTCGTGCTGTTCAACGAAGCGTGCGCTGGCGACTGCAGCGGACAGAGCTACGGCGGATAATGTTGCGAGCTTCATGGTCTCTAGCGGCGATAGCTACGACGATAGGATGTGAATAGAACGGTCTGGGTATGGGAGAGTGTGGTTCTGCGCGTGGTACGGAGTGTGCTGTGTATGCGGACGAGTGTCATGGATTGATCAATAAGCACTGTTTACTCCCGCGGAGGCTGGTTGCTGCCACGAGCATCTTGAGACAAGGCCACACACAACAATGCGGTCTCGGAGCCGAGGGCTTGGGGGGTTCCGACGAGGCTGGAGTGGGGAGTGTCAAGGTGTGGAGGTGTGGAGGTGTGGCTGGACGCGTGGCTCATTATTTGCCAGTGGCGAATGCTCCGTGCTCGGACCACGTTCGTAGCAACGTTTCCGGGGGGTCGGCTCGGATCCGGGGTGGAGACGCGAGCATCTTGATGTCCACTGCACACTGTACCGGTACGAGGTGGTACTTCAGACGGAGTGGGATTTCTTGCTCTCTTCGTAGGTACCGATAGGTACCTAGGTACTGTAGGTACTTTCGTTGTGATCGTTGATCCTTTGCATTCCTTTGCATTGCTCTGCGTTGCACCTCTATCCCTATATCAGATATCAGCTAGGTGGGACTGCGGGAGATCCAAGCTCACCTCTCTACGAAGCACTTTCTGTATATACTCTAGAGGTACTGGACAAGCAGCTGACCTTGTCCCTCGACTGTGCCCCGCGTTTGCCTCCTGCGTCCAAGTGCTAGTGCTGGGAGTACTCGCTCGTAGGAAGCAATCGAGCTGTGTATTATATTATTGCTTTGTATTCTCCTCGTTAGTGACCGCACGGCAGCCTACTCCGGAGGTACGGCCAGCCAGTCAGTCACTGCACCGCGCTCTCAAGCGTCACTAATAAGCACAACTAGGTAGGCTCTAGTCGTAGCAGAGGAGTGTCCCTCGCTCCTCCTGATCCCCCTCCTCGCAATTCGAAACCCGCGTGTGCCGCCATGGACCACTGACTGGTAGACGCAGACTCAGACCCAGGCGCAGACGCAAACGCAGATGCAGACACAGATGCAGTGCACCACCATGCCAACCTTGGGCCGCGGGGTAGCGGTGGTGGCGAGTCGACTTGATACTTGATAGGATGAGAGAGGGAAAGCAGCAGCACCAGGTAGGGATTGCCCGCTTGGCTGAACTCCCTGACGACGTCACATCAACGGCCATCCGCAACACCGCGTTTCGTTTGTTGGAATCCGGATGGCCTGGCTGAGACCCTACATCGTACATTGTTATACCGGCAATCCATTCCATCGTCTCATTTTTCTTCCTCATCCTCCTCTTCTTCCATTGATTGCATTTGTCTTCACCCACGAACCAACTGACAACTAACAATTCGACAACACCTCCTCGTCTCATGTAAGTTAGTTTTGCCATCTCCGTACTGATACCTGCATACTTCGTACACGGGACTGGATTCCATGTTATATTGGCACCGCCTCCCCTTCTCTATCCCAATTTCCGTCTTCCTCCCCCTCTCCTAGGAACCATTTGTGTGCACAACCCTCAACGCTCCTGGACTAAACATTTCGCAGAAACTACCTTCACTTAAACTTCCGCCCAATCCGGAATACGCAAAGTCCCCTCAGAATCCCGCCGGCTCGTCCATCCGACATAAACTCCTGGAGTCTTCGGCATGGCCGGCTTTGAGGGTAAGAACTCCGAGAGCGCTTCTCGCTGGGACCTCGAATTACATGCAATATTCTGACGACCTCTTAGCATTCAACCCCTTCGCGAAGCGGGAGAGTTATTCCGCACAATCCCTCTGGACATACAGAGCCCTGTCCGTCATAACATGGCTGTTGAGCGTGATTGCCACCGGCTATTATAATTGCCACTCCCCTCACAATGACAAGGCCGCCTATAAACATACCATTCCAGGACAAAACAGGCATTATGCAACTCCATTCAGTCTGAACTTCCTCATCGTGGACCTTTACTGGTATGCCATTGTGTATCCCCCATTGTACAGCATTACCCACTGCTAACAATTTGTTATTAAAGGCTGGCGCTATTTGTCTTCCAAATCGCATATGTCTGGCACCTATTTTCGCGTGATGCTGCTCGCGTCCAAGCTGCAACGGGAGTTGGAAGCCACTTCATACTCAACAATCTCCTGCACTTTGGATTCGTTATGCTGTTCGTCCGCTGCTACTTCATCTCGGCTGAGGTTCTCTTGGTGATCAACTTCTTCAACCTGTCGTCTCTCTACTTCCGTCATGGCACGGCGCCAAGATTAATTCACATCGGCGCTACATCTGGACCTCTGGCATGGACCTTTGTTGCGTTGTACTGGAATGGAGCCATCATGTTCGGTGCCCATAACTTGGCAGCTCGGATTTTGGCGAATGTTGCAATTTGGGGTATCTTGGTCTACGGACTTTTCTTCCTCGTTGCGTATAAGGTTGGTCCATTATATTCCTTGGATAAATTTTCTGCTTACATTTTCTAGGACTATACCATGGGTTTCGCCCTCAGCATCCTGACAGCATCCCTCGGGGTCGGTCAATTCTTCTCCAAGATCATCGCATTCCAGTGGATCTTTGCCTTCACAATTATGGCTGTCCTTTTCCTAGCCACCCTAGGCATCGCCGTCCCAACTGCCCTCGGCAAGGAATTGAGCTTCAGACGAGAGGGTGCCGCGGTCTCGACCGACCAAGAGAGAGCACCTCTATTGGACGACCAGTAAACAAAATGGCATCTTAGTAGAACTCGCTGGAGTTACTATCAAATGGGCGGTTGGCGGTGATGTCCAATGGGGTGGCGAAGAGCATTGGAGGCTAAGAAGCGATGCGCTGCATTTAGTTATATAATCGGTGATATTTGTCAAAGCCAGAGTTTTGTGTCGATACCACTCCGCTCGGATATTGGATCGGGTCGTTTTGGGCTATGGATTGGTTGCAGGAGAAATGGAGTTTATTCGTTTTTTTCTTCTTCATATTTTATAGTAGCAATTGCGGTATCATGGAGTTTATTCAATGCCGATTTTTCGAATCTATATTGGATCCTGCAACACATACAGTAGTAAAGCATTCAGTATTGAGAAAGATTTAACGCATCAACTGCCCTCCTTTTACTATTATTAAGGAGGGAAATCAGAAGGCGAAATATATAAAGCGCTTTGAATGTAGAAACTGAGCTTCTGCCTCTAGGATTGAAACGTAGATAGCGTATAGAATGAAGGTACGATAACGACTCGCGAATAGCTTTACTTTGGGACTAAATAAAATGTTTAGTATTATTATACTCTAATTACTATTACAATGGTGTTTTATTATAAAGCTAAAATATAGAGTAAGAGTATTATATAAGGAAGCGTCCCCCTTTGTGCACCTTTGTCGGCGATACAAGTAATGTTTCCCTCTTTTAAAGTCACCTGACTTGCTGTGCCTGGCTTGCAGCTACGGTAGCTAAATAGATATTATCCCTTGTATAGTAGAAGTTACTCGGCGGTTTTTAGTCTGCCTAGATCTGCTACCGAATAAATCCAACCCTATTCTAATAACCGCGATGCCGAGACTGCTTCTTTCGAGCCCCGCTAAACAACAATTAACTTTCTTGAAACTCAGTGCAAAGTGATGTTACGAAAACCGCCCAGCATGCTACTATAAGAGCACCAATCGCAAACCCAGACGACACATCGCCCGTTATAGCTGAGTAGACCGTAGAGATGACTATAGCAAGTGCAAGTATACCTCCAGTCCATCGCAAGACACTCCGCTTATTTATACCTTCAATGACCAAGACGCCCCACCCGAGAATGATTTCACCATCTGGCCGTGTTCCCAGGCATACTTTATCTAGCTTCTCATAAAGCTTCGTCGGCAGGCGATTAAGCCACATCGACTGCATTGCCGGAGTAAACCCCCTCGGACACTCCCACAAGTGGAAAAATAGGTCCGGGGGAATGGGAGGATGAGTGAGAGACGACGCAGCAGGTTGACGCTCATATCTACGCATGTCAACTAGGTCATCCTTGTTCTCCGCGTGCGCGCAAATCGTACAATCTGGGGGGCCGGCGATAGGGTAGACGCGTTTAAGGATTCCGACTGCGAATTGGGTGTAGTTAATATTAACTGGTTTGATGAGCCATTTTCTGATCACGTTCATGCGAGAGCTGCGGCATGCTTCGTATGCCAGTTTGAAGCCACGGAACATCTGGGTATCCTTGGGGATGGAGGATATGTCGACCTCATCGTAAGTTTTTTTGAATGGGCCGCTGCTGACACATAATGCCACGAATTTTCGACCCGCACCCGTAGATGTTGACTGAAAGGCTGCTGTATCGATACCACCGACAGTCGTGTTTGGCATAACGCCAACTCCTTGAGATGTATAGATAGAAGAGCTCCGTGTTGCCTGAGACGTGTTGGATATCGGAGGGGCTAGGGGTGCAGAATTTGATGCAGTGGTTTGTCTGGAGTCTGCTAGCAATCGCGTTGCTCCGTGACCACTTTGTGTGACAAGAAATCCATGGGCTTGCATCTCCATCACAAGTTTATCAATTTCATTATTGTCACCTCGAAAGTCGCCATAGAGCGGCATACCGCAATTACATTGCCATTCTAGTCGTCGGTGTCCAGCATCTAGCCTGGGTCGTAGAAGCCGAAGCATACCCAAATGAAGTCGATATAGTATGTTAGGAAGGCTAGAGTTTTCAACTTCCCGCTCTGCTGCCCTCCCTACACCGACAGGATTCAAGGACAAGGCGGAGGTGCTGCTAGGAAGCATCTCGTTAAGTGCCTTTCCAAGTAGAAAGTCCTTTGCCGATGGATGAACGAAATACACGTGATCCTCCTGCATGGTGAGGAACGAGCGGCATTTATCAACAACCCGCTTAACATTCTCAAGATTGTTGGATATTTGCTTAGGCAGACCAGAGCGGGTCTCTAACTCGAGGAGGAGAAGTGGGCGGTATGAGAGAGCCATAGTGCAAAGGACGAGACGGCATAATTCAGGATCATTGCGCTGCAGTGGTTGAATCTGTCGTATCATCCGTTCGTATAGCGGGTCTAACTCGGGCGGAAATTCCCGAAGTACATCGAGTACGTTCCAGCTTTCCACACGCTCTAGCTCCTTCAAAACAAGGGCTGCCCACAGAAAAGTCCCATTGGCTTTAGCGTATATTTGATCTCGGACTTGCTCTTGTAGTGTACTATCGTCCACGATGAATGGAAGCTGGGACACTTTGAAATCGATAAACATCTTAACAGCACGAGAAACATGGGCTGAGTTAAGCTCAAGGCTAAGCCTTACTTGAGTATCGTTAAGTCTCAGTTGCGCTTCGATATCAGGCTTGTTACAGCTTGACACGATCCATTTGACGCGAGAGGATGTTGAGGCACTTTGAACAACTAGATTCAAAAACTTAGGCAGGTCTGTTTCGCATTCGTCGAGGGCGTCAACGACCAAGTAGGTGCTTTTCAAGCCCGGGTCTTGCAAAATGTTTTCAAAGACCACAGACAAAGGCTTCCAGGCGTTTAGGCCCTCGAAGGGTCTTTTGGCCCCCTGTCCGTACTGCTTCAGCACGTGCGAGACAAGCGATGGTTGCTGGTCGATAAGCAGGTAGATAAGGCCGCGGAGCACGGCCGTCGCATTATTTAGGCGCGAATCGGTGACCTGGCAGAAGAAGTACGACAGCAGCGTAGTTGAATCCTTGTCTCTCAATCTTGTCGAGGGGCTCATTTCGTTGACAATGCCGCAGAGCAGCATCGTCTTGCCTTTGCCAGGATTGCCCTTGATGTACAGCAGCCTACTTTTGTCATGGCACCATCGTAGGAATTCGGCGCTGCTAAGGATCCAGCGATACGAGTTCTCTAGCACGCCACCATTTGTCTTCTCGATACGCTTCTTGTCGTCCCGGGGATCAGTCGTCCCTAGGTCCTGTAGATAGTTCTGGGTCTGGGTGTCGGAAAGATACCGCCGACAGTAATGATCTGCTCCGGGGATAAACCGGTCAGCAGCGGCATTTGTAAAGCTAGGAATTCATTTGTGAACCCACCATCATTGTAATTCGGAACAATATCCCTCCGTGGTTTATTGATGTTAACGCAGCTCCAGAGATTCGTATCAAGGCCCCGAGCTTCATCTGTAAGAGGGGAAGGCAGTTCCTTTACTGCCTTGATCGCCTCTTCGGACTCCTTCACTTGGGCACCGTTAAAAAATCCTACTAGGCTCTCGCTTTGATCGCTTGATCCCAAGTCCCCGATAGGGACCAAATGCCTGAAACGGGGCATGCTGAACATGTTGCTATATGGATATTTCCCGAGACGCATACCGAAGCCCTCAGCTTCATCTTCGGCTGCAAGTGAAGGCATTTCCTTCATCGTTTTGATAGCCTCATCGATCTCTTTCACTTGGGCATCGGTAGCGGTTCCTATCAGCGTCTCGCATGCAAGCACTTGGATATCTTTCAATAGCCCTTCCATCAAATACTCCACTTTATCTCCTTTCCCCAATGCATCGAGGGCTTTCGTGTATCGGTCGTACTGCTTGTCGTCATCCTTCGGAATAACCCTCTGGAATATTTTCTTCAGCTTTTTAGCCTTCGCTTTGCATGACTCCAGAATAGGCTCCAATGTCTCTTGTGCCACCTCGTCGAGAGTCTGTGCTCTCTGTTTCGCGCTGTGGAGGACTTCGATGACTAGTGGCAGTGGTGCCGCCGCCTGGCGAAATGCCTCTCGCTGATCTTTCGCATCTTTGGTGACATCGTATAGGGTTTTGGTTGCCTCGATGATTGAAATCACGCCTGAAATAAGGCCAACGATAGAGCCAGTCTTGGTGCTGAGCATGATAGGCCGTCAATGTACTACAACAAGTGATGAGCATTTGACAACATAGCGAGAGTCGGTTTTTGAACTTACACGATGTTGCCACAAGTGATTGAGGATGCGCACAGTGCTGTTGACTACCCAGAGCGTCTGCGAAGAGGTGAGACTTGGAAAGCTCATTGCCACGAGCGGGTTATGAGCTTTCTTTAACTGCTTTCTGGAAAAGGCTCAAGATGGGCCAGCAGGAGAGCTCTGGCTAGATGCCTGCGTAGCCAGTGATGCGGCGCATCTTTATGCATGTTCCCGATAAAGCACACTCTTGCGAGTGATCTGAAAGAGGGTTTACAACGTTGGTCTGTGACTGTGTGTACAGTTAGGCTAGTGATATGCACTTTTATAGAGTAAGCAGTCAAAAAGAATATACTTCGTCAGACGTCGTTACGATAAGCCTGGCTTAGTAACACTAATCGCGAATAACGCTGAGCCTGCAAACATGTGGAGGTTAGGTAGCCGACCTACCTCCTGTGCTCTTCCTTAACGCCCCTCGCCACCATGTAGCGCCCAACCCGTCACATAATATGCCCCGCCCTTTCCCACTTCCTATATGCGTTGGCACTGACATATGCCACATTCCTCGCATCCGCCGGATCATACTTAAGAATAACGGCAGTTCCGTCAAACGTTTCTCGCGTAGAATTCTCGCTGAGCAGGAGTTTGCGCGGCATTGGACGAGGATTGAGACTCCTATCAAAGCATGGAGGGAGCTTGGGGGACATCCATGTAAAGATGCACTTCTGCTGGGGGATGCTAGTGGGGATAGGGATGTTGGAAGGGACGTGAAGTTGAACAACGCTTTCAAGAGCCCGATCAAACAAAGGACTGCTGGGCAGATTGAAACAGAGATATGGAAAACTGCGGGATTTCTTGCTGGGAGGTATGCATCACCCCGCCCCCTTCCCCAGCCTCATTGCTAACCTATTCCTTTCAGATTTGCAGCCAAAGAAGCCGTCATCAAAGCACACCACTCTCGCCGTTTAACCTACCGAGACATCGACATTATCAGACGCACACCCTCATCTGCTGGAATTACAGCTTCTCAACCCCCAGTAGCCCTTGTCAGAGGAGAATCTGGGGATTGGACCAAGGATGGGCAGTTATTGCCCATTAGTATCAGTCACGATGGGGATTATGCTACTGCAACATGTATTTCATATGAGCCGCATCTTGGCGGGGGCGTGGTTGAGGTTCCTGAGCATGTACGGGGAGAACAGATTGGCGATTGAAATGTAATACAACGGGTTGAAGAATGGCCGATGGGATTCAGTAGCTACGGAACCGGAAGACACATTGTGGCGCACAGAAAATTGCTCACGACTCCTCTGAGGAGCCTGGAACCGATATTTAAAAAAACGGTTTGAACAGTTTGCTTCCGTAAAGAAGATGGGCCAAAGTTAATGCACGACTTTAACAGGCATCAAGACACGGTCTAAAGTTAGAGAAAGGGATACTAATTATACGTTTTAATTGGTTGAATCTACGAGGCTGGTTCCATGCATTGCTGAACGGCGTCCGATGGCCTATCGCTATTTGAATGAAGTCGCCATCCCGTGGTTCAAGGCTGGTGATTCAGTCACGTTTCTAGGGCTAATGATGCCTTCCTGAGGATGCCTCGTTGCTAGCTGGGAGCCGACAGTATACGAAGTGGAATGTCCTACCCTAATGGCACAAGTTAAGCGCTTGGGGGTGTTTCCATTTTGCCACTCCTAACAGTGCAAACGCCTATAGCTTATTCCACTCGGCAAAAGGCTACCAATTTCTCGTCATAGCTACCAGCTCCACTCGAGACCAGCTGCTATTATCTCGACCTTCGCCATTTGGGGGCGTGCACTATATGTTCGACAGGTAATATTAGCGACGCAGTTACTCTACTTATATCGCTATCATGTGGGCGTTACTTAAGGTTGAAAGCTCTCTGTTAAGGAGGCGATTGGTTATTATATTCGCGTTATATCAATTTCTAGATATCAATTTCTAGTTAGCAGAAGAGAAAAGGAAATAGGGTGGATACCATTCTGCCCTTGTATTTCTCGCCTTCACTCGGCTACGTCCTCCAGGAAATCCTCAAATTAATTCCATGGCCAATGCAATCCTTACACCTGCGAGTTATCCACAACATCCGCAACATCCGGCAATATCAGCGTCCCCTCTCCTCTTAACATTTTCAACCACCACGGAGATGGTGGAGGTGGGATTGGAGGATCGTTATGAGCAAATTTTAGCTCTGCTCGCCTCAGAAGATTAGCATATACTATGGTATAGTCTGCATCGAGATCGGACTGGGCCACTTCATCAGCATCTTCTAGTCGCAACGGCACAACGACGTACCTCCTTGCTCCCGCCGGGGTAAATCCTTTGTACGGACTCCTCGTAAGCATGTCTAGCCCGTCAAATTTTTTATCGCACTTTGCGCAAATGTGAAAGCCAGGCTGCGCTTCTCTGATCCAGTTCTCGAGGCAGTTTTTTCCGTAGATATGAGTACAGGATAGCCGCACCGGCTGCTCGTATGGTGGTTCGTCGAATCCACGAAAGCATATTCTGCACGTAAGATCCTCGCCAGCCGAGCGCATGTCCTCCAGGTTCTCTAGTGTGGCAACGCGGTGTAACCCGTGGACCATTCCCTCTCTACTAGTATTAAGTAACCCCTGAAATGGCTCTATGTTTTCCGCAAGCCAGTTCTGCTCGAAGAACGGTGACTCGTCCTGGTGGATAGCTGCAATGTTCATCCACAAAGCCTCGCGGAGCTGCAGGTACAGACCGATCTGCCTCGTCGTCGGATCTGGCAGGCTTGAATTCATCCAGCGTTCCCAAATCACACTGTCCAACGCCCTTTCCATCGTTAGCAGCCATATACAGTCGCGCGGCTGAACCAAGCCCTTAAAGTCGTCTATGTAATGTGCATATTTTGTGGACACCTCGCCATCCGAAAAGGAAGGGAACCTGTTTAACCATTGTCCCGGGCTTACGAGCTGTAGACCTAGGTCTAAGATTCTCTCCGCCTCCGCCAACTGCAGAGAATCTAGTATTCTTGATGGAGCTCGTTTGGTGATTGCTTGACTACGCTTGTCTTTTGAATCCACGAATTTGATAAGACAGTGACGGCAAGCCCGGGGATACTGGAAAATGGGGAGAACAATGATGCGACAGCGTCGACTATTTGCTCGTGCCCTGGGACATCTTACCTCCATTCTATATCCAGAATCAACATGGTCAACATGATCGCATATAGTACAATCGGATGAATACTCGACGCACATTATTGCGTTTGTCTCAGTTGGGTATGTTTCAGAAGTCGTTCTGGGCGGTTCTGTTGGAGATGTGATTGTAGACAGGCCTGTAAATCGAAGTTAATTTGCTATGTACTGCACACAGCTGACGCTATGTAGCCTGGGAAGTTTATCTGTTCACTATCATATATAATCTGTCTTTCATATTTTCAGTCTAGCCTTTCAAGATGAAAAACAATGCTTCCGCTGGCAGTTGTCCAGTCTCCCCACGAGAGCCAAAGGCTTGATACAAATGCCATTGTACATCTATTTCTTTGTTCACTCGCACCCCTTGGGTTACTCGTCTGCATTCTTTGGCTTAGAAGGTGTAATAATAGGCAAATAATAGGGATAACCAGACAAAGGAATTTGAGGCAATTTAGTTAACAAGGCAGATCTCAAGTGTTAATAATATTTGCGGTTAATTGATTGGGTCCCGAATGGCGCATGTACTGCTACCAGTCTTTTAAAATTGATGGAAAATGCTTTATATTTTATTTGTTTTATGCCACACTGTTTTATCTATCGCTGTGGCTTACAAGGCCAAGGAAAGGGGCGAGTGTCTTCAAATTGTGCTCTAGTATTATGCGGGCCGAGACAGTGGATCAGTACGTTTTTGGAGAATGTAAGAACCTATGTAGATGATTGGGAGTGTGTGCTGGAGAGGATGTGTAGGTGTGGCAACCCGAGCGCGTCAGGTATAGATAAGCGTTCGAAGTTGGAGAATAGTACATCGTCACTTTTCCAAGTTGTATGTTGCCATGGAAAGAGCGCTAGCTAGCTCCCATTTTACTGGTTTTGGACGATTGTGTGGACGATTTCGATTTGTTATCACATTAGATAGCGACACGCCCCCGGAGAAGGGGTACTTAGTGGAACACTGGAAGGCGAACCATCTACATGATATTTACTCAAATGGGGCCTTTCGAAATAGCCAATGTAGGACTTGTCGTTGGTGAATTGGAGTTTTGAGGGTTCTAGGACCCGCATGCAGATTCTTGGGACGGAACTTAGATCCAACAGAGATGGGTTTTGTGCCTTGTCTGGTAATTTTGCTATGCCGCGAGAGGTTATTTTGACACCGGGCCTACTGGAAGGTGTTCGTTGAACGAGTCTCTCTTCTTATGAGAGGAAGAAGGGACCCTATCATCACCACCATTTAGCACATTGACAGCCCTACGGAATCTTGACCAACGGGATTCCTTGTGTTGTTTGGCGAGTTTGGCGCACCGGCTCGGTAAGCATCAATACTCAAGCAGTGCTTTGATACCCAATTACCAACAGCGACTTAGCTGACACTGGTGAACCTCCTACCCATTTCCAAAGTCATCCTCTCAACTATCCTTTCTTCCAATCCATTCCTGATACATGTAGATCCACCACCACTGCTAAAGCATAGAGCAGGCAAGAAGCTAGGCACTTTGTACGGACGGATTGTGAGGATGTGTCTAGATTGAAACTATGTGCTAGCGATAAAGGAGTACAACCTTAAGGATAAAAGAGTTAACAAGATATTCTAGGCGAGGTTTGTCCGGCAGCTCTAAGGAGAGGATTTGGGGACAGATGATGCACGACTGCACGAATAGTGAGTTATGAGGAGGGGTGGGGCAAGGGTACCCCTCCCGCAATCAACTGAAAGCTACCTATTTTCGGTAATTGCTTAACTTCCATAAGACTGAATACGTGACAGGCGCACCGTCTCCTTACTCATACGTGAGTGGCCGGGTTACCCAGTTCTACTATGATCTTTACCCAATGATTTGTTTCCAATCTCCGTAACGATCCCAAGACCAGTTCCGGCATCCACACCATGTGCTGTAACTGCGTGGCTGAAGGACTCCCTCCCAGAAAACCGCCTTGGGGAAGGTTAGTGAAGGACCCTACCTTAAGAAGTATACGGCTTGAATAGGAGAGCTCACCAGCCTCTCTCCTCTCCACCGCTTAGAAAGGTACAATCGCCATCAACAACACAATCCCAACCCCCACCAACGCCTTTGCCGCCCTTCCAATCCACCTTCGGAAGTTCGTCATTTTCATTCTTAACTCTCTGTGCTGTGCTTTCGCCCACGTCCCGCCGGACAAACTTCGATAGCCCAGCCGTCCAAGGGTGGAAATCTTGAACTGTGATGTCCTCAGGGAAGAAACCCGTGAGCGCTCGGGATACCGCCATGAAAGTCGCCGCATGCGTACATATTAGCACACACTTCGGCCCATCAGGATGAGTGTCCAGATCTCGGATCATGCAGGCTAGCGTGAAAGCTGCCCGCTCGTGTAGTTCCAGAATGGTTTCCCCAGCTGGGGATGGCGTCCAAATTGGTTCATAGTCGAGAGAGAAGTTTGTGAAGTAGCTTTGGAGAGTTTTTGGAGGCGCAGGCTGAGGGTCCGATGTTCTGCTTGCTCCATACCATTCGCCTAATCCAGGCTCGCCATGAATAGGAATGGAAATACCGCAAATTTGGCCGTCGTCGTCGCTGCGGGCGGCATAAGAATCAATGGAAGGTTGGACGGTTTGAATGCAACGGTAGAAAGGACTTGAGTATATGATATCTGGGCGCGGATCTACCTGGAGAAGGTGGGCTGCCAGTTCCTGGGCTTGTTGTTCCCCGTACGTCGAGAGTGGAGTATCTGGGGGGATCCGACCGGAACTATGGGCTTTAGGGGGTTCAGAAGACCAATTTGCTCTAAACTAGTGCCACAAGCTTAGAATTTTCGTTCTCGTGGCCAACATTTAGGCGCTGCTGAAAGGAGGACTTACGCCATGCCTCGTGAGATATATGGTGTGTAATACCATGTTCGAAATCAATACGAGTAGAGAGTAGATCTTTGAGACTGCAACAAGGTAGAGAAACACTCGAAGAATAGAATCACTCTTTCTAGGCACCAGTACTTTCTTGGATTATTATCCTGTACGAGGCAGCTTCTCACCCCTCTCCGGTTTTCGCAACTTTTATGCGGCGGTCGTTGCATGCTTTCCTTCCCTTACCCAGGGAGGTGCTTACGAAGTACCTAGGTAAGCGACGTCGGCGAACGTGACAGCGTTCCATGTTTAGTGGCCATTGCGCCTACTCGTATTGTTGGAATAATAGAAATATATATTGTATTTCTGGTTTCCGGCCAATTCTTTTCTGCCGCCAGATTTACTTAACACGTCGGATTGGAGTTTCATATGGGACATTGAGAGTGTCAAGATCAAGTCCATGAAATCTATATCCTCTGGCGAAACAACCCCAACGCAATCCTCATGGAGGAGCCACAGGCAGACATGGACGGGGATAAACCGTAGAATAAGAGAAGGGACCGGTGGTTGTCCGCACGTGGCCACAGGCTTCTCCAGTACAGTGACCAATGCCAATATAACATACGAGTAACCCTGTATTTTGGAGGCGCTCCTACGAGTACAGCCAGTGGCTGGATCTCGCTCGTTATTTCTCCAGCCTTGCAACCTTCAATCTGTCTTCAACATCAAGGGTCTCTAGGCCATGGAGAAGGGACCTGTCACCTAGGCTTGCGAGGGCGATGAAGATGAAATCTCGCCCCGGGCTTTGACTGCGATATTCTCCGAATGCGCCTTCTGTCGTGACTGTTTGGGGAAGCCTGCAGGACGCAGCCGCAGCTGAAAACTTGGACCTTGACCTTATCTGCCCAGCCTTGGAAACATGGCGGAAGCTTTGGCCGTGGTGGGCATTGTGGCCAGTTTGGCACAGCTTGGAAACTTGGGATGGCAAATTGCGAAGCGGATCAATGACTACCAGGTGTCGACTAAAGGTGTGCCCAGTATCTACCGCGAGATTTCGATTCAGTTACCTCAGATCATCGACATCTGTACGAAAATCCAGAAGGAAAATGAAACATTTGGCTCCAGTCCAGCCTTTGTTCAGGTTGTTACGAGTTGTGTTCAACATGTGCAGACTTTGGACGAGCTGGTCTCCAAAGCACTACCAGTGAAAGGTGATTCCGCAATAAAGCGAGCGAAAAAAGCAGTCGCCAGTGTCCGGTTGGAGAAGCGGCTGATTGAGCTTCAACAAACGTTGGAGTCATACAAGTCCGCACTCGTACTCGAAATCGGTCATCAAACGCATGCTGCACTCCGTCCGGAGATACCATCAATGACAGGGCCAGTGAAAGGAACTTGCTACCATCTTCCCCCCTCTCAAGTATCTTTGTTTATTGGGAGGAAGAAAATCCTCCGTGAGATGACTGAGATTTTATGCCCATCAGTTCGCGATCCTGAGCGGCCTGTTGTTGTGGTGCTGTGCGGCATGGGTGGCCAAGGGAAGACCCAATTGGCGTTGGAATATTGTCGACAATCACAACAAATTGGGCGATACAACTCAATCATGTGGATCAATGCAGCTTCAAGGATCTCTATTGCTAGGAGCTTTGAAGAAGTTGCCGACCACATCACCAAATTCAAGCGAGCCTTCTCCGATCCTTCAGCTTGCGTTCACTTCACTATGGAGACACTTGAGAGATGGGCCAGTCCTTGCCTGATAATCTTTGATAATTTTGATCATCCAAGTCAAATGAAGAACATTATGGATTACTGTCCCAAAATCAAAGAGGTGGGAATCATTTTCACCACGAGGAATCTTGACGTCGGGAGACTCGGGCTCTCCTTGGACGTCGAGGCGATGGAGGAACAAGAGGCTGTGGAGTTACTGCTACACCACATTCGACGCCCGTCAGTGGCCGAGTCTGTTGAAGGAGCTAGACTGATTGCTCAGAAGTTAGGATTCTTGGCATTGGCAATTGATCAAGCAGGGGCATATATAAATGCCCGAAAACTTCCTCTCCGATCCTTCATTGATCATTATGAGAATAGAAAAGAGCATGTGATGAAGCACACACCTCAGTTGTGGGATTATCGAAGAAAGCTCAACAATGCAGAGGAAGAGACGTCACTGAGTGTCTTCAGCACATGGGAGTTATCGTTTCGAGAGATGGCCGGTAACAAAGTGACGCACGAATCAATGAGCCACTTACTCACGCTCTCTGCCTTCTTTTCCAATCGTCACATCAGTGAAAACATCTTTCGGGCACATTTTGAAGGCCATGACCCGCGTCCAGGTTGGATGCATATCTTCGAAACGGACGGCAAGTATGATACTTATAAATATGAGGTCAGTGGTATTCAGGTAGAAAAGTCTGTAGGTCTGATACTCAAAATATCTAGGACATTATTGCAGAACTATCCAATCTTTCATTGCTGAATAGTGATGCCTCCGAAGAAGATGCTCATTTTTCTCTACACCCCCTGGTTCGCGACTGGATACAACTTCGAATGGCCTTGGAAGAGCGCGGGGGCTATGCTATTGAAGCGACCCATTATTTGACATCTAATATTCGAGCAGAGTTGAATGCCAAGGAACGCTCAGTACCACGGACACGACATATTCTGTCCCACATAGATGCCTGCTACGAGAATTGTAAGAGGCATATTAAATCGCCCATGTATGCACGATCCGGGGTTCTCCGCGAATCTCTGATTCAGTTTGGAAATTTTTATAACATGCATGGTCGACATCAACAAGCAGAGGAAATATTTCGGGAAATTTTGAAGGAGGACGAACTCGGCCGGGGATATGGTGACCTCGAAACACTCCAATCGAGGTTATACTTAACTCAAGTCTACTATAACCAGGGACGTTATGGAGAATGCAGAAAAATGCTGCTCGAGATTCAGGATAAGCAGGAACTACAGCCACCCCTTATTCCCAACACTCTCAGAACATCCACCCTCTTGGCGAGAGTTTGTTTTCGAGAGGGCCTGTATTCTGAAGCTGTGGCCCTGTATCAACAAGCCCTTAGTGGATATGCGACCGGTAAAGGATTAGATCAGACTGATACACTGAAGATCTACGAAGATCTTGCCATGGTCCTAAGAAACCAAGGAAGCCACGAAGCAGCCATCGAATACTATCATAAAGCATTAGTAGGATATGAAAAGCAGTATGGGCCGAATAGCTTCCAGAGCTTGAAGCCATTGGTACACCTCGCAGACACATATCGCAACCAAGGGCTGTACGAGAAGACGTTGCCTTTGTACCAGAAGGCGCTGGAGGGAAACGAGAAGCAATTCGGAATCGATCATCTCAACACGCTAGAGAACATGGTAAATTTAGCCATCAACCTCCGTAATCTAGGTCGCTATGCAGATGCCGAGCATCTATTTTCTAAGGCACTTCATGGGATCGAAAAGATCCTGGGGGAAGGCCACCTTGATACTCTCCGTACAATGATGAACTTTGCCATTAACCACCACAAAATGGGCAACTATACGGAAGCAGAAGTCCTATATCATACCGTTCTCGAAGGTAGAGAGCGCGTCCTGGGCCTGGACCACCATTATACCTGGCGGACCGTCGAGTGCCTAGCAGATCTTCTCTGGCTCCAAGGAAAGCAAGACGAAGCAGAGCGACTTGCCCAACGAGCAATGCGTGGATCTAGACGCCAATCTTGGAATAAAACCCGCCATACCCAACGCGCCTCCGAACGTTCTCCTGAGCGCAACCAGCTGCAGCGCCTCGCACCTCCGCCGCGCCTCCGTTCCGAGCCTATACTGACCCATAGCATCGACGACAAGATATTTCCCGATATGGAAGCCCTGTTTCTCCGCGCGCTGCATCGCGACCAGGTGAATCTCAGGGGCAATCACGCGGATATGCTAGATACGATGACGACTTTGGCGAATGTGTATGTGGCGCAGAATAGGTACAATGAGGCGGAAAACCTATTCACACAGGTATTGGAGGTGGCGAAGAGCAGGTATGGGTTAGAGCACAGGGATTGCGCAAGACTCATCTTATCATTGAATGAGTTGAATGAACTTCAAGGGAAGGAATACGATTCCGGTTATGATGGATTTGAGGACGACTCAGACGAAGAACTTCCCATGACGAAACTTGAGATATAAGATGTCTGCGTTAGGCCAATGAATGTCGGATACCTGAAATATGGTTCATTAGTGTTGACAGGATAACATAACTACTCATTCTTGTTGGGCTTGGTAATTACAAGCTCTTGGAATTAGATGAAGCAGTCCACAATAAATGGTGCTACTATACCACATAGCGGACTTCGGTGGAAAGCCAACCGGTCCCAGGAGAAGATGTCGGAGAGCACGTTAGAATTCAGGTCATATAATAGTTAAGGTAAGCACCAACGCATCCGTTTAGTCGGCATTTGCAAAATAACCTTCGCACCATGCAATCTCCTGGTTTCCTTATTTTTAATTGTCTAACAGGCCATAGAGATGTAACAGTGGAACTCTGGTCTACTCGAATTGTTTTATCAAAAATAATAGGCTTACTAACACTGGTTAGAATCTAGATATAATTTCCATCCTTCCCCTAAGACAGGTAGGTGCAACACGATTTGAGTATTTTAGCCGTCGGATTTCTTTTGGGCATCATAAAATGGAACGAGCTGTTCTTAGAATGGCTTTTTTCAATTCACCTTTGTGAGTACTGAGGACTTATGAGTGTAAATTTCATTTGTATTATAGAATTTATAGTTTCCTGCCCATACATATCAGAAACGGAAACTCCATCGTCTCGCCCTTTACACCCTCTCCAGGTACGGTCTCAATACCCTTCTCCATCCTAAATGCCGTCTCAACCTTAACATCTACAAATCCTGCATCCTTTAGCATCATCTCCACTTCTTTCCTCGGAATCCCATGTCTCTCCACGCCATCCATTTTTGCCTCGGGATGGAATCTCCTTGCCTCTGGTCCAAAGTCTTCGAAGTCTGTGAGTGCAATGCTACTGCCAGCTTTCAGGCAGCCAAACATTGTCCTGAAAACAGCTGGGAGGTCTGAGATATGGTGAAGAACGAGATGCGAGAGGATGAGATCGAATCGCCGCGGAGCCAACTTTTCAACTTCCTCAATGCCAGCACGGGTGGGATCAGGCCGTATCCGTGGATCATCCGGATCCTCAAGAAGAGCATGGACTGGTAAGATGTTTTTCACCTCTGGCGTTTGGAAGAGTTTATCTTTGAGCACTTCAATCATCCCTTCGGCGGAATCGACTGCTGTCAGGGAATGCACGTGTGCTGCAATTTTTAAGGAGAGTACCCCTGTTCCACAGCCAATTTCTAGGACGTCGAAATTATGAGCGTTGGGGAAATATCTCAGAATGGCATCGTATGCCAAGGAGCTGGCTTTTTGGACATTTGGGTTGGAGTCCCACCCGGCTGCCGCTGCGTTGAAGCGAAGGTTTCCAGTGGACATCATGGCAAATTAGAATGGATCGGATTATCTTACGAATAAATCGAGATATGACCAGAGACTAAAAATTACCACTGTAGAAGTGTTTATATTATTAGTTATTTTAGTTTCCCCAAAAGGAGGGGCGGTTGAGACCCTCGGCACTGATAAGTGGGGCCTGTTCGCTTCTCGGCTCGTCCCCCTTTCCCCCTTTCAATCTATAGGCTAATATCCGTGATTAAGTTTGCTTTCCACGCCTGCTATAAAAAATCTAGAGTTACAGCTCAACTAATACTTACATTGCATGACCTATCTTTTGGGTTATCTCGAGGTCAGACTGTTGCTTCACTTAACTTATCAAGGGTTGTGAGTTGTGACGGCTAGCTTAAGCAGCATTTATTGCACCAATTACAGCAAGGAATTATTAAAATGGAATGAAATTCGTAGTTAAACTGGTTAGCTATGGGCAATTTAATACAATAAGCCGAATTATTACTCTATTGTAACGGCGGGCATATCTAAAAATCAAATTCTCATTACTATTATAATTTCATTTGATATATTTTTGTAGATGTGCCTTGTTCGTTTTGGCTTTGCAATTTACGGTATGGCGACGTTGAAAAACGAAAGAAAAGAATGAAAGAAGTCGTATAAAAAAAGGGTAACGGGTTATTTGGGCTACATTATCGAATACCCTCTCCGTCTTGCAACACATTCCCAAACTATAGCTTGCGGCAAACCTTCCGCCACGCTATTAAGCATGACAAAGTTGACTATATAATTACGCTGGGTTGAAATACAGGTAAATTCATATAGCATGTCCTTTTTTCGTTATGGATATATGAGGATGCGCTTGTACATGAATTACAGGTGTAAACTTGGGCGATGGGCGATGTAACCACCAAAGTACGAATTTCGACACTGGATTAGTAGAGGAGAATGGAGAAGCATGGAGCTGGACGTTTATTTTGACTTGTGCAGTGTGTTTCAAGCCAGACTTTGTAATAGAGGCGGACGCCCGCTTGTGGTTGTCCAAGTTTTATTCCTGGCAGCAAATTCTAGAAACTGATTCATACACCTTTGCCTTGCATGGTTGTAGATATTATAAAGGCAAGGAAGTACAGCTTATTATGCATATACTGAAAATTAGATGACTGATTCCTAAATTCCGTCACTTTAGGGATCTATGATCATCTTTGACGCCATCTCCAACATTTCTCTAGGTCCCGAAACTGATACCAATACAGTCTTATCCAAATACTCAGTGCAAGTATGGACTCTCCAGTTCATGGCCTCAATTTCCGATTTTAGCTCCTTGTCAATTTTAACAATTTTCTCGGAAACCTCCTTCGAAACTATAAACTGCAACGTCCTCCATTGTCCTTGAGCAATACCCAGGTGAGACCTCTCCCAGCCGAATTCGCTCGTTAAGAAGGCTTTCGTCGCGACCTTGATTTTCTCAGATACCTCATGCAAGGTTTTCTTTGACGCGGCACCAAACTCCTCGGAGCCTTTCAAGTAATGAATGTTAGAGATTACTTTTGGTGGGGGCTTCCCCTTGGCGGTTTTGGTGTTTTTTACTGCAATTGCTTTCATTTTCTCCAGCCACTTCTGGCTGCCCTCATCAAAGCATAGGATGTAGTCAAACTGCTGGAAATGCCGCTGCTCGAGGCCACATGACTTGTGATGCCGCATTCTTTCCAATATCGTATCTTTCTCATCTGGATTCTTCGACCAAAAGTAATATTCAGGCCCAGCGACTTCAGAAATAGCAGCTTTACTGGCTGGTATTCCAGCAACCGGAAGGGTCGATGGATCTTTAACACCTATATGCTCTTTGGTAAATTTGGTCGGAATATATGTGCCTGCAGAATGAACCCGATTGAAAAGCCATGTCTTTTGTGTGTTCATTGTCCACGAACGAACGAGCTCCAGATACGTTTGTGTAATGATGGAGCGTTCTAAGGTCATTAGCGTCATATTTGAATGATTTTCAAGTGAGCTTTCCTACCTCCATTATCTGCATCAACTACCAAAATTGAGACATGATGTTTTGTAACTTTTGTCTCCTTGACTGCCACTGGTTTTGCCTCCTTGATTGTCGCTGGTTTTGCCTCCTTGACTGTCGCTGGTTTTGTCTTCTTGACTGTCGCTGGTTTTGTCTCCTTGACTGTCGCTGGTTTTGTCTCCTTGACTGGCACTGGTTTTGACTCATGACTTTTGTGCGTTAAATTTTTCGGAGGTTGGGCTGCCATCTTATCATGCTCAGATCTCACGGTTTTCATCATATCTTCCAGCCTAGATTTTGCCTCATGCCGGGGCATCCCTCCGTTCACCAACTCCTCGATCCAAGCCTCTTTGCTCTTGTCGCTAGATTCACCACCATGAACAGCTGCATTAGCAACCAGGTTAGGATTCTTCTCGACCAAAGCAAGCAGCTTCGAGACATCGGCTTGTGACTTTCGAAGAGCTGCTTCTGCCGCCTCGGCTTTCTTTTCAATCTTACGTAGCTTTTCTTCCTGCTGCTTCGCTCGTTTTGCGGCCTTCTTTCCCTCCTCCCCAATATCATTTTCGATCTTCTGGATTGCATCAGTCTGGATATATTGCACCACCTCCTGGATATGTTGCCCTGAGACATCGAAGCTCTGGGCAATGAGTTTCAGCTTTGGAACGCGAATCAACAGCCATGAGGTGTAACTCCCAATTTCCCACCATGGAATCGCGAGGCGCTCTTTTATTATGGCTTCTACATTCTCAACTCCTCCCTCAATGTCTTTGATGGCCCCAGATAGGAGCAACTTTCTTGCCGGGGTTAGCTTCACTACTACAGCCAAGTTCGGGACATCAGGTCTACCTAGGTACTTACATTCTCGCGTCGGCATTGTTAAATGGGGAACTTGGGTCTACCATGCGCGTTTTTAAGATGTGTAGGCTATGCTTTGTTCGAGTGGTTGCTTTTTTAACTTCTTCGATTTCTTCTGGTGCGTTTTTGACTTTCATGCAGATATCGAAGGCAATGCCTAGTGCGGTGATTGCTTGATCAACACCGAACGACATGGTTCTTTATCGTGATTGATCTTGGCTATATTTACGATTTAAATTGAGGGCGAGAGGTCGGTCTGTCGACCGTGGCGATGTTGAGAATTAAATACATCGGCAATCACTGCACGTATTGAGGCTGAGTAGCTGGATAGCGTGACTCGTGAGGCTGTGGTGGATGCATCATCGGTGGCGGTGATCATGCACTGAGCCCTGTTGGCTGTGGCTGAAGTGGGATCCTTGTTCCTCAGAATGTTCGCAAGAATAATTATATAAGAGTAGCAACAAAAAGTCATCAGATCTGTAGAGCCAGGCATTTGAGTTGATCGGTGAATGTAGTGTACATGAGACCACTTTTTAGCATTGCTTCTTGCACTGTGCCACTCCCACAACCCTCCTCTCCCGCCGACTATATGTCCTTGCATCATCCCCTTCGGAAAGCCCATCACCCACTGCGCTCCCTCGAATTCTCCCGCGCCCCAATATCTCCAGCACATTCCACAGATCGGCATGTCGCACTTCTTAGGGGATATCTGTGCTCCGGCTCTGGACTGGCACTCCTCCCCCTCATCCGTGTGCCTCTCGTAGGCTGCTGTCCTCTAAATCCAATACTATTCGCCTTTTGGAGTTTCTCCGTGCTCGGCATGCCCAAACGGAAGCACTTGTCGTTTTCAGCTAGATTATTAATTCCGAAAGGTGATCGATATAGCTGGGTTGGGTGTTGGCAAGTTGATGGCCTGCTAAATGTTTCGCCGGGATGATAGTCATGACATGTTGATACCGGGCTAGTGAGTTGCATTTTAGATATTTTAGGAATGCTGGAGCGCGGGGGATATGGTTGGGCTATGGACTGGGATGCCGATGGGCTGTCGGCTAGCTGACGTTCGTAGTAAACTCCACTCCCCTTGAGGTCGTAGTAATGCTGAGCTGGCTTAAGGCTAGGCGGTTTGGACCGCATCGCGGGCATCTCGTCGACATCTGGCACCTTCGCATAAGGTATTTTTTCCCTTTCGTATATATCGAGATTAGGGTGGGCATCCATTCGTGGGCTCTGTGGGGCTTGTCGTAGTTTCTCAGTTTCCACTGATACACATGGGCGCTTTTCTTGCTGTTCTCCAACCGGTGAAAATATCAACAGCTCCTTTCCAGGCGCGTGCCCCATCTCTTGCTTGATCTGGTCCATGGCTCTCTGCACCCATGAGGCCTTAACCGCCACCACCTCTGAGGTTGCTACAGCGGGACAGATGGCGCTGAAAGGTCGAGGGCTGGGCCGGGGTACTTCTGGGCTCTTCGGTCTTGGGTTTATTCCTATGCCTGATTGCACTTGCGACGCCACAGTTTCACTCAACGGCAGGGCCTGTGACCGAGGCTCCTCGCCAGGGAAAACATGTATCTTCTCATCCCCTGCGTCGTATTAGTCTTCATTGCGTACTTAGGTGGATACAACATCCTGCTGAGACGTACAGAAGTATTTCCAAAGTTCCAATTCAGCCCTATACAACGCCTGATCTGGACCAACTTCCGCGGCAAAATGGCTAATCGCCCAACCGAGATGGGATCGGAAGACTTCCCAGATCGCAGGGAAGGTGTAACCCCTTTTGAGGAGGCGCTCTTGGATGTTGGGGAAGGAGGATGAATAAACCATTGTGGTCTGTTGTCCGTAGTCTGTGGCGGTGAGAGCTGTTGTGGATGGATAGGGGAGTTAAGGTTGCGTTTATAATTTGTTGTGGTCGAGGACGCGAAAAGTGACGAATTCACTGTTTAGAGAGAGTTGACGCGAGAACACCCTGTTTAGGTCGTCCGTGTTGTCAAAAGTCGCGGGTCAGGCGAGCTATACTCCACTCCTACTTATCACGATATGTCGAGGGGCCTTCAAAAAGCAGTTAATTCAGTCAGCAAAGGAACTGCTATCTGTAGGGCTGATAGCCAGTCTGGTATCTCTAAACGCCACATCCTCATCCAACGCCTATATGTTACAAACATTTGACACGTTACTCATAGACAACTTAAACGTCGTCACCTTCATCACAACATCAAGTCAGAATCTCAGATGCGTCGTGCCAAACCTCCACCTCATCCTCCGGGCTTGATAGAATAGCCCCAATACTCCCCATCCTCTTAATACGCTGCGAGGTTGGCGTGAAAGGGCCACTTCCAGGTGGTGTAGGTAGAGATTCCTTAATACCATCACCAGGTTCCTGTGTTTTGACCACGATAGTGTCCTCCTCGCTTAACCAAATGGTATGTTTTGGAGGGGAATCTTTATCAAAGGCGATTGTGTCTGCGCTGCTAGAAACTTTCGAGGCTCGAGTGCCATAGGCGTGAACGGTATGCCTGCGGTGTAAAGATCCTTTCTTAGGACTGCGGTGTAAAGGCAGAGTTGATCCGAACGGGGGATGTGTAACGAGGTTCATCTGATTCAATGGACAGATCCCTCCTAGGTTTGGGAAATGGTTGAAGGTAGCACTGAACATGAATTTGCTTTCACGGAGGAGGTTCAAAGACAGATTGGATAGGGCTTCTCGAGAAGGGGCCTCAGCTGAAAGAGTAGGCGCCATACCACGCAACTTCTCCCATCCTTCCATAACTCTAGCCGACAGCTCATTGCTGCCCCCTTCATCGTTAACTTCGCCACCCGGGCAAGACTTGCGCTTTTTGCTCAGATTTGCTTTTGTGGTTTGGGGTTTTGAGCTTGATAAAGACTTAGTCCTTCTTTTAGGCGCTATGACCTTTTTACCTGCCACTGGTTTTGTTATAGAAGTCGTGGATGTCCTCGGGGTAGCCTTTTCAAAATATGGCAACCGGTCTGCACTTCGACCTTCAGGGTCCACAAATTTGCCCAAGGTATCAAGAATTTTGAACGTGACATAGACACCGTTCATCTTGTCATCTCTAGTAGCCTGTGGCCTGGATGGCCTCTTGGATGGCGGCTTGCAATCACTATGTGCTTTCTTCGTTACTGGTTTGGTGTCGCTAGATGGTTCCTTCCGCTTCCAATCTTCGACGGTGCCTTGAGGCAACCATACCTCTGGCCGCCTATCTTTCACATCTCGAACCCAGGCATCACAGTCCCACTCTACCCAGTAGTCAATTATATCTCCCCAAGTGCTTTCGGCGGGTTTCGTCCTGTTCACGAAGACTACCTTCCCTCCCTTCGTTCGAATCGCCTTTGCGAATTCTTTAATCATGACTTTCAAGCCATGGACTCTTAAGCTCGTCCCCATTATCAATAATAAATCGGGACCCAGTCCCAAGTCGTGCGTAATCAGGGGCCCCACCAGATTGGCATTGGGATGCTCTTCCCCGTACAAGACAATATCTGGCCTTAGTCGGCCAATTGCAAGCCCTCTTCTTCCTCTTCCCGTACGACGGGCATTATACTCAGCGCACGACGGACAGTCCGGTGCCTGCCCGGAAAGCGTCGTGGCTTCTCTACCGTCTTCGTCCCAACTGGTACGCTGGCCGCAAATCCCGCAGCGCAACGCACCCAATCCTCCGTGGAGCAGAACAATCTCAACTCCTCCGTTGTGAGGGGAGTCTCCGGAGACCTCGGTCGGTCGCGCTTCTCGCTGCATTTTCGAGTGGAAACGCGAGCGATTGCCCGGTCCACGCGAGATGTCTGTAGAAAGCCCCAAACGTTCTTCCAAGCAGTCGATGTTTTGGGTATAATTGCGCACCAGACGTCCGCCATCTCGCAAAGCTTTGATGAATTGGTGAGTATCTGTTGTACTAGTGACTTGGTTTCGTATTTTTTGTCGCAGGGACGAGATGAACATGTAAAATATGGATGTTGTAAACGGGTCCGACCATATCATAGAGTCAAATAGATCACGGCCCTTGAGATTCGGTAGGGCTCTTGATTCGGACTTTGAACTCAAGCCTGAGTCCTCTGTTTGAAGAGATTGACGGATGGAGGGAAGGAGTTCAGGGGTCGAAGATAGAGAGCCAATCGATGGATTTGTTGAACTAGTTGGAACAGGTTGAGGTCGGATGGAGTCCGCGGTGGATGGTAATTGATTGTTTGAAAGGGGTGTGGTTATGGGCGCGCGTGCTAAAGTGTTTGAACTCTTGATATCTGAGTTAAACTCAAAGGATTGTTGCGGTTCGCATAATACTCTCTGGGGTCTTTGGTTTAGATCAGCAGTTGAGGGCAGGATCTCGACGTGAATGGAGTCTAACTGCCGCTCAGAGACGTACGAGCAAGTTTGTGACGAATCTGGGTCGGTCGACGAAAAATAACTCTCGTTACTTGTGCTTCCAGTGGACGTTTCAATTTGTAATGAGGGACGACGAGATGAGGAAGTTGAGTCTAAGAAGTCGACTGTCGGAGTGACTGAGCGGGAGCTGAGAGGGCTGGTGGACGGAGATCTGGGAGATATACGTGGTTCTTGTTGTCGCCGGCGTGGTCGTTGTGGTGTTGAGCGCTGTTCGTCAACAACACCGACAACATTACCATCAGGGGCCACGACTTCAAAGAAGTACGATGGCTTTACCCGCTTTTTCGGTCTGTCGTCGATATTAAAGGTATTTGAGTTCGCCCAAGGTGGGTTTTGCAAGGCAGCATCATACTGAGCCTGGATCAACGAATACAAGCCATCCTCAGAGCGGAAGTCCTAGTTCGAAGTCAGTCCACAACACGGTAATTTGATACCGTATGTATTTGACTTACCGGTATACCACAATTGGTGCTTATTCCAGCGCCAGTAACAACTACCACCTTCCGCGATTTGCCTAGGGCATCTGCAATCAGCTGCAGTTCCTGGTTAGAGCCAGGCTTGACATTGATGGTCGGCATGGTTGCAAAGGGCTAGCGGTATTATGGATCCTCTCCTTCCCAAGAATTTTTCTAACCAAACCTGTGGCCTTAGAGTACTTCTTTCTTCCACTGTTGCTTTATGGTACCTGATCAGGTAAACTGTGCACCAAACACCCAGCCAAATCTGAAGTCCACGAAGTTCCGCAGAGAAGACGGTTCACAACTCGGCCACAGTCCCTCAGCACCTTACATGCCACATTGCAGGCACTAGTCCTTTTGCTGGATACTTGCTCCGATGCTGAACAAAAGCCTCTGTGACCACACTGGGTCGCGTCTTAGGCGGGGTATCCCCAAACATTCAACAGTTCCTGAATCTGAATCTCTTCCAATAATAAGGTCCACGACCCCTTAAAAGGAAGCAGCGGAACAGACAACCTCGAACAATGCCTGTGCAAATTATGAGCCGACGGGTGTATGGCGTGACGGAGTTGAAGGAGGGAGATATTCGATGTTTGGGTTGTTATCGTGATTGGGCCGCGGCCGGGGAGTGGAAACCCCTTCCTCCAAACGCTGGGGTATTATAATGGGCACAGTTGCACAAGATCAGTGCTGGTTCACGGGGAAATTCTTGTGTCTGGCTAGCAAACCACGACGCGTGCCGAATCTTGCTCTCGTGCTGGATATCCGTTCGTTACTCGAGGGTGGACCAATTGTTCGATCAGATTCAGGCCGGGTACCCTTTTATATCCAGCAATAATAAGATATCTGAGTATCACGTGGAAGGAGTGAGATATAGAGGAATTGGTGGTGAAGAAGAGTGTTGTTGGATTTTGAAGCTGTTGGTTCGACGCTGTAGTCGCGTCTTGTTCTGGGTGTTTACTCTACACCGGATTTGGCATGGCCATGGGGGCAGTTCGGGCCGTGTTAATCCGCGACATCCTGGTCACTGCCAACAAACCTTAAACACTCCTCTCCACAGAGTTATGGACAGAGGTTTCAAATTGCTATCATCCTCGTGCACTCCCTCAAGTTGCGTTCAAGGTTTTGCATTGCGGCAGTTCCACAACAAAGCGCCATGTTATACAGCAAGCTTTGGGGTGCTTCTAAATCAGGGGTTGTGTCATCCTGTCAAGTGAAGGTGATGCATCTCCCCAGCTGCTTGCGACATTGCGGCAACGGTGGCTGGTGGCAAAGAATTTTTGGCTATGAATTACTTGGTAGGCTTTTCTCGTTTTGCTACATGCATCAAATAAGACTTGCGCCTGTAGGTACTGTTCTGTTCTCATAAGCTTGCAGTTTGCTAGCTACAGTTCCGCGAAATTGCCGCCAGCTCAGCTTGGGACAAGCATTTGGCAACTGAAGTTATTTGCCAAACCAAACTTCAGGCCTGAGTAGCAGTTGTTCTAGAATCACTATGAAGGTTATAAAGTGTCCTCTTTATGTGGTTGTGGTCCCACAGCTTTTCATACCGCCTGGTGTCTATTACTACAGTATCTCGTTCCAGTAGCAGAGTAGATACCAGACCCAGGGTACGACCCAAAATCTCCTGAAATGGTGCACAAGCTACAATTCGTCTGGCCAAAAGATGGCCCAAAAGGCCGAAGTGGTCGCCGGGGCTTCTTTCGGGGTCTGAATGACATTCTGACGAACCGAGGGCCTGATATCTTCCTTCAGCGTAAACGCAGCTCCAGCCCCATCAAGCCGGACTGGTGGGGAAACTGGTACACGGCCCAACTCCGAGTGCTGTTGTAGACTAATGGGATTTGCAGGGACTCTTACCATGACCATGGCTGCCACGCCTTGGAGCAAAATGGCAAATTTCGTCATCGGGGATATCGACGGTATGACCCATATTCGAGGAGATACAAGACCTGGGCAGCTCAGCATGATTGGACTGGGGATGGGGTCAATGATTGGCGAGGGGAGTACCCGAGATTTACGGCGAAGGAACATCGACGAATGAAAAGAAGATTAAACCGGGGAAAACTCGTGGACCCTACAAGGATGGGCGAAGACTGGAACTGGCAGGGACCAAAGGTTGGGCTGATTCAAGTTGAGGTCTGATATAGCGTGCTAATACCAAATAGAGATTTCGACAAGAATATGATTTCTACTGGCAGAATGCCCATCGGAGAGGAGAGAACAGGCGTGAAGGGCTTCATCCACTGGCTGGCATCAATCCGTTTTTCAGTATGCACCAAAATTTCCCCGACGACCTCGACGAATGGATGCATATTGAACATGTATGATCCTTGGGTATGATGGCCCTCAACGAAGGGCAAACAGGAAGTGTGCTGGTGAGAGGGGTATTGAGATAGGACATTGGGTGTGTTGTATGATTGCGGTGGCTGTTTTGGAAGTCTACCGGCTTGCTGGCGCGAAAACCACACTGGATATTGTTTGCGAGGAAATGGCCCATAAGGATTTGGTTGGGAGGTTTGCCCCTCGTCGTTCATGTATGTCCACTTTCTATTTGCATGGCTGCAACTCACATAGCGTTGTTTCTACTGCGCTTGCGTTTGATATGTGATAGATGTAGAGGGGTGAGGCCACGGATTATTAGTTTCCGCTTATCAACAACACAAGGTGCTTTTCAACTCAATGTGCTTATTGACTCGATGTATGATGCCACACCAGGATAGCCCACAGGCCTTCCTCGTTTCCATTAGTAGGTCACAGGATCTTTGGAAATTGGGTTCAGGCCAAAGCTGGTTCCATCCCAACTCTCACTCCTATCTACCGACGCGCACAGCAGTACGAGCAGCGAGAATGGTTTTAAGCCTCAGGTAACGGCAATAAACCTAAACGACACGAGCCACTGGCGAAATAGACTCATCCATTTGGCCAATTCTATCACTATAATAGTAGGGGTTTTATTATAAATCAAATGTTCTGATTTTAGTAACGAACCCTAGCCCTAATTATCTCACCCTTCGGGTTTAAATGTATATTTATAAAACGAGGTAATTGATACTAATAAGACATAGGAAAGTCCGGTATTTATATACAAAACCGTAGTTTCGCACCTAAAAGTAGTGGCATCAAGGCTGTTGGGGCGACGGAAAGCACCGAAATGTTAGAAAGAGTCGACATACTTTGGTTGATCGCGTTGGACGAGGTACTATCATAGAAAAGGAAGAAATGTATGCGACGGAAAGCTGCGAAGACACTGGCACTGGAAGAGCAGGAAGAGATCCGAGCAAACCAGCGATAGCAGCGGGAAGTGTATGAGTAAACGTTGCTTTGTAAGTACCACGTCCCAAAGTCTTCGGAGTCTGAGACTGATTCCAATTTTCAGACATCGTACGGCGTAACGGGTAGCACCAACCGAAAAGGGGCAGCCGCGAAGATAATTCAAGAAGGGAAGGTTATCCGAGGAGCTAGTTGCGGCTATCCCCGCCACCGAGATACGCATATCCCGGAACCCGGGGAAGTGAGCCCCTCTGTCGGACTCTTGACTGACTCTGACCCCTCATCCCACAATAATTGATAATATTCTAGTTCTAGACTGTTTGCTTATCCGAATCCCCGCATTCCGTTCTAGGAAAGAACTCTGAAGTTCCCCCCCGGGTCAAGGGTTCTCCCTTTCCCCGGTTGCTGCGATTAAGGCAAGGCTTACTACGTGGCTGCCTACCTATCGCCGCTCTTGGCTATGTCAACGGATGAGAGGAAAAGACCAACCCGGTACCGTAGCACATACCGGTACTGCGAAGTATGAAGTAGGACTACGAATGACGAGTAGCTCTCCCCTACTAAGTATGCCTCGGAAGCACTCTTTTTGGCATCCGCATTCCCGGCTCGTCAAACCTTCCTCTTGCAACTTTCCACAGTCGGTGTACCTACTTCCTCTTGGGCAGCTGCGATCATCGGTGACTTTTCCTTCTCAGCTACTATGCCGTGCACTCGTCCTTAAAGACCAGAGATCGCCTCCTTCCGCCCATCATCTTTTTCCTTTGACATCTTCCAAACAGAACCAAACCTCTCACAGAACCAAACCCCACGGGAATCCTTTAACTACCCTCGAAGTCTAACGCTACCCCATAACCCCAAACACGATGGCAACCGTTGCCACCCAAGCTCCTGTTGATGTCCCCTCCTCAAACCGCCCCGAGCCGGGATCATTCCAGTTGAACACCGCCAAATTTCCAGCTGCGGCCGCGGCGCCGTCGAAACCCGAAGATGCTGACACCATCGCTGCGCAGTGGGTTGAATCGTTCAACAAAGCTGTGAACAGCGCAGACTTTGCCGGTATCTCAGATATCTTCCATGCGGAGTCGTATTGGCGGGATCAGCTCTGCTTGTCCTGGGATTTCCACACCCTCCACGGGCCCCAGAAGATCATCTCCGTCTTCAAGCAATCGAACGGATGCCGGATTAAGTCGGCCGCGCTTGATAAGAGTTCCCAGCTTCGATCCCCAACTGCGGCGGTGATTGATGCTGAAGGCAAGGTGCATAGCGTGACAGCATTCCTGACTCTCGAATCCGATATCGGACGTGGTGCGGGGATCGTGAGATTGGCTCAAGAGCAAGGCGTATGGAAGGTCTTCACACTCTTTACCTTCTTGAAGGAGCTAAAGCACCATGAGGATGCTGTGGGAAGGAAGAGACCAAATGGTGTTGTCCACGGAGAGCATATCTCGCGCAAGAACTGGCTCGATCGACGCAGGGAGGAACAAAATTTTGAGAACGGCCAAGAGCCAACTGTCCTCATCCTAGGTAAGGTCCGTCGCTTTTTCTTGGTACAGTGTGCTAATTTCATAAAGGTGCCGGACAGGCTGGACTCACCGTTGCCGCGAGACTTAAGATGCTGGGCGTTGAATCCCTAATCGTCGACCGGGAAGAGCGGATTGGCGATAACTGGCGGAACAGATACCATCAACTAGTCTTGCACGATCCTATATGGTTCGATCATCTCCCGTTCCTCCCGTTCCCGGATAATTGGCCAATCTTTACCCCCAAGGATAAGCTGGGAGAGTGGTTTGAGTCATATGTTACGCTTCTAGAGCTGAATGCCTGGACCCAGGCCACTATCACTAAAGCTTCCTGGGACGATGCATCTGCAAAATGGACAGCCACCGTGGAACGCGTTCGGGATGGCAAGACGGAGACCAGAATTTTCCATCCAAAGGTATGATCGCAGCTATCATTGATCTTCTCTGCTAACGATAACCTAGCACATCATTCAAGCCACCGGCCACAGTGGAGAACCAAACTTTCCTTCTCACATCAAAGGTATCAACGACTTCAAGGGTACTCGTCTTGTCCATTCATCGAAGTTCCCCGGAGCCACCCCCTCGCAAGGCCAAAATAAGAAGGCCATAGTCGTTGGATGTTGTAACTCCGGCCACGACATTGCCCAAGACTTTTATGAAAATGGCTATGCAGTAACGATGGTTCAACGCTCATCAACCCTAGTTTTATCCGCGGAGACGAACCTGGATTCTTTGTCTGGGCTATACGGGCATGATGGCCCACCAACCGAGGATGCGGACATGCTCTTTTGGAGCGTCCCCAATCCCGTGCTCAAGAGGATAAGCATCGACACAACTAAAGCTCAGAACAAAGCAGATGAGAAGATCCTGCAGGGACTCGAGAAAGCCGGCTTCAAACTTGATCAAGGGCCTGACGGAAGCGGACTCTGGATGAAGTACCTCCAAAGGGGCGGTGGGTATTACCTAGATGTCGGTTGTTCCCAACTCATCATCGATGGGAAGATCAAGATCAAGCAAGGCCAAGAGATTGCTGAAGCCCTTCCAAATGGCCTTAAATTCGCTGACGGCGAGGTTATTGAAGCGGACGAAATTGTTTTCGCCACCGGATACAAGAATATGCGGACGCAGTGTAGGAAGATATTTGGTGATGAAGTCGCTGACCGTGTTAAGGATGTGTGGGGCTTTGATGAGGAGGGTGAGGTAAGGACTATGTGGAGAAAGACAGGTCATCCTGGTTTCTGGTTTATGGGAGGCAATCTAGCCTTCTGCAGATGGTATTCCAGACCACTTGCCTTGCAGATCAAGGCCCTCGAGGAGGGACTTTGTCGATATGATGACTTGTGAAGAGATGATTGGCAGTTATTGCATAATAATGAGCATTGACATAGCTATCCTTTTTCCATTATAACATGTTAATTTATTCAGTTGAAACATTTTTGGTCGCGTGCGATACCAGATATGGGACCCTTCCCACTACCTCTTTCATCATGTATACCTACCTAACTTCAAGCTCCTTCAGGTTTGCTACTTCAATAAGGCTGAGATTGGGAGGAATTAGCCTAGTAACCTGGACCTGGAAAAGCGTAGTGGCTCCTGGTTTGTGTCGAACCTCCTAAGCCCAACAGCTGTAGCGCGTATCTTTATAAACTACCGTTACTTTCCGTATCGAACGGGTGCGATCCTAAAGTATTCCCATTCGATTTTGGGTAAACCCCGGCTTATATGATGAAGTGCAATTGTTGGGGATGGAGATTGGAATAAAGGGGGGCAGAGGTTTCGCTCGGGCCGGTGTTTACCCAAGAGGCCTCTCCCTTTTTCTGTCGAATCCCTTCAAGTGACACTCAATCGCGTTATGTTGCAGCATTCAACCCTTGCAGCCAGTGTACCTTAAAGATACTTATGTCGTCGAATGATCAGCTCCTGGAATCTCATATAACACGTCGATAACGCGCTTTGTACTTCGATCCCCTACTACATGCGAAGCCAACGCCCCGCGACGCGTCCACCCCCACGCAGATTTCATCACAATCGTAACCATCGAAAGCAAAGCACACAATTACAAGGCAGACCAACAGAGCCAGTAACACTTATCCCACGATCGTTCGAGTTTATAAGCCACATGGAAATATCAACAACATCTTCCTAAGCCCCTCTTCTAGCGGACTGCGCAGCCTCATCATGGCTTCGGAAGGGACAATCCAACCGCGGTGCCTACTCTACGACACAACCTTTACCTTACACCGCCTTTCACCCCTTTACACAAGCAGAGATGTCCATCTCGACAATTTAGCTCTATCTCAACATGCGCGAAGATTCCGGGATATCATAGTTGGGGACGTTCTGCGCGGCGTGCAAGTTGGCTTAGAATCCGAAGGCAGCGCCCTCCAGCGTACTGGAGCATTACAGAACGTGACTTGGAGGTTATTATCCCATGAGGAACTGTGGAATCCGCAGGATGAGACGCAGATCGCACACGGTGAGGAGGACACAACGACCCTGGGTGCTAGCTCTGGGATGCTCATGAAAATTACCTACGAACGGACCGCCTATACCGCTATTTTGCTACGAGACATTCAACGAGAGATTGAAGATGGATCCATAACTGGTATGGATCTTGATGGGGATGAGTCTATATACTTTCCTCTCTTGTTAACGAAAATGCCGGGCCCGTTGCGGGACACTTTTGCCGACTTCCTAACAACTACTTTCGATACTAGGATTTCGGTTCTCCGTCTTCCGAGGACATATACCACAACGGCATTTGAGAGATATGTGGCATATGTTTGTATTAGGGAAGATGGCGATCTTATGGACTATACAGAGAGCAGTGGAGCCTTGAATCGAGTTGTCGGTAGCGTGGTGGTCTCCATTGGATTTGATCTTCCTGACGGATCCTCTACGCTCAAGACAATCGATATTAAGATCGCTAAGCCTGATCTACCGGGAATCATGTTGAGGGGAAATAGTCTGGGAGGCGGAGCTGATAAGTCACCGTTTGTGAATGCCTTAACTACTTATGTTAAGGCACGTATGGCGCTAGATTTGGCTCATGAGAGGGTCAAGGTCATGGCCATTGCTTGTGAGGCTTTTAGTCTTGGTGCCGAGGGAAAAGTCAAACTAACGTCGCCGTGGGTTGACAACGACGGAGAAAGTCCTGGGAAACGATCAACTATACGATTGCTGAACAGTCTTGTTGTCTTCGCTAAAGGGGGTACATTGTCAGAAGGATATGACGGCCCGTGAGGAAAAGAATTGAATCACCTGGCAAGGCAAACAAGTACCTCTCGGGCTTCATATGGGAGTGGGAACCAGTGTTACCCATTGGATTGCAGAGACGTATCTAATTGCAAATGGAGATGAGTGGAACGTGCATCCAGGGCAACGACGCGTCAAATCGATTACGTTCAACAAATGGAGGTAACCGTCCTAGATCGACTCTGCGGTCGAATACCCATGGCGAGCTTTCATGAGTAGGGCTCTAGCACTCGTGGAAAGCTAGAAAACAACTAGCTATCTTATCGTTGAGAACGGTAGGCCGGCAGATCACGACCGAATACTGCAGTCCAATCCCGCACTGCCACAGCACGCTCCCTTTAACTCCCGTCCGAAGGATACGGGAAATAATACAAAGAGGTCGTCCCCCATGTATTTGCTATCAAATACCCGATTAGTACCGACCCGATTATCATGAGAAGTTAGAGAATCCGAGCAGCCCAAGCACATATCACTAAAAGATACTTCACTTATCCCACATCTGATAGTACAGGAGCTAAATTTGCGAAAATGTCTTGCCCAAGCTTAGTTGTTGAACCGCGAGGCGAGGCTGCATCTGGGGTAGGCTAAGGTGGTCTGAAGTTGGATCACAAACGCGATCCTCTACAAGGTAACTTTCCAGACGGTAAGCGAGCCAAACCATTCCCTTTTCATCCAGTCAAAAAGGGGGGATAATTCAAGAAATATAAACATCGATCGCCAAGTGATAGCTCCCAGCCATGCCCTTATTAAGTCGCTTGAATCGGAAAGGCATGACCGAGTCACCAGACCAAAACCTGTGCCAACCAGTAGTTTACCTACCTAGGTAGGTATCTAATATTCCCCCGTGTCTGCCTCTTAAACTTCTCAACCTCCCCTATTACACCATCCTCCCAACGTCCCATATGCCACGCTCTACTCAGCTCGTCTAGTTATCTAGCAACCACACCAATCTTTGCGCTCTACCCTAGGCCCTACTTAAAGGCTTACGTCCATACTGATATAAACCCCTAAAGTTCCCTTCACCAAGCCGAGTCCCGTCGCTTTTTGGCGCAAAGCCGCTCTCACCAATAGAGTAGGGCGAAATGAATGTTAAGCCTTCCTCAGCGGTATTTTCACATCTCTGCGGCTGGTAGCGTCCGTGTAGACACCTGCCGGAATCTTGGTACTGCAAACTGCATTGACGTAAAAAGGGGTCCCAGTGGATTTCTTTGACGTACTGGTCATCTTGATCGAAGGTTAATTAATGACTCTGTGCTAGTCGGGAAGAGGGGTGAGCTCGTTCTAAATAATATAATATATATAGCCTCTAATTTCCTCGTGTATGGTCTGGCTGACAACATACTACGTCTTTGCTAAGTAGTATTAGTATTGGATAATTTAAGGCTATAATCCTGCAGTGTCCTTTTAATATAATATTTTATTGTAGTATCGCTATTTCGTAAGGAGGTGTTCTCGACTCTTATAGTTTTTGTTACAAACAAATCCGGAGGTTAAAATAAAGCAGCAGTTTGGCTCCCATCACCGCGAAAGACCCATAACCTTGACTATCGTGAGCAATCATTCCTGACATATTAATTATGCCCCGAGACACCAACAACCATCTCCCCATTGGGAAATGCAGCTTCATATTCTAACAAAAGTTTGACGCCCTGTCCGGGATTGAGCTTGACATTCCAAGACACTTCCCCACCTTTTTTCGTCGTAGCAGTTGCAATTCCCCATTTCCCTTGGGTCGCAAGTGCCTCTTTCCCATCACCCACATAAACGCTGGCCCTAACATCCTTCACATTACCCTTCGCATTACCCTTCACAATAGAACTTACAGAAGCTTGTGGCAAGCCGGCAAGTACACTAGCACCTGTACGCACCGGATCACCGCCGATCTTCAGCCCACGAGGGCTGATGATCTCGATACGGAGTCGCTCGTCCTCGGAGACAGGAACCTGATCCAAGACGGTGAGCTCACAAGGCGCGTTATGCTTCGTGTTCATGATTACGATGGAACGAGCGAAAATGTTGCTTTCTTCCTTGCTAAAAATTCCTGTCTGACTCCGTCTCACAGTCGGCTTGGGATACGTGATCTGGATGGAGGGGTCAACCCCAAGAGGTAGTGAGAACGATTCGCCGGCCGAACAGCGCGGAAATGTTGCTTGGCCTAGGAATGAATTGTCGAGAGTGAGGCCCAGGGGACCCTTGAGCAGCGTGATCTTAGATGAGTTTCGTAGCCGGGCTTTTAGGAATGCAACCTGGCGAAGTTTCCCAATGACGATGTGAGAGAAGATGATATTCTTAAACTCGATCTTCGCAATCTTGTGCTTGATGGTTGAATTACTTGGAGATAGCGTCTTGTGGCTTGGGACGTCGTATGTGGTTGTCATTCCTGATTCTTCCCACGCGCCTGCTTCGAAAGCCAGGCTATTGTTTGCAGGTGAGTCAGGGCCGTCATCATAGTATTCCTCATTCGTAATATTTGACCCCAATTCTTCTGAGGTCGTGGCAATATGAGAACTCCTGAATTTGGCCGCGCCCAATGAATTTAATCTCTCGCCGCGCTCAGTCACCGCAGTCACAGAATTTCCGAACAGCGCACTTGAATTTGCAGGAACCGCCTGAGATTGCCTAGAACCGAACATGACACCTGAGGGATGACTCGTGGCTGGCTGCGGTGGTCTCGAATGACTGGCCTTTGGGGGTGCCAATGAGTTCTGGGCTACGTTATCGCGGCCGAAAACCTCCGAGCGCGGCTTCTGAGCTTGATCTATACTGTTACTCCATTCCTTTTGTTTAGCTTCTAGTTCGCGTTGGCTCATGAGGGCGGAATCGGCATTGCCGCCCTTGAAACCTTTGAGAAGGCGGACGTGCCATGAGTGCATGGTTGGTATTTTCTCACTGAGTCCAGAAAAGTTTGTTTGGGAGGTTGAAAGGACGACTTTTGCATCTTTCCAGGTTTCCGAGGTGGAGTTCTTCAGTTCGGCGCCATACTCAAGCAAGCCGGAGCAGTTTACAGTATTCAGGCTGAGATCATAACGTGGGGACCAGGATGCAGAATAGGTGATATAGGAGAGCGAAATGTTGATCTCGTCGGACTTTAGAGGCGTAGCGGGTTGTTCATGGAAGGTGGAAGTAGCGAGATTGACGATGGTGTCACCATCTAAAGAGGTTCGTCGAGACGATCCTGGAGTAAAACACGATGGTTCGAGGTTGATTGTCACCCGATACACCTTCTTAGGCCAAAAGGACTCTCGCTCAACCTTGATCCGCCATTTCTCCTTGGCAATTTCAGCCTTCTTGCGAAATTCTTTCATCTTGGCTTTGGCCTTCTGCTTCTCCATCTTTTCGTTGGCCTTCACCATAGCCTTGGCCAACCTTTTCCTGTCCTTTTCCGCCTTTTCAATTTGCTTTCGAACCTTCCCAGATGCCTCAGTGGCGGCTTCGTGGTCCTCATAGATCTTCGCACGCTCATCATTATAGGCGACTAGCATCTTTTCAAGCTCGCTAGGAGGAGGTGTGTCTTTGGAAAAAGATTTCCCAAAATTGTCACAGATGGACAAGCGTGTTGCGGCCGAGTTGATAATCTCCTGTTCTTTAAGTAGGGAAACGTTCAATTGCTTGATCTTCTTCGCTATGGCCGTCATAGCTTCCTGCTCGGGCTCTGATTCATCTTCATCGTCGTTTTCATACTCATCGTCGTCATCAGACGGGTAGACGTCCTCATAAAGCTCTCGATTTGGGAGGAAATCAACCGAGACATCGGTAATAGTAGCGGAGCCCGTTCCTTCGACTTTGATAGAGTGCTCATCGACTGTTGGACCGAGCCCGTCGATGACGATTTGATTGAGACCTGGTTGAAGCGTGATTTCCTTGATATCACGAATGATCTGGGCGCGAGTGGGAAATAGTAAGACGCTCCGCGTGGCCAGATCGCGGATCCGAAACTCTTGCCTATGGATACTATCGTTCGCCATGGTGTATCGCTTGGTAGTGGGAATTGCAAGTTGTTGTGATTTATTAAAGGGAGTATGATCTTGCGACCACTTTGTATTGGATGGAACCGGATTAAATAGAAGGTATCATAAAGACGGATCAACAGGCAGGAACCTACTCTATATAATATATTACTTCGTAGGTAGGAGCCTACGTGAATGCCTGGACAGCCGCAGCTGAAGGTCCACAGGTGAACGCGTCCTGGGACGCTTCAGCCAATGGCGTAGCTGCGCCACCACAAGGCAGCATGTTGATGCTGTGCCGAAGAGTCACAGAATAATGAATGTCAAACATTGCAAGTCCTTTGTCCAACGTAGATACACTGGTGAAAGATGGTGAAAACCTTAATAAGCTTAAAAAGACGGTTGGGGTGGTTGGCCACCAATACCGATCCGCTGCCTAGCCTAGGTACCTAGGTCTCAGCACAATGATGCTCGTACTAGCACCCTCGCGGCCGATCCAATATGCTCTTTGACCTTGAGCACCCCACGAGTGTTGTTGAGCGCTGGAACTACATGGATGCATTACCACTTACTGTGTAACAGAAGTAGAAGTAAGCACATGCACAATATTCTGTACTGAAGCGGGACTTAGAGCGACGATGTGGAGTTTATTGTTTAAGTCCCAATATCAGTTGTGGCTGTGGCTGTGGCTGAGTTGAAATCAACTTGCTCCCCAAACTGCCGCCAATTTAGTTTATTTAGCAAGTCCAAATGATTGTGGTAGGAGGTGGGTACACACAGTGGCAGGATAGATGAGCAAGGTACTTGTACTTCGTATAGAGAAAAGAGTATGGTACTGTAAGCTCATGGGAAAATTTAGCCTCTTATAATAAATCCCGCTATATAAAACAAGCCACAAGTCTCTAGCCTCCGCATGTTAGTAAATAAAGTATCCATTCTCAACGCTAGGCACTACTTCCTAATTGTGTAAATAGGATATACTTACGAACCACACATTCCTACTGTACTCTGTGTATAAAATGAAGTAGAAGGACTCGCACATTTCGACATACGCTGGTCGATACGATGCAAGTAATACCCTATGTGACACTGGTTGTAGCGACTTCATTTGAATGCAGCGGAGTGCCTCGGCAATGGATCAGTTAGTAGTGGCCAATAGTGGAGTGGTGAAATGTTTTGTCGCGCCATTAGGCGCGGAAATAGTACGGAAGCTGGAATCATAATCTCCCCGGTGTCAGTCACAGCCAAGCCACTAAATGCGAAAGAGAAACTGTAAACAATAATAAATAACTGGCCTCTTACCTAGGTACTTTGTACAGTACAAGCTTATTTACAACTAATAAAAAGAAAGCGTAATAAATATTTCTTAGATGCTGTACTAGCGCCACCGCGTTTAGCCTATTGCTCTTTGTACTGTACTACGTACGATTACGGAGAAGCTTACGAGACAGGGAACGGAGATATGTATACGTAATAAGCTAGTGGCTTGCGCCAACTGGTAGCTTACATGGACATTAGTAACGCTAGAACAACATCGCCGGTCACGGCAAGCCATCCGCGAACCTCTCCAGGCGATACCAGAGGCTGAGGCAAGCCCGTCTTGTCATTTGAATTCGCCTCCCTCCGTACTCGACCACAAGCATTCAGGGACGTACAAAGGTACATAGCTATAGCCTTGTGCTATAGTTATCTAAATCCGTAACTGATTATGTCGCCTGAAAGCCTGTAGAAAGAAAGTCAAGTCCTTGGTTGGCGAATTATCCACCTCCTATGGTTTTGGGCGACATAATTTACTCCGTATGCAGTGCTACAGCAATGCATCAAGCCCCCACGGCTCACATCCCACCGGGCCCGCTAGAGAAGTTTCCCCACCACCCAGTTCGTGCACTGGACGAACCTCGAAGTTCGAAGTACTGTATATGTACCTCTGGAAGGCAAAAGCTACCAAGGATCCGAGATTCCAAGGACCAACGAGGCCGGGGGGCTGGGCCACCTCCGCCATTGGCCGGCCCTACTCAGGTCAAAACGCACAGTACTATCATCTAATAGACCCGGATATAGACCTTCACTGCACACTAGTTACTAATTTCGAGTGTTCCTTTCGAGTGTTTCTGCTACGACTTCGGGCGGGGACTACTTCGTATTCTAGCGCAAGTGCAAGCGCAAGTGCTGGGTAGTGGATACCAGAGCTCGACGGCCCGGATAGTAGACTCGCGTCGGCTCACATTATTGGGATTAGAGCGAAGGAGAGAGGGTCCAGTGAAAGAACAAGCACCTTCGCTTGCTCGTCTACGCTCCTAGCCCTATGAGTATTAGAGGTTCCTTATCAATGTTACAGCACTAGCAGTATGGAATTATGTACCTCGTAATGTACGAAGTACATGTACATGTAGCGGCATTGTCAGGGGTTGTTTAAGACTCAAACCACGCCAAGGGTCTCGAATCCTACCCCAAAGTACGGGTCCGTACGAAGTACGAAGCACTGGTTATTTTAAAGTACTAAGCATCCCACAGTTACCGCAACGCTGGCTCCATCAGTCGGTTGCGCATCTTGACTAGCGAAATTACGAATGGTTTCCATATTAGCCGTCGTAGGTAAAGCGTGTAATCCGTACTTATACAGGTACTACGTAGGCGGAAGCCGATATGTAAGGACCCTATCACTTACACTGGTGAAAGAGCAAACCGCGAGACCAACCGCCAGCCTCGAAACAGACAAACGAATGTAATTTATTAGTATTTAGAATATACGTACTACGTCAAGACTCATATGCTCGACCCCGAAAAAAAAGTACCGAAACCAAGGCGGGGATGGGCATCGATGTACCGAAGTACGTTTACGGCGCAGAACTATCAATGCCAAAGCACATGTTCTTGGATTCTTCTAGCTTCCAGCCACACGACGAATGTCTCAGACGAGGTAATTCACCAGACTACACAGGCTGCCACCGTTCTCCTGGATATCTGGTTTCTTGGGAAAATATTCCGTACATTCCGCCAAAAGGGAGTTGCTCCAAATCGCCGATAATGTTTACCTCTCTACGCCTGGCTAGTGTGCATTCTATCAACTGTTAAGGGCCTACCACACGTTTTCTCAAGCTCATTCTAATTTCTGATTCTTTTCTCATATACTAAGTTTAGAGGAAATGGGCAGGATGGAGACTGGTTGAAAAAAGAGTGGGGAGGGTTCAGAGATGGATTTATTAACTACCAGTATGATAGAAGGGCGTACAGCACGAAGTAGGAGTAACAGAATTGTTCTAGTTGTGAGGGACTTAGTACGAAATCGTAGCAGGGTCATTGCCCAAGATGATTTACTGACTAGGCACCATACACAGGAAACAACCAATCTCTTTCCAACGGATAACCTTCCCATGATTAGGGTTAGTAGCTGCCGAAAGCTAGCTAGTACCTACAGCACAGACGACTTCACTGCCCGTCTTCGGGTCCCTACTACTGGGACGGTGTCATGATTATTTCCAATGTTAATCTTGATACGTCCGAACTTAACCCCGGGTACCCATAACGGGGGATACTGATAGTGCCAGAATAAGAGTAAGCCATGTGGCTTTATGCACGTTGATTATCTATCACTATGTAATGACCACTTAGGAAATATGTACTCCCTTGAGCCTCTACTGGTCGACGCCATGCAGCGGCAACGCATGGAAGCCATGATAGTAAATACTCCGTAGAAGCCTTCGCCATGTGGCATGTGGACGGAGAGGGGAATGCCTCCCGCATCCTGGTCCCACCATCCAACCGGACACCCTTTTGTGATGGAAGGGAAAATAGCCCTACATAGCCAAGTCCCAATTTATGGGCGGTACATGTATGAATAACTTGCAAAGTCAACTAACACAACTCGACAAATCTCAAAATGCCAAACCCTTTGAAGTTCTAGAATATTAGATGGACGTAAAATAAGCTTCTAAATAAATTATTATCATCGGCTGATATTGATGATCTCTGGCTGCACCACGTGGGGAAATGGAGATGTTGCTAAAGAAACCGGGGCCCCGGAACGGTTAGGCCGTATCATCCATTCCCATTCCCGGATCCATGCCACTGCATACAGTAGCATGGCTGCTAATTGTCAATCTATCATTTTACCTCCGTCCCCTGTATTGCATGATGTTCGCAGGGGGTAATTGTTAGTTTTGTATCCTGTCATCCTGATTTGCCGCGCTGCAATGCCCACTGAACTATAACTAACATGCTATCTCACTTAAGACCTTGCCTCTCCTCTCTTAGACGATTATTCAATTCAATTCAAACCACTTTTCAAGAACCCTTTGAATTGGCTCCACGGTCCACATTTCCAACAAGATGCGTCTCCAACGCCTTACCGTATGGGCGGCGCCTTTGGTAGCAGTGACTTCTGCCATTACCTTGCCGGCGTCGACACTTGGTACGGATCTGCTTGCAGCTAAAGGTCTGATCAACCTTGCGGTGAACGGGATCGAGAAGGCATTTAAAGGGCAGCAGGGAAGCTGCACCCTTGCAAATGTCGCTGTTAGAAAAGAATGGTGCGCTGGTATACCGGAAAAGTCATTGGGTCTCATTCTAACTGTGTCATAGGGGCATGCTTTCGAACTCCGAGAGGAAAAGGTTAGCATCTACTTTAGACTGCCCAAACCTAACTTGGAGGCTAACATGCGCGTTCAAGCTATTCGGATGCGGTTCTGTGCTTGATGTCAAAACCATCTAAAACTAATCCCTCAGATGCTTCCGGTGCAAAGTCTCGGTGAGATGACCCCTGACCTAGCGGCATACCTAAGTAACCCATCTAATATGTTACTAGGTACGATGACTTCGTCTGGATACATATCATGCAAACGTTGGAAATCCACGGAACGGTATGTTCAACATATCTGGTTTTGCTACCCCTCTGACTTGCCTAGGCCAATTTCCTGTCATGGCATAGATGGTTCGTCTATGTCTTCGAGAAAGCTTTGAGGGATGAGTGTGGGTACAAAGGATATCAACCGGTAAGCTACCTCCCCCCTCATACTTAATAACGTAGTCTAACTTGTAGTAGTACTGTAAGAAACTTCACATTCAATTCGTGCTGAGTTCAATGGCTAGATGCCGCATCTCAACTGTGCTCTATATTGAAGGCCTATAGCTTTTACTTGATATACGGCACTAACAATCTGTAGGGAACTGGGGCAGATGGGCGAATGACCCTGCCAATTCGCCGTTATTCGACGGAAGTGCCTATAGTATGAGCGGTAATGGTGATTACCAAGCCCATGGCTGCACTAACGCCCTACCGACCAACCTCAACTGTATCCCGGCTGGACAAGGAGGTGGCTGTGTCACTAATGGACCTTTCAAGAAGTAAGTATAGAATTCCTAGTGCTCAATCAAGTACACCCATATCTCGAAAATACTAATAAATGGTTTCCCAGTATGACCGTCAATCTAGGTCCAGTCGTTGTCACTCTGAGTGGCATCCCCGAGCTCGTACCAAACAATGGCAGTATCTGGAACCCTCGATGCTTGAGGCGAGATATTTCGAGCTGGGTCTCACAACGGTGGAGCACCGACGCGATTTCCACCTCCCTTATTAACGACAACCCTGATATCTATTGGTTCCAAACTGTCATGCAAGGAGACTTCGCTAATGGCGATTTCGGTGTACATACCGCAGGACACTTCACCTTCGGCGGTGATCCAGGCGGAGACATCTTCGCGTCCCCTGGTGACCCCATGTTCTGGCTTCATCATGCTCAGATTGATCGTACTGTAAGTATAGGCATATTCTCCCCTTCTCCACTCGGCGGGTGCTAATTCTTTTCTCCAGTGGTGGATCTGGCAAAACCAGGACCTCAAAAACCGACAAAACGCAATCTCGGGCACGCTTACACTTGGCAACTTTCCACCGACTAGAAACGGCACTCTTGATGACTTGATTGATCTCGGCGTAAGTGCCGCACCTGTTACAATCCGAAGCTTGATGAGCACTACCGAAGGCCCCCTCTGCTATATCTATCTATAAGGCAACCTTTAGATAGGTCACACAATGCAGAGTCCTTGGTTGGTTGCCGGGATCTGTTATGTACATAGTAACTTTAATAATTTGAATGACGAAGAATTGTCACGATATTTGATCAATCTCCGTCTTTACGGAAATACACGTGACTGGGACATTGTGAGATCTTGGTTCCTTCATCTGAAGGGGTTAACTATCATGACCACTTCAGCCCTTGATCTACTGCTATTTCCCTGGGAAGAGCCCTGGGTTGATTTGGTCCTTTTCTACTTAGAAAATGGACTCAGCTGCAGAATTAAGTATGTGTGAGGTGAGGGTTGTATATACATGGCTGGGAAAAGCGGTTCTAGTGACAATGAAGCTCAGCGACCCTGATTCTCCTTGTTGGCAAACGCAGCATTGCCACTGCCTTGCAGCTGCCAGGGCAATTATATGAGAGAACTGTCCACCGCATCGGCACTACCGAATGTCGTTTTGTCAATAACCTTGAAAGCGTCCTTTTTTTGACGTGGATAAATGATAAACTTATAACAGGACCCGAAGAACATATAATGCCGGTCTTATTAATACTAGAGAAGTCGTGGTTGGCCTCGATGGAAGAGTAAGATCTATGACTAGAGGTCCAAATATGCTCACTGGAGGAATCCTGTCCTGATTCCTCATGGACTTGGCAACAAAAGAAGACGCAGGTAGATCTTCAAGGGCATATGTTCCCAAATCCCGACTAAATTGCAGGGGAAAAACAAGGTTCTTCTCATCAGCCACAGCACTTCGTACGTAGGTACCTGCTGATGACGCTAATTGCCTATTTCCTATGGATCAGATCGTCAACGCCAGCGACCGACTGGTAGACAAAAACTGACTTGTGATGCGCGATGAGGTGGCATCGCCAGGAGTGCTGCCAATAATGAATATTTCTAGGTGGTTCCCAGAGGCATTTTGTCCCCGATCTTGTTCCACCGTCGTACAACAGACGCCACGTCGCCAGGCCCGAGACGGGGGGTGTTTGTGGTTGATCGGCCTCAAGTTGGGAATAGGTAGGACAACACAGCCAAACAAAGGGTGTATCAGTTCGTGATGCCGAGTAGTTGTTGTGTAGTCGTGAGTAATCCCACAATCCCACAATTAGCACGTGGTACTTCGTACGGTACCTGTACGGAGGTATGCATTGCGCACAAAGACGATGCAAATTACAAGCCTTTTGATTTGCGGGAGCCAAGCAACGCCAATGCAGATTCCCCCGTGGCACCAAATATAATAATAATAATAACAAAGGGCTCCTTTACTGGAGTGCGCGATACGAGACACTAGAATTAGGTACCACCTGGTGTTTATACTGTTCTGGGTATTTGTTGCTAGTGTCCTTTCAGGGCAACGGCAGGTCGTTGTCTTAACCCACAGGGTGTTTCGCTCCCTTCTTAAACATCTTCTTCCATTCCACGTTCCATTCCATATTCCATTCGGCATCACCCTCAACATCAGCACCACCCCAGGCTTACATTTAGTTTTCCCCAACATACGCAATCCCAGGGCGCAGTGCGCATTTTCATCCAATTGGTCATTACGACACTCCAGGCACAACACAAGGCTCTCTTCGCCCAGGCGCATCTACTCGTGTCACCAACGCGCCTCCGCCTCAGCCCCCACAACCCAAAATCTCCAGACCAGCTGGAACACTCACGACTACAAGGCTGCACCGCCGAGGCTATCTGGATTGGATTTTGCTGTGTACTACGGAGTACGTATATAGAGCTTCGCCAAAAGTCTATTATATCAGGGTCTCGAGTCGGCGGTCGCAATTGAATTGGAAAACCTCCTTGATTTGATCCACCGGCGCACTTGGCGGCCACCATCTACGATATTGGCACCGCACTGCCCAGAGCCTAACAACTTATCCTCCCCGACCCATCTTGGCCTTCCGTGGCATCCCAAACCCTAGAGTCTCATCCCGCAATAATGTCGCATAGTTTTAATCTACGTGGGTCATCCCTCCGAGAGCTTTCTGGCGTGCTTCTCCCTCGTCGTTCGCCTACTAACAACGTGTTTACAGATTCGGTGCGCCGCGCTGCGCGCAAAGAGGCCTGGTATGGCGATTCTATGAACCCTTTCCGCAAAATATCGAGGGCAGCCACCGTCCCGACCCCGGGTGTAGATAGAGATATAGAGGCTGCTCAAGGCGTCGAGGATGAAACGCCACTCTCCAACGTGCAAACAGAACCAATGCCACGGGCTTCGAACATAAATGATTATAACGACACGGTGGAGGAACTAAAACCCCATGGCCAGCCAGCCCAAGACCAAGTGCTAGAAAGGAGAGGCAGCGAACCCCAAAGCGGAACGACAGCGGTAGAGAAACAATCGACGCATCGCATGCGCAGAGGTGCCAAGTTTTGGCAGCGAAATAAAGATGCTGCCGAAGGCCAAGATGAGGATAAGCCCAAGAAAAGGCCTTGGTATAAGGGGAAAATCTTGGCACATAAGGAGCCTTTCACCGTCAGGAACCAGCTGTCTCGAACCATACTGGGTTCTTGGGTAAATATTCTACTTCTCGCCGCCCCCGCAGGTATCGCCCTGAACTATGCCAAAGTGGACGGGAAGGCCATCTTTGTTGTCAACTTTATCGCCATCATACCCCTAGCGGGCATGCTAAGCTTTGCGACCGAGGAAATTGCTCTTCATGTCGGCGAGAGCTTGGGTGGCCTATTGAATGCTACTTTTGGGTAAAGTTTCCTCTCTCTTCTCTGTTTATTTGATGCACAGAGCTAATTATTTTAGTAACGCTGTCGAGTTGATCGTCGCAATCATTGCTCTTTCAAAAAATGAGATCACTGTTGTCCAGACGTCCCTTATAGGGAGCATTCTCTCTAATTTGTTGCTCGTCTTGGGCATGTGTTTCTTCTTTGGCGGCCTCAGAAGACCGGAGCAGTATTTCAACCAAACGGTCGCGCAGACTGCAGCCAGCCTACTCGCCTTAGCAGTTGGCAGTGTTATCATCCCTACTTGCTTCGACGTATTCTCTAGCACCGACGTCACCAGGGCGCCAGAAGCCAAACTTGCAGCAATTTCTAGAGGGACGTCCATCATTCTTCTCGTGGTCTACGGAGGCTATCTTTTCTTCCAGTTGAAAACCCATGCGATTGCTTTTAATGAGCAGAGCCAGAAAGTACCCATGAAACCGCGCAAGAAAGCGCTGCCCCAGGGTGCTGTCTCCAAGGTCCTAGCCCAAGCGGGTGGAGTTGGCGCCGGCCCAGGAAGGGCGGCCGTGGAGAATCGTTTATCGGAGGATGAACTGATCAATCGGAGTGCCCACGAGGAGGAGGAGGAGGAACCCGAGGAGCCCCAACTTCATATTGCAGTCGCATGGGCCACTCTTGCCGGTGCCACAGCTATTATTGGACTATGTGCCGAGTTCATGGTTGATGGTATTGCCGCTGTGACCGAAGGCGGTGCTGTATCTGTTGAGTTCGTCGGCCTCATCTTGCTTCCGATTGTGGGAAATGCTGCTGAGCATGCCACAGCCATTACTGTCGCCTGCAAAGACAAGATGGATCTTGCCATTGGTGTTGCGGTTGGTTCTAGCATGCAGGTTGCTCTCCTCCTGATTCCATTGATGGTGGTGATTGGCTGGATCATGGGCAATGACCAAATGAATTTGAGCTTCGATGGTTTCCAAGTTACCGTTTTATTCGTCGCCGTGCTGGTTGTTAACTATTTGGTATGCATTAATCACACCCTTATTGCCCGAACTCATGCTAACATGGAAAAAGATTATGGATGGGAAGTCACATTATCTTGAAGGCATGCTTCTTCAATGCCTGTATTTGTAAGTAGTTGGGATTTCCTGCTCTTCGTTCTGTGCTGATGGTTTTTAGGATAATCGCCGTGTGTGCATACCACTACCCACAGAAAGATCCAAAGACGGGCATAGCGATCCCTGGAACATAGGGAAATCCAGAGAACGTGGCTGGCTGGCTCAGCCATCGTCAGAAGCAAGAAAAGAGGTCACAGAGAGAAAGGCAAGATATAAAGAATAGCTAGTTGTTTTCATTGTAAAGCTATAGGACTGTAATACTGAGACAGATCAACTCCATCTATCTATATCATTCCCCAAGTCTGTGATAGCAATAACCTTTCAAAGGAATATCTTCCAGTAACCATACTTCTAGTCATCCTCTCGAGCAATGAGCCCACCCAATTCTCATACCGTACCTCGTCGCCGATATGGACGCCGTCCAAAACAAGAGAAAGCACACTTCGAGCAACATAATGATAGTATCGGCTACGCTGTGCGTCTCTTGACTCGTCGAGTCACCGCTTCTCCAGTCTCGTCGTCTTCTGCGCTCGCATCCTCATCGGCCTCCCATTGTTTGGGGCGATACTTTCTCGTGAGATGCCCCTTTGATCTTTGATTGGACATCTGCGAAATCCAACCATGTTCTGATGCTTGCCTTGCAGCGTCCCTGTCGAGCTCATGTTTTCCGATCAGGTGCATGATCAACCCCTTATCAGTGCCGAATTCGTGAGAGTTGGTGCAACCATCAAGATGACAGGCTGTCGGCTGCCAAGTCCTTTTCAGGGTTGGTGGAAAGAAGCGGGCCCGGTCTGCCCTCGTCTTCAAGTCGTGTGCGTTGGTCAAGTGATTCGAATAAGAGGATGACTTGAACAGCGTCTCATTAGTACATCCGGGATATAAGCAACGAGCTGGCCATATTCCACTGTGGTTCCTCCGTAGGTGGGCGTTCAGAGTCTTCTTGGAAGGGTAGATATGTGCTGGGTCACACCCCTCCGGACACGGAGTTGGCGTGAAGTTGTGTACACTATTGACATGCATGTTGAGCAAATGTTGGGTAAGGAACTTGGCCTCACACTGAGCACAGTGAAAGCTTTCTCCGTGCTCCCGACGGTAGACCTCTCGAGCAACATACTCTGGAGAACATATAGCTTCGTGGGCGATGATGGCTTTCTTTTGGATGGACACGTGGGGGCATTGCGCTGTTGCTTGACACTGAAAGGTCATCGGTGTGGGCGAATCGCGTGAGTTTCCCCGAACTGAGTACTGACCAATGCTCTCCTCATACGCAACGCCGTTCTCATATTTCGGCCACTGGTCGGCAAAGCGTGTACAGTTGACAATGTTGATCCTAGAGAGATGAGTGATGAAGTCGGTAGTCGTCGGTTGATCAGGAGCGTCGTCTACATCAGGCCGAGCCAGCAGTGCTTGAAGGCCTGTGATATCGATATCATTGTCTGCCTCTCCTTTCCCATCGGCTACACCAAGGCTCAGCAATTGAGACTGCAATGCTTCCAGTTGGGTAGCGTCTACTTGGACGCTGTCCAAGTCCTCATCTTCAAGGAGTCGTGGATCAATATTAGCGAATTCCAGACTTCGTGATGATCTTGGCTCCTCTGTCACGGTGGCAAGGTCGACGGGGGGCCAAATCGGGGGGGCCGCCGATTCTCGGGTCGAGGTTGACTTCTTGGTTGAAGGGTCGGGGGTAGCAGCCTTGATGTTGCTTGACTTCTCTGACAGCGCGCCCTTCTTGACGGTGCTCTTCCTTTCTGGAGCGGCCGTGTCGATGAATTGTTGATGACGTTGAGCTCGAATCGCCGTTCGAGCACGATCTTTCGCGTTCCGGGTAGCATGATCGTTTTTGTGGGGTTCATTGAGGCGCTGCCACTCTATTATCTCGTCGTTGCTCACACGAGCTTTGACCACGTCCAGAGCAGACTCATCGCTAAACTTTGCTCCCCAGTGATTCGTATATTGGGCAGCAGCACGGTCGTTGTAGGTCTCGCGAGTGTGGGGTCCCGTGTACATCTCTGTTACGCCATGTATCATAGTTACCGGGGCGTGGGATAGCGTCTGTCGGACAGTGTCATCAACAAACCCAGCCGTGTGGTCTCGGGGGAGATGGGCCACGTCTTGAGCGTTGCCATACCGCAGACAGTGTAGGCGTACGGGCGAGAGGATATTGCTGATGAGCCCCATGTGCTTCAGCGTCATCAACACCTGACCTGGGTGCGCCGGTTTCTTCAGATCCACGCATCTCATCTTGTTTGCGAGGATAGCTGTAAGGACTGGTCGATCCGGGGACGTCCAAACCACGCACGAATCGGGAGAGGCCACTGCGTTCTCGAGCACTTCGGACAGCGTCGAACCAAGAACCAAGCCGTGTCGAAGAGCATGTACGAGGAGCAAGGAGATCACACACATGTGGTCCTCGTTGGCATTCTCTTCCATGGGACGAAAGTAAAAGACGCCGTCCATATTCAACGTATCTTTCATCCCCTTCATGTACGACAATGTGATGCGAGCTTTGATGTTGGCCAGCTTGGCTTCTTCGATCACTTCCAAGGTGATGTCTTTGTACTTGACGTACTGGATACCGTCATAACCCAAGGATCGCGTGACATCTCCAACTCGCATTCCCACAGCGGTAATGAGCACAATGGAAAGAAGTTTCGCGATGACCAGATCCCAGTTTCGTGCTCCGAATTGGAGGTAGTGATCCAGCCATGCGCGGGTCATGCGTGACACGATTATATAGTTCAGCCAGACTTTCTTCTTCCACCTCCCTTTGGTAAGTCGACCGGCTTTGATTGCATCGTCCAGCCAGGTTTGAAGTCTCGCCCCATCGTTCGCTGTGAGCTTGTACCCCGACGCTTCCGTGTAGGTGAACGTGCCATACGAGGCGATGTGTCCGAAGCCGCTCACGATGTATTCGCTGCTAGGTACGGGCTTGCCTCTGCTGTGTGGCTTCAGCCTACCGATGATGGTATCGAAGAAGCGGAGGACGTCGTCGCCGATAAAGGGCAGCCCGATAGATTTCCTGAGCGTGTTTTGACGGAAGGCGTTGAAGCGTTGCATCCAGCGTTGTGCGTTTTCAATAGTGCGTGGAGCCCCGCGACCAAACTCCAACGACTTGATGGCCTTCTTGGAAGAGATGCGGTCTTCGTCTGCATGCTCGATGATCTCCTGGATACTCTGTTGACCCCGTTTTCGTCTGCCCTTGACTACGACTGGCTCAAACTCAATATCCGACGAGTTGAGGTCATCACCCATGTTGTTCGCCATGCTTGCTTGCTGGGCTGCTGCCTGGCTACCGTTAGATTGGACGCTGTCCATCTAGAGAGGAAGCGTGCCTGACTTACCAATGCGAGTACACCTGCTGTTTGATTTTAGTTGAGCTTGAGTGCATTCATGGCCCCGAAGAGCTTGTGCATGAGGTGAGGTGAGGTGGTGATGATGTGGAAAGGTGAGGTGAGTTGGTGACGATGTGGAATTGAGGTGATGTGACGATGATGGGGAGGTGAGGTGATTTTATGATGATGAGGAGGTGATGTGATGATGATGATGAGGAGGTGAGGTGAGGTGGTGATGATGAGGAAGGTGAGGCGAAGGAATGTGATAGGGCGAGGATGGAAAAGGTAGCCCAAAACAGCAGTGACGAGGTTTTGAAGGCAAGCGTGAAGTAAAGGAGGAAGTTAACTTCCCCATAGCATAGTGGTGTCTAACATTCACCATCGTCGTAGCCACAGCATATGAACAGATTTGAGCCGCAAGAGTGCCGAATCTTCTGCAGATATCCACTCGAAGATTTTCTTCTCCACGACAACCTCAGGAGCACAACACATCAACGCTGCCGCGGATCTGTCAGCAATATGGACAGTGTCCAAGTACGTGTAGACTTCTTCCTTGTACGAATACAAACTGGCCGGAATAAGAGCTAACATGATTATCTGAACAGGCACGTCCGCCAAAACGGCGCAAGACCAAATCGAAAGAAACGCCGGCCTTCTACCACGTCATGCCCCCGGAGATTCGCAATGAGATCTATGAGCATGCAGCACTGCCAGAAACTGTTGATCCCGAAGCGCGCACCTTCAAGACCGTGACTTCAGAGGGGAACATCGCACCCAAGGACACCGTCCAGTCCTTCTTCCTAGACGCAGTCAGCGAGAGTGGCAGGAGTTCACTTTTCGAGAGGGATGTTGTCAAGATTACAGAGCTCACGCAGGAAGTGCTCACTCTCGTGATGCCTGGAATACTCTTCCAATTCAGCACACCCAGTGCCCTCGAAGTATTCGCCGAAACATTTGCGGCCCACAGCAACGTGTGCCATATTGTCCCGGAGCTACATATTGAGTTGAACTTGGCAAACAACTTAAGTCAGGCATCTCTCGAGGAGCTAGCCAAATTCAAAGCGACTAAGCTGCCACACGGTCGCGGTATCCAGATGCATGACCACGTCGAAAAGTGGATGCTCGTCATCAAGACTCTTCCCAAGACAACAACACACGTCCATCTGGTATTTTCGCACATTTGGAGAGATTTTCGAGAACTTCGTGGCCTTTCCAAGAAGCATGGCCTCTCAGAACGCACAGTCACCTTCCAGTTTAGGACGCCGTCCATCGAGCGTCCGGACCATAGCTTCTTTGAGGCCCAGACAATGGCGGCGGTGAAGGACCTGGAGGTTGCTGAACAAGCTGGGATCAGTGAGGAAAAGAGAGCCAAGCTCGTCAAATTTGGATGCAGAGGCTTCAATTCTACCAGAGTTAGGGGCGCGGATCACGAGGCGATACAAACTGATAAGGGCAAATGATGCGGAAGCGGAGTGGAGCGGGACAGTGTATGTTACAGAGAATAAGTAGAAGCCATCGCCTTCCATCTCTCCTTTGCTATTTTGTGCTGTAGGTTAACGTAGTTTCTCTTCATTATAACAACGGACACAATACCGGAAGCTCGAATACTTGGTACGCTGGCGGGGATATGGTCCTGCCGACGACCAGTGGATCCGGAAGACGGACCTAGGAAATGCAATGGAACTGGTCAGCTAGTCTTGAGGCTCGACAAGCGCCGGCGCTTAGCCGGCGACGGAATCCCGAGCGGCAGAAAAGCCGTTCTGATATTGATCTGTAACTAGGCGATGTACACGGTACCCTATTTTATCCTACTTTATAGTTTAAGAAGCATAGCCGGCAAATCGCTGGATCTGGGCGTACTCTTCTGCATTTATCCCGCTAGGTTTGGCAGTTTAATACGGCAGGCAGGTTATTGTTATCATATTGCATATTAGTCAGGAAGTCATTATTTGGAAGATTTCATTATATTCGTTATTCCCATGCTCAGCGCCCGACGCTGGCTATTTACTGGCTATTTACCAGCAAACGAAAACAAATATCAAACGCCCACGCTCAGAAAGCACAAAGGAAACCCCGGCGAAGCACTCAAGAAAGGCGTTTTGGCTTGGGGACCTGGGTAGAACGCCGGAGAGGAGCCGGATCAGGCGCAGGCGCAGGCGCAACCTTTCTCTTCGGAGGAGGATCGCCAGCTACCATAGCAAATTACTTTTTGTGTTTCGCGTCTAATCTCTGCCGAGCCAGGTCAAAGGTGTACTGGGCGTTCCGGAGTATCATCCAGTTAATTTTGCCATTCAGGAATCGCCGGGCCATTCTCTCCATGAGCTGGGCATCCCCGCGAAGTTTAGAGGGGACCTGAAGCCATGTTAGCCAGCGTTTATCCAGGGAAAATAGAAGAACCTACCTCATCACAGGATTTTCCCTGTGCAACACATTCAAAGCACTTCTTATCAGTGCTGGAAGGGCACCGGGTGCAAACTAGAGAAGGGTGGGCCGCAAGGTCATTCACGCACCCCAAGCACATATCCATCTTCAGGAGCGCGTCCTCCAGGTGCTCTTCGGCGATTTCCTCGCGCTTGATGGTTTGCTTCCTGTTGTCGAAGGATGAGTCCTTACGTTGGGAGAGAAGGACAAGGTTCTTCTCTCCCAACGCGTCAGCCATCTCCAGAAAAGTGGGTTCGGCAGGGCTGGCGGAACGCTTGCGACCCTCGTCGGACTGACTGGTAGATTCTTCCGACAGCGGGCGATTGGCTGGCTGTACCTCGAGATTTATAGGTAGGTTAGACTGTAAGGTGAAAATACATATGTCAGCTTTGAACAGATCTGTCGCGACACGTCGCGAATAGCCTCAACTGATTAGCTTCCATTTTTCAAGGAGGCAGACTTACCATCTTGACTGGATCAGCAAGAAAAGCTGCGTGCACTGCTTATCCGGAGGTTAGCCTGTATTTTCCAGCTTCAGGAATTACCCTTGCACTTACAGTTGATGGATTATTGATGGGAGTGATCTCAGAAAGGATGGAAAGGGTGGGCAGGGGCTGGTGGTGGGCCAGCCAAGTGGTGGCAGAAAGTGTGTAAGGAAGAGGAAGTAGAATCGAGGGGGAAATTGTCTAAGGGCTATTATACTCGGCAGCCTAGTCTGTACTGCCTGGTGCGGTATCGAATTGGGTGTCGGTGAGGCATGCGGTGAATAGCCTCAAAAAGTATTCACTACCTGGAGGAATAATCTCTGAATGCCTTCACTCCCAAATGCTGGAGGCCGGCGTTTAGCCGGCGAGGCTGGAGGCTAGCTCCCCAGAGAACTAGTAATATCTATTGCCTAGGTGCCTTCGCAGCTGATTGCTCTGTGTGACCTTACAATTCAGGTAGCTCATGATCACAATGTGACACAAAATGATATGTTTCAAATCTACTGAATTCATCGAGAAGAGAATTAAAGGTCCAACCTCCACCCCGTGCATTAACATTCCAGGTGATTTGTGCTCGTTTCTCCCAACCCATTGCGGAGAGCTAGACCGAATTCTATGCACCCACCCCCCCAAATTCAATAATAAGCTCTAGTCTACATGCTCATGCCCGATTGGACGCCGTCGATCAAGCGGGGATAGCGGTGTTAGCAAGGGCTTGATCAATGTGAGCGATGCAAATCTCAATATAGCCGACCCCATTGCTGTTTCCGGTTGCCAATTGCTCGGCGTGAATGGCCATCACCTGCTCCTCGAGAACCTTAAGAGCCGTCTTATCAACACAATTGCCGATCTTAGTCATCAATTCGTCCATCGACGCATGAGTGGTGACTCCTCCGTGCTGCTCCCGCATAGCTTTTGCTTGTGCTTTGAAATAGTCGACTATTTCTTGCAAGGCAGCCTTCAACCCTGAAATGAACGATCTGAGATCAGATACTGTGTCGGCTGACTCGGACACTGTCCGAGTTGCAGAGATCTCATCGTCCTGGTTACGAATTCTAATATCGTGAATGATACCTTTCACGACCTCGTCCAATTGCTTTGGCTTCCAACCTGCTACGGCACGGTCATGGCCCCACAGAAGAAAGAGTTTTAGACTTTGATAGGGCAATTCACCGCCGAGATTAGTGCGCCGAAGAGCTGCATGTAGTTCGACCACTAATTTTGGATCAAGTTCGATCATTCCCGGGTACATAACCTATGTATACATTAGAGTTGACTAAACAATCGTTACAAGGTCAACACATACCTTAATAGCATTTACTGCTTTCTCAGCCTCCTCTTGCTCCAAGTCCTCGTCAAAGGTGTAGAAAGAAAGTATTCCTTCGTTGTCCGGCTTACTACGAAGATCCGGGAGGATATTCTCCAACGTAGTCTGCAATGCAGCAAGTGCAGAAGGCTGCTTTGACATAGAGTATAACGAATACTGTATCATGAGGATATTAGCAGCGTTGACTATTGGCGTAATCGAAATCAGATTGGACGGCGTCGAATTATTGGCAGATATAGGAATCAGAGCTCTCTGGGGTGGTCTTTTGTCGCGAGCTGCATGCTTCTTGCACGCGAGTCCCAACTGCGAACGTCTGTCTTTGACAGTGAGACCGTCCGCAACGTCGTCCCATATCTCCTGAAAGTAGAAGATAGCCTCGCCTGGGATCGTCCGTATATTACACAAGCCATGTAATTCATGGCATGAAACGTAATACTTAATGCTTCCTGATGAAATATTGTCTGTAGTTGGTACGAGTGCCCTCAAGACGTTATTGTATGGCGGAAGAACTCCTCTTGCAGCACGTTGGCTTTCTCGCACCTTGTCTCTAGATTGACCAGTAGCTTTCGTGCTGTACTTGAGCGGGTTGTCGGCGAGAACCAATCCTACTACTAAATATTCAATAGTTTCAGCTCTCGAATCGATTTCTTCCTGTGTAGGAAGAATAGACAGTGTCTGATTTGCTGGTGGTGCATCGTTTTGTACTTGGTATTGCTGTGTTGTTTTGCGTCCTGCCTTTGACTTTCGTGCCCAGATTTTCTGAAATCGTTTCCGTCCTGAAACGCCTATGGTAATCCGATCGCCGTGCTCGTTCTTGGCAATATCGTTCTGTCCGTCTGTGATAATGCCGGCTTCGAGATCGTCGTCGTTTGGACGCCGTCTTGTAGTCCCTGATCCAACAGGCTCTCCTACAGCTTTGCTGGATGATGCGGTCAACATCGCTCCCGTGGGTTGAAAGCAAGTCTCGTTTTGGATGTAGATGATTATCTGTGAACAAGTTAGGTCGCGGAAGTGGGACAATTGGTGGTAGGAGAATTCACCAGATAACTTTCGAAAGGAAAGAATTCGTCCACTGATGTAGGTTCGTGAGAGGACAAGCAAATAGTAGAGAGAACCGTAAAAGCAAGTATGTAGATAGTGTGTGAAGCGTGTGGGAGATTGTAGAGTTTGGGGAGAGGTGAGGCGAAGGTGTTTGGGGAAAGGTGAGGTGAAGGTGTTGGGAAAAGGTGAGGCGAAGGTGTTTGGGNGGGAAAGGTGAGGTGAAGGTGTTGGGAAAAGGTGAGGCGAAGGTGTTTGGGGAAAGGTGAGGTGAAGGTGTTGGGAAAAGGTGAGGTGAAGGTGGCTTCGCAGCCTTTGATCGCCCTGGAGCAATCTGGCACCTCTCCTCAACAGACGAGTTGTAAGTTAACTCGACACTATATCTAGAGGCGGTTCTAATGTGTTCGATTTAGACGCCGTCTATCCATCGCTATGGATATGAACGAGACCAAAGAAGAGATAAAGGATTCAACCTTTCTCAATTTCAAATTGAGTATCGAAGGAATCATACGGGCGCGTAACACACCGAAGAAAAAAGGCGTTCGAGGCAATGTCGAAAGCGAAGAGAACCTGCAGACCAATTTGAGAAACGACGTGATCTCAATCATGACAAATCCACTCTCTCAAATATCAAAGTTGGATCCAGTATCTGGGCTTGCCTCAGATCAGGTACAAGCATTACGAGCCTTGTACGCTATGGTCAAGAACAAGACGAACCTTGATGGGAAGCTGGAAACTGCAGTAAAGACAACTGTGAAGCTTCTCAATCCAAATTTTAACTATAACATGAACGAAAAGGTAGTCGAAGACCAGAAGGATGACAATGAATTGACGACTGGTACGTTGAGTCGGACGAAGAATGATTCATACGGCTAAATTTTCTTGTAGATTCCAGCATGCCTGTACGAAGAAGCACGCGCATTGCTCAGCTACCGCAGACTTCTTATCATGAAGATGCAGATGATATGTTATCGATTGCTGGTGTTGAGGATGGGAGTGATGGAGAGGAGGCTTTCAACATGGCAGAAGATTATGAGAATGATTGGGATGAGGACGTGGACGGACAAGATGAAGTGATGGACGACGTCTAAACCGTTGCATGAGAGAACAAATGACTTAGGATACTACTCCCATCTTTGAACGAAGAATGACTCGGGCTTTTCCTGCAAATCTGCAATCAATTTTTGCCGCAGAGTTCTGCAACATTTTGATATTCCTCTGCATCTGTATCAAGATGCCTGTAAACTATCTGTGGAAACAGCTATGTACTTTTCAATCGAGATCGTCCCAAACCTGTGGCATAACCCCATCTTTTCTCGTGATCTGGGTGTTGATCCTGGAATTGTGCCTCTCCTTCCGATCACGAAGCCCTGCCTTGTACTTATCCACGTTACAATTATCAGCCAGCAATCTAAAGACCCATACTGGTCTCCATTGACCAGGTCGATGGGAGCGTTTGATTGCTTGCCTCTCCCACTCACATTTCCACCATGGCCCGCAAATAATCACCACATTCGCTGCGGGAATGTTCAACCCGATACCCCCAGCCCCTCTAGATATAAGCATTACTTTCGGACCATCAGCCTTCTCGAAGTCTGCCAAAGTAGCGGCACGTCGCTCAGGATCTGTACGACCGTCGTACCGGATACATCTGATGGGATCGTACATGCTTTCAAATGCGATTTGGACAATGTCCAAAAAGTAAACACTTTCATCAAATACGAGCACACCACAATCTGGCTCAAGATCTCTACGCTTGTTGAATACATCAACCAATGCTATGATTCGTGATGATTTCCATTTATCACCGTGCGTCAATGTTTCTCTCCAGGCTGTCCACTCCTCGATCTCCTTCTTTTCAAAGAGTTGATCCGCAGCGGCTTGATCGTTCCTTGTTGCAGGTTTCATTAGGTGCATAATCAACACCAAGGCTGGGTGCATAGCATGTTGTAGAGCCCGGGTAAGATACCCCCATGGTTGTAGAGCTTTCTTTCCACCAAGTCGGACAGCGTCCTTTGAATTCATGCCTTGGATTCCGCGGTGTTTTTTGTAGTTGTAGTTTGATATACTCTCTTCGTCAACGTTAAGGCTGAATTTGAAAACCTCTTCGGTAAGAGGTGGAAGCTCGATGGAATCTTCTGGACGTCGAACGATGAAGCTGTTTAGCAGCTGGATGAATCTCAGAAAGGTTACCCCTCTGGGGGCTGTCAGTCTCCCATTTGCGGCTTTACTGGCGAAGAGCGCTCGCATCACAGATTTGCTTCTGATGTCGTGCCCTTTTAGCAACTGGGCATATGAATAAGAGTCCATCCACGTATTGTCCATGGGACTCCCACTTAGCATGAGACATGCGTGAGCCATGCCTCGCAGCTCGTTTATGGCTGCAAATGTCATGGATTCCGAATTCTTGACTGCAGTAGCCTCGTCGAGGACAAGATAAGGACTCTTCACTCCTTCTTGGTCAGAGAATATATCAGAAAAGATGGATAAGCTTGGGCGCTCCAAGTCTTTACCACCGCCACCGCCATTGCTCTTGTATTTGTTGACTGCGTGATAATAGTCGCAGAGCTTTCGGTATTGACTCATCACGAATGCGTAAGATACGAGTACCACGTCATACTTTGTAAGTTCGAGCGGGGAGATATTAGGGTCACGAAGGACGAGCACTCGGACGGTGTCCTAGTAAGAGAGGATCAGTATCTGGTGATGGCGGTCGTGAAGAGAACTTACCGGTTGGAAGAACTTGGCAAACTCTCCTGACCATTGAGCTACGCAACTGGCGGGAACAACTACGATCGAGAAGCGCTTAGCAGTTGACATTGCCTTAACAACAGCCATCATCGCTGGTAGAGTTTTGCCGAGTCCAGGAGGATCCCCAAGCAGAAGGCCCTGAAGAGGGCTTTGGGAATTGTACTCGATCTTCGCAAGGGCAGCGTACTGATAGGCTTTTGGTTCAATAGCGAGATGCGGGCATGGTGTTGGCCTGCCGGCAGTGGGTGTCTGATGAAGGCCGTTCTGCCTTTATGTGAGTAATCGAGAATGGACAACGTCCTTTGAGTAGCAACTTACAATGTGGTCCCCAAGACCCTTCAACCATTGCATGATCTCATCACACTCTGTGATATCAGTATCTTCGGGATCCTCGATCTCCACGTCTTCACCACCAGAGTCACCATCTATAGCAGCACCGCCGGTTTCGCCGTCACCTACAAACAAAGAAGGTTCAGAATCCGTCTGCTCGGCGTCATCCATGTCCTCATCTTCTGATTCAACCGACTTATCGATGAAGCCGTCGCCCGCAACGTGAGCATTAAGAATCGCTTCTTTGAAGTCAACATGAACATGACGATCCAGTGAGATTGTCGCTGCGAGTCCTGCTAGACTGCTGATCAAGGATTGCATGGTTACAGCTCGAGGAGGTGACGTTGGTTGAGAGGGTGTGTGTCAATGGGGTGAGCGTCTGTACTGGAGAAAAGACCTGATGTATTGGACAGCGTCGAATCTGCTGATTCTGCCTCCGTGGTAATTGATGCGGTATGAGGTTCAGCACGGGGTGTGGAAGTTACAGCCGGCGAATCTCCAGCCAGGATTGTGAGTTGGAGATACTATGGCGATTATAGGAAGAGATGTTGATAGGTGGCAGGTGGTTGCTGATAGAAGGGTAGCTAAGTTTCGTGAAGCTGGAAATATAACGTTCAAGATTCAATTGTATAATAGTATTTTCCTACTCGAGTTCACTCTCGCCCTCAAGAACACAAGAGCCTTCGCCTTTCTCAACTTTCTCCCACTTCTCCCCGACCTCCTCCACAACCACCAACCCTCATCGCGTTCACCCTCACCTTCGATATAAAAAGCCCTCAACTTTCTCCCACTTCTCCCCGACTTCCTCCACAACCACCAACCCTCATCGCGTTCACCCTCACCACAATGGACGAAACCACATCATCAGGATCGGACGGCGTCCATAAGCCAGCGGCATCCAAGATGCCTCGCACCAAGAAAGAATGGGAGGCCCATATGGCTGTCCCGAGTACCAAGGAAGAATGGGAAGCTTATGCGTCTTTGTTTCGCGATATCTACGCCGAGGGTAAGACTTGGAACGAAAGTCTGGCGAAACTTGAGTGTTTCGCATTAAATGATCAGAAGGTGAGGTCCTCAATAAGTATCTATTAGATCCTAGCTTACAGGTATTTATAGGCACGTGCAATTAGTGGTGATAGTGATTCAGACTCGGACGAATACGGCCAGGAGGAAAAGGGAATAGCACCAGAGAGGGATATAGGTGACGTGGCATACGAGGGATCTGAAGAAGACGAAACTATCCAGGAGAAGGGCGATATCCAGCGATTCGACTTCGGTATTCCTCCTACTATCAATACAGAGGTTTGGGATTCGGACGAGGACATATCTGAATATAACGACGACAATTACGATGAATATTCGGAAGCATCTGAATCTCCTGCTGATGATTCTGACCTCGATGAGATGGACCTCGATGAGATAGACCCCGTCCTTCCGGAATCTTCTTCTTTTAACAACGAGGAAAGCGAGGATGGCGATGAGGAGACGGGTTCAGATATGTCTGCTCTTAGCCACTCTGATTCTAAGGGGACTGGAGATGACGATGACGATGACGATGACGATAACGATGAGGATGAGGATATTGAGATGAACGACCAGGATATTCAGATAGACGACGAGGATGTTAAGATGGACGACGTCTTTGAACAATGAATGGTCGGATGCCGTCACAGTGGCCCAATAATATACACAGTTTTGATGCAAAATAACTTTCCACCTTATAATTATAATTCGAGTATAGTATTTATTTCTACTTGTAAGTGTGTTAGAATATGGGAGTTATAGGAGTTCCCCTGGCCGGCTGATCAAGCCACTTAGGCACCCCACTTGGCACTTCTCCAGCACAAGGAAGAAATGAGATATGTGTATCCGTGATGAGCCAAATACTCGGATATCATCGCATCCTATGCTAATTAGTATATTATATGATGATAGACGCCCTGACGGAAGCAGGTACCGGCAGTACGGAGTATTCCAGACCAGATCGCCAGCCTCAATGGTGGGTGGTCACAAGAAGGTATTTTGACTTTTTTGCCTTCTTCGCCTTTGCCGCTCTCTTCAGTTGTCGTTCTTGATTATTCAATCTCTAACCGGCTGCAGGCTTTCATTCTTTCATTCAACGGGTCATGTGGTGACTTGTGAAGTCCAAACTTAGCGACCAAATATCTCCAGTACCAGAATGCCCACAATAAAGGTTTTCAAATCATTTGGACACTGCATCATTTCCTATGTGTTACAATCGTCCCCAACCTCTTCCCCACCGCCACCGCAGCACCACTCCTCTTCGTGCCCAATGGTGGCGCTCCCGCACCCCTCCCAACAGTACTCCCCCCCTCTCTCGCAGTCCGATTGACATTAAATGGACTGCTACGTCTTCCAGGTAGTATATGGTTTCAACCAAAAGGAAGTGGGCCTTACCTTCCTCGGCGTCCTGGTTGGTTTCCTCTTCGCCGTTGTCTCCTTCGGTATTTTTGATGCAACACTCTACAAGAAAGCCGCCTTTCGTGCAAAGGCTAAGTAGTCCTTCCTACGAATATCGCACAACGGAGAATCCCAGCAAACCCTTACAGAAGAATACCAGCACGGGTTGGTTGGTCAGAGCAGAGAACAAGAAAGAAGAAAGTACTTGAGCAGGGTGCCCTAAGGGTGCTGTAGGGAGGCCTATAGGGGCCCGAAACCAAATGTGCGTAGAATTTCGCGCTCTGAAATGGTTGACCGTGCAACCACATAGTATTATTCATTATATCGTTGCCAAGGTTGTGGCATATCTCCCCTGGAATAAGGCCACGGTCTTTGGGAAAGCAGACATGGACCGAATATGAGGGATGCTAGATCTACCAGGCGTATTCGGCCTCGACCTATACAGCCTCGGTACATTAGATAATATTTAATTTATTAATAAGTAACTGGATAATTACTTATGAAACACGATCATAATGGTCTCCAAATAACTGTCGCTAATCCCAGGGGAACGAAGATCTCAGCAGGGGGTGCTCGCCGAGTTTGTGATATCGAGGCAGTTGCAGGCTGTTGCAATCGAGGACTTGTACGCATTCGTGGGCTGGAATTCGGCTGTGTTTGTGATTCGCAGGATTCCAGTTCAGAAGTTGTCCCTACACTGGCATGCGAAGCTATTCGGATACTATCGGTGTTATTTCCTTGAGTCACCTGACCCTATACATTCATTTGCCTATATATATGAAGCTTTCACCCTATAGTATTAGGCTCCCTAATCAATACAATTATCATATTCTATAACTTATTCTGACCAATCAATTACCTGTATTACGTGTACTAATTTAGGTCCCAATTATCAACAAGGTGTAATAGAAGGAAAGGGTATAGTACCACGCGCATTCAGAATCCCCCAAAATCGGGGATAGTACCACGCACATTCAGAATCCCCCAAAATCAATAATCGCTGTGTGCGCCTGGTACTACCCAGAAAAGGACCCAAAGACAGGCAAGGTGATCCCTGGGACGTAGGGTCCGGCCATCCTCCCTTGGAGAAACTAAGACGCGACCTAACTCATCTTACGATATGTCCTGCCCTGTGGCGCTGGACTCTTATACACCACCTATCAATTCAAACTAGCTTCTTGGGCTTAGGATTCCCACAAGCCCCTAGCCAGAAGCTATGGCTTTGTGCCCTTTTCGACAGCCACCCTTGGCGGGTTATCTTAATCGTTTCACTTTAATATTTTCACTTCAGACACCCCTATCTACATACTCTGTTTATCTCCTTTGTGTATTATACCTCCCGCGATCCCCTTTATTGTGTTGTAAATAGTACTACTTGTTTGGATGGGTTATAGTGCTAGAATACATGGCGTCCCAACAGCGGTTGTTTTCATCCCTTTTCCGCTACTGGGCCCGAGGCGTTGGGCGGTCATTAGAATTATAAAAGCACAAGCTAGGTGGATTAGTTAGTTTTTATATTAAATCATTCACTGTAGATGAGACATTCACACGTACACCTGGAACTTTTGCAGGACTGTGATAGCGAGACATCGAGAACGAATGGACGTCTAGTTGTCCCACGCTTGGTGGGGAAGAGCGTCTTATGATAAGGGGCTGGTTACACTGCTCTTTGAGATAAATGCAAGGATGTAGATAATAATAGAGCAAAGTTGGCTGCAAGGAATATAATATCTAGAGTAGGAAGGGTTTCAAGAAGGGTTAGCTATATGCACCTAAAAACATGTAGCCATGGATTGAACATACCTAATAGTGTCTGTTGATGTTAAGCGAGTGCAGCAGCCCTGAGCATGATGTCGTATAGATATACATCTTGATCGTGCATAACAAGGGCAAAAGTTTGTAATAATCAAGAATCAGGCGATTATTATATAATAGGGAGAGCTGACGGCGAAACGGCGACAGTATCTACTTACACAAAGTAGTATAGTCTTCCTACATTTTTCACGTCGTACTTATTGTACATTTACTTATAGTACTACTTACTCCCTATTTACGCAAAGTCTTTTGCATTTTTTATTTTATTGTGTTTAGTTTGTTCAAGGGTACTACTATCTAAGTTTTTGATTCTGTTTTATTTTCCCACTTCCATTTACACCCGTGCTCCAATCTATACACATATCAACCCCCGGATGGTATCGCCGCTGTTTGACAATATCACTTAAATTAGGAGCATAATTGTTTCCTGGGCGTCGCCTGGAACTGACATTTAAAGTCGGAGCTGTCCATGTCGCCTTCACACCTCCCGAATCGACTAAATCTTCCCTACTCATTCTCGAGCTCATCCACAACTCTTCTTGTCTTACCTAATCTCAAATCCAGCCGTTATCACCCCTCGACTTTCTCTCCATACGTCAGTACTGGTAGCATCACAGCTTCCCCTCTGCGGCTGGCAGGCTGATTAGTCCACCTACAGATGCATGCCTGTCTTGACACTCATCACTGTATCCGTACCAATCCACTCACTTCCTTCAACGTTCCAGAAAAACGTATTGCCGCATCCAGAAAACGTCGTCACTCCAATTCACTCAACTACTGCACCTTGGTCTTCTTTAAGACTACTTCCTACCCACTTCCCTCTATTATTTATTACATCACTCGATCGTTTGGCCTTCTTACTAGCCACATCACTCACCAGCTCATCTTCCCCACTACTTCCTCTTCTGATACACACATTCCATAAATTACCAACAGTCTGGTCTTGCAAACAAGCCTACACTCTGGCAGCTTCGCTTTTTCACCTTCTTACTCAACCTCACCTTCTCACTTTACCCAATGGCTAATGAATAGCTCAACCGTCGGATGGTTCAGGTAGACTTGCTACTTACCACTCACCTTCACTGATATTTTATTCACCGATTTCGTCGCATGTTCAAAGGAAGGACTTCCACCGTCTGAACTTTCCGACGATTCTGCAACTCACCACTTATCACCTCTTTACCTCGCCTCTAACCATTTGGCGTGTGCTAACCAGAACCAACTTCTATATTGAATTCTAAATCGGCATTTAACACATTTCATTTTCAAGTCAACTTTATCAGTTCACCTCATCTTCTCCTTGAGCGCCAACCATACCAACTCTTTATCAATACTAATATTTCAGAACTGTCTCACTTCTTAAACTTCTTCGTCAAACTCTCATATCACCACCCTCTTAACACTTTTGCTTGCTCATAGAGACCAGTTCTCTAGACGTTTCACTTTGGTGGGTCGAGTATTGCCTATTCGGCCTGATCTCTGGACACAGTCTGGTGCGTTCTTTTGGATTAGCTAATGGGTATCTTGAGATTTAGATATGAGCTTCAAGGTGACTTGAACACCATGGACGACTTTGATAACATCAACGTGGGTATAGCCTTCGAGGACCTGTCGGAGGAACAAGAAATGGCACATCAGGGCCAGGATGATATACTAGTCAATACGGGCAATCTCTCAGCCATTGACCAACGAGAGCTGGATTCCATTCCACATCTTACCCAGTCAATGGAAAACGGCACCAATACTCGTCACTCCCCTCCAACTATATTTATCAGCAACGCTGATGACGCTGATGATGATATTATTATGATCGATCTTCATGATGCTTCCCAGCAGGCACAGCGTCGCTGGGCTGAGCATAAAAAATCAGGTTCCTCAAAGGTAAGCAATAAACCGGATAAAATTAAACAAGAGCCAAAGGAAGATCAATCTATTCCAGTTCTATCATCCACTGTGAAGAAGCCAGTCAATTCTCACCAACTTCTGGCAGCACAGAGGACGATGCTTGCTAGAAATGCGGGCCTTGGCGACCATGATGTTGGTCTCGGAAGCTCATCCAACCAACAAGTTTATGCGGAGGGCAGCTCCAGAAAGAAGCAGAGCGAGGAAATGGGAATTACCGACGAACATGCTTCCGTCGATACTGCTATGCGTTTTGACGACGATGATAACAGCTGGATGAATGCTGATCCTGACGAAGACGAAGAGTATCGATATCTCACCGAAAACCGCAACACCCTTGAGCGGAGACGAAAGAATAAAGAAATATCTGCCAATGATCTATGCCAGTTACTTGGAATTGAGAATAGACTACAAACTCTGGATTCTCTGAAAGCTGCTTCGGAGGGGCCCAACATATCGGAGCAGCCTGTGGAAGAAGAATCACTCTTCGTTGAAGACAATGTGGGGGACCAAATCGGGGAACACCATATGAGTGGTGAGCCAGCCACAAACACGCTTCATCCCAGCATGAATGGAATGGACGTAGATGATTTTGAAGGGTTTTCTCAGATGCTGGGCGAAGCACTTGATACTGGTTCTGAACAGCGTGGGGCAAAGAAATCCAGCAAGCCACGTAAAAAGCCTGAAAAGAGAGCAAAGGATGCTCGAGAGTTCCATGCACGAGAAACTCTTCGGCGTGAGAATGACCGCACGAAGGCGCGGCACAGGGAAGAAAGCAAAGCAGCTCTTGCAGGAAGTTCAAAGACAAAGGGCAAAGGCAGGGCCAAGAAGAATGCCACTTCAATAGCTTTGGAGCCGCTCCCTCCACAGGGAAATCCCGACTTTCAGAGTGGCACAGATAATGCCGCCAAATTGATGCTTGAAAATTTGATGGCTAATAACCCAATCGAAGACCGCATCAATAACCCTATTTTTGACGTTGGGCCCGAGCCCGAGATCACGGATGGAAAGATGAAGAAGGCGACACAATTCCAAAGATTATTCGCTAATATACCAAACGGAGGTTGCCAACGGACAGTCCGAAATGAGAAGAAGAAGCTGCAGTTGGCGTCCCGGTCGTTTGGATACGCGAAAGTTAGGGCAGTCGATGGGAAATGGTTGGTCAAGGGGATGAAATCTACTCTTTACCACCATCAACTCTTAGGTGCGCATTGGATGCTCAGTCGCGAGGTTAGTGGGGAATCACCGAACGGTGGCTTGCTGGCAGATAGTATGGGTCTGGGGAAAACAATTCAGACTCTGGCATGCATGGTTGGTAACCCACCATCCCCAGACGACTTGAAACGCAGGACTAAAGCCACATTGATCGTCGTACCTGCGGCAGTTATAGCCCAATGGGACGACGAAATAAAATTCCACGTCGAGGACAAGGTATTCAGAAAGGTCTTCAGGTACAAGGCTTCCTCCAATATTACAGTGCCTATTCTGCAGGACTGCGATATTGTTATCACATCTTACACCGAGGTGATGAAAGAATTTCCATTTCCGGACTCAAATGATCGCGCAAATATCCAACGTATGAGCTATAAGGAGTGGATAAGCCAGACCGAGCTGGATACAGGCTTTTTACATAAGATCAAGTGGTACCGTGTTGTGCTGGACGAAGCCCACGCCATTAAGAATAATTCTTCGAGAACCTCATTGGCGTGCCAGAACCTCCGATCAATATATCGGTGGTGTCTTACTGGAACTCCTATTCTCAACCGTGTTGAAGAGTAAGTCTCCTTGCTCGCACCTTAAGTCGCTAGGACTAACTTTTGACAGGCTCTTTCCTTATCTGCGCTTTCTCAAGGCGAATTATGCCATGGATTGGCAGACATTCCAGAAATATTTCTGCGACTTCGATACAATTGAGTGTCAAAATCGTCTATCTGCCGTCCTTAGCTATACGATGATGAGGCGAACCATGGGAACCACTATTATGAATCGCCCAATCATAACACTACCAGTACCCCACCCGAAGGTCGAATATATTAATTTCTCGCAGGAGGAAAAGATTATTTACAGAATTGTGAGAATCCCTACTTTCCAAAAGATAATTCTAGCTAACATATCGAAGACCGAAAATAGATTTCGCCAGACCCTCAATATGTTTATTGCCAAGGGTGATATCCGTCGCAAGTATGGTATCTTCATGGTGCAACTCCTCCGTCTGAGACAGTGTACATCTCACCCGTTTATGCTAGAGCGCACTATCAAAGAGTCGTGGACTAGCGATGATGTCGCGGAACTAAAGGACAAACTCAGTCAGCTAAACTCGAGTCCAACTCACCGGCCATTCTACGAACAGACCAGAGTGTGGGTCAATGAGGCTGAGGCCAGTAGAGCAAAATCTAGTGCAGGTGAAGGAATTCCGGAAGGGCAATTGTCTTTTGGAAGAGGCTCTTATGGCACGAACTTCAACATGGACAAGGCGCTCGAGATGTTGAGCGAAAAAGAGTTATACGCTAGCATCAACTGCGGCATCTGCCAAGATGTGCCTCAAGAACCAATGGGGACCAATGTAAGTGTTTGCTTCTACTAGAGACGCTTAGAATTGAAACACTGACTGGTAAGCAGTGTGGTCACGTTTTCTGCCGAGACTGCCTGGAGAGCTATATGAATAGCAAAGCTGTAGACCAGGATGTGAGTAAAAAATAGCCTATTCAATTTGAAGCAGTGTAATCTTACATGCTCTAGGATATCGAATGCCCTACTTGCAACACCGTTATTAGCCAAACGTTTAACCCAGCTGGCCATGGCATCCAGGAAGACGACGAACAAGATGCACCGGAACCCGGACCCAAGCCTCGACGTGGTCAGGGTAAGCAGCGTCGCCAAAAGAAGGTTCCGGAAAATAGCAAAGGCCGCGATGCTATGGGATTCGAGCCATATACCCCTTATTCAACGTGGCTCACGCATAGCGATACAGATTCCGGCTTCCCACTTGTGCCATCAGCAAAGACTGCTGCCCTAAAGTCTATTCTTTTAAAAGGGTTTACAGAAGCTCCTTTGGATAAGGTGCGCCTTAATCTCCTACTATTTTCTAGGGCATCTACTTTAAATTTTAACGCCTTTGCTAATCACTTACTTGTTTAGGTCGTTATCTACGTACAATTCCGCACTCTGGCCCGAATCGTCGGCCGTATGTGTAAGCAAGAAGGCTGGAACTTCTTATATCTAAGTGGTGATTGTACGCTGGATCACCGGAGCAAGGCTTTGAAGATGTTTCGTGATGATCCAGAGGTTCCAATACTAATTGCGGGTCTAAAGTGCGGCGGCTTGGGGTATGTTGTCCCTCCCCTCTCTACTGCCTTGCTTAACTAGAGTCACTTGACACTAATATTCGCCCTTTTTCTCTATTATAGGCTCAACTTCCCCTGGGCTAATCGGTGTATCTCCCTCGATCTATGGTGGAACCATGGCGTCGAGCAGCAAGCTTTCGGGCGCATCTTCCGTATCGGCCAAAAGAAAGAGACTTATATGACTCGAATTATTGTAAAGGACTCGGTGGATATGCGGCTGCTGACGATGCAAGCTCACAAGCTCCGCGACGTCGATCGAGCCATTACTGAAACCGATACCCAGCCAGGTCTTAGTTTGCATCAACTGGCCAATTTATTTGGATTCTTAAAGACAGATGCTGATGGCGAAATCGTTGCTATTGAGGCTGATTACCAGGACGATGACGATCCACCTAGTCCTCCTGGAAGCTCAGGCGTTTAGTGGACAGATTTGCCGCTGCTAGGGAAGTGTTTCGGGGATATGGTGGTTTATACCAATAGCTTATCAACATTTTGCCTTTATTAGCTTTGCCATCACACATAGAATGATAAATAGACGCGTTCAAGTTTACATTTAATGTTTTCTTCAATATTCGTGATTGTCTTACACAAAGTGCGACATTCACCTGCTTTCCTTTAAATTAAGAAAGAATTTCTACGTTAATTCTTATATAAATGTCTAACACAAAATGCGACATTCACGTACTTTCCTTACAATTCAGAAGGGATTTTTATGTTAATTCTTACATAAATGTCTTATACAAAGTGCGACATTCACCTACTTTCCTTAAATTAAGTCGAGATTTCTATTATAAATATTACATGATTGTCTTACTTAAAATGCGACATTCACGTGCTTTCCTTAAAATTAAACCGATATTTATATTTTAAATCTTTAAATTACTTTCTTATCCAAAGTGCGGCATTCATATGTTTTATTTATTTACCTATATACGAAGTAGTAATGTGGCCGAGTCGCCAAACCTCTTGTTAATGCCTTACAAAAAGTACGAGATTTATATATTTAGAATAAAGTAAGAACATTATAAAAATGTCTTATAGCCAGCGTAAAGTATAACATTTATATAGCCTTCTCTAGGACTTAAGCATAAGGCAAAATAGTTATGTTACATATGTTATCGAATCTTGATGGTACTAATCTTCAGAGCTGCTTCAGTACTAAAAATAAGGATACGGCGACCTTAATATAAATCCCGCAGACATGGATATCGATGTCGAGCTGGACGAGATTATAGATGTAGTTTAGGTCCTGTAGGCTGTTAGACAAGACAATAGATATGCTCTGGAATACTACTATAGGTACATTAACTAAGGAAATAAGCTCCACAGGGCGGAGATTGATGCTAACTATAGTCTGACAGATAATATTGTCCTCCTATTTAATATAACAAAGGGTTTCTAGCATCAGTAACCGGTGGGTGTATGAACTATATGATCCTCATGTACAGTTCATTCTGTATCACAGTATCACTAATCAATCTCCATTATAGATACTCTATGTATGTACAAAAGCCCCTAAATGATGGACTAAAAGTTTATTATGTTTAATGGTAGATAGAAAATTGGATAGGAAACGTTGTTGATGTTAGTGGACTTTCAAATCCAATCCAATTTGAAAAAAAGCTTTTGGGAAAAGAAATTTCCTCTCTATGTTCAACTTATTTCACAATCTCCTGAGAGACACCCACACTAGAAACCACAAGCCTTGTTAACCTGTATTTAGTAGAACTAAAATTAGAGCCGAGCCTTTCTCCCGGGTTATACCTACCTAAGGAAGCCTTGCTTCGGAATTGTCCCTAGTGTGGCTCAAGGTTTCTTTGTTGTAGAATCCTCCTACAATCTGCGAAATAAATTATTAGCTGAAGGTACCTGGACCCTTAAAGTAGGCCTCTATACTTTGCTTTTTATAGCTTCCCATGAGTTCAGACATAGATTCCGAAATACACCTCCTATACAGCCCTCTGTATCTCTGTATCCACAATACTAAATAAAGCAAACAAGCTGTCATCGAACCACTAGATATGTATTTAAATTCACAATACGTCCACTTACTGTAGTCTATAGCTCATTGCGGTCCATCATCCGTAATGGAATTAAACTCCCGTCGCGAACTAGGCATGCCCTTGAAAAACGACATTGTCTCGACCGGAGCCCGTGTAAAGAGGTCACGTCCTTGGGTTATTCGAATTCCATTAATTAGCCCTCATAGTGTTACGGTCAACATGACTTTAGGTGAAGTCAGTATCTGATCAGGACAGAAGAAGTAGACATCCATATATCAAATCCAAATATGTTTAGTCCAACGTGTTGGGCTGCCCGGCGGGCAACTTCGTAACATCCTTCGGTCCTACCATAAACTATAGATGGAAGTCTCACTAGCCAGATCTAGAACGCAAAATATGTTGGCAGGAGATAAATTGGATCAAGACCGTTCATGTCAAATAAAATGGTGGTATGAAAAAAAATTATAGCTAAAGGGGTATTGGGCAATATGGGTTTTGGTAATCAGACTTAACCGAAAAGTTACACGATTTGTACTTTCGCCAAAGGACCGTCACTCCACCGTGGAAAAAGTCGAGATTCCATCCATTAGCTTTCCCAGCTCCTATGCCGACTATCCTGAATTTGTATTATCTGACGGATTGTTTATTGATGGTACATTCGAGCCTATGGACTCTGATGGTCTGGAAGGCCCCGAACAATATATCAAGGGCGTATTTTACCCCGTCCATCTCGGAGATTTTCTTAGACAAAGCAATCGATACAAGGTTCTCAACAAGCTCCGGCACGGAGGGCTTGCAACAGTATGGATTGTAACAGTATGGTTCTGTCGTGATCTTGAGACAAAGACTTATGTGGTTTTGAAATTTTTGATCGCAGGCGTATCTAACCCAGATTGTGCCGAATTCAAATTAATAAAACAGGCTTGGGATATCAAACAATTCGGAGGCAATCAGATTGCTTTGCCGTCCAACTATTTCTAGGTCGATGGCCCAAATGGGCGCCATATTTGTTTGTTACCCCCTGTCTAGGTCCTCAAGTTTCTGATATCTAGAATACTTTTGATGATCCTGGGACACTCTCGAGACACATTGCCCTTTAGGTCGTTAATGGAGACTTAACGTACTCCAACCTGTCACTTAGGACAACACCAACCGTGCCTACTTCATACATATGTTACGCTGCACACTATACTATGGCCTTTGCTTTCTTCATCCCTTTGGAACTTCGCCCCGCAGCAATAGAACCCTAATACTACAGCTATACGTCTCTAATTGGCCTCGGTCTTTGAAAACACCAATTGAAATCATCCATATTAAAATACGCTGCAACCAAATATTAGGAATATTGATTTAATCTTATAAAGTCTTTATTCATATCTATGCTAAATCCACATTGTGCAAAGCATACCTTACGGTGCTAACACCAGAAACACTGCTACTATAATTCTGCTTTATCTCTTGCTCTTCTTCTTCACGCTTTCTACCAAGCTGCTTAACTCGCCTTTTGCACCCTCGACTTTTCTCTTCTTTGCCTTACTATTGACATCCTCCCCGTCTCCCTCAACATGTCTCTTCTTCCTACCCTCTTCAAGCAACTTCTTCATCCCCTCAGTCCCTTTATACTTCGGGTTAGAAGGATCAATAGCAAACTCATGATGCCCAAACAGCCTGCCAGCAAATCGCTCATCTGCAACGTCCATCTCGAAATTCTCCTGTAAACCACCCCTCTTGCTCCCCGCCTCCTTCTTGCCCTTCCCTTTCTTGCCCTTCTTCGCCTGTTTCTCAGCACGAGCAATCTCATTGATATCGAAATGATCTAATCGCTCTGCAGCTTCCGCAGTGTTGTCTTGCATGAGTAGCTCAAGCTCGGCACGCTGCGAGGCTTTAGCCGCGGCTTCTGCTTCTTTGGCTTCACGCTTCTTGAGCCTCTCTTCCTTGCGCAAAGTTTTCGATGCCTTCTCTTTCACCACTTCGTCAGTGGCGAAAAAGGGATCATCAAAGCCAAGGTCTTCTTTCTCCTTCTCCTCACCAGAAGCGCCATCAGCAACTTCTGCAGGGGCGGCATTAGGATCCCGACCCTCGCGTCGAGCTTTTGCCATCTCCTTTCTTCGCGCTTTTCGCTCACGCTCTTTACGCACGTATTTTTCAGCTGTCGTCTCTTCGATTATCGGTTCGTTTTCGAAGACGCCCTCATTCCCATTGGTGGATAGACCGGCGGTGAAGGTTATTTCCATGTCGCCAACAGGACCAGACTTTTTCTTTCTCAATGAGGGCTCATCCGAAAGACCAAGAGCTACCCGCAATTTTTGCCTTTCTAACTCCTTCTTTGATAATTTTGGCTCAGCGGCGTTCTCAGCGACTTCGGCCTGTTGCTCTTCCTCTTCATCGTCCTCAGAGTCACTCCCTAGATAAGCTCGTAGGTCGTTCTCCCCTATTTCTGCCCGGCTCCCAGTGAATGCACGTTTGATAGCATCCTTCCTTTGCATTTCTTCCGGATCCATATCCCATGTCAACTTGACTTTCGAGTGTTGTAGAGCATCAGTGACGAATTCTGTAGGACGATATCCAGATGGGACACTGTCGCATTCATCGCGGGCCTTGTCATCAAATTCGACGCCATCAGGAATAAAGCGCAAATCGAAAAAATTTGCGGAGGATAAGTATTCCGTGCCGTCGGTTGATTCGTAGATTTTTTGGGCTGTATCGTGGTCTGAACAGATTACGACTGCATAGTAATATCGTAATCTTTCGAGCTGGTATTGCCGTAATGCTGCGCTGTTGAATTCTTGTCCTTCATCTGCCTTTTGAAGGTCCTTCTTGATCTTCTCCTCTAGCTCCTCATCATCCTCCCCTTCCTGGTCGTCGTCCTCGCTATCCTCCGAGTCCTCATCTAGACTCTCCTGATCTGCCTGGTTACTCGTGAAGATTTCCCTGGGAGGCCCATCAAGCTCTTCCCGTTCCATTCGCTCTTTGCCAAATTCGCTGGGGTATATTGAGATCTTATGGATTTTACCGCCGACTGGAACAAAGCTCGAAAACACGGCCATGAGATCAATTGATCGGATATTGTCCCAATCCAAATTGACCACAGCTACTCTTGAGGATATTTCACCCATTTCCACAGCAGCTTGCTCAGCTTGCATATCTGGAAACGCAGCCTCTTCAATTTCAACACCACCATCTTCTTCATCATCGTCGTCGTCCTCATCCTCAGACGACGAAAATCCTCCTCCTCTAGCAGGGTCATATGCGCTATCTGCATTGCCCAATTCCTTCTGAATAACATCGTCATCCTCAACCTCGACATCTACCTCTCCTTCGCCGTCTTGCTCCTCCTCATCAGGCACATATAACCTCTCTAAAGCCTTTTTCTTGCCCGCACTACTCAATTTTCGCCCATAACGATCGACCCTCGCTGTATTCGAGAAATCTTCATCCTTTAGCATGCGCGAGAATCGTTTATCGACTTTTGTCCTCGTGTGCTTCTTAGAAGGGAGGCGGAATCGGGGATCGGTCGTGAAGTTGGAGAATCGAGGGTCATTGATGTCTGTCTCTGTAGATACAGCTGTTGAGGCAGCGCCTTTTGGTGCTTTTTGTTTTTGTTTCGGCATATCTGGCGGGTGGCTGGTTATTGTTATGGAGGAATCGCTAGGAGGGGACGCTGTAGCTGTTAAAAATGAATTTCACTGTTTCTGAGAGGGAACTTTTTTCTGCCATGACCCAAGGCGGTGTGGCTGAAATCGTGTGGTTAGTCATCCTCGGTTAAACACGACCCCTCCCCCTATTCCGTCTCACGACTTGCCCGAAACAAGTCTGAACTTGTACAACACAATCTCAGCCTCACAGCCAAGTGGGCTTTCATATATCACCTGTGTTCCACATTCTTCATGTTTAAAATTTCTCATCATGATTGTTTTATTTTGTATTCTTATTGATGAAGTCCATCCAAAGTTCACGCTTGTTATCTCTCTGTACCCCCTAGAGCCCCATCATCTGTATCTTTTCCTCACCACCTGGGATATGCCGAGTGGTCACGTCTCCAACGGTAACCCGCTGCATGATGATTATAGGCGTGATCCATCCAGCCCGGAACCTGGCGCTGTCTCCATCGTTCCATCGGAGTACGATGCGGTCTACGATTTTGGTGCATGCGCTGCGTGTATTCTCTGGTTCCATAGTTGCGCCGCCCGTTCCAGCCCCATACATTGTTGCTCCTACCATGAAACCAGTCTTCCACCGGCATTTTGAAGTACGATGCAATCGGATTGATTCCTTTCTGCTATTGAGATGTTGCCTTTTGCTACAAGAGATATGTAGTGCTTAACTATTGATTGATTGTGCAAACTGAGGTTGGCAGTTAAAACAATGGCGATTTGATAACCAAAATGGAAGAAAGGGAGGAAGGGAAGTTCCACCCTCTGCAAGATTAATTTATAGCAGCACCTATGGAATTATTATTCAGATGGGGCCACTATCTACTTTACATTCACAATCGTATCGCTTGTGCCATTCATAAACTCAGGCTCTGGTGTGATTGGAAGCATTCTTTTGGGCAAGCTCAGGCTTATATTATGGTTATTGTACTAAACCCATCTAAATATCACGATATGGCATTTCGTCCTCCTATTCTTTGTTAAAGTTATTTCGTAGGCCCACCTGCCTTGCTCCTGCGGCTAAGGATATGACTACTAGCTACCTACTCTATTGGGGAGGTGGGTAGGAGCGCGCAGACGATGTGACTGATATATCCAGTCTTTAATGCGGGTCCTTGCCGATCCCTCTATTCCCCTATCACGTATGTGAGAAATCCGACGTTGAGGTCCGCTAGGGTTGCGCCTTCCGTATAGTCCGTATAATGCAGCTGAGTGTGGCTGCCCAGCCTGGCCCAAAGGAGGGTAGTAGTAATCCCGCCGATTGCTAAAGAGGTGGTTCTGGAACCAGGGTATGATAGCTCTTTTATAACTTTCAGTTGGATTTCGTTTGTTTATTATTGTGGTTTCCGACATTCGATAGCTAGGAATAGGGTAGATGGTATGCCTGTTGAGCTATAGTGGAGATTTTCAGTGGCAAAATTGAAGTCTTGTTAGATAGTGCGAAGCAGATTGACGGAGGGGCGGAAGGAAGGAAGAGATTACCTTGCCAGGTTTCTCTATATAAAGACTATATTTATGTTATTCAGAGAGAGCACATTACGACTTTTTATTAGAACCAACAAACTACACCTACTCCACATACGCAAACTTATTTCATGGTATTCATGCAAGATTCTGTGGTATTAGAGATTCCCCTTATGAGAAAGTTTTTAACCTGTGGCGCAATGTTCACAGTCAAATGCCAGTGTGCTTATGGGGCGGCCTGTTATTGTAAACAAGCCTTAAATGTGTTCATACTAAAATGCTTCCAAATATGACCCATTGCCTTTCCCTTCCTAGAACTTGCCCTTCTTATAGGCATGCCTCTTAGATATGTTTCCAACATCATGATGATTGGCCATCCGCCATACCAGTAACTCTCGGCTGGCCGTTCATAGTGATTGTACGGACGCCTCTAGTACTAATAGGCTAATGCGCGAGATTTGTTCGATTGCTGCACCCAGGTGTCAATGCTGTTTTATCGATTTCTCTGTACTTCTTCGTCATCAACATGACGAACCCGCCATTCATGTAATAGTTCAGAAGGGTCCCGCACCCCGTAGAGGTCGTATATAGCAGCTGAGTATTGCTGACCTTGTCCTCAGACCCGACCTTGTGAAGGCGGGCAATAGTAGTCTCGATTATTGCGGAAGGGTCTTGAAACTAGGGCATGGTTGAACCTTCAAGTCTCTTCTAGCTGACTTCTGCTTTTACGCTGGGTGTATATTGTGTAGGTGATAACTCCTGCACGTTCTACTTTGAAGGTGCTATGTAGAGCGACGTTGGAAGTGATGGAGGGGCACCGGACAATTGCAGCCCGGTGAAATTTATATTAACTAGGGAATCGTGATCTGGAAAGCAGTTTTTAATATATTGCTTCCTGCGGTGCATAGCCTCCTTCCTCAGCATACTCGCACGATGCAGAGATCGAATTTTGTGTTATTGGGGAATATGTCTTTAAGGAAAAGAACTATTTCCACAGTTTTCATATTATGCAAGACCTACATTTGCCAAAATTTGAAAAGTTTCTTGAGGTCTCTTTATGTTTCGATGATGCGGTTTGTTGTGTCGATTTGGTTCTCAAGCTTAATTTTGCATACTCTTCTAAACACGAGTTATTGCTCGCACCAAGCACCATTTTATATTCGTTTACCTAGACGCTCAACAGCCCCCTTAAATTTCTATGTCCTACGATAGATTATGGCAGGTTTGTAGCGGACTCCGGAGAACAAATGATCCCAGTGGTGGAGTCGAGGGCTTTGGAGGCATTTAACACTGCGAATCTTGCTGACGATGTGCTAGATCTTTTCTTCTGAGTACTTGAATAGTTGGGACTAGGATAGGCATGGGCATGGGGTGAGCGTACTGGAAGAAGCTAAATCTAACTATCCAGGGAGTGAAAGAGGTTACCCTTCCAAGCTAACATGGCTAGTGAATTTAAGGTGTTGCGGAATGATGAAGCTAGTCCTTATGTCAATAGATGTCAGATCACCCAAAGGAGGAATTGGCGAGTTATATTGGGGCTGGAGCTGGAGATTTATTAATAATGAGATATATTTAGGGGCTTGCTGATAGTTGGTTTGTTGATTCTGTCACAAGTACAAGTGCCCTTCCCTAAACAGCACTACCGCACTTTCCGTTAATACATGTCAGATCATCACTGCAATCATCTTCCGAGGAACAAGAAACGCCTATTCAAAGTTAGGTTAGCAACCTATCATTTTCATCTTGGTATCGCGCCATATAGCGGGGGAAATAACCTACCAGAACAGTGCCCAGTCCACGAGCACGAAGCAGGTTTTGGTGATAGGGTTTTCACGCTGCGCGTGGTCGACGTAGGTCTCGGGACCTTTTTTAATGTCGTAACACCCGTTGATGGCGCTGGGCCTGCAACCCCGATTCGATTTACCAATTTATCACCGAAGGTCTTAATGCTACTTTGGAACTCCTCGGCGGAGGCGGCGTTCCATTTTGCACCTTTTGCACCCGGAACGGCATCGGGGCCTGTGAATGCAATGTAAAGGACATCGGTCTCGTCATGACCGCTATTTCCGTTGACGCTATTTCCAAAGCACAGGGTGGCCATAGAAATCGAAGCCTCACCGATCACAGCTTTGGGGCCATCATCACCATTCTCGTCACCCCAGATGCCATAAAACTAAGGACCCGTCAGCCTTGAGCTCATGTACAGGAGGCGGAGTTGGCTAAATATTTGTACTTACCATTTTCCCCCCACAGACCACGGCCATAAGACTCAAGGGCTCAATTCCATTGGCCCTCGGATCATAGTTGGTAAATCCAGCCTTGGAGCCTACGTTTCCGAACACAACGTAGGGATGGACGAAAGCGTTAAGATCCTTGACTCCTGAGACTCCATACCCGGCAATTTTATCCTTGAATGAAGTCTGACTCTGTGTATCCCCTGAGGAACCACATCGACCATCATCTCCAGGTCCTCCCTGGAGCCCATCACAATCGATGTCCATATCTGCCAATGCCCCACCAGTGCCTTGGATATACACGACTTTATAGTCATCGAGATGGTCTCCGCAATAAGAGAATGCTGTCATGGTCAGTTTCTACCTTTCTAAATGATTTCAGAAATTTCCTTTACATACTGTTCGGTCCATCATTGTGGGCGTAAAAGCCAGTTTGAAGCGCGTTCTTACACGAACCGGCGGCCTTGACGCCGTCATAAAACGTCTTCACATTGCTCGGGACATCGAATGCAGAACAACTATGTAACGAGAGAAACACAGCAATAATGGCTGAGGTGTAGGTATGCATATTGAACTGCTTTGCTCGAGGATAAAGGAGAGACGGTTAACAAATGATGGGGCAATGAGCGTGATGGAGCCTGGCGGTCCTTTAAATAATTTACTTGATTGTCCATCCCAGGGACCTACGGTATATATATAATCCTCGTCCTTCGGCCACAGCGTACGGAACCTACGGAGAGTAAGGAAACCCGTGCGGGAGCTTGGCCAAATTCCGCAGGTGTGAAGGGTACAGTGGCAATCCTGTCAGCATATTAAAGTGGCAAACGTTCCACTACAAGCCCGTTTCCACAGATTCCACAGCAAGTATACATGTGATAGGCGCATAGGAAGGATCAGGATCAGTTGCGGTTGGGATTCGAGGCAACGGGACCGACAGGGAGGTGAAGGTCCTAAATCTGCGTTTCCCCAATCAAGGATAGAGTAGTCGAGGTTGGTAATTTCCACGAGTTGTTTCAAGTTGTTTGAACTTCCCCACGAAGGATTTTAGCGGGGCGCAGGGGAACCTTCTAAGAAACAAACAAGAGTAGTGTCTATAATTAAGCATATAATATCGTCGAGAAGTACAGTCAGCACAGATCAGATGCCCGAAAACAACATCTCTTTCGAGTTGCGCGACCATAAAGAAGCACGATCCTCCTGCTAGATTGGGTCGACATCGACTGCACTGCACACGCTTCTCACCTCCGGCGGCCAGTACAACGGAGTGTCTCCAGCTATGAGGCATAAATAGGACGATCGTACTTCGTATTGCGGCACTAGAAAGGGAAACAGGGCAAGCATGATCTCGAGGCTATGTCTCTGGAGTTTGGGTTGTGGTGAGGAAATGGTTCGTTGACGGTGCGAAGATGCGCCGAGTACCTAGGTACTGTAGCCTAGGCTACTCCTGCTACATCCGCCGATCGAGACGAGGGATAGCAAAAGAGACGACGAAATATCATATCCACTCCATCCGTTACCCAGCACATAGCCTTTGACGCTTCCAAAAGCCTGAGAAGCTGACTAGATGTGATGGCGGTTCGAGTTGTTACTGCGAAGTCCAGAGTCCGGTATCAGAAAATGCCTTCCTGGTCCCTCGGCCAGTCGGCCAGTCGGTCCCCGCCCGTGTGTCGCCCGATGCCTCGGCAACTTCCCCACGTCTCTGTTTATTAGTATAAACTTGAGCCTCGCCCGACTTGCCACTCTACTTTCCACATCCACTCTCTGCATTCCTCTCCCTCTTGAACATATCACACCATCTCAATCCCAATCCCAATCTCTTCAAAATGGCAGGTGAACGTCTCAGCTCGATCCTCAAGCACTTGACTCCCGGCTCGTCCGGCGTGAATGCAATGTAAGTGATCTCTGCGACGCCGCTCAAGGAAAGGCACATGCTAAATCAGAGGTCTCCAGCACTTCCAAGAATGCCGACGATATTGTTATTACTCTCGCCATCCGGACGCCCTTAACCAAAGCCTTCAAGGGAGGATTCAAGGACACGCAGCTGGACTTTTTGGCCTACTCCCTGCTGCAGAAGGTGATCGAGAAATCGAATATCGACCCCAAACTAGTCGAAGATATTTGCTGTGGAAATGTAAGCCTCTTGATCCCGGCCTTGAATTACAATTCTAACAGCTGTGTTGGCAGGTGTCCGATGGTAAATCTGCATATCTCGTCCGAGCAGCGGCTCTTGCAGCCGGCTTCCCAAATACCACCGCTGCCTCGACCGTGAACCGCTTCTGCTCCTCCGGCCTGAAAGCTACCCAAGATATCGCGAACCAAATCTCATCCGGCAATATCGATATTGGCATTGCCATGGGCGCTGAAATGATGTCCGCCGGTGGCGACCGTCTCGAGCTACCTTTCCACCCAGATGTCCTCAAGAACCAAGAGGCGGCAGATTGCATGCAGCCTATGGGACAGACATCCGAGAACGTGGGCAAGGATTTCAACATCCCCCGAGAACAACAAGACAGATTCGCCGCCGAGAGCTACCAGCGCGCAGAGAGAGCCCAGAAAGCTGGGTGGTTCGACGACGAGATAGTACCTATCACCACTGAAGTTAAGGACCCAAAGACCGGCGAGGTGAAGAGGGTTACTTTGACGAAGGATGAGGGTGTGCGATATGGAACCACATTCGAGTCATTGAGCAAGATCCGACCCGCATTCCCAGATTTTGGCGATAAGTCCACCGGTGGCAACTCCAGCCAGGTCACAGATGGAGCCGCCGCAGTTCTCCTAATGCGTCGCTCCCGCGCTATCGAGCTCGGCCAGCCCATCCTAGCCAAATACGTGGGCGCCACCGTCGCCGGCCTCGCTCCACGCATCATGGGAATCGGCCCCTCAATTGCTATTCCTAAACTCCTCTCCAAATACAACATCACCATCGATGACATCGACGTTATCGAAGTCAATGAGGCATTTGCATCAATGGCTGTGTACTGCAAGGATACTCTAAAGCTGCCACACGAGAAGATGAACCCTCGCGGCGGTGCTATTGCGCTTGGCCATCCGCTCGGTGCCACAGGTACGAGACAGATTGTTACAGGGCTGAGTGAGTGCAGGAGGCAGAAGAAGAAGATCCTTTTGACAAGTATGTGTATTGGAACTGGGCAGGGCATGGCTGGGCTGTTTGTCAATGAGCAGTTGTGAACTAAAAAATTACGGTGTACTATATAATGATTAGTTGACGTGAGATGTGTAGAGTGGCATTATGAATAGGATTACCAAAAAAAATGGAAGTACGTTATCAATCAGTTGCTCTATTAAATCGGCCTCTAAAGATGGGCTTAAGTTTGGATAGCCCTCTTCTCCTGTCCATCATCCCCCAGGCGCCGACTATTTAGAAGCCTATATATCGTTAAAGGTACCAGGCCACCCTTGCTGAGAACCCAAACCACCGATTATAAAGCTTGGTGTAGAGCATCTCAAAAATTACAACTTATTCTCAAGAATCAGTTATTATATTCAAGACACCGAGAGAGACTAGGTTCCTAGGGACTGATCTTTAAAAAACTGACGTTCTGGTGAGGTTGGGATAACGTCCGACTTTGTAATAGACAAACTTGAACGGTTAAGCCACGAAATACTGGCAAAATAATCAATTTATGTGTTAGCTTGCTCCTAATAGCGCTTCTATAGGGGTGGGACTAAGCACATAGTAGACTGTAACGTTGTTGTATTGAGCTAGGCAACATGCTTCATCCCCCCGAAGGTCGCAAGGTAGATATTCTAGCACCTCTGTTACTGACAGCGCCAATAACAAGGACTAATTTAAGAACATGATACAGGATACCTTGGGTGCGCAACCTAAAGCTACATTCATTTTTTCCGAAAGCAACTATCTAATATACAGACTGCGACAACTAAACTATACATACTCCAACAATGCTCCCCATCAATCAATTGTTTCAAATAGGCATTGAAACCCCCACCAGATCTCCATAATCTCGCTCAATTTTCAATTTATAGCCATCGCTTGACACGCAATGGACCGACCCGCATAAACTTGAGACAACTCCCCCCATTTCGTCATAAAATCATCAAGTAATCGTACAATCACACCATATCCCCGCACAATAATCACTCGCGGAAAGTTGATGGTGTGGATTTTGGATTAGCCACAATTTCACTTTGAGGTTCCTTCTGTGGCATTTCAGTAGGTTGATTCGCAGGGCTTTGGACACTGGTTGGTTGGATACATAGTCTGGTTCGACATCAGATCGATACCCATCGCCTTCGCTTTATTGCGAATCCACTCCATATTTGCCGAGTTTGCCATGGCTTGTTGTTCCTGATCTCTTCTCGTGCGTTCCGCACCAAGCATCAGCATATTTTTTTCGAAAGCTAAAATGGCGCGGATCGTGGCTGGAGAAGCGGTAATTGGTCTAGCTAACACCGTTGTTGGTGTTGGCTGGGGCTTTGGATCGTTGACTGATCGATTAACAAGAGTAGGTGGCGGGATATGCTGCCGCGATATATGAAAGCATATGTCGTGTTCTCTAAGGTCGAGGGACGGGTCCATGAAATCACGGCAAACTTTGCGCTGACGGATATGCGTGGAATCATAGTGGGCCCAAAGAAGATCCATGCTATTGAAGAACTTATCGCACTTATTACATTCATACCGATGTGCAACTTGGTGATGCTCCTCGAGGTCTTTCAATGCGTGGAAACCAGCAAGACCAGCGACACAGGAGAAGAGGTGGCCGGGATGGAGGTGCTCCTGCAGTAGACTTGCCGAGCTAAATATCTGATCGCACTTGGTGCATTTGAATTCGTGCCACTGACTTGTGTGGTCTATGAGGGCTTCGGAGCTTTTGAATGTACCAGTGCATTTCTCGCATGCCAATTCGTGCTTGCCTTTCAGGTGTTGAAGATAGTTTGTAAGGGAGGTCGAGATTGTTGGACATTCCGAACACTTGATCTGGTGCATATCAGCCTTATGTTGCTCAAGACCCGCATCATCGTAAAATTGGCACCGGCATAGGCCGCACTCCAAACTCAGCACTGGAGCTTGAAAGCCAAGCTTCTGGCGGAGGAAATCATTCAAGTATGGCTGATGACCTTTGACCGAACAGTGACTATCCAAAGCCGCCATGCTAGAGAAAGTACGGTGGCAGTTGTCACAAACTAACTCTATTTGGGACGGGGGATGCTCAGAAGCTGTATGCTTCTCCAAGGCACCTGCACTGTCGAACAAGTCGCCGCAATCAATACATATTGAGGCAGGCTTATGACGCTTGTCCCAACAGTGATTGTCCAAAGCTGCCTTGCTAGCGCAAGTACGCGGGCAATGGTAACAAAAGTACTCCATACTGCACATAGAAAGCGTTAGCATAACGCCAGGGGTCGAGCTAACACTGCCTATATAGGAAACATACTTGCCTGTCAAGATCAGCACAAACCAAGGGTGCTTGAGGAGGAGTTGTTGGTGACGAGGAAAGGGATGTCGAAGGTGAGTGAGAGTAGCCCCGTTCAGGCTGGTAGATGGCGGATCGTGACAGAATAAGCTGCCGCCCTCTGTTTGACGCGTCGCGTCACGACTGTTTGACAGAAAGGAGATGGAAAGGGGAGGAGATCAACATAGAAGGGGGGAATGAAGGACTTGGATCTCGCTCTGAGAGATCGACTGCCCAGCAGGCTGTTTGGGGTTGCTAGTCCGAAAATCAGATCGAAGAAGAGCAGGGCATTGTAGAAGTTGAGCAGGAGAAAAGAAGTTGATGAGGCTAAAGTTTTACATCTCGTCAATCCACCACCGCCCAGTTCAGAATGGAAATCCGAGGCATTAAAGTCCAGCAGTAAAACAAATAGAAGGTTCACACCGCTGTAAGAAGCCCATGACCGTCAGGGCTCTTCGCCGCTCTGCCAAAGGCTCCTTCCTGGGACAATTAAACCCCTCCCGGTTCTTACCTATCTGCGTTTTCGAACGAGCAGAATTAATCGATCCCAATATCAAACACAAACAGGCACACAAATATGATATTGCCATCCGTCCCACCTTTTGGATCCGATTTCGCAAGACATCCAGCTGTTCAGAGCCGTGGAGGAGGAGTCCTGGTCACAAGCTTGCCACTAAAGCTTATCCGAAGTATCAAACGGCACTGCTAACCCTTACTTAAGAGCCAAGAGACGGGCCCAGCAAAGTCAAGCCCACCTTGCCCGCCACTGGCTTTAGTATTCGACTCTGACTGAAATGCGGGCAACATCAGCACTGGCCGATATCTACTGCATCGTCCTGGCAAAACCAACAATACGGCTCGTGTGATTCGTTGCGTCTGTAAACCGTCAAGGATGGTAGGAACATGTCCCAGTTGGAGGCTGCAGCTCTAGACTTCACAAGCGGCTGGACCAGAGAGGTAGTGAGAACCGACTCCTGGGGGCCAGATGGCATATCTTGCCTGCTGAGCCACGTGGGAAACAACTTCATTGTGGTAGAGAGTTGAGGGATTGGCGAGGGAACTCAGCCCATGATCGATCTCGATGTCATAGCTGAGGGTAAAAAACATTATATACATACCTTGGGTACCTGCTTGCCTCTTGTTCTCGAAGCATCAGAGACAATCTGACCAGAGGTTATATACAATCCGGCCGGGTATAGGATTCGAAAAAGGCTAATTATTGCGAATCACAACTCGCCGCTGCCTCCGCCCCGTCTCCGGCTCCTGGATAGTGCTGGCTGTTGAAAGAAAGAATAGCCTCGAAGTTCCAACAGCCCACCCGGCACCAGGAAGTTGAAGCAACCCAGACATGGCGCCGGGACGGGACCCGTGAAACGGGCTTGATCTAGCAGATCTACCAAATCTTGATCCCTTCGTACATTTTACTACTTATTATTCCAAAGGCAGTTAGCAGCAGCCCGTATTCAACTCAGGAGCCGCGCCCCACGACGCCACCCCAAGCCGCGCCCCACGATGTTCACGGCATATAACCATGGCCTAAGTGTGCAAACAAAGTTCTCCTTACCAGGCACTAGCCCAGTGAATTTGGGGCGCTAGGAGCGGAAGCTAGTGCAGGCGACGTGAGCCACAATACGAAGTAAGGGGTGAGAGTGGAGCCCTGGAGCTCTAAGAGAACGTCGGGGCGGGATGCGCCGTACAGGGTCAGATGGGAGCCATATCAACTGCAACGTATCAATAGTATCAACGCTGACAACCTTTGAGGCGTCGAACAAGCGATGAGAATGCTTGCTAACCCATGGCCCAGACCTGGCGGCGGTGAGCCGATCATCTCCGCTACACCAGATACCAAGCAAGAGTATTCCCAGGGGTTGGACGCAAGCATTAAAATATGTGGCCTGCGGGGGAGATATCTCTCTTGTTTATTCTATTGTCGGCTAGCCCACTGAACTTGGCGGTCCTGGAAAACAACCTTCTTGTTTATCTTTGCCAGTAAGCGCAGATTGGAGCAAGCCATGGGTTGGCTCGATGTTGTGACCTCGCTCGTCGGGGACTCGGGGGTATGATTTCTCAATATTTTCGCCAAAACCTCCCTTTGACCATTCCTGCCGCCCAAGCTCTCGGTATTGTTTGACTGATTTCATAGGTGAATGACACGGCATTTCTATTCAGCCTTAATATGGCTTCATTTATATAGCTGACATGCTGCGGGCTTAAGCGTTATTGGAAGGTGTTGCGGTCATCGTCAAGATGCACTCGACTCGACTTTCCTGCATGTCGAAGATCTCTAAAATCTCAACTTCGAAGCTATCGCATCCCACTACCACCTCACCCTTCGTCCAGCCAACTAAAGCCGTGACCATGTACCTGGTACATGCACCGCAAAACTAAAAACTTATTCGGCCCTTGGCAAGATGTTATCACCAAATTATGATGTACGTACCTCGTATGTAAAGTGCTTATTCAAGTATACGGAGCAGAGTCTACGCCTACTGGTTGTGATTATGGGATTTGCGCTATAAGGGGCTCGGTGCAGAGCGCTATACTACCACATGTAACCACGCGGGAGGCAGACAAGACAGTCCCACATTCTCCACAGCGCAGATGGCGACCATTTCCACGTTTTAGGGATCAGAGATAGACAATTACGCCCATTAGTGCAAGATGGCAGCTAGCTAGTCCGGAAGAACGGGGTACTTCGTATGTCTACCTCATATCTAATATCACGAAGTAAGGAGAAATATGATCCGGTGGAACTAGTCAAGCAATGTGGCCCTAAAATAACATAACAGACACCTACCATTTTTGTTTGGCTGTTTTCCGGCTCAGCAGCACCTTCACAAAGTCTCTAGCACAAATATATTTATACTTCCAATTCCTGGGCTCAATGATTCAAATGGAACTCTGTATACGGATTAATATGTCTCGGACGGAGCAGGGTAAAATCCGGTTTAGCGGGGTAAGGGTAAAGAGGCGGGTTGATGATCCACGAACCAGCAAAACCACCCCACAACGCAACCCCAAGTCATGGACAGGTGTAACTGGAAACGCCCAGTACAATGCATAGCACCTAGCACGGCAGGTACAAGATGACAAGATGATAGGGTATGCTGGAAACACTCCCGCACCTCGCACCCAATGGAAGCTCGCCGTCTAATCAAGTCTCTTATTATTTTGTGTAAATATCAAATCTTCAATGCTGGGCATTTCTGGGCATTTGTGAAGCCTGCGTTGCCCGGAAATATCCCTTCAGCCTTCACATCACAACATGGGGCCTGAGCCGCCTGACGTGGGCCTCCAGCGAGATCTGGATTTTATTTAACAAACGGAAATCCTTCTGCCAATTATTGCTCAAGTTTTGAGAAGACTGACACCATCCTCCCCTCGCCACAATTACCACCAACGATATTCGACAACATCTGGGGCTGTCTAGAATCCATCCAAGCCTTTGACGATACCACCACGATAGCGTTCTACCATGGCTGCCGGGAAAAGCCGTACAGCAGTGATTTCCGCAAATCCTCTGAAGCTCGACGTCAGGAGTCATTGGCAATGCCTCACTATCTGCTTTTTTATGACCCTCTCCACTTTTCAATACGGTCTTGATTATGCACTCATTGGCGGCTTTCTCTCGTATAGCACCACTATCTACTAAACATCACTATACTAAATTGGCTAACGAAATAAATTAGCATGCCAGGCTTCCTTGAAGTCTACGGGTATTATGACCCCAAGTTAAAAAAGTGGAATATTGATGTATGTTCTATAACCCCATGAACCGAATCCTAGGCTTCAGGGCACTGGCGCTAACAGTTGTCCTTATCAAAGGCAACTGTTCAACAACTTATGTCTTCGTTCGTCACAATTGGGACCTTCGTTGGCTCTCTGTTGGTCGGCCCAATCAGCTCAAGATTTGGCCGGAAGCATGGTTTATGGGCGGCATCCATCCTCAACGCGATTGCCGCTATAATCATGATTAGTACCACGAATCTAGGAGCAATGTATGCAGCACGACTTATTCTAGGTGAGTTTATTCTCTAGGTAGAGCGAGGCAACAAATGTCTTGTTAACGTTTTGTTTCCAGGTGTCGCTGTAGGCTGGTTCTTTACCTTCGCTCAAATGTACATCCACGAATGTGCACCGGCTCATCTTCGTGGCTTGGTGTTCAGTCTTTACCAAGTCATGTTGTGTGTAGGGTCCATTACTGGGGCCAGTATTGACCTTGGAACTCACCAAATGAAAGGCAGGAAGGCCTATCAGATTCCTCTTGCGATGTTCTTTATCGCCCCAACTATTCAATCAATCGCGAGTATATGGGCACCCGAGAGCCCTCGGTGGTTGATGTCTCAGGGCAGAGATGAGGAGAGCGAGAAAGCATTGAGAACGTTGAGAGGTAAGGCTATCGATGAGCATCAGTTCCAGGCCGAATTGAGCGAGATCAGGGAATCCACCAAGGAACAAGTGCAGGCAAACACTGGCTATCTCTTTATGGAGATGTGGCGAGGAACTAATTTAAGACGGACACTCCTTTGCTTCGCTGTAGTCTGTTTCCATTGTGCTAATGGTATAGTCTCGCCTCAGCTCGACCAACTGATAATCGCTAACTGAGAGTCAGGCTCGTCTTGGATTACCAATTACACCACTTACTTCCTGACCGTGGCCGATGTTGGGAATGCCTTCGGTTACTCCGTCCTTCTAAACTGTATTGGCCTTGTCGGCTGTCTGTTTAGCATCTGCTTTGTTCGCTACCTCAACCGCCGCACTGTGCTTTTCTGGGGATGTTTCCTCTGCGGTATTTTCCAACTTGTCCCGGCCATTGTCTGGGCGGCAGAGGGCTCCTCACCCGTCTCTGGCAAAACTATTATTGCTTTCTTTTGCCTATTTTACTTTACATACGTGGCTTATTGTAAGATCCGCCTCCACTCCTCCCTGCATTCAGAAATCTAACAGTATGGATAGCTCCCCAGGCATGGCTCGTAGGAGGCGAATTCCCCAACAACCATCTGCGTGCTTTCACTTATGGTTCCGCAACTGCGCTCAACTTCTTGGGTACCTGGCTTGGTATCTTTACTGCACCGTATTTTATCAACCCGCAACAACTTAGCTGGTCAGCAAAATACGGATTTATTTGGTTTGGATCCAACATGGTCTTGTGTGTCTTTATTCTAATTTTCGTCCCGGAGACGAAGGATCGGACTCTGGAGGAAATCCACGAAATGTTCGAAGCAAAATTGCCGGTCCGGAAATTCAAGACTTATGTTTGTGTCGGCGTCGAGCAATTTGCAGCTCAAGGCACTGCCAAGGCGGCAGAGATATTGGGCGAGAAAATTTATCCACAGGAGGAGATTTTGGAGAAGAAGAGCCTGACGTCTTGAATACATCACTTTTAAAGATGAATGAATATGCTTATGGTAGGGAAATGCTATACGGTATTCCAATGCGATTAAACCAGGTTAGATTTATGGTTATGATATAAACGGTTTAATGTTCCGATCTACGTTTGTACACAGTAGAAAAGTACTTCAACTCCGACCATTTGATGGCCACGAAGCTTTCTAGAGGGGTTATTTCCATGGTTTCGACGGAATAGAACGAAGTTCTTCTTCTCTGATAACTTGTAGGACTTCATTTTCTGTTCATGGACTTCCGGTCCAAATCCCCGAATAATGCTTAAGTCGGAGGCAGCTTGCGATTGATAGTCGCCTCTTGTCTTCGAGCCATTCTTATCCTATGGTAGGATTTTGCAAGCAACACATAGCAGAGTATTGTGGGTTGCGCGACCACTTGACATTTTTAACCCATTTCAGTTCGCATACCGCTTTTACTTTTGAGAAGTTATTTGAAAAGAACTAAGTACTTAAAAAGCTAGGAGTAAACTAAGAACTTAAGAAGTAAGTAATTTATATATATGAAATATATTAGCCTAAAAGTTGGTTAGGAAGTATCAAAATTATTTACTATTTAGATATTTAGTAATATTAAGAGGAAGTAAAGTTACTAACGAACAGATAGTATCTCTACATATTAGGAGCGAACTAAGACTTAAAGAAAGAAAGCTATTTAAAGAAATAATCTTAAATAGAGAAGTATATTACTTTTAACTAATAGGATTATAGCCGAATATATTTTGCCTTCTAATTTAGATCCGGACGATTGAGATATATGATTGGAGAGTAACACAAGCGTTTGTGGCTTGCGCTAAATCACGTGGTACTCGTATAGGTGTCGATTCTTTTTCATTAGGCTATCCACTTTCGCCTTAACTACTATAATAGAATATAGACTGTCTTCCCATGATCTGCTGGTTACAATGTCTGATTATATCTACCAACCCTTGAAAAATGCAACAGAGGACATCCGCCTCCTCAAACTCACCTTCGATATAAGACAAGCACTTGGACGTGCCAATGTAAATCCTCTAGTCGGGCAACTAAAGAACTACTCTTTGCCCTTGACTACCCTCTCTAGAAGGCAGAGAATACTACGGGTTGCTCTACTACCGTCCTTCAATGCTCTGTCCTATGTATGGGGAAATCCGGCTCGAACGCACGAGATTATAATCGATAATAAGAGGCTCGGTATTACAGAAAATCTGCATAAGGCTCTTCGAGATATTCAGAGAGATGCAATTGGAGATGTATACGTCTGGGCTGACGCAATTTGCATTTGCCAAGATAACCTTACAGAGAGGTCTGCGCAGATCCTTCTAATGAGAGAGGTATACCACGCTGCAGCTGATGTGAGAATATGGCTTGGGTCACCTACTGAAGAAGGCCGAAGATGTCTCAAATTCATTGCTGATCTCACTGGACATTATGGACCCGAAGAATCCGATATGGTACCATCGGAAGAGAGTAAATTCGAAGAGAGATTTGTGAAGGGGTTGTTGATACCTACTGCTGGAATTGTGCGTGCTGGGTATGGGTTTGGACAGTCGTTGGTAGAAATTACGGACGCCTTGGATTCGGACGTGAGGGATGACAAGGCAGAAATGGTTCTCGACCCCGACGACATACTATCACTCCATCATGATACGATCCAAACGTTGGTTGAATGGAAACCACATTCACGACATTTTAAAACTGTTCAGGATGAAGATTTTGTTTTCATCGCAAACCTAATCGACCAGGAGCTAATTCAAAGTTGTACTTGGTTTGAGCGAATGTGGGTTGTACAAGAATTAGGAGCATCCAATGACGCTTCGATCCTCGGGTATGGGAAGTCACTGTATTGGGAGTCCTTCCTACGTGCTGTATACTTTCTAAATTTCAGTCTTGAAGCTCCGGTCAACAATATTCGAAAGTTGACCGGACTGGAGAAGATTCGGCAGAGTTGGAACAGCGGAAAACGACAGCCACTCCGAGATTTAATTCGAGAGTGTCGACACAGAAACGCCACAGACCCACGAGACAAGATATTTTCTCTTCTTGGCATGATGGGAGATAAAATGAACACATTCTTGATGCCTGATTACACCAAGTCTGTGAGCGAGGTTTATGCAAATGCTACATTCCATTTCATAGAACAATCTGGATCACTAGACCCCCTATGCGGGTGGCAAAGTCTCGGCCGACAGGAACAATTACCATCATGGATACCTGACTACAGCTTGAATCAAGACCCTGCAGCTTCACCCCTGGTTCCAATTGACGGCAGGGAAAGTATTTTCACTGCTTCGGGACATGACCACAGATCGAAATATATGGCGTTGGATCAACAACAACTGAAGCATTTCTGGACACACTTACCTACGAGTGGACTTTGCATTGATACCATTGCCATGCTTTCAGATCCTTTGCCTGAAGATGCACTGTTCGGCTCTATCGAACAAATGTGGCATTCTACCATCTCTTCATCTGGTGGGCTCCTCGACGGCTTTACAAAGGATGTTCAATCATGTTTGGAAGATATATCTTCTGTTATCAGCATGTATAGCGAATACTGGAATTCGTTGGATCAATTCTCAAAACACTTGCGGTCAGTGTCGATAAAATCACCATTAATAGCTCGTCTACCCAAATCGACGGATCGTTTGTCGAAGCACTCGCAATCAACAGACGAATTAGCAAGATCCAGTCCTCCCACAGAAAAGCCTTCTCTATACTTCGAGCCAAAGAAGGCGGATCCATCTCTCCACGAAATATACATCCTTGACGCATACCTTCAAAGTCTCTTCTGCGGCCGGATCTCAAAAACCGAACGCCTCACAAGGGATGGCATTCAAAAATTCATGAGCTTGAATCTTCCTGCAGATACTACTGATCCTGAACGGGAATCCTTTCTTGCAAAAGTTTGCAGGGCCCTAGGAGCAGGTATGACCAGACGATGCATAGCTATCACAAAACAAGGCTACATTGGAGCACTCCCCCAAGAAGCGCAGCAGGGAGATCTGATCTGTGTTCTGTTCGGTTGCAGTGTGCCGGTAGTTCTACGGAAGAGAATTGGGGGAGAATATTTGTTTATTGGAGAATGCTATTTGCATGGTTTCATGGACTCCGAAGCAATTGCTTTTCACGTCAGGGGCGAGTTCCAAGTACAGAAATTTGCCCTGTGCTGAGAAGGGTATTGATGAATGAAATGAATAAAATGAATCAAATGAAATGGAATGTACTGTAAATTCTTGTCATTGAATGACCTATCTAATCGACGCTCCTTATGACTCTCCTTAAAACTCCCTCTGTTTTGCCTGTTTTTGTGACGGTACAAGAGCACGAACGAGGTCGGGTGCGACTTGGGCAAAATGACTGTTTACAAGGAGAGAAAGAGATTCGTAAGGCAGGCTCTGACTTAAACTATTTGTGCAATATTCATAAAGTAGAATTATTATGGTGACCCGAAACGATCACCTAGGAGTGTCCACTTAATGTTCATATTTACTGTTCCTAAACTCTATTTATGATGTGCCTCAACAGCACACATTTTCCTCCAAGATCGGCGGCATACTGCGGTTTTGTACTGGTAACCTTTTGTGGGCAACGAAATTATCTATAAATCGAATAATACGTCAAAGAACTAGTCTGGGTCTCAAGGATGGATTCAGAAATTAGGCTTTAAAATCCTCCATAATAATAAGCTACCTCGGGGCTAAGCCTTTCCATGCGGCCTTAAAGGGCGATAAAGTACATTTCAAACCCTCTAACTTAAGAATAGAACACGACCCGGAATGTAAGAGGTACAACTAGTACAAGCAGTATTGCATCAGTTACAAGGATAGTTCTTCGCTTTACTGGCGAGAGGACCGTCAAACCAGTTATACCATGCCTCCTCTCTGGTACATATTGGTAGAGTAAAAACCCCTGCGGCCTGTACCCCTTTCGAAGCAAGCTCATCGACGGATGAGCCCTTTGACATGTCCAAGACAAAGCCAGGCTTGTTGCCATTGGCTTTGTAACTATTGATTGAGCTAGTGACAATGTCGCCTATGGTCAAACTTCCCCAAGGATTGTTTTTTCCATTAGTGAGAAGCTGGTCAGTTCCAGGCAGTGGGCTGAAATAGTTGTCTTCACAAATTACGTCTTGGTCGTAATAGCCACATGATACTTGTGCTCCTCCAGCGACATTCACGAGCCAGTAGGACTTGCCATCAACACAGACAAAGACTTTTTCGTAGTCAGCAATGTATTTCTTTCCTGTCTCTAGATTGGTGCATCGGTTCCGCTCGCCTTCATCATCGGAAATCCTGTGAGCAGGTGTTAGCCATGGGTGTTTCGAATGCCAATGCGAGGGATTAGTAGAACTGCACTCTTACATAATGAATGGGTAAATGCCAGCGTTTGACATAGACCAAGCCCAAGGAATCATGATAGCCCAAAGTATCCTCTCGATAATTGGGCCAGCCAGAGATGTCTTAACGATGTCGGTATAATCAAGGAGCTTCCCTTCATCCATCATGTTCAATAGTAACTGCATTCCACTATGATCGTTGCTGCCGGAGAACATCATAGCATTCGTATCCGCGACCTTCTGTTTCCATGCATTAATAAGGATGGTGATTCTGTTTGATAGGCTGTTCTGGGCTCCAAGGGCGCTGTTGGCTTGAGTAGCAACATCTTTGCCAAGCGTTAGACCATTAGACACCATCCCATTGACGGAATCTTTAAGCGTTCCGAGGGTGTTGCCATTGGAAGCAAGCCATCCAACCTTGAGCGCTACAAATTATACTTAGCATTCTAAGCCAAGACTCGAGAGTTAAGGGGGGGGG